AAGCGGTTATTAGTTTGCATGTTACTTCCTCTTAGACGTACTGCTTTGGGGCGTTATTCCTGCTGGCCTTAAGTAACACGAACTTTTCTTTCAGTAAAGCTGCTGGACTTTGGAACAAAGCGTACGTTGTGATTGAGCAGATCATTGCTTGTCAAATAATATCAAAGCATGTTTATGTTGGTAAAACAGTCTTGACATATCCTCACCTAGTGCTAGCTTGAATCTTTGAACAAAGCTGGACATGATCCGATATTAATGTGAATATAAAGATGACTTTGAAAGATGGACAGGTCTGATCTCCTTCAGATGTAACTGGCATCCAATCATACGTTTGCTCAAGTTCCATAGTGCAAGTGGGTTTTAGTATTGAAATCTATTTGTCGCCCATTCGTTTCATATACTTTGTCATCATTTCCTCACAGCACTCTCATCTTTCATTACAGTTTTGCAATCCCAAATCCGTCCCTTGTCACAACTGCAAGCCTATCCCTCTTGATGTCAGCCACCTTATTTACCCCAGCCAAAGCCATCGTTCGACTAAATTCCCTCTCTAGGATGTGTAATACAGACTCCACACCATTTTGCCCCTCATAGGCGAGCCCCCAGAGCACCGGTCGACCAATCGACACAAAGTCCGCCCCTAACGCTAGCGCCTTGAAGACGTCTGCACCAGTCCTGATCCCTCCATCCAGAATGACTGGTATACGGCCTTTGACGGCGTCGACAATTTCAGGAAGTGCCTCGATCGTTGCGCAGGTATTGCTCAGCTGACGCCCGCCATGGTTTGAGACGATGATGGCGTCGGCGCCATGTTCGACTGCCAGCGCTGCGTCTTCCCCCGTCATGATGCCCTTGAGGATGATCTTCATCTTGGTCACCCCTCGGAGGAATGACATGGTCTTTGCCCAGGTGAGGCTGGAGCTATGCATCCTAGAGCCAGCGCTAGTAAGGAGGTCTGCCGCTTCGGTGGCGGTCCTGGCGTTCATGAGGAGGCGGTTGACGCTGGGGAGTTTCGAGTTGGAATTGGATGGGGTTTCGGTGTTGGGGAGGCCCATGCCTGGGGGTAGGACGACGGCGGTTCGTCGCTCAGTGAGTCTATTGCCTAGGACAGGCGTGTCGACAGTGAGGACCAAGGCTTCGTATGAAGCAGCTTCGCAAGGCGTTAGTCTAAAATTGTCTTATTTTAGGGAGATTTTAGGCAGATTTGATTACCTTCGGCTCGTCTAATCAGATTGACGCTCTTCTTGGCGTCCTCATACAGGTACAACTGCATCCATGGTGGCGGTGCTTGACGCCCAGTATCTCTCATGACTTTTTGCCTGGCCGCCTGGACATCCTCGAGAGAAGTGGTCGATTGTGATGACAAGATCACATTGACGCCCATAGAAGCCGCAGCCATGGCCACATCAAACTCTCCCTGGCCACCAGCCAGCTTCTGCATGGCACTTGGAGCTATGCTGATGGGAAGTGGCGATGACCAGCCGAACAATTTGGTGGACGTATCGACGCGGGAGACATCAATGAGAACGCGTGGTCTGATCAACAATCTGTAAGGAGTTTAAAAACTTTTTGTTAGCTGAATGTGACTTTGATACGAATGGAACTTCTTTGGTGAGAGAGCTACGTCATGGTGGCTTAGTGGGTTACCATACCGATTGAATGCATCAACATTGCGACGCAGCGCTTTCTCATCATCCGAGCCAGAGGCATAGAACTCGTATATATGCTGCGGTAGCTTGGTTTTGGCTGCAAGCTCGACTTCGCGGAGTGTCAAAGGTGGTGATGAGGACGTTGCCATGGCGTCAAGCTGGCTCGAGGATACTACAGTACAATGCTTGATGCGTGTGATGAATTCTTCCGTAGGCAGGAGGAACGACGTTCAGAAAAAATATCATCAATTCATTTGTTACTCCAGTCCAAGGTTCTCGAACATCATACAAACCGGGCGAAACCAGGCGAAGAAGATACAGGAGAGACACGGTAAACGCCTGGGCCATGTGTCCGATGTCGGCTTCCGAACCGGCAGCAAGGACTGAAGTTAGACCCAACGACTTCGATGCATATCTCCCTATGTTGATGGGCTGGATTTTCCAATGGCAAGACTAATTGAGTCCAGATTCATTATCATCACTTCATTGAAAGCTGGATTCTTGATGCATGCAGATATGAGACCCGCTGGATCTACTAAGGTGTCGTCATTGCTTCGTTGTATCCACCCACAGTGGGGAGCCCGGCGCCATTCCTTCGTACTGATAGCGCCCCGGCACTGCTTGGGGCAAGAGTTGGCGCCCTTTAAGCACAGTTTAGACTCGGTAGGTTAAAGTTGCAGATATCTATAAGTCTACCCAATACTCCCATAAGGCAGGACCTGGCGATGGGCTACACGTCACCCACATGTACCTGAGCCGCTGGCTCGGACATATACAAGCGAAGACCGTCGCCTGGGGATTCCTTATCGAGAATTGACAGGGGGTCCCTTGTCTTGATCCAGTAAATTCTGCGACGCGAAGCTAGTGATATGGACCGTGACTCGTTAAGCAGTGGATTCGACAGGACATTCTGGACGGGGCTGTTGATGAAGACGCTCAGTATCCAATATCAGGGCTCGACACGGCATGCTCAAGTTAACTCAACTCAAGCACAGCACACTGTTTGTTCCTTACTCTATGCTTCACACCGGAACCATGGGCAACGTCAAGACAGTCGACCTCGAGAACACCTCGGGTGCCTACTTCGCTCCTGGTACTCTCTCCTCAGCTTCGCGAACTCTCCAAGTCTCCGGCCAGGTCGGCAGTGCCAAAGACGGCACCGTCCCAGCCGACTACGAGTCTCAAATTCATCTTGCGCTCCTCAATCTGCGCAAGATCCTCATCGCAGCAGGTGCACGCGTCGAGAACATCACCAAGCTTACCGTCTACGTCGTCAACTATGATGCGGCCAACAGGAAACACACGCGGCACATCCAGAAGTTCCTGAGGGGCCACAGGCCGGCCATGACTCTGGTGCCAGTCGCTAAGCTGGCGATGCCGCAGTGGCTGTTTGAGATCGATGCGACTGTCGCTCTGCCGCCGGTTGAAGCACCATGTCGCGCTCCTACCCTTGCAACAGCCTCAGAAAAGCACGACGTGGTCATTGTGGGAGCTGGTCTTGCGGGCTTGACGGCCGCTCATGAGCTCATCCGCGCTGGCCTCTCGTGTGTCGTTCTGGAAGCTCGTGATCGCGTCGGAGGCAAGACCTGGAGCCAGGAGCTGCCCTCTGGCGGTGTTATTGATCTCGGCGCTGCTTGGATCAATGATACGAACCAGAGCAGAATGATTGCCTTGGCCAGGAGATATGGTGCCGATCTGATTGAGCAGAACACCGACGGGTACTGCGTGCTTCAGAATGACAAGGGAGAGATCTCCTTATTTCCTTATGGCGAGATTCCCAAGGTATGTATTCTCCATCCTTTCATTAGAGGTGTACAATGTAGCAGCCTGCTGACAAGGGTGTCTTTTCTTCAAGTTCGATGAGGAATCACAAAAGAACGTCGAGATCATCCGAGACATGGCCGAGAGGGACTGTCAGGCTCTGGATACCTGGAACCCGAGAGACACGTCCCTCGATTCTATGACCTTCGAGGCCTACCTCCGATCCCGAGGAGCCAGCGAAGCGGCACTGGCTACGGGAACGGTTTGGACGCGTGCGATGTTAGGCCAGGACCCCAAGGACATCTCGGCTCTGTACTTTCTCAACTACTGCAAATCTGGAGGTGGCCTGATGCAGATGCGGTCTGACCGCAAGCATGGCGGGCAGTACTTGCGTGTAAGACAGGGAACACAGCTGTTCGCCAAGGGCCTCGCTTCAAGTCTCCCAGCTGATACAGTGCGTCTCTCAACGCCGGTCAAGTCCATCGTCCAAAACAGCGAAGCTGGCTCTATTCTCGTTCAGACCTCGTCAGGAAGAGTCATCTCAGCTCGCAAGGTCATCACGACTGTGCCGGGGCCTGCCCTCAGATCCATCTCCTTCTACCCCAAGCTGCCCCCAGTCAAGCAGCTGTGGGTCGAGTCATTGTCCTACGGATACTACACAAAGACAATGATGGAGTTCAAGTCGCCGTTCTGGGTTGAAGCCGGAATGTGCGGCCTCATCAACTCCTTCACCGGCCCTGCGGCAGTTGTTCGCGATACTTCGGCTCCGCAGAGCAACAAGCATGTCCTCACCTGCTTCATGGCAGCAGACCACGGCCGCGCATGGGGTGCCCTTCCAAGTCAAGCAGAGAAAGAGACTGCGCTGCTCAAACAGCTCAAAGTTCTTTACGGTGTCAACAACATCGAGGACTTGTTCGTCTCGCTGACGTACTACGAATGGAGCGGAGATGAGTGGTCTGGCTTCGGATGCCCTTGCACAGCTCTGCCGCCTGGTCTTCTTGACACAGTGGGCGGAGATAGCCTCAGACAACCGGCTGGAGACCTACATTTTGCTGGCACAGAGACGGCTGGCGAGTGGAAGGGGTACATGGAGGGCGCGGTGCGTAGTGGTGAGCGGGCGGCCGGTGAGGTTGTGAAAGACCTGAAAGCAGGTATTGTCTGCCGCCTGTAGAAACCTTCGAGATTAATAAGATTGAGATAGTGTGACGACAAGACTTGCCCTGTCCTTAGGCTGACTTCTTGCTTACCAACAAGAGATATGAGATAAAGATTGCATAATCAGAAAGCCCATGTATTCGTAGCATGCGTCGGCTCTCGAGCCATGGTGGGGACTGACTATCTTCTACAACTTACACAGGAAACACATAGCGCGCGTATTCTGTCCCTTTTCGTCCGGACTGATACCGACCTGTAGCTGAAGGAGCAATTTTCTTCCGAAGATACGATTATACGTCCTCTTCATGATTATCCTGCAAATAAATACCCCTGTTTCTTCGTTGAATCCTCTTGACACCGTGTGAACAAACGACTATTATCATCATCATGGCAAAGTCAAGAGTCTTGGTAGTTGGCACCGGCGGCATCGGCACAATGTCAGCCTACGCTCTGGAAACAGGCGGCAAAGCCGAAGTCACTGCCGTCTTGCGATCCAACTATGAAGCTGTGGTGCGTCATGGCTTCGACATCGACTCGGTCCTGTATGGCGAGATCAAGTCATGGAGGCCAACTCATGGTTAGTTTACGCCTTCATCACACATTCTAAAGAAATTGAGTGCTCACTCATACTGTAGTCGTCAATGCTGTTCCAGATGTGTCTAAAGGCGATGTCCCTCCATTCGACTGCATCCTCGTCACGACCAAGAACATCGCCGACGTCCCTCCCACCACCGCAGACATAATCTCGCCGGCCGTGACTCCCGGCTATACATCGATCGTGCTCTCCCAAAATGGCATCAACATTGAAAAGCCCCTTATTGCCCGCTTCCCCACAAATCCGCTCATCAGCAGCGTTGCTTACACAGGTGCGACAGAAACAGCACCCGGCAAGATCTACAATGACGACCCAGATAAGCAGAAGATCGGGGCTTTTTTCAGTCCAGAGGTTCCTGGCGAGGTTGCGGAAGAGGCGGCGAGACGGTACCTGAGTATATATAACCCAGAATGCAAACTAGATGTGGTGTACGAGGCGGATGTCGCGGCCAATCGATGGCGAAAGTTGGCTTACAACTCATCCTTCAACCCTGTTGCTTCCATCCTCAGCATGGACACTCCCCGAATGCGCATAAGCCGCCATATCATCGATGATCTGATCCTGCCCATCATAAGTGAGATCCGAGCCGTCGCAGAAGCCAAAGGCATCATCCTCCAACCGGATCTTGTCGACGCCGTGGTCCACCAAGATCCCATCGACTCCGGCTTCAAACCTAGCATGTGTCAAGATTGCGAGAAGGGGAACCTGATGGAGATTGAAAGTATTGTGGGGGAGCCTTTGCGCGAAGGGGAGAGGCTAGGGATTGCGATGCCGACGTTGAGGGTTGTGTATGGGATCATGAAGGGGTTGCAGCTGAAGGTCTTGGAGGAGAAGCGAATGTGGGCGCCCAAGTTCGATGAAGACAACCCCTATAGATAGATAAGTTCATCATACAATGGATACAAACTTCATGTATCTAGCTTCTTGTGAGCTCTGAGCGTTCCCTGACATCTTAGTGTTGCCAGTGCCAGCATAGAGATGTATATCTTAGCTGTTGTCACAGATCCGAGAAGTTACAGGTTGACGTGCAAGGCTGCATGTGTGTTCTAAATTATCTGCCTATCTCACCCTCAATTATGCACAGAATTGTTCTCCCTTGCTCAACTCGCCTTTTGACTTCCAAATCTCATACTCAAAGTCAGGCTGGAACTCCGTGTACAGTGTTTCCTATGGCATATCGTTAGCTTGAATATACTCAACAAAGTCACTTTCTCTTCAAGAACTGGAAGCAAACTTACAGGATCAGCATTCACCTTGTGGGTAAACTCGGCCGCCTCATCGCTCACAGTCTTCTTCTCCAACCCGGCCGCCTCGACCATAAGCTGCACCTCACAGGTCCTCTCCAATGCGGTGAACAAGTAAGCAGCCTCATCGACCGTCCCGCCGGTTGTCAGCAGTCCGTGGTTTTGGAGGAAGATGACCCTGCACTTATCTCCCAACGCCTCGACCAGTTTTTTCCCTTCGTCCCTACCAAGCACAACACCGCCAAAGTCGTCGTATACTGCTTGAATGCCGTGGAAGAGACAGGCATCCTGGTTGATGATATCTACAGGTTTTCCAAATGCAGACCACGCCTTTCCGAAGCGAGAGTGCATGTGACAGGCGGCATGGACGTCAGGGCGGGCTTTGTGGATGGCGCTATGTATGACGAAGCCGGCGGCATTGACTGCTACTCTGTTACCGCCAATGACCTGACCCTCTTCGTTGATCCGAACCATGTCGCTGGCTTTGAGCATGCCGAAGTGCTTTCCAAGGCTAATTTGCTCGTATCAGCAAGCTTGAACAACTCCACTGGAAAAAAGAAGAGTTTGCGTCTATTTTACTTACGGGTTGATCCAAAAGGTGTCCGGTTCGACAGGGTCACGGACAGAGATGTGTCCAGCTGTGCCTTCTGTGAACCCCTTTCGGGCAAACACCCTGAATGCGCCGGCCATGTGTTCGAGCTGCCATTGGCGCTTCTTGTACATGTCGGTGAACTTGGGAATGCCAGGAAACTCGTATCCGCCAGTGGCTAGGGAGGCCGGGATACTACCTGATGTCGCTACGGTTGTCGATTGCTGAGTAGGAAACAAGGAGACTGTAGCATCGAGCTTTCGCTCTTCAGTCTGTGTTGTGCTTGTAGACATGACGTTGGCTGTCAGGTCTAGGAAAGTTGGGTTGTGCAATGTCCAAGTGCCCCGGCAGAAAGGGCAATATTTTGATGGAAGTAACAAAGATTTGCCTCCCAGAGACGGCGCATCAATATGGCTTGGGCGGCTTTTCAACCACAAAATCCATCACGGACTTTTACGGAGAGGTCGGAGGTATAGTACGTATCATGCACAGCATGGGTCCGGATGCCTGATGCTCCTCAATTCCTTGCTCCTTCGAGTAACCACTGGCGACGCAATGTTTTATCCCCTACGGGCGGAGATCGAGAGACTCCCTACGTAACCCCGAAACAAATAGGGCCGTTGTTTGCAGCAATCCAATCTTCGGCATGAGCTTCCCGTTCTCGAGCACGATAAGGGCGGGGGCGGAGGCCTGAGTCGCATTTCCAGGAACCTGATGATAACGTATCATCCCCCACATTTAGAGTTTGGAGAGAGGCAATGCAAGGCGAGGCGCGGATTTCCTATTTCAGCTCCGGGGACCGGAGACCCACTTCAACATTTCGGCAGCGGGGCCCAGGCCCAGAGCCGGTGGGTAATTGGAAGCCAGCCCAATGTATCTAGATATCTCAGGCGCGTGCGTATAGGCCGAATTTCATGACGACGAGATCCTTTTACGAAGATGATAGTTGTCTCAGTATCTCACCACTTCTTCTTCAGTCGCTCTTGGAAATTCGAAAGTTCTGGGAATCTCATCGCAACACAGTCCTGTCAATATGGCCAACGCAGTACCCCAGCTGAGAGACCCTTCCCTCTTCATTCAGAAGAACTTCATCAACAATGAGTGGGTAGACTCCATCTCAGGCAAGACTTTCAAGGTTTATGGTAAGCAATTATATCCATCGTAACTGTGTTCCTTGTCCCAAGTTGAAAAGCTGTTTCCCACGGACTGACTGACATCTGACCCCAGACCCTGCGACGGGCTCGACCATCGGCTCATGTCCTGAGTCAACCCCTGAAGATGCGGAGAGGGCCATTGAAGCCGCCTCAGCCGCTCTTCCAGTCTGGAAATCAGCTACAGGACGGGACCGCTCAAGGATTCTGCGACAATGGTACGAGTTGGTTCTGGAGAATAAGGACGACCTGGCGGTGCTCATTACGTCGGAGAACGGCAAGTCCAAGGCCGATGCAGCTGGTGAGGTTCTCTTCGCGGCGAGCTTCATCGAGTGGTTTGCCGAGGAGGCGCCACGGATTTATGGCGATGTCATCTCCCACAGCCAGTCGAGCTTCAGGGTCTCTACCTTGAAAGAGCCCATTGGCGTATGCGGCCTCATCACACCGTAGGTTGCCATCGGTCCCTAATCTCAATTATGGTGTTTAGAACACCAACACATCCTCGCTCCAATCACGTCACTGACGCCATCGTCTAGATGGAACTTCCCAGCCGCAATGATTGCTCGGAAACTCGCTCCAGCCCTCGCCGCCGGCTGCACCTCGATTCTGAAACCTGCCTTCGAAACACCCTTTACGGCCAATGCGCTCCTCTCTCTTCTCTCCCGCACCTCACTCCCAGCCGGCGTCGTTAACTCCATCACCGCAGATACTAACACCCCCTCGATCGGCCAAACCCTCTGCTCCTCCGATATTGTTCGCAAAATCTCCTTCACAGGCTCCACCCGCGTAGGCAAGCTTCTCATGAGCCAATCTAGCGGTACCCTAAAGAAGATGAGTCTGGAGCTAGGTGGCAATGCACCCTTTATAGTGTTCGACGATGCAGATCTTGACGTTGCTGTGAAAGCAGCCGTGACGAGCAAGTTCAAATCTTCGGGTCAGACTTGCGTGTGCTCGAACCGCATCTTTGTACAGAAGGGAGTGTATGATGAGTTTTTGAGGAGGCTGAGGGAGGAAGTCGGGAAGTTCAAGGTTGGGTCTGGGTTTGATGCCAGGACAACGCATGGACCTCTCATCTCTGCGGCGGCCGTTCAAAGACTTGAAGGTCTCGTGGACGAGGCGGTGCAGGGAGGTGCGAAGGTTGAGTGCGGCGGTTCAGCCCTTAAGGATCAAGGTAAGATACATCACAATCGCGCCCATTTTGCTGTTCCTCTCAACATCAGGTTCACTGACCTTACCTGCATCGCAATAGGCTCCAATTTCTTCGCCCCAACGATTCTCAGCAACGTGGAAACCTCCATGCGCGTTGTAGACGAGGAGATCTTCGGCCCCGTAGCCCCAGTCTTCAGCTTCGATGAAGAAGAAGCCATCATCCAGGTCGCCAACAAATGCGATGTCGGCCTTGCCTCCTACATCTTCACACAAGATCTGAACCGCGCGACGAGAATCACGGAACAGCTTCAGTTCGGCATGGTCGCAGTGAATAGTGGCGTTGTATCTGACGCTGCTGCTCCGTACGTTACCCTTTCCTTTGGTCGTCTTCGAGGAGCAGGAAGCTAATATTATGGCTCAGCTTCGGCGGAGTCAAACACTCGGGCCTTGGTCGCGAGGGAAGTAAGTACGGCATCGAGGATTATCTACAGATCAAGACGGTGGTGCTGGGCAACGTCAATGTGCAACACCGCGCCCTCTTGTAGGGAACCATGGGCCGTATCAGCATGTATCCTGGTAAACATATAGAGAAATCCATAAAGGACTGAAGCTCGGATTCGAAAAGGATCTTCCTATACTTCTACATGATTTATACACATATGCATTCCAACGCCGAATATCATCTTGCAGCCTTGATCGTAGTATACAATGCCACCACTCGCATGCCCCTTCATTAGCCTGCACCGACCAGTCTTCCTGCCTGCTTATGCGCTTGTCACGAAATAATATTTATCTCAGAGGTATTCATAGTTATCCAAGATGCCAGTGAGGAAACCCGGCAACTTCCCACGAACCTTCCTTACGACGCCCGTCGTCACGTTCTCGTAGAAGGCACCCCTCATCGTCCACCAGCCCATCGCCCAACCTCTCCTGTCCCACTCATCCCTCTCCAACGAGATGGCGCGGAAACTCAACAGTGCCGATGGAACTTCATGGATGAAATGATGTGTATTCCATTTTGACCAGACCTCATAGATCACTATTTTGGCATCATAGTCCTAGCCACAGTAATAAACTGATAAGGTGGTGACAATATAAAAATCAGATGACAGTGGTTATCTATCTCATGAAGTACCTTATATGCAGAGAATGTTTAGACTTGATGCCCAACTAAGCTCGCGACCGGTGGAAACTCTGTCACCGCAACGCGGCTCGTCGAGGTTACGATTTACAAAGGTGATATTCCCACCATGAAAAGGATAATGTATGTGTATGTAGTCATGCGCAGGAGTTACCGCATGCCAAAAAGATTCCATTATCAGTCTGTCGCCAACGGATTACTCGTGTACTCACTCTCTTAGTTCGATTATATATTAGTCGCTCGGACTGCAAGACATCAAATTTTTGCTAGGAACTTTCTGAGATTAAGCAAGGCAAGTATCGAACCTCTCTTGAGCCTAGCTATATGCCGTTACTGGCGACTTCTGGATATCCTTTGTTGATAACCCAAGGGCAGGTCGTCACGTTTGGTGGAATCTGGGCGCCAAGAGCCATAGTTGGATAGCATTAGTAGACTTATCGCACTACATATATGCTGAAGAACGCTCTTGGATTCGGCTTTTCTTTTTGTGACTTCAGTGGCGGCTATTCCCTACATCGTTGCTGTCTATGGCACACTCCGCCACCTGCCTTGGACTCTCGTATAAATCTTGGGACAAGATGTCGAATGAGCACGCGGAGTGACGTGGGTATGAAGAGAGTGCAGCAGCCACACCAAAAGTGTCCATGGACTTCAATTTTAAAAGGTCTACGACGTAAGAGCGGTGACATAAGCGCCGAAGGACTTTGCCTTAATACTTATATTATATTTCCTGCAACACAATGACTGGCCTGAATAGATGCTACCTACCGCGGCTAATCCTTATTCGTGTCGTCTTATTACTGCTTGAGTATGAGTTAGGCTCTCATAATCCGAAGAAGTACCATTGATCCATTTGGTATCGCTACCACTAAGCTTTGGAGACAGTGGTGGCTATGATTTTGTCCTTCAGGTAGTCAAGTCCTCGCACAAAGTTATATACTTCGTCTTCAATTCCAAGATCGCCGACAGATATGGTTTCTTGAGGATAGTATGTGTACCAATCGGGGTATTGCTCACTGAATCTGAACTGACTGGCCATTTCTGGGCCAAATACAGTTCCGAGAAGCTTGGAGATGTCCGTGTCCATCAATTCAGCATACGGCGGATTTGCCGGTCGTCTTACTCCATCCCTCGACCACAGCTGTCCATGGTATAAAGTTGATAACAATGGGCACATATTTCGTATACGCCTTTGCCGTCTGAGAAATGATCGCATGGACGACAATGCCCGTGTTGAGAGAGACAATTCCAGCCACAGGTACGATAGCATCGGCTTTGGAAGGTTGAGCCAATATATATTGACCTAAATATGGCTGAGGGGACATTGAGGGCTGGTTGACCATATTTACTAAATAGCACCCTAGCCACACATAGGTAGTCTTCACTGCCAGGTCGGGATGAGCCTTCTTGACGTACTCTCCGCCTCTCGCTTTTGCATCCCAGTGAGGGCATGGCAGCTCGCCATTGGATATCTCTTTACACTTAGGCATGGTACTGAGAATCAAATGATTGAGAGTCGAAAGCTGGGCACAAGCATCAGCAATGTTGATAAATTGCTGTCCCTCGTCATTTTCAGCAGCCTCAAGGCCATGGTTGGGAGCGATTTCTCAGAAATCCGTAATGCCAAATATGGTTGTCGCACCCTTGAAGGCTCCAAGTAGAGTCAAAGGATTATTGAGATCTGCGGCGACGATTTCGACGCCAAGACTTTCAAGCTGCTTAGCTTTATCGCTGCTTGGGTTCCTGGTCAGTCCGCGAACTTTCCAAGCTGGGGCTTGGGCAAAAATGCGGGCGACAGAACCACCCTGCACACCTGTGGCCCCGGTTATGACGATGAGAGACATACCGAGTGGCTTCAACTAATGAGACTCATTCATATGTGTTCAAACTGGACAACAGATAGTGAAATCTTTTGAGTGAACTGTCGTGAACTCATATACGCATCAGTTGGGTCTGGGATGTACCTTGTTTCTGATGCGGAGAGCATGTAACAGCTCAGGCTCCGAGGACAGAGTCTAGCATGCCGCCGCGCGGGTATTTGCCATCTATAAAATTATGGCATCAAGTCATACACATAGTCTATCCGTGAAAGTCTCAAAATTACCGACTAAAGACTCTTTTGAAGGCTGTGCTATGCCGAATAGTGCATCACTACCGCGCGGCTCGCAAAGGGGCTGGCGTTATCGACGCCTATTTGTCTATGGTCTCTAGAGCACCCACCGAAATTACCCGAGACGCTTCAGCGACTGCTTTGTAATACACTATTGTAGCAAGTTTCTCCTCCCTCCCCTGTGCCGAGGAGCCAAGTCCCTTATCACGTCATTCACACAGACAACCAGCACCGTTATGCAAAATTCTTCTGTCGGCACAGCATGGATCGGAATGAATGACAGTTTTGGACAATAGTACATTTATATATGGGGTGCATCGTTTCAGTATAAGATCATGATAGCTGGAGTCCCTAGGTGTCGGTCCTGAAGGAGCAGGTCTGAGGTGGCATATATTTGGAACGGACGGCCTCAAAACTAGCTTCACAATAGGGACAATAACCAAAAAAGGACGCACGGTACTGGAATGGTAACGAGTATGGCCGGGTTCTTCTGGGCCAATGGTAATCGTACGCGTCACAGACTGAACAGTAGGGCGGATATCGAGAGGAGTATATATAGTATGCTGAACTAACTATGATAATTATAACCATAGGCGATTGCTTAATTGGCTGGTTAGTATTTAGGAACAGAGATAAACTATACATAGATACTGAAGCCTATAGAGATGAATTAGAAGTAAATTGATGCCTGGTAAGACTGCTAAGCTGTACCAAGCTAGCAGAGTCCCAGCTGGATATTGTCCACGGCGCGACAGGCACTGCAGGCCCCTTGCATCTTAGTCAAGAATAACTGTAACAAACCGTGCAGTCTTATAGGTAAAGGGCGCTACTTATTGTCAAGGCTGTAAAACTCGGTGCGAATATCCTAGTAGAGTAAAGCGTGGATATATTGTTGCCACTAGTCGGTCTTGCGGCATCTTGGCATCTGCCGATGCCCGCTTCTTCAAGTCTCTGGATCCACCTATTGAATGTTGAGGGTGTGTATTGGATCAAAACCAAGTTCCAGTGCGATAAGCATAAATCGTATGCCACGCCTCGTTTCGACTGGGCTTCTGGTAATTTCTCACGTTCTCTCCTTGGCCGATTCCTCTCTTCTACATCGTCCAAACTTCAACCGTTATGTCGCGTGCTCTTCTGATCACAGGAGCGACCGGCAAACAGGGTGGAGCGCTGATTGACTCGGTGCTTACAAGGCAGCCAAGCAACTTTCTCCTCCTCGCAGTCACGCGTAATGCAAATTCCACCTCTGCCAAACGCGTCGCTGCGAAGTCCTCTTCTATCAAGCTCGTCGAAGGAGATCTCAACGCCATCCCTGATCTTTTCAAATCTGCCAAGGCTGTGGCTGGAGAAGTCCCTTTGTGGGGTGTATATTCGGTACAAGCTGCAGTCTCCACGGACAAGAGCATGACGCTCAGCATCGAGGTCCAACAGGGGAAAAGCTTGGTGGACGAATCAATCAAAGCAGGGGTCCAGCATTTTGTTTACAGTAGTGTTGAGCGCGGAGGTGATCAGAGGTCCTGGCTTAACCCGACACCAGTACCGCATTTCAAGACCAAGCATGAGATTGAGCTTCATTTGCGTGATGCCGCACAAGGGACCCCCATGGGCTGGACGGTCTTGCGGCCTACAATCTTTATGGACAATCTAGCCCCAGGATTCGAGAGTAAGGTTCTCCTTACCATACTCCGCGATACATTAAAAGAGAAGCCTCTACAGTGGGTCTCGACAAAGGATATTGGCTTCTTCGGTGCAGAGGCTTTTTTACATCCTGATATCTGGAACAAAAAGGCAATAGGCCTGGCCAGCGATGAGTTGACAGCATCTCAACTTGATGACTCTTTTATCAGAACCACTGGGAACCCAGCACCTACAACATTTAGTCTACTAGGGAAGGCTGTGAAGACAGGAGTTAAAGAGCTTGGGGTAATGGTCGACTGGTTTAGAGATGAGGGTTATAAGGCGAATCGGTCAACTTTCAGAAAGGTTCATCCTACCCACCAGACATTCGAATCTTGGTTAAGGGAGAGTTCATTTATCAAGAAATAGATAGCTTTGATCTTGCTCTCATCCCGTTATCCCCTCATGATATAGGGTCTCAGGAAACGCGAGCCGAGGTGTATATGATAGATCAGCTACAATCCTGCACACTAGACCTGTCCTGAGCTGGTCGTATACTTCGTCAATTTGCTCAAGCATTAAATTATCATTCATGCTGCTGGCATATTCGGGATATCTGTCCCTATTCTAACCTTTCGAGCCACATCTCACATGCACATGTAAGATCCGGTTGAACCGAGTCAATTGGTAGCTGTAGGAGGTGAGTATAACCAAGAGGTAGCTGATTGATACGTTTATGCTACATCCCGTGCATCTACACACGACAGACACAATTATTCCGCGGGGTTTAGATTCAGCAAGCTTATTAACTCATCCCAGCCTTTTGTGATATCTCCCCTCTTATCTGCCCACAACGTTCCGTCCTCAGTAACAGATAAACCCAAATCTTGCCCTGTCACAGCTTTCGGGGCGTTCCCATTTTCTGCCGGACCGAAAGCAAGGTTCACTCCGCTTTCCACAACGCGAGCCTTGATAGCAAGGCTTAACGATCGCTTCAAGTTCTCATAAGAAAATGTTCCGCCCATGCCCCCGTAACTGACGATAAAGAACGGCTTTTTCGTCCATTCAAAGTAAAGCAGATCAATCGCATTCTTCAAGCCGGCCGGAACGTTGAGGTTGTATTCGGGCGTAACAATGACGAATGCGTCAAGCGGAGCAACGATCCTTGACCATGCTTTGGTGCTGTCTTTCGTATACTGGTCGGTGCTGGTGATCTGAGCTGGTGGGTACGGCTCATCATAGATCGGAAGATCGAGATCTTTGATATTGATCCTTTCCAGTTTGACGTTGTTGCTGTTTCCCAAGTGTTTCTGGATAATTCTTTGTACCCAGTCGGTGATTTGGCTACCAGCTTGGATTTGACGCTGACTACCGGCAATGATGCCAACCTTCAAAATACCACCGGCCATGAGTAAAGATTGCACAAAAGGAGGTTGAATTATGTGATATGCACAGGAAAATAGTACATGGGGGGTTGATTTCTTTTGTCGGATCTTACCGTATCTTATGGTTTCTCAATGCCGTCTTTCACAAACCGATTTGTCATACGGCCTCCGTGCAGTTGGTCCAGCGCGCGGTAAGTCGTGACGGCTTGATTATGATGGAGTCCGGTGGAGTTGCCGCGCGGCTGATTGATAATCCCATCTCGTCGCGCTTGACTCCATTTAGGTGGGCTCTTCCGCAGTCAAACAATCTCCTTTACATCGTCTGAACTGAGAAAAACGAAACGGAATTAATTGCCTACGTGACAACTTGAAGTGGTAGAACTGTCCATTTCATGACTACCATAAATTCCTAACGGAAGAACAAAAACGAGAATAGATATTCATAAGAAATCCATGATGAGAAAGAAGAGTCGTATCAATACTGCAAGAGATAGGACTCCTACCTTCTCTCCAACCAGTCTAGTGCTACGTTCATTGGATCTTTAATATGGAGAAAAGAAAGAAAAACCTGCTTTGTTGAATGACTAACACTTCTCCACATCCATAAGTCACAGGGTATTCAATTGTGTATGGCAATGTGACATGGATAACCAGCAAAATATATTCATCAACAACCGTCGCGTGAAGGAGATCATCCCGAAGTAACATCACGTTTATAAACCTCCTAAAGGTAATAGGCTGGGCCTCGATAATAATGGTGGTACAGGAAGCTACAACCGTCGTATGCCGTTCTGTCATGGAGTGGAAAATTTCAGCGAGTAGCCCCATGTCCGTGAACTAAGCTTTCCTTCTTGTGATCAAAAATGGAGCACAAGCTCTGAGGCGAAAGGATGGTGGTGTCCTCAAAGTAAATGTTTCGACAGACATTGTAGTGTTTGATGGTAAAGCACTAAAATTTGTTGCCTCGCATGATCCAGTTACAGCTATTATTCTTTATCTTAAGTCAGGAAATATCTACCACGCTCTTGCGGATGGTCATCTCGGCAAACGCGATTTTGTTCTTGTTAGGTAAGCCATCCGACGTATAAAGGCAGCTAGATGATGCGACTGGAAATTTTCTCGAGAGCGCGAATTGCATCCGAGAATGTTACCTGGCTGACAATGGGGAATCTCAGGAGGGAGAATCCAGGAAGGGGTCGACTGTGTTACACTAGAGCAGGTAGTTGCGCAGAGGGGCGATGGAACGAGCTAATAAGACGGACCCGTACCGGAGAACGGGGATTAGTCCTGTAGCGTTGTACCTATTGAGCTTATACATAATATTGCAGCGCAATGTGTCAGAGTCCTTCGGGAAAAGCTATTTTTCCCACCATCACAAATTATTTTCTTGAAACAATGCAAAACTATCGAAGATAAAACTGTCTTTATGTTGTCATCTTGGACACGGGAATAACGTGCAGAAAATGGGACTTCACTTCACGTCAGTTTCTCCATGACCCAAAACTCCTCGTCGTCGAGCTCAACGCTGCTTCTAATCACTGAGCTGGGAACCCTCTCGAGGTCAACAGCATATGATTTCCCACCGATACTAGCATTAGAGGTCGTCTCGCCTTTCTGCTCTGCCATAGTCGTGATCGTAGTCACTGAACATGATTGGCTAGATGGGCCAGATGTGGACCAAAACAGAGTTTTGGGAACAGGAAGCAAAGCAGGGACTTGAATAGAATAGTTGCCAAGTCTGAGCCGAGCAAGGGTGGGCAGGAACGGTGGGTTTGATGTAATCAACGGTGTGGATATCTGTGGTCCAATAGCGCCATATTTTCTACCCCGTACTTCGCCACGGTCGATCGGATTTGCAGCTTGGGTTGGGTCATCCCTGGCGTAGCCACCTGTCTATATGAAAGCGTGTCAGTTTACATCAATCCCGATTAGTTGGGAAGTGAGAGCTGGGACGCCAAGGTGGCACAGCACTTGATCGGTAACGCAAACTACCCGAATACCAACCCGTAACAACCGAGCCGACCGGATATTTCACAGACTAATTCACCATCGGAATTTCTGAAACCGCTTTTTGCCGATAGCTTCGGTCTAAATCTCATCTTTGTCATAGTCAAGCCCATGGCAGGTTTTTCCTAACAACAGCTAGCGTGTTTTTTTTTTTTCAAGCAACGCCGTGGAGGACGTTTTCACTGACACCTTTATTGGGTTCTTAGATCTGTAATTATTGCTCATTTCAGCCTTTGATTGACGATTATTGCCATTCACCAAAATGGTGGTGCCACTGAGGACATCTATAATTTTGTACTATTCATGATGGCTAACTGGGTACAAAGATCCAAAATGGCCGTGTATGATCTTTTTTTCTTCTTCTTTTTGTTTGTCTATTTATTGTTCCCGCCCCCCCTGTCTCAAAACATGCAGCTTTTAACCGTCAGTTTAAACAAAACGACATTGTCTGGAGGTCACCCGCCCAACATCAAGTACTGTGGTCAGCGTCTAAGATCTGGAATCCATGTCAGGCTGTTACCTTCATTAAGTCTACACGTGGGTAGGGGAAGAGCGATAGTTCTCACGCATAGGCGAGAATCGCCCGTGCGTCATGATCCACACAACTACACAACTATACCGCTCATACCCTCTAGATGCCCGAACAATCAAACAGTGAATCGCGGCCCTACAAGTATATACCCTTTGGCGACCTACAAGAGTGTGAAATATGCTCTAGGACTTCGTAAACATTCGCTAGTTTTCAATCAATTTATTTTGTCTCAACAACTCCCCTCGCTTGCTTCAATGGTGGGTACTCAGAATTGTGTGACATTTGACTCCACTCCGTGTCAACCAGCCGGCACAAACCTAGTCTGGGCTAGCTGGCCCCTGGAAAGCAAGGTCTTTCTTTCTGTGTGCTGCTGCGTTCCGTGCATTGTCATGTTCGGATATTCTCAATTCGACCTAGCCCTTTATCTTCCGCCACCCCACAATACGACTCACCCCGCAATCTTTTTTACGATCTAGTGACTTCCTGTCGAGATGAAGTATCCATCATCATCGTTGTTATTGGTTTGCATAAAGGCCACACATGTGTTGATGACGATCATCTTGACCTCGGGCCATGACAAGAACGATTAACTTGCGCACGAAGCCCAACATACTCGGATATTGTGCTTCCGAGCGACGACAGTTCAAATTGGGCTTTAGTTCTTTGACGTTTCCCCTGTTATATAATAGCCTTCATCGTAAGGTTATCCATCATAGACCGATCATCTAGTGTGTTCTTTGTCTTCGATCCAAACACATTTTAGCTTACAATTTTCTATTATCATCATCCATCATTCAAACATCGAAAGTGTTGTACCCACGATGAGGCTTCTTAATCTCTTGACACTTACCCTCCTTGGTGATCTTTCAATGGCGAGCGCTCTCGCCAAGCGGGCTACTCTGACGCAAGTCGCCAATTTTGGTAGTAATCCTGGTAGTCTCAACATGTATATCTACGTTCCGGCCAAAGTTGCCACCTCTCCTGGCGTCGTATTTACACTCCATGGCGCTTCCGGCAACGCCCAGCAGCAATTTACATCTACACCTTATGCAACGCTGGCGGAGCAGTACGGCTTTATTGCCGTCTACCCAGAATCCCCCCAAGGTGCCTGGGATGCAACCTCAAGCAAATCACTTTTACATAACGGTGGTGGCGCAAGTCAATCAATTGCTAGCATGGCTGCCTACGTGGTCAGCACATACAAGGCTAATACCAGCAAAGTGTTCGTCTCTGGAGTGTCTTCCGGCGGAACAATGGCTGTACGTCTATCGTCTTTGGTAGCTCACAATGTGAGATCTCTGACAACGCGAATTTTAGTTCACCCTGGCAGGGGCCTACCCTGACGTCTTCAAGAGTGCCATCGTTTATTCTGCTGCTTCCACAGCGAACATCAAAAACCAGTACCCAGGATATACTGGCACTTATCCCAGTATTCAACTCTATTTAGGATCTGCGGACGCCATCATTGGTACATCGACCTTCAATAAGTCGCTTGCCAATTGGGCCCCGGTACTTGGTTACGACACTACCCCTGATCAAGTGCTCACCAATAGTCCTGTCAGCGGATGGACTACATATGTCTTGGGCAGTAAGCTAGAAGGCATCTGGGCCCAGGGTGTCGGACATCCCGTTTCGACCCAGGGTAATGAAGACATGAAGTGGTGGGGGTTTGCTTGATGATAATTCGATTGATGATACCGGTGTGGCCTGCTAGTAGTGCCAGCGTCTTTTTCTCTATCACGCCAGATGGCGAATTACACTTTTTAAGATCCACGAACGAGCTGGTTGAGCATGTTAGTTGTTTATGGTTCGATAGAGGTGCGAGAAAGTCACAAAGAGACAAGATGGTTTTCGTAAGATGTCTACAGATTCCCACATACACTTCCGGTTGCAACGTAAGGATAATTTTTCGCTTGTAACTTAGCCTTAGTTGCTGGGATGAACCGCCGCGTATTTACGATCCAACTCATATGTTGGTGCATGGCGCATCCAGATAGCTTTTTCTTGCAGTTAGTGATGGGTAAAATACAGCGCTTTGGTGCATGTTCCAGTAAAGAGCGCGTACGGGGAATCACTGCCATAGAAACTTGGTAAGAATGCAGGTGGTACAGCCGGTCTGTATTCCAGCCATTCAAGCTACAAATGTTGGAATACTACAAGGGTTGTTCTGCGTTATGTTCAATGTTGCGCGTCTAAACTCTCAGTGGGACCGACATGTCGGATATTCAGTTCAGACGCCGCTTGCTGGAAGTCTTGGCCCCTAGATCTGAAACCAGACTACACTGGCCTGACTGTCTCGACCGGCAGCTGGATAGAGTCCTAAGCAAAGGTTCCTCCCCACCCTCTGTGGCCAGCTTGGCCTCCTCCACCTGAGACTTGCGCGTAGCGCTCCGTCGATACCCATCCTGGCAGAAGCTGCAGGCAGATGCATCAGACTTAGGGCGAAGGTGATAGGTGAACGATTCGCGGTAACCTGCTGCTTTGAGTCGGATGAGTATCCACTTGTGAGATTGGATTCAGGAGCACGCACACGTATGTAGCTACTCCACCAAATGGGGCTCTGGCTAGCCCATTCTATAGTGTCTCGGACATGCCAAGGATTTTCGAAGGCATCATCGTGATGCGCTGGCTGCTGAACATATAAAATGTTGGATGGCGGCTGCATCTTGGAAATGATATCTACTCGTCAATCTTTTCTTGTCTGTCTATTTTTTTGTGTGTTTCGCTCCCTTCCTTCACCAAACTCATTCGTTCATTCAATGCCCTGATCTGTGATCAGCGATCGTACACTACACACTCTCTTTAACCATTTCTTCTATTTCTGTCCTTTTTTAATCAAGATGCGCTCTTCACTGCCCCTCCTTGTCGTCAGCGCCAGCCTGGCAGCAGCTTGGACCGAACTTCACCATGAGCCGTTTATGAACAAAAACATTGACCCGATCGTCGTTCCAGGCACCTACACCTCGCATATGCACACTTTCTTCGGCAGCGACGCGGTCACCAACGCTCTCCCCACCTCGGCCGACCTGCAGGGGGGCTGCTACAGCGGCCAGAATGCCAATGACTTGTCTGTTTACTGTACGTCCGATGGCAGTTTGTCTTAATCATGCCTCCTTCACATCTGACTTTGCCGAAAGGGATCCCTACGCTGTACTATGTCGACGGTGACACCTTCACTGAGGTGCCTATATACAGCTTTAGCACTTACTATACTAATGCCTTTGCCGAAATCGCCATCCCCCAGGATTTCGCCATGATCTCCGGCAACGCGTCTGCGCAGACCCAAGCCGAGGCTGACCACCCTTCCAACGGACTGGAGTGGTTCTGCGAGGGGTCGGATGAGCGTGAGTCTGACATCGCCAAGTTTCCCACCAGCACTTGCGGCCAGCATCTGCAGGTCTCGCTGCGCTTTCCTAACTGTGTCAACCCGGACAACCTCACTGAGTACGACTGGAGCGACGATTCCAACAAGTGTCCCGAAGGTATGAAGGCGATCCCCCAGCTGCGGTATGCTGCCCGCTATAACACCAATGCTGTTGTGCCGGACGGCTGGAGCGGTGACGCTCCCTTCCAGCTGTCGTGCGGCAGCGCCTCGGGCAATGGCTACTGCTTCCACGGCGACTTCATCAACGGCTGGTACGAAGATGCCGCCGAGAACATGCTTGTATCTGGCGGTGGTGGCTACGAGGATGGCCAATTTATCAGCGGCAAGCATGGATCTGCTGCGGCCGATTCTGGCTGCACCCCCACTGATCAGGACCCTGATAATGGAACGAGCGACTACTACACAAGCTTAGATATGATGAACGGAGGGGCTGCCGCAGCTGTCGCAGCTGATGCTGTGAACGCGACCTCTGTGCCCGTGACGACTGCCGCTCAACCTACCACTTTGGCCACCACTTGGGCCACAACCCTGGCTCCGGCAACGATGCCCGCAGCGAGCTCGACCTCGACATGGCGAAGACGGGTCAAGACCCGAAATGCTTAAGGGACTCCTCGGCAAGAGAGCACATGGCGGAATTACGGTGGCACAATGCTTTAAGATGTTTGCAGGTCAATGCTTGGTTGATGGGTGCGTGAGCCTGCGTCTTGACGAGTGTTTCTGATGATGTTGAGTTGGAGGGCTGAGATAGGGGATTAAAGTAGCTATTTTATCCCTTAGGGAATATATTTTAAGTTCTCTTTATGTATTAAATATTATTATTATTATTAACTAGATTTATCAAGCTTACTTAAAGTAATTATATTAAGGAATTAGTATATTCCCTAAATTAACTTTTATAAGAATATATGTTCAAGTTGATAGACCCTGAAGCTGATAGCTTATATCGTGCGCCTCACATACGTCGATATTTGGTTGAAGTTTAATCATTAATTAAGAGATGTAGCTAAGGGGAGGTAGTCTTAATTCTGGTCAAGCTTAGCGCGCTCAAGCATAGTATAGTGATTTTTATACAAAGTGAGGTACTGCAAATTTCCTTTATCGTTTTCATCTATTTCTAGTTGTCGATCTTTCACTGTACGCATTGAGACCTTGTCTACTCATTAGCTATTGTATACGTCCATCTCGTGGGTAACATGATTCGAACCTGTTCCGTGCTTAACACTATCTATTGACCGCCATTGCATGAAGAACCTAGTGAGTTAGGGCATAGATCGCTAAGTCTCCCTTGGGTGTAAAAAGTGACTTATTTACGCGACTCTTGGTATGTTATGTGAGCTACTGGCCAACCTTATCCCAACTTGGAATACGCCTTGCTGTTTCCGAAATTTTGTCTTTGGAAAGCCGACAGTGTAAGCCTACCTTGTATTTACTTTGATTCTCGTCCGCTTACGGCGTTCAACAATGGATTCTGATAATTATGTCAGTTTGGTGAGTTCGCGGCTAACCTAAGCCATATTTTTGTGGACATCGACCTAGCATACTAATGTAATAATAACGTTTAATATAGATCCTCTAGCACTCTTAAGTCTTTCTTCTTTTTTTCTTTTGGTGCCTGCACTAGGTGGTTTTCTGTTTGGATTCAGCGCCAATACTATTGCTAACTCAGACATCTTTCATTGCAAAGTTCTTGACCACTGCTGATGCTACTCAGCGCACTGATGGACTCCTCGGAGGGTAAGTTTGCATGTGTCGTCACGACCCAACATCGTACTGATCCAGTTGCTCTACTAGATTCCTTGCTGGTGCATGGTAGTCTCTGTTGGCCAGGCCCCTCTCTCGAAGCACTACGGTCGTCGCGTCGGTAACGCTGCTGCGGCCATCGTTCTCATCATCTCGGGAGCTCTCCAAGCTGGTTCAGTCAACATTGTAATACTGCTACCTTCCGAGTGATTTGCGGTACCGGTGCTGGCATGGCATTCGCCAACTCACCTGTATACATGTTCGAGGTAGCACCCCCTCACGCCCGTGGTGCCCTGGTCGGCATGCAGGCCGTTGGTGTCGTCTCTGTGTATATCATCTGTGCCATCTTCAACTTGGGTTTCAATTTTGTTCACTCTACTATCCAGTGGCGTCTCATCTTCATTGTATTGACGGCCTTTGGTGTTATCCATCTTGCCTCTCTCTACTTCCTCCACGAGTCCCCTCGCTGGTTGATGGAGCATGGTCATGATGAAGAGGCTAAGGAGATTCTTGTCTGCCTTCATAAGACCAAAGCCGATCCTAAGGGTCTGTTGGCTCAAGCTGAGGCTGTTCAGATCAAAGCTCTTGAGACTGAGAGACAACTACCTTTTGGCTTCTGGTACATCTTCACAACTCCCCATCCTTTGAAGCGTGCCTTAGGGCTAGGGCATAGTCGGATGCGGTTTCAATATCTTGCTGCTTGACCGCGTCGGCCGAGTCAATCTTCTTGTTGTTGGTGGATTCGGCTCTGCCACTATTCTCAGTGTCATGGCCGCACTTTAGAAGTTCTATCTCGGCACTGACCTTTCTCCTGGATTGAACGCCGCCATCGCTATCTATTTCCTGTTTGGTGTATTCTTCATAACCACAATCGAGTGCACAGCATATGCCTATGGATCTGAGATCTGGCCTAATTACTTGCGCAGTGAAGGCTCCACCCTTGCATTTGCATCCTTCTTCAGCAATGCCATTGCTTACAGTCCTGTCACTCTTGGCCTGGAGAACATTGGCTGGAAGTTCTATATGATCTTTGTTGTTGTCACAGTGGTCAGTACTGTTGCCATCTGGTTTACCTTCCCTGAGACTTAAGGTCTTCCTCTTGAGGAAATCAACCTTCGATTCGGCGAGAATGTTGAAGTTGACGCCAAGTCTGCGGTTGTTGCTGAAGCTGAGCACAACAAGACTACTATGCCTGTGTCTAAGTCTACTGCCTAAGTATAATAGTTTACTTGGAAAGCTGATTTGTAGTAAAAAAGAATTTCTGTATTTGAGAAGTTCACCTCTAAATGAGTGCTATATGTTAATCGAGGATAGTCTATTTTGTTCCATAAATGGTCAAGCTTCTTGGTTGTATTTAAATATACAATAGGGCACCTCAATAATACGAATCTTCTCTAACAATACTTTTTCTTCTGGAAAACATCGCCTGCTGAGTCCATTTTGAATCGTATATTGATCATGTTGCCATAATTCCGCGTTATCTAGTGTTTGAAATATTTGTGTTTGCTTGTTTGTTGTCTTCTCGACGTAACCCAACAGCGGTTGGTCATTTATTTTTCAACCTCGTTGACATAAGCCAAGTTATATGGAAATCTGCTGTATATGTGCGACACTCTGCGCTGTTTCCTTATTCTTGCTAAGAATTCCGCCTGTCCAAGTGACCTTCCAAAACCGGATCTAATTTTGCTAAAACAGAAACCCGTTTGATAGCCACAAGCACTTCAGAATTTTCTGTATTTTCACCTGCCGCGTCCGGAGCATCGTTTTTAACATGAGTATGTGAAACAACATGATATAAGGGAAGAATGAGGTTTAGGGGAACGAACTGCCTAAGCCAGATATAGATCGGAATTCCAGTTATAAACGTCAATAAAATATCCTGAAGTACTGCATTAATAATAATTATCGATAGATTTAAACTAAGTTTTGTATAGTAGTGAGTTGGGATGTCTTTGTAAAGAATTCTGGAGAAAGCGAAATGATTATGTTATTGGACCTCAATTCGATATTACCCTAGTCGTTAGCGTTGAAGAGCTAAATTGGGAATGATAATATCCTTGGGAAAGTCTGTGAAAGAATGTTGTATGTTGCAGGGTCCTTTAGCTGTTTTCGAGAGCTCTGAAAGCTCGGGTAATGGATGATGGTGGTGATATGTCAGCGGCAGTGAAGTTGAGCAACCAACCTCAAGTCAAAAAACGCCATAGCTGTAGCATACTTCGCAGAAGCCCTTGACGCGTCTTGCTTCGACAGTGCTCTCGAGGTTGCCGCCACGACAGCGCATTTGACTTGCTTAGATGCTTTGCTGTCGGCAGGGAAAACTGACCCAAAGGCCTGCGATGTTAACGGAGGCCTGCCGCTCCATGCGGCTTGTGCATCAGGGGTACTTTCAATTGTTCAACGTCTCTATGCTGTCACCACTACCACCTACATTTAATACGTCTCAGGAAATACACCTTTGCATTTAGCCTCCATGAGCGATCATGTTGCAGTAGTAGAATTTCTCATCAGAAAAGGTGCAGACATCAACGCTTCGGATAAAGACCTTGAGACACCATTGGAATTCGCCATAAGAAACGGCGAAACGGCGGTCTGAAAGCTGCTTCTTGATAACGATGCAACATTGGACACAGTTGACGAGTCAGCTGGCGCGTTGATTGATGCTAACCGGATGATAGGAATGGACAACTCGTTCAGCCCATTGTTTGATGACAGAACAAATATCGCTAATCCACCTCGCTCACTTGATAATTGGAAAGACTTTGACTTTGATTCGTTTGTGCACGATCAAGACGAATATAATAGCGCTTTTAACTTTCTAGAAGAATTTCCTATGGATGCTGACAATCCAGAGTAGCTCAAGGGCATAATACTGTATGGACCATGCCGCTAGAAGGTCTCATTGTAGTGAGGATGACTGGTCTATTGCTGGTGGGAACGAATATGTTCAGTCAAGTTATTAAGACCACATGATGACTTTTTGCTATGGAAGTTCCCTTCTAGACCTCAAATTATATACCCTGCTGATAGCTCGTCCTCCTAGTTATCCTTCTGGGGCAACTATAGCACTTTTCATCCCGTAGCTTTTCTTTAAAGACTATTATCCACAGTCCTCGACAGCAGGCCTCTCCACTTCATGAGGCCAACGCCGGCAAACATATTTTCTTGGTTTTCACATCAAATACATCAAAGAATCGGCGTCTTGGTCATGTCAACGAAGAATTCTACGTTGTCCGCGAGGTTGTGACTGAATCATGCTCAACCAGCACCCTATGTTAGTGCAGGGTAGAAAAAGGTCTCGTGTGAGCATTGGGGTCTTAAGGCTTGAAGATGATAATTCATGAGGGAAACCTTCCCCCACTGGTGACTAAATCCACCACAACGTCTTGTGTAGAACGCTTAATGGCCAAACAGGACGTTCTGTTTGCTCTACCTTCTTGCTCAAGCTTCCATTTAGCAGAGGACGATAGGACACTTCCCAAGATCCCCTTACAGGATTATTCCTCTCCGTCACATTGGCGGAATAATCCCTTGATGGATTTGCCGGTGGTAATCTTGGCCGGAAAAATCGTTAATAGCCTACCTTTAGGCGTGCGGCACCAGCGAACTCCGGACTGTAGATCTTGATGATGAGATTACCCACTTGTCAACTACTTTCCAGATCGCGGAATTTCAACTTTCGATTGGCATACTTTGGAGTGTCAATGATTGGGTATGCTTTGACATAGCTAGGATCACGTTCGAAGGAGGGTCTTTTGGAAGGGGACATGCGTGATAAAACAGTCAGCAGAAGTCCCCATAGGGCTGTGTAAGAATCTCGAAAGCAATGGGTCAAGGTTGGGGATCGAGGAGATGATTCTCCAATTGATGAGATGTCTGTACCACTGTGGGCATCTCATGTACATTGTGAAGGTTATTGGGGAAGGGGCCATTTAGTCTGATAGCTGGTGTCGCATTAACCCCTGTGCCATGAGGGATGGATAAATTATTGATGCTAGAAGAAACTGTATAAGGCTGTTTAGGTAATCTGTAATTGGATACAGGTGATATTGTCGATATTGACCTTTGAGTGAGCCCTCATGTCCCACAGGAAGCCATGGGGCTATCACAGAGAGCACCTGCTGAGTAAATCTGATATGCAGTTTTACTTTTGGTAGCTTTGAGCTTTAATGAGGGTCGGAGCCAGTGAGTTGGCAACCAAAGCGTAAACCGCAGCATGATAGCTGCAAGGCAGGGCATTGTAGGGATGCTCTGGTGCAAGCGAATAAGTGAGTTTCAGGAAAAGTTGAACCAATGAACTATCAAAAGACTCATACGGCAATTAAGGAGACATCACTTAGCTCATAGGTCTTTGGAAGAATGGGAAAAAAGTTATAGCTCTGGGATAATATCGAAGTGTAGTCATATTTGCCGTTCAATTACCAGCCTGAAAGCTCGCCTTGGCCTCATTTCACTGCAACAGCCTTTCCATAACACTAATTTGGCCCGATATGCACATCTCCCTCTAAATCACCCCCTTTTGATTACCACCAACAAAGTCTCGCACCATTTGATCCAAATCAACCGAATACAGCCAGTCAATATCAAACGGCTTAGTCTCAACATCCCCCTGCTTAGGCATCCTCCTCTTGTTAATCTCATCATTCAACTCAATGATCTTATCAACACGCTCCTGTCTCCCCTTCTGCCACCGTCCAAGAGCATCGCTAAGGCCCTCACTGTTCTTCTCCTTCAATTGACCGAGAACACCAGCGAATGTGTATACATCCTCAAAAGCCTGGTTCACACCTTGGCCGGCAGTGGGGGGAATAGCGTGTGCTGCGTCGCCGAGAATAGCGACGCGGCCGTGCTTGGCGCTGGAAGCCCATGTCTCAAGCTTGGGGAGGAGATAAAACGGCCACAGGTTGACTCTCTTAGGAGAGATCTCTGAGGTTGAGTTTGCGACGATAGCGGGAAAGTCCTCGTTGCCTTCGCGGAGAAAGTCAACGCACCACGTCTTATCAGAGTTCATAGCCTTCCAAGCATCACGTCCTGGATCTTCACCAACAAAGACCTTTTGCTTTCCGATGAGAACTTCCGAGCCATCAGCCAACTGCGGTGCAATGACGAAAGCACCGCGCTTATCGTGCATGAAGGTAGCAGGAAGCTTGTACTCGTTGTTCTCCAACTTTAGTTGCTTCGCTGGAACCGCAGCTGTGACGCCGATCATGTTGGTGAACTTTGGTTCGAGGTCTGGATGGAGATATTTCCTCACACGGGAGTGAATACCATCCGCGCCAACAAGAAGACTGGCGGCTTCTTCACTCCCATCCGTAAAGCGCCACGTGACGCTATCGTCAGTCTCACTAACAATACTATCAAACTTTCTCCCATACTCAACCTTAATACCCGCTTCTTGAACAAGATCAAGAAGAACATTAATGAGCTCGAATCGGTAAACACGAATACCAGAGTATCCATATTTCTCCTGATTGCCAAACTCAAAGACGTCAACTAGCTTATCGTCTTGGGAGTAAAAGTACAAATCCTGGAATTTGTAGGACTTGGGGAGCATGCGCTCAAAGACGCCGAGCTTGTCTAGGGCACGGAGGGAGTTGGGAGATAGCATGATTGCGCCGCCGATGTCGAGGGGTGCGCTTTGTTGCTCGTAGGCAGTGGCTTGTATGCCTTGTTGGTGCAGAGCCAGGGCTAGGGCGAGACCTGAGAGGCCTGCTCCGATGATGGCGACTTGTGGGGATGACATGTTGATATTGGATAAGGGAAGTACGTAGACTTGAAGTTGAAGATCTATATAGTATAGTGTTGCTTCAGTGTTCTGAGAGCAGGTATAAGTGGGATGTGAAGGTTGGTATGATTGATGAGTTTCTGATGCATCACCACCTCGTCCATGACCTTCTATATATACACAACCCCTCAGCCACCCTTCCTCCCAATCCTCCCACTTTCCGCTAATCAAGCCATCCTCATCCTGCGGTAATTTCCCTGCGCCGTCGGTCTTTTGCCAAAAATCCCTTCATTCTCATACAATCGTGCCGTTCACATCCGTCTCAACCAATCACGGTGACCAAAACCCCGCTTCTATCGGCCGAGTCAATCCATCCGGCCGATATCCATTCCTTCTCGGCCGGCGAACAGTCAGCACTGCCTCTGCCTTAGGCTAGCACACTCTCTGAATCATTTTCTATAGGCTAGGTCGCTTACTTATGCGCCCGCTGTAATGCTCGGACTCGTTAGTGCTGATATCTAAGCTGCGGCGCAGTTTTCGCATAGCCCGCATCAACCACCCGGCCGAGATATCGGGACCGAAACTCTCGGCCGGGAGGAATGAGAGGGGAATTTGCTATAAAGACTGAGGATGCGACGCGCTGTAGATTTGTCTCATCATTCAATCACACACAATCAACTCCCCCAGCAACTTCTTCAAGAATCTTAAAAAAATTCAACTTCAAAACTTAGTCTCTTGCCCTCCATCATCCTCATCCTCGCTTGGCATCTGTGATCTACGCAGATCTACCCCACTAAACACCAACTACCGCTTCTCCACCAAAACCCGTTTAAAAATGCACTTCCTCTTCATTGGCGGAACAGGCCGCAACGGCTCTCTAGCTGTGCAAGAGGCTCTGTCTCGTGGCCACACAGTCACTGCCCTCGTCCGCAACACAAATTCCGCTAAACTTCCCTCTCACTCCAATCTCACCCTCGTTCAGGGTACACCGACCTCAGAGTCCGACATTATCAAGGCTCTTACAACACCTCAACCTCCGCAAGTAGTCATCTCAGCTCTTGCGCAGGTCAGAGCCACAGAGTCGCCTTTCGCAGCTCTTCACCCTGATACTACGCCTGATTTTCTAGCTGTGAGCATGCGTGCTCTCCTCGCTGCAATTTCTCAAGCCAATATCTCCCCCAAGATCGTGGTCAACTCAGCTCAAGGCGCTGGATCATCCTGGCGCTCTATGAATCTCCCTGGGAAAATGATCTTCAGCCACGGAAGCATGGGTATTGGTCTGAAGGATCACAACGAGGTTGACCGTCTGGTCAGAGAGAGTGGGCTAAACTTTGTTCTTTCTCGACCTGTTATGCTTGGGGAGGGTGAAGCCCAGCCTGTCAAGGTTTGGCCTGATGATGGAAAGGGCTGTGCTTGGATGCCCAAGATTACTAGGGGGAGTGTTGGGAAGTGGCTTGTTGATGCAGCTGAAAGCAGCGAGTGGGACGGACAATCTCCTGTTCTTAGCAACTAGGACATTTCGAGATGGAAGCCCAAGGTGAAGCAATTGATTGGATGTTATTTCTTCACTTTGGGTATATTTCATAATTAGTTTCATGGACCGATCTTTCTCCCAATTCTAGCCACTTTATTTTGGCCCTGAAGGTTCCATCACTGAGTAAATCCCCATTATAAAATTATCCCTCAGGAAGTCAGAGAAATCCAGATCGTGACAAAAGAACTATTAAGATAAACTTAGCAAAAGTATCCTAAACTGAGTAAAGGCATCCTAGAATTTGCCAAGGGTATCTAAACTTAGTCTAAGTTACCTAAGTCTTTTTGTCATTTATTATCAAGGGCATTTAGTACACACTAATTACTCTTCTTTTTCCCTGAAAATCTGGCCTCGGTGATAGCGACTTGGCCTGGTAAACCCAGGCGGCGTCTTCTCCACCAGGCAGACCTCTTCATAGCCCTCACGTTCCTCTGCATCTATGAGCCTCATCCCCGCAAGTTCCTCATTCTTCAGCAACATAGGCCCTTCCCCTATTCTCGCTTTCTCCCACTCTTTCCAGGTTTTGATCTTAAGCTTCTCGTCCGCCACCCAGTCTGCATTACAAAATGCAGGTAACCTCGCGTCTGTCTTTGATATCCTCCATGGCCGCCCGGCAGCTAACGCGTAGATCCACTTTTTGTCAGTCATGTACGCCTCGCCATTCAGACGTGTATAGACGAGCCTCAACTTCCAATATCGACCTTGCGTGACCCCCTCAACTACGTATGGGGTAGTGGGGAACGCCCAAGTCGTAGTTCGACCGTTTCTTATTTGACAGCGTAAGAGTGTCGTGTAGATGTGCAGCTTGTAGGAGCTCAACGGCGCCACTGAGCCCAAGACGGTGATATCTGCGTCAGCGGTATCTGGCAGCTCAACTACCAGCTGCAGGGCCCTGATAATCGATTTCCAGATTGACCACTGATCCTGCTGATGTCTTTCTGAACACGCTGACTTCAACTGCGCACCCACGCAAGGAACGTGGAGGCGCTGTATATTCGGAAGAGCAATGGGATGAAAGCAGTTATCCGAGCCCCAAGTGCCAAACATTGCATCGCACAAACAGCTCATATCGACATGCGCGTGCTGCATTCGGGGCAATAGGCGACGCAAATCCTCGCAAAGGTGAGGTTTAGGTCCGTCGAGATCGAAATTGACGTTATCCGAGGTACCCAACGCCAGCTCCAGGCTTGTGCATTTCGGCGGAATACTTCTCAGAAGGGCTGAAACAATCTGCGTTTGGATGGAAGAGAACGAGTCTCGATAATGCCGCGCGAGAGAGAAGGATCCGAGATTGCTCATGCGAGGAATCACAGCCGCCGCTAGCTGAAGGAACGGAGCGTGAGTATCGCGGTCGAAGCCTCCGGTTATTTCAGGCGGGCAATTTATGTATAGAGTCAGAGACCGCGTTAGGGAAGAAACAGCCCATCGGTCGTGGCATGCTATGAAAAGATCAAGTTCAGGGCCGATGAAGAACACGAGGTCCTTGTAGAGCAAGCGAAGTGCAGCATCGTACCATTCTTTGTTGACGAGCAGACAAGAATGAACAGTAGATCTCTGATTGTCGCATGGACTGATGTTCTCAAACACTTTGGTGAGAAGTTCGGGCGGGAGGGTATTGGCCATTGGATGCAGGTTTATGGTCAGTCATTAGAGTCAAAGACGAAATTGTGGCGTTGAAATGAAGAAGAATGTCAGGATGGGGACTCGGAGGGATTAGTCGTGGAGGATGTGCTGAGCATTCAGGCATCCTCCATTTGTTGCTGTGCTATTGGCAGGAGCGGATGATGGCCCAATCAACAAGTAGTCATATCCACACAGTCAGCTATGCGATTAGAGTCACGTGCCAATATAGGCTTTTTTAAGTTGAATCTGCATAATTAAGAGATCATTGACTGAGTTATCTCTTTAATTATATCTATAATATTAATAAGAATTTTTGAATTCTTATTTTATAATTAAACTTTATTTATGTATTACTTGACTTACTATTTAAGCTACTTACTAAGCTTTAAAGTAAGGTACGTGGTGCATTTTGACCTCAAGACTAACTCGGATTAGAATAAATATTTTTAAACCCCTAAACACATATACCTACCTCTCCGCACAACAGACAACTCAGTCAAGTTTCTGCGATGGCGCATGCTATACGCTTCCATCGCAAGTCTCGGACTGGCTGCGCTGGATGTAAGCTACGACGGGTCAAGGCAAGCTGAATCATCGACCCAGCCCTGACTGAGAGTCTAAGACTAACATGGCATCATATCAAGTGTGATGAGGCCAAGCCTCAATGTACCGGCTGCGCCCGGCGAGGAGAGGAGTGCTTATATGTCTCTTCGAGCCGCCCAGCGACGGCCCAGAGGCGAGGTAGTCCTGCTTCGGATGCTGCCACCGCCGTTTCGGAAACACAAGGCGCCGCCGAGCCATTGTTAGCCACACCGTCTGCCGATGAGACGGCCGCAGGGTCTAACTATGGCGCAAAGCATCTTCTCGATCTCCGCATGATGCACCATTATTGCGTCTCCACAGCCGAGAGCTTTGCCGCCGAATTCTCACGGGATGTCGCCTCAATATTGAAGGTCGAGCTTCCACGCCTTGCCTACCAGCATGAGTTTCTCATGGACGCCATCCTCCTCGTGGCCATGGTCCATCTCGGTTGCACGGAACCAGAGCTACTTCAGACCCTTCCCATCTACCTTTACCGAGACCAAGCATTACGCACACTGCGTCAAGCCATTGGCAGCATGACCGACTCAAGCATCGCGGCGGTGAGAGGCGCGTCAGTCTTGCTTGCGACCGTATCTTTCGCCACGGACCGAGTATCTCAGCAATCCGGTCTATGGCTAACTAATTGGTTAACGCTTGCCCACGGGCGACGGAATATCCAACTACAGCCAACTGTCACAGAGGGCCAGGCGAGGAAGCTGCCTGGTGCCAGCTTATACGGATCTTTCACTGATGTACCAGAATCAGACCGCATTGCCAGCGGAATTTTACGCTCGATCCAGAGGGATCGAAGCATCCATGGCGACGAGATGTGCCTTGACACTCTCCACAGAGCCGCGACAGAGGTGAGCCGGCTCATCGCAGCATTGGAGTCTCCCCGCGATCAGCTATGGCTTGCAAAGCAGCTCAAAGCATGGGCCTTCGATGTGGTAGAGTCCAGGTTTTTGGAATTGGTCCGGCAAGAGAGACCGTGTGCGTTGGTAATCCTCTCGCACTACTTAGCCGAGTTCAGCCTGCTGCCTCGTACATGGGTGTATGATGGACTTGTCAGCCACGACATGGAGATTATAGCCGACAAGCTGGGCCCGGAGTGGGAAGATTGCATAGTATTGCCAAAGATGGTTTTACATGCTGAAGGTCGTGAGGCGTTGACCGAGCTGTTGCTGAGCTGTCTATAATGTTTCGCGTGTTGTATTAATGCTTGATGAGTAATAAGTCTATGGAAATAAACGAAAAGGAAAGACAAGAGAAAAACAAAAGAAAAAGCCTTAGGCGCTTCCCCTCCCAGCGCATCCCCCTTGACTTGATACTTTAAAAAGTCTATCATGAGCATATGCAGTCTCGCACCCTGTCGTTTTCACCGTTTTGTCTCCAGTTGCCTCTTACATTTCCTCTCCCTCCAGCGAGTTCATATCCTTGGGGGCCCGGATGTATTCTGACGGGTGAAGATAAAGCAGAGCTGCCATGACACCAACCATCAACAGAGAGTCACAGATGTAGATATAAGCTTCGCTAGTCATCATGGGCGAGTCGTGATCTCCTGTGAACTCGACGAAGCGGAAAACGGACCGGATGAAGATCAAGGCGCTGGTCAAGAACAGGACGTGCATCACTCCTCTCCATCCTCCTTTGCTGCTGCACGCATCTAGCCGAAAGGTTGTCGGTGTTGGGTTCGCGTCGAGTCGTCGATAGAAGAGGGCGGCGGAAACAACGAACAGGCCGAAGAAGATGAGCTGGATGGCCAAGCCGACCAGGATGATGGCCTTGCCCAAGCTAAAGTTGCTCGACAACATGCCCGAACCGGCAATCTGGATAATAAAGGACAAGATGTCTCCGCCGACAAAGATCTTTGTCAGCCAAGTTGGCCGCACCGGAAGGTAGGTCTCTGCGTGGACGAGGACCACCAGTCGGCCTAAGACCATGTATATAGACGCTGCCAAGAGAGCGGGTGCGACGAGGATGGCGAGAGTCTGAATGATGAAGAACGTGAGGTTTTCGAGGTCTCTGCTGCCTAGATAGCGTGTTACATAGCCGACAATCTCGACTGTTGAAATGTTTAGCGGAAGAAGCGAGTGCAGAGGGAGGGGACATACGGGCACCACCAATGACAAGGGGAATAAAGTACCAGGTTCTTCGAGTAAAAAGAAGAACCGCATGCCAAAGAGTAGCAACGGTGAAGAGAAGGAGAAAAATGATGGCAGCCGCAGGGCTAGGGTCGTAAGTCCAGGGGTTGTTGGCCATTGTGAAGAGGTTCAGGGAGGATTGCGCTGCAAAGGGAGAGTTAGGGACGAAAGGCCAAGAAAAGATGGATGAGAATGGAATAGAAAACTAAAAGAAAACCAATCGAACTATCTGCCTTAAGTATGCAAGCCAGTAGGGCAACGGGGGGATATTATATTCATGGTAGAATCGGCGCGACAGGCTCTGACTCGCACCTCGCACTCCGCTTATCGCACTTCGCATCTCGCATTTCGCACAGGTGGGTCACAACACCACTTATACTGTTAGCCTAGCCTCGGAGGGATCACGCAAGTGGATCTCGGGCAAAAGCGAGGGCGATCAATGAAGCGCCAACCCTAGAGGGGATGGGTGGAATGCAGAAGTTTCACCTATGGTGGATATCTGTATTACCCGTGGCTATTAATAGGGAGTTTTCGGTTATGAAGATACGAAATGGAAAAGAGGAGACGTTTTAGAAAGATACCGCTCTGGAATTGCCAAAGGCCGCAAGAGACCAAGTTCCGGATTTTAAGTTCACTCTAAGAACCAACGCCCACTTAGCTCTCATCAATACACGTTAAAGACTTAATCGACGCTCATAGAATGTTGAGCTTGGTACTGAGCTCAATGCCTCAGCCATCACCACCCGCCATGAGACACCCAAGCCCGACTCCATCAATAGCCATTGAGTCCGCACACGCCAAGCGCCATGCTGTCCGGCTACGAGGCAAGCGACACATGGATAAAAGCAACAAAGGGATTAATACAAGAAGAAAAAACATTGGTCGAGATGGAATACCAACAGAGAGAAGGCACACTCCTCGGAAGGGCATTGTGACTGAATCACATTTGCGCGAGGAGAAAGCAATACCGTTGCCTAAACCCCCGGATATCGACAGCTTGAAATACATCGCCAATTCAGACTGGCTTTTCTGCAAGGGTTTCGACTATAGCGCTCCCAGCTTTCTTTGCTTTTCGCCAGAACAGTTAACGTTTATGGCCCATGGTCTCCGTATCATCAGTCATGCCCAAACGGGGGCAGTCCTCGTGAACATCTGTAGCGACACCACGAGGTTCGTTATCATCGACTTAGCCGTCCGGAACTCGTTCAATTATCCGTACCTGATTGATCAGCTGTTGGCAACATCCGCCGATCATCTAGCCATCTTGAATCCAGACCAGGCTCTCGATTACCAACGCTTAGCCCTGGAGTTCCAAACTCGCGCTTTGACTACCCTTAACCGCGAGGCGCAAGGGATGACGCAAGAGTTAGCCAAGAAGGATCTGATTCCCCGAATCCTCCATTCTTTCCTCTTGAGCCTCCATGTTCTTTACCTCACGTTTACGAGGGACCGCGATACCTACGACTTGTTCATTCAGAAGTTTGTTAAGGCCGTCCATCTGTCCCGAGGACTTAGAAGTCTCGCTGGCCTGAACTACAGCCTTGCTGTTGATTCTCCCCTCGGTCCTCTTTTGGCTATGGTCCATGACGCTGGCGTCTCTGAACCCACCGGGACAGAGTGCACAAGGCTTGTCGAGTTCATTGACTCCTCCGACGCTGGCTCCACGACAACTTCCAGCTGCAGAGATGCCGCTCGGAAGCTCCAGTGGGCATTTGACATGCACGCTACCTTGACGGGGGAGCAGCGTGCCCTAACAGCAGTGATGTACCCGGCTCTGCTGACCGAGGAATACATAGCTGCTCTACAGAAGTGCCGCCTAGAAGCCCTCGTGACCCTGGCACATTATGGCATCCTACTTCACCTGTGTCGTCACGTTTGGGTCTTTGGTGATGCTGGGGAGTTTCTGATTGGACTTATTGCTCGGCGCCTAGGGCCTTCGTGGCATGAGGCACTGAAATGGCCTTTGGAGGTTGTGGCGTCGGAAGCATGTCAAAGTTGACGATGGATTGATAGGTATACCGCCTGAAATGATTTGATGAGGGTGTTATTTGAGTTGACAGACCCTATAACTAGCTGATTGTCCACATTGCGCGCCTCACAGGTTATATGAGCGTAGAGAACTTAAATAGCAACAAAGTATCAGGCGTTAACATAACCTCAAGAGTCCTGTGAATCTTGATGAGGAGATCCCGGAGTCGTTCCACATAAGATATGTCGCTACAAGTTTGACATGGATAGAAATTAAACAACACCATCGGTCCAGTCGTTCTGCCTCGCTCTCAACACTAGCCTTTGGGCGCTCGGCGTGCTGTACTCAACCCTGTTATCACATCAGCCTTTATCTCGCACAGCGGGTATTTGTCAGATGGGAATACATTTTTTGTCCGGGCAAGTCAGCATCTCGACCCGCGAGACTCAAGATTTGCGAAAGTAATGCGCGGAACTGATCCTGCGATCCCTCGATGTGCCGCAAAACGGCAAAATACAACTCTCGTGTTGTGAGTGCATAGTCGGGTTTCACAGCCGATTCTTCCATTGCAATACCAGGTAATGCAAAGACCTTGTCCCTGAGTTCCGTGCATTGCCAGCCTCGGAATATCTCGATCAGGGTCTGGAGGCTTGGAACAGGGGTATCGGGGTGTCTCCAATGTGCCCGCTGCCATAACATGACGAGAGTGGAGCTCTGCATGACCATCAGGTGATACTCATGGTACGCCAACCAGTTCGACTCTTCAATTGTCTTGAGTCTAAGATAGAGCTTCTCTATATCGCCCACGAAAAGTTGAGTAAGCCGCACCAAACGGTGATATCGTTAGCATGGAGGAGTCCTTGAATAATCCACATGCGACTCCAGTAACGTCGATCGCATAGAGGGTGAAGGGCTCTGCCTTCCTGCCTTGACCACAGGGGGCGGTATCCTGGACCTCTTGGACGAATGGACTTGAAAGTTAGCGCTGCCACAAACCGCATCGCGATATTGCTACTCTCGTCCTCTTGTCTGAGCCACACATACACTTTAGCAGCGCTTGTGTAGATCTGCCGCATAAGCCCCACTTCATGGTCGCGCTCATGGATATTGGCCTGATCGATGCAGATCGCGTCGATCCACAACAAGGTTGGCTCAGTGATAACCGAGCGTAGTAGGCGTAAAAAGGACCAAAGACTTTCTCCGATTGCGAGCTCGCCTTTGTCCAAGATCATCATCTTCCGGTCGGCTCTCCCATCACCCCACGTCTATGAAAGCGCGGTATACACAGGCCGCGTTGATAGCTCGACGCAGATGAAAGATCTCGTGATATTTGAGTTCGTAGTCGGAGGATTCAGTTGGAATCAGCGGATCTGTTCAAACTTACGATAGGGTGATGAAGGTTCTCCTCTCGGTACGCTCAGGCTCAGAATTAAAGCCTTCTTTCTGGTGTTCCCGAAAAACTCTATCATTGTTTTCACCATTCTAACCCTGTTCTAGGCTCCAGGCCGTCCTCTAAAATTCATGAGAATTCAGGAACTTACTTCCACGTTCTTCTTTTCAGATCTTTTTGGCGCTACCAGCACTTGAGCTGGATAAACAACGATCTCGTCATCGCCGTCACCATAATCTCCTCCCTTCTTCACAACCAGGGGAAACAACACGATTCTCACTGTTGACTTTTGAGCTTCATACTCCTCATTGGTCAAGTCCGAACTATCACCGCGCTCATTCATCAAAGCAGCGTTGAAAAAGACCAAGCTTGCAAGGTCACCATTCGTATCATACTCGGGCTGCAAAGGTGGAAGCATCATATATTCTGCCTTTTGACTGCGCATCTCGACTGAAACCTCGACTGCTTCTTTCGTCACCTGCGACAGACTAGAAACAAGCTGACTTTCCAGATTTGAAGGTGGTGGGAGAATGGCGCATAAGGTCTCGAAGATAGTTTCGGATACGGCTCTAGCATCATGGTCACGCTGGTTCTGGACACTGTCACGATTAGACAACAGTGTCAGAGTTGTGGCGCGCCATCTCCGTATTGCCGAGGGGGGTCCGACCAACTGCTTTTCGAGACTCTTGAGCTTCTGTCTTGTTTCTCGATCCAGGCCGAACAAGTAGCGAGTAAAGACGAACTCCCAGAGCATACTCATGGCTACAGATGTAAACACATCACGACGACGTACTCGATCGCAGAGATACGTATCCACATCTGACCCATCGAGTATGACGTTGTCCAGCCTGTCAATGATCTTTTCGTCGCGAATTTCTGATGTCAAGCGAGCAGCGCGCATATCCGAAAACTTTGAAAAGCGTAGGATTCACTGTCGAAGATTTGAAAACAGTTCTTGACATCGATGGTCAAAGTAGTCCTCATCTCGGATGTTGAGAAAGTCCTCATGCTTGGGGGGTGCTAGGATCTGGCGCTGTAGGTCTTGGAAGCTCAGCTCATTTCTCTCAGCTAGCATGCTGACAATAGCTTCGTGGCCATTCTTGGCGGCTGACGATAGAGGCGTTCGTCCGCGGTTGTCTTTCAAACTTGTATTAACCTTGTTTGTATCAAGAAGCAGCTGAACAACCTTTTCAAACCCTCCCTCTGCCGCCAGTATTAGTGGAGTTCGTCCATCCTTATCAACTGCGTCAGGGTCGGCCTTGTCAGTACTCAACAACAGCTTCACAATTTTGTCATTGCCGTTTTCCGCGGCGAGAGATATGGCCGTTCTTCTGCACTTGTCTCTAGCCTCCGGATCGACCTTGCCGGTATCGAGAAGAAGCTTAACAACATCGTGATGCTGGTTGTTTGCTGCCCACATAAGCGGTGTTCGTCCGCTTTCGTCTTCAATCTCACTCTCTTCTGCGGCATCCGGAACAATCTTTCCTGTTTGAAGTAGCAGTTGAACAACCCCTACATGCCCGTTCTTCACGGCCCACAGCAAAGACGCTTCTCCAGTCTCAGCACTAGCGCTCAAGTCAACCGCGTTAGTATCAAGAAGCATCCTTACTACTGCCTCGTGACCACCCTCTGCGGCGAGTAAGAGTGGTGTTCGCCTTGTTCGTCTGGTCTCGTCGGGCTTTTCCTTGGCATTTGGATCAACCTTTTTCGTGTCAAGAAGAAGCTTAACAATTGTTTCGTGTCCTCTGCTGGCTGCCCATAGCAGTGGAGTCCACCCCTTCTCGTCTCTCGCGTCTGGATCAACAACCTCGATTCCAAGAAGCAGATTAACAAGAGCCTCGTAGCCATGACTTGATGCCCAAGAGAGCGGAGTTCGACCAGCCTCACTCTTTATGTTCGGGTTAACTTTCTCAAGCATAAGTTTAATCGTTAAGTCGTATCCATCCTCTGACGCCCATCTCAGTGGCAACCAACCGCCCTCAACTCCAAGAAGAGCTTCGGTTATCGCTGCAATGTATGCCCCAGTGTTAGTACCAATTCTGGAGTTCGACGCTGGGTTCGAGTTGTCCACATTTTTCAAAGCCTTGTCAAAGTTTCTCAACGATCTCCGGACATACTTTTCAGCTTCGGCATGTCTTTCAAGATCATGCAATACGAATCCAATATTCGCCAGTATTGCAATAATGTACAGTTTATCTGTCATTGAGCCCTTCTGCATTTCTTTGACCATGAGTTCCTCGTACTTTATTTCTTGATCGCCAAGAGACTCATTTGGTTGCATCTCCCAGTCCCAGACAAGGACAAAGCTGTGTGAGAACCTCGTGACCGACTGTAATATTTCCGACCACTCGATGCCCTTGCCATTGCGAGAAATAGAGTCTGTGGGAGGCACCGAAATCATGACAACGGCCCAGTAAGGATGACATAGTCTGATGATCGTGGGCCTTGACGCTCCCTGAAGAAGGCACACAATGTCCCCTGCTTGGACGCTCTTTGCCGAGGCCTGGACTGCCCAAGACGACATTCTGCCAGCCTCAACATATGCATTCTTCCAGGTAATTGTCACTTCCTGGCTATCCTCCCAAGCCGGATCTCTTTGAACCGAGGAGACTTCGCCCAGAACTAGGCCCTTTCCATGAATAACAGCCAGTTCCCTGTCGCTCCAAGTCTTCACAGATACCGATTGTGAAAGTACATATTCAACCAGTCTATGAAATACTTGACTCCATGGAATCGTGTAGTCAACATATAGCCCCGCTCCACTGGGATCATCGGAGCTCATACCAAGCAAAGCGTAGACTTTATCGTGGCGTTCGGTAGCCTTTCGGGTATGGTACATCTCAGCTAACTCGCTCAGAGGACGTATGTCGAGTGAAAATTTACTGGATTGTGTTGTGACGTGCCGAGGGCGGAAGATGGCTCCCCGTATGAGATAGGTGACAGATCGAACCAGGGGCTGCAAACTCGGGTAAGTTTTATAGGAGAGCTCCATTGCATTTAAGCCCGAGCAGAATGCATATCCATCAATCTCAGTAGAGCCACACTTGATGAGTACATATCGGGCTGCGGCAACCTCTTGTAGGACCTGGATGGACTTGATGAATACCTTTCCTGATGCCGGGTTGGAGTTGGTGGCTTACCCAAATGCGCTGAAACCATGGTCTTTGGAGAAGCTGGAAAATACCTTTTTGATCTTTCCCCTCTGTCGAATTTCGGAGTGCTGCTTCGCGGATGTTATCCAATGCCTGATCGCTGGTAGTTGACGCCGACCCGAGCCAAACAACAACGCAGCTGGCTTTAGCATAGATCTCGGCCATTGACTGGACCTGCTGTCCTTTCTCTAACGTGTCTCCTTGATTGATGCAAATTGCATCAATCCATATGATACGCTCTAGAGAGCCATGTCGAAGATGCACCAGCGCTGCATGAAGATTTGTTCCCACGAGGAAGTTAAGGTCATTCACAACGATAGAATGAGGCTTCTCTGCAGACCCCCAGACGTATGACAAGGCCTCGTATGGGTAGGTACTCTCCGAGTCAGACAGAGCAAAACTGAATAGCTCGCATTGGACTGGGGAGTTCTTGTCCGGGTGCGGGGTTATCCGAAGAAGGCGGATACTACCCTCTGGTAATGGTGAGTACAAATACGGGGCCATGGCCTATCGGGAGCTCAGGTGAGAGAGATGATGTTTCCCGGCTTATACTTGCTGGGTGTTCGGCGATAATAGCTCAAGATTTGAGGCAGGTGTTTTAGAACAATTGGGCAGTGAGGGGTGATGCCTAATGAAAGCCTGATACATAGCTGAGCTGAACTCCAAATTTCGACATTGCGTAAGCCACGTGTCAAATACCGTTAGCTTAAATACAGTTATCTCATAAACATCTTAAGCAGAGACCACAAGAATCCAGGCCTACAGTCGCGGGGCGCGGAATCATCACGCACCGAATGAATCCCGCTTCAGGTAATTTGTAGTCAACGGGATTGAGAGCCGTGGTGATGACCTGGACAATAAGCTGCCCTTTGGCGAGAGAAGATTCGGTCAGCTTTGCAACATCGTTGACTCAGATGCTGTCTTCCACCTTGCCCTGGATAGCTGAGTACTGCCAGGCTTGCATAGTGTCAGCCATGCGAATAGATGGATTAGATGAACTAAGCGGATACAAGGGGCAATCTGGGAATGATATCAGCAATTATTCTATGAATAAAGGCGGCGTTCGCTTAATAATCTACATGCGACTGTTCAGAGGTTTTAAGCTACGGAGCGGAGTTCCCTACAAGTGTCCAATCTTGGCATGAAATTGGGCTATGGAGCGGACTTCGCAATCGTAATTATAAGAGGGTGATAATTGGAAGGTTTGTGAGATGGGAAAACTCCTTGTCAAAGCTAAAATTGTTTTAACGTTATCTGATAAGGCGTTAGATGTGTCTCTGAACCACGCTCCTGAGAACTGACCGCATCGCGTTGACAAGCTATCCTTTCTACACAATGTTATACTCTTCACCTACAATTCGTGTCCAGGCCTCTACATGATATTTGAGCTCGAGCACCTCTAACTTCATCCTCATCTATTCGTTCTCAAGACTCGCAATAGTATTTTTACCTGAATTTCTAAATAAGAAAACTTTAAATATTATAAATATTATACTCTATAATTGTAATTTATATAAGCTGAATTAATTGTAAATCCTGTCCTATAAAGTAATGACATTGCATTGGAAATCAGCTTAAGCACCTACTGATGGCGCCTTAGGAATTCGTGGCATTTATTAACGAGGCGGGGACGCGGCACCACAGTTCGCCGAGAGTCGCCAGAGCTTGAGAGTTAGCCATCTTGGACATCAGTCAAAGTAAATCACAGTCGCAAATGGAAACAGAGTAGCGAGCGCTGAGATAAAGGCGGAGTGCGCAATGGATCTCGACATGGTTTGCAAGTGGATGTGACGTGCATCACTGACAAATACAAATGGCCACCGGATGCAAAATGCTTCCGTCGACGGATGCATGTCGGGCAATTTACATCCGCTTAACAATAAGAGGCGGACTTACTTAGTAATTAGTCGAGACAAATCTAGCAATGCATTTCAAATCACCGCAATGGTGCCATGAAAATGTGTATCAATCATGTCACCAAACTCTGATAATACCTCGTGCGCCGCGGCTCGAATTTCACTCTTCTTCTACATCATTTCAACTCGCATCTTCACCCAATACGAACATCCAAGCTCCATACCAAAATGGCCTCCTTCCAAAACGTCGCTCTTCTCGGCGTAAGTGAACTCACCTTTATTGTGAACTGCGAACACGTGCTAATGATTTCTAAAGAAAGGCATGCTGGGGACCGCAATTCTTGAGCAGCTGGTCAAGGGCGGCTACGCCGTCACCCTACTCAGTCGTGATCCTTCCAACATTAAGGGCGTTCCCTCCGATGTCAAAGTAGTCCAAGTCGATTACTCCTCCAAGGAGAGCCTCGTTCAAGCCCTCAAAGGGCAGGATGTCGCAATTGCTACTCTCGGAGGAGCTGCATTGGCTGGGCAGAAGCTTATCATTGACGCCAGCATCGAAGCTGGGGTCAAGCGCTACATCCCATCAGACTTTGGCTCGTTCACCACAGACCCCAAGGCACGAGACCTGCCGGCGATCCAAGTAATGGCAGAGATCCAGGACTATCTGCGCCAAAAGGCTGATTCCGGTGCTCTTGAACACACAATTTTCTCAACCGGTGCCTTCCTGGAATACGTTCTTGAATCTCCTTTGGTAGCCGACCTGAAGAACCATTCGATGGAGCTTTACGACAAGGGAGTGCATAGGTTCAGCTCAACCTCTGTTTCTACCATCGGAAAGGCCATTGCCAACGCCCTGAAGATCCCTGACGCGACAAAAAACCGAAACCTTCTCATCCACGAAGCCGTTTTCACTCAGGCCAAGATTTTAGAGTTGGCAAAGAAGCATAGCCCGCCAGAGACGCAATGGACAGTGACCCAGGTTGATGCCCAGGAAGCGCTGGATCGGGGCATAGAACTGATCAATAGTGATCCTACCAACCCCCATGCTGCTTTCCCCTGGCTGAAAGCTGCAGTTTTGAGTGGTAAGTATCGAGCGGCGTACGACAAAGTTGACAACGAGCTTCTTGGTATCCGTCTCCTCACAGATGAAGAGATTGAAGAAAAGATTTCCGCTGCTGTTTAACATGATAGGGGGCTAATCAGAACGTTTGGCATGCAATATAACGACCGTCAAGTCTGGGACGAAGATGTTCTGAACAGGAGGGGAAATTGCCATCTCTAACTAAAGATCATTTAATGTCAACTAGAAGTTCTACTCTTAACCTATAGCTCTATCAACTGGATAGTTCAGTCGATGTACCAATCAGTCATTTAATTGATCAACGTCACTGGCTGTGTTAGGTCCCCTGCTCTACACCAAGACCGCATCTGCCCGTTGCAGCTTGGAAGGAATATAGAGGTGATCATAAATGGGGTACAGCATCTAGCTAAGACGAATGCCAAATGCCTTGACGACAACATGCCCTCCGCTCTTCTTGGTCGCAAAGTTAAAGATACCATGTCGAGTACCAGTGAACCAAGCCCCTCCCTGCTTCGTAACATGTTCCTGTCCAAACTTCACAAAGGTCTTTCCATCTGTGCTATACAATAATGATGAATGATTTGGAGAAGCTGTTGAGATTTGACAGCGCAGCCAGATCTTGCCGCCAGACATAGGCTTGCTTGTGATGATCGTTCCTTTCGAGGCAGTGACGAAGTTGCTTTCAGGGTCCATTGCTGCATTGTCAACCATCTGAATGGTTGTTGAGTCACCGTCTTTAGCGATACCGATCCAGCCTGCATCATATCTTAGCGACACCAATCCAGCGCGGTCCCCGTCTACCATGGAGAAGTAGTCAAGATCAATGATGACGATGGACTGCGGGCCAAGGATATGGTGTATAAGTGTATTTTGGGCGGAGAACAAGTCATTAGTGATAGCAGCTGTATGCAACACCAGCCCATCAGGTCCAGTAGTCCATTTGTCGTTATTTGGATCATGGTTCCACTCAAACCTAGGCAGGAGCTTAGATTCCTTAAACTAAAACGTCCTTTCAACAGGCTCAACATTGTGCCTCGGTAATGGATAATTGTAAGAACTCTTCCAATCACCGTTACTGTCCAGCTCAACGTTAGGCCAGCCCTCCTCATCCCACTTCAGGGGTGCGAGGACAGGGAACTTTCCGCTTGTTCCGAGCTCCACGAAAGCCACGTGCCAGTAATCCCCTTCAGGTGTCTCTACAAAGGCACCTTGATGAGGAGATCCGCTACCCTCAATATGTTTTCCGTTATTCTTGAGTACGCGATGCCACGAGTCACAGGGCCCCCAAACATCACAGCTGGATTTGACAATGATTTGACCTCTGCCAACTCCAGGGTTCGTCAGCCAAAGGAAGTAAGTACCGTTGATCTTATAGAACCGAGAGCCTTCGATGTAGGCAAGCTCTTTGTTGGACTTGAAGACAGACTTTTGCTTTTCAACTTGCAAGTTTTCATCGAGTTTTGAGATCCACGTCTGAGACTCAGCACCATTGGGCGTCCACTGCCCAGATGAGACGTAGATGGCATCGTCATCATCGATGAGAAGACCAGCGTCGTACAAGCAATAATCTGAAATAGTCGACGCTTTCGTCCACGGCCCCTCAATCTTCGGCGCCGTGTAAACGTAGGTCTTTCCATTCTTCTGAATACATCCCAACCAATAGAACTTCTTCTGCGTCTTGTGGTATCGAAGCGAAGAAGCGTACACTCCACCGTTGTATGCCCTTCCTTTTGTCAAGTTGAATTTTGGGTCGTTGAAATCGAGGGATGGGAGAGAATGAGCGAGGTACTCCCAATTGACTAGGTCATCGGAGCGCAAAATAGGGGCGCCGGGGGAGTAGTGGAAGGTTGAGGCGGAGTAGTAGTATGTATTGTAAACCCGGATCAAGTCGATGTCTGGCAAGTCTTGGAGGATAGGAGGCTGATTGAAGGTCTCAGCAGCGACCGGAAGCTAAAAGACCGCAGCTGCGGCCCATGAGCAGGGAAGGGATCATCATCTGGAAGAAAGAGATAAAGGAAGCGAAGAGTTGGTGTTGGTGGGGATCCAACTCCATAACCCTAAAACATAAAACCACGAGCCACCGTGAAACATTTTCTCATACTTGAACTCTCGGTATGTTGTCAATATGGTCTGATATAAGATATTAGCCGGCGACCAGGGTCGGCATGCTGGACCTGGGGTTAAAGTTGGTGGGGTAAAGAAGCGCATCAATGAGCAATCTCAGAATGTGTGATAATTGTCAATGCCCGAGCCAATATTTGTCTACCTCGTTGAAAGTTGCCGTGCGATGGATGTATACACCATATCATCATGCACCTTTGTCTGAATAAAAGGAGGGAAGCGGAGTTGGTGGCCAAAAAGCGCACGAACTATTCCATCGACATGGTAAATAACGTTGTTCGTAAACTCAAGCGCACGAATACCTAAGAGTCTCATATAGAGGAATTGTAAAGGCTAAACGGTTATGATCACACCCTAGACAAGCTAGGGGATGAAAGAAAACTCAGGACTTCCATCTCAAACGACAAAAGAGCTTAGATAACTGGGTATATGTTTAGCTAGCACTCAGTATACCTTTTACTGGGTTTATTTTGATAGCTTGTAGTAAGGTCTGATATTTTCTTGCTCCCTGAGGACAAGCTGTAGAGCACCGTGATACCAACTACGGTTTGTAAAGGCCCGGCCTCTCATCATCATCAGAATGAACGAGGTGGTGTCTTACTAGGATCGCATTGCCTTCATGCCTTTTCTTTACTGGGGTGCGGTATTTCATGCTTCTATGACGGTGGGCTGCCCGGTGGGATGTCCGGGGCTGTTCTGATGTGCAGGGACAGTGTCCATATAACTGTCATTATGGCCTTCTTCTCAGGCTCTTTTAAATATATTCGGTCGGACGTCACTTTGAATGGCAATAGACTTTAACAACGGTCGGAAGGCAGCTGATAGAATAGACTTCGTCGTGAATAATAGAATGCGAAATGAAATACTATTTTGTACTACTAATGGCTCAGGAGAGTGATCTGGATTATTTGGCTTCAAGAATAACCCGCCTGTAGGTAGCAAGAGGCTTTTCGGTCGCATCGCGGAGAGCAAGAATAATGTGCATTGTCTAAAATGAAGTCAGTATATGTTTGGTTCATTATGAGGATTTACTCACATCGTTCAGACTTTTAGCAGTGTCCAGCTTGACGATGCTGCCATCATCCTTGATGCTTGTGATGTTGACGTTTGGGCTCTTGGGCGTCAAGACGGGCTTCATTTTTAGCGAAGGGTCAAAGCCTTCCAAGCCTCGTCCGTAAGCACCACCAGGCTCGCGGTAGTGGAACCAATCATACTTGAGCTCATCACCATCGGGATCCCAGCTGTTTGATGCATCGAGAATAATGCTGCTGCCAGGCTTGTACTTGAGCTTCAACGGGGCAGTACCGCAAGAGCCGTTGACGATAGCAACAGGTTGATGGTTGTTCTCGGAGTACTTGGAGTTGACAGTCCACTTCATACGAGCAGCAAAGTCGAACTGATAATCCTGGCGCCATCGCCAGATAGTTGCAAACTTGCTTGTGAATGCCTTTCCGTTCGCGCCGACGACGTAGTCACTCGTATCAGCGTAAACGCGCGACTGATTCGTGTGGTCAAGGAGAGTATATCGACCGCCCCAGCTTCCCCACTCAGGATGGTTCACGTCACCCAAGCCATTCTGGACGAGAGGTAGAAAAGCGGGTGTATCTCCCTCCATGATAAAAGACCAGTTGAGGTAGTGAGATCCCAGAGGACCAAGTCGGATGTTCTTCTCCAGCCAGTCGTTAGAAACGATGCTGGAATCTGGGCCGCCGTGGTCAAAGTTGCGGTACTCTTCGCCTGATATGCCGTTCCATGCTGCAACAGTATATTCACTGAACCCGTGCAGAGAGACAACGTAAAAGAGTTGAGGATAACGAAGGCGAATCCAGATGCCAGTGTCATCTTGATCAGAAATGGCGTAAACCCGAAGCTTTTCCACGAAAGCATCAACAGCATCCTGGCTTCTGGTCCGAGACACGTGCTGAAGAGCCTCAGCCAAAATCGCAGATCCGCCCCAAACAGAGACTGTGAGAGGATCATCCACACTCGCCTTGTCGGCAGCTTTGACAAGCGCCTTCGCACCGTCGCTCAGACTCATATTGAGTGATTTTCGTCCATAAACGGGATGACCTTTGTGAACCCTGTCAAGAAGATACTTGTACGAAGGATAAGGCGCGTGAGATGGAACATTGGCGTTGAGGTTATTCACAACCTTCTTGTAGCCGTCCAAAACACCCACGACAGACTCGTAGTCGATTTTATCAGGCATCCACGTCGAAGTCGTCACAGAAATGCCCTGGATATCAATCTCATTGGCGTAAGTCAACAGCCGGACCAGACTCATCTGATCATCAGGCTCATTGCTGATATCCGTGAGCACAAACAATCTACGTCTGTGCTCCGTGCGCGAAGTCGAGCATTGCTTCTCGTGACTTGGTGCAGCTTGGGCGAAGGGGAGCGCAGTAAAGAGGGCAAAAGCGCCGACGAGTTGAGAAAACATGTTGGGCATGGTGTAGTTCAGCGCTGCTGAAGCGGTCAAGTCCATTGTGAGGAAATTCTTGTCTTTATAGACTGCCGATCAGGAACTGGTGATAAATCATGGCATTTGGAGCTTGGGTGCTTAGAGTTGCTGAATGGGGTAACTTCGTTAAGATTGTGCGCTAGGGACTTGCTTGATTCTTCAAGTTTAAGCACCAACCCCGGACTAAACGTCATGAACAGGGTTTGACTCCACATTCGATGGAGTGGTTAAGGAACCACTGATTCGGGAATGTAGAGGCAATTTTGAGAAAAGATGCGGGGGAGAAAAGTGTTGACCGGTAGATGAAGACATGAAGGTGTTCAAAACTGCCTATTCTGGTAGGTATTCACCGATTGACCCCCCTAGTATCTCGTGTTATGCTGACATGTCGGTACTGACGCTGAAGATTAGCGGAATAGAAACATAGTTCTTTGTGTTTTCTATCGGGTTATCCGCCAGGCCGAGACTATTTCCTCATCGGGATGTGTTCCGAGGCTACGGAGTACTTGAATGCCTCAATCAAGGATCCCCGGTTTATCGTGGTCGTCGTGATATAAACGGCCCGATAGAACATGGTCATGCATGAATGACGGAGAAATCTGGGGAATTTCTCCACATTCGGCAAACCTTAGCCAAGACAAGCTTTACTTTGGCATCTTCCCCGACTGGCCATCATTATTGTTGACGTTGACATATGCTCGTGCACTAACGACTCTATCATAGTTATTATGCTGAACTGATAGTCCTAGCCCGAATAAACATTCATGGAGTACCATAAACTATTGTACTAAGTAGCATGAGCACCAGCTCAGAAAATAAAGCTACATCCACAGTTGCTCTGCGACAGATGATCTATAACAAAGTTCTCTCGGCTGATTTAAACTCTTAGCTACAGGTCTCAGCGGCAAATATCACGCCAGACTCTTATTTAAAGAAGGTTTAGGCTGACCTATGATTCTAGCTAAATGTCCTAATTTTAAATAAGCCTTAGGGAGAAGTATAACATTAGGCTTTAATTGTAAAAATAATTAACAAATATTGTGTCCTTATCATGAGTTGACATCCTCAAGTTTACGCTCACATTCAGTAATCAGCTGCATAGTTCCAATAGACATAGCCTTGGGCTGATATAGAAATCTGCTAGCCAAGCCAAGCTTTACTTTGGCACTCTCGCCAGAAGGTACAGATTGTTGTTGACATGTATGCCGCCGAGCCTGTGTGATAAGGTTGAGAGTTTGAAAGAGACTTCAGCCCCAAGGCCCAAAGGTCAATAACACCATTGCGGAGCCTGGAACTGAGGGACTACATGCAATGACAGCCTTGTACTCAGTTTCCTTGTGAGACCTGGTTGGTAATACAGGTCTCAACGATAATGAACCCTGGCACCCTTTAGCTTTAGAGCTCTTGTGGAGGAGCTCATGCGCCTCATCTCATGAATGCAAAACATGAACAAAGAGACTGGCTTAAAGGAAAAGATCCATTTCATATCACCATCTTCACCATTCAGCAATTATCGCTCTGCTGCTCAACTGGTCAGTAGTCTTTGTTATGAGTTGTGACAGAGCCTGCATTATATGCAGCTGCGACAAAGAATATTTAACTCCAACAAGAACTGCATATCGCAGCATGATTCTTAGTCCTCTTCATTCAATTAGCCAGCACTAATTCTTTATCGCTTCACCAACTTCTGATAGTGACGGAATTTCTGCTGGAGTTCCGTCACAAAGGGCTTTTTATGGGTTTGTGAGAAATGATCAGTCACTCCTCTTGAAAGACTCTGAATTCTTTCACTGTTATCGCCAGTGTCATTGAAGTAATAAATTTACCACTATAAGATGTGCACTTTTCTATCAGTCGTATTGATGTTTATCCTCTTATCCCTTCATTGTGATTCATCATTGCGATATCGACTCAAATTCCTTCTATAAACACAACTCTCTCTACCTGTCACCGATACCAAACTCTCAAGCGCCCGGGCTTCCTAGCCCCTCGTCTAGCGGAAACGGTCGTGTCGCACACGTCTACATGGATGAATCGAACTTCAGAATCAGTGGTGAAACTGCAAACAAGAAGCGCCATCGCGTCCCTCGCAACGAGCGCCTAATCTGGCGTTACGATATCCGCATGCTAAAGGGAATCATTCGGAAGAACTCCGGCATCACAGTTAACGAAAGAGTCTTCTTCAATGTCTACGGATCTAATTTTCAAAACCTCGGGCCTCTCTATCGAGACCTTAAACTTTACACGTCAGAGGTTTTCAACTTGCCTCGAAACAAGCAGAATCAAGAGAAGCAGGTTGATACCAGCCTGGTCAAGGACATGACAGATACCGTTACCAAGTATTCGGAAAAGAAAACGCCTGCTGTGTTTGCTGTTATTTCTGGTGACAGTGACATGATTCCAGCAGTGAAACATGCTGCTTCTCATGGCTATGTCGTTCATGTATGGTCTTGGGAAAAGTCCACTTCTCGTGACTACAGACGCCTTCAGCGAAATTCGAAACGGAGAGGTCTTATCACGCTCGCATACTTTGACGAGTTCCTGGCCTCTCTGACGTTGAGGAACACCAGAATTTTCTTAAAGGGCACCTTTATCCCTCGTGATGGTATCGTGTTTGTTGACCCACAAGACCATAAAATTGACGTTGCCAAACGAGCTGGGAAGCTGAATGCCGGCAATGTCATCTTCACCAGGAGATTGGATGAGGAATATCATTTGCGCACCGACATTGTTCTAGTCCCAAAGAGGGATCCTCCGCTTCAAGATAAGGTTCTTCGGTTCGTGCTGCAAAGTCTCGACGAAGACGGGCGGCAGGCTATAAGCTTCGCTGAGTATTTTTACAGCGTCAAGCTGCTCGGGCTAGACGACCCCTAGGAATCACTTGTGTAAAAGTGTTTTTCTTTAAGCATTGGTTAGCTGAGATGATAAATTTCAGGTGTTTGAAGCGCTAGGATGAATTGCTTGTGGATGGTAAAAGGGTGTGGTTTAGAAGGTTGCTTGGCGCTCTAGTTCTGGGTCAAGGTCTGGTTTGATTATCGAATTGCTTGCGTTCTATTTTTTGCGGGTGATTAGGTTTATTACTACTCTGCTGGATGAATTGAATTTGTGATTGTAGTATTCGTGAAAGTCCGATGTACATTATTATGAAGTGATATACCTTCGCGATGGTTCCATCTCTATTACTGCAAAAGCCGGGTATCCTCGTCCAAAACACCAAACAGACTCCCTATCTCCTTTCCAATCAACCGTAGTTCATCTACAACTTGTCCCGTAACAAGCGCATATGCGTATAGCAGTGCATAATCTTTCTCCTCTACAAGTAGCTGACTTGATTCACTGCTCTCACCACCCTCGTTGATCAATCTGCGAGGATGTTCCTTTCTGAACTCAAAGATCTTGCTCAACAAGTTCTCGCGTGCCGATACAATGCTTGGTGTAGCGTCTGCAAAAGGGTACTCCAACATCGTTGAGCTGGCAACCACCTGAAAGGCCTGGCAGATATGGTCGCACAGAATAGCGCGCTCACGGGCTGTATACTCAAGTAATGCCCTCTCACCTTCTGTGAGATGACCCTTTCGGCATGCAACGAGGCTCATGTTGTAGAAGCCATCGAGGATACGCATGGTGCTTTTCAGGACACGGCCGTAGACTTCCATAGGAAACGGGCCTCGTAACTCAAACTCTGAAGCGGCGGCAAGTCTCAAACTATCCAAGTTTGCAGCATACCTTTGCAAGGCAGCTTGTTCACCTGACTTGAGATAGCTTTGAGACCCTTCGCTCCTAAAAAGGACTGTAAGCGGACCTCGCTTCCAGATCAGACCCATCTGTAGATGGAGAACAGAGAGGCTCTCTTTGAACTTTCGGCGGGCTGATATGGGCCATATGAGTCGGCAAACCACCAGGCCCCAAATGATACCTGCTGTAACGGCAATGGCTCGGCGTTTGGCGATCTCCATGATATCAGGTTGACTGAACTGTCCATCCTCCGTCGCATCATTTCCATCCGCCTTCCTTTTAACTCTATACGCGTACAGTGTAGACACATTGTACGCAAGAAGACTGATTCGCCCAAGAGAAGCTTTCCCATGCTGAATCACAAGGTAAAAGTTGATAAAGCTCGTCAGCCAGCCAAGAGGAATCAGTGCTAAGGCGTAACCATGACTGATCTTCCAGTTGATCACGGAGAACACAGCTCCGAATATCGTTCCGATGAAACGAGCCAAACTAACGGTGTTGGCAGCTCCAACAGTGAAACTGCACACGATTATAAAGGATAAAAGACCCCATTCACCACGCCATTCGGTGTATAGCTCTCTTGTTTCCTCAAGGAAAGCTAGCATAGCCCATAGAGCAGCTCCAATTCCAACTTTGAGGCCGAACTGAACTAGTCGAAGTTAGTGAACGAAGACAGCAAATCGGGGAAAGGAACAAACTTACTATCATCTCGTGCCATCTTCTTAAAAAGCGCAGAGATGTTTCTCCAGAACCAAGCCAGTATCCTATTCAGATCGGGCGCATTATACCACGTCCTCAAATCCACTGGCGCAGGCACAGCAGCTGAATCATCCGGTACACTAACAGACCTCTGCCTCGTCCGCATCAGTGAATCAGCAGCCTCTGCAGACTCAAATAATCTGATCGCTTTATTCCGATCTTCTTCAGCACCAGTCTTCCACCAGAGAAGCCATCTCCAACTTCGACTCTTGCGTATAATCACATACTCCAGATCATCTAGAACATCGAGGTATTGAAGAACGTCCTCGCCGAAGGACTGAAGACTGAAGGTGAAGTGGCCGCACGCTGCAGCGACTTCTTCGAGATTAGCGCGTGTTGACTCGTGAGATGAAGCCATCTGCTCTATTCGGTCGTATAGTCCTTGTAAAGCGTCTGATCTGGCTGTGTCGAATGTACTCAATGAGTCCATCAAATTGCGTCGTAGATCTTCGTCAACGTTGATTTCGTAGCTGGGCGGCTGTCCAAACTGCGGCTCGTGAAGAATTCTGCAAAGATTCTGTCGCACACTTGTCATAGACATGGTGATCGATTGGTTAAACTGCTCAAACAGCTGTCGCGCCGTATTAGGTGAAGCCGTCCCTGATGCTCTTGGACTCAGTGGCTTGGGATGCTTGAGTTGTTCAAGCTGGGTATTCGTCGCGTTTCTCAAACCACCCAAAGCCTGTGCCAAGGTCTCCATAGATCTCGCAACAGTCCTCTCATGTTCGTAAATCTCTTCATGTCCAAGGAAATAATGCTCAAACTTCGCTTCTCTCATGTCCTTCATCATTTGAGAATAAGATTTCGCATAATGTGTCGATGCTGCTGTAAATCCATCCGACACCAGACCTTCTTCAGACCCACTGAGGAAGCTGTTGGTAATCATGTATAACATATCTCCCAGCGGTATCGAGACTCGATTCATCGTCTCTCGCAGTGACGTGCGGGCGCTCGTTCGCCAGAGCAGCAGATTGACTGCCGTCGTAGTTGTGATACCCATGACGAGCATCTTGAATACCTGGAGTACCTTCTCATTAGAGAACACGTTTGACATGACGTGACTTTCTTTGGTCACGACTCCGATTATCGCGAGAGCTGCAAGGGTGCTGCCGACGTTGACGAGTGGATTTAACATCCTTTGTTTCACCCAACCCATGAAGCCAAACCCACCACCGATAAACACCACAACAACCAAAACATGCGATAGCGTCACTAAATGCATCGTCGATCCGAAAAAGACCGAAGTGACCATTGACAACAGCGAAACGGCCTCCGCGTAAGCAACGGCAACAACAGCAATAAGAATAGCCTCAATCATCGACCCCACCGACCTCGCAGGGTGAAAATACACCGTAATAGTAGCAACAACATGTTTACCCTCCGGCTTGCCCAGAAAGTTGGCTAAAAACGGTACAAAAGTCGCAAGGCTGGCAATGGTGTAGGCAACAGTGCACTTTAGCACGCCACGGCCATTCGGCGTGTTGAGCCAGAGCTGAGTGCGCGCCAACGAGTCAGAGATGCCATTTCGGATGGCCTCGCTTAGAGGTGGCATGTCGTGAGGCGGTGATTATGGGTTTGTCATGATGTTGATGTTGGTTTTGATGACGATAAAAGTACGATGCCGTAGTTTCCGGGCTGAGTGGTTTGATGGGGTCATGTGATTGGTCAGATGGTGAGATTTGGGTGGTTGGTTGGTTGGTTCTGAAAACGTCAGATTCGTTTTAGCTTCGACATCCACCCACTCACTCGCGTTTGGGTGGGCACTTGACTTTATCACTATTGAGAAAAATAAACAATGCTATCAGAACAGAGTAACTTTCTGGCTCAACTCTGAATATCCGACAAACTTCTTCTATTTCGACGAATATGACCTCTCGTTCAGTTTTTTCCTCTCACTAAATTAAATAAGCAAAAGCTTTACTGCTGATAGCCTTCGTGCTGGAAGTCACAGCACCGTGAGAATTATAGAAGTATCGACAGATGGTCATCTCTGAACTATGGCTTGACTGTGGCCTATAAGGTTAACCTTTAGGCTGCAAACACAGGTGACGAATGAGAACATGATATTTCTTTTCCCCAATAATGGTCATCTCCGAATCCTTTTCTTAGCATGATACTTTCCACGGGTACCCTCATTGCAAATGCAGGTTTTAAGTGAGACGAGGCCTAAACAAGTCGACGGGATGAAGCTCAGACATGCGGAATAAGTGTGTCAAATCACAGCCATTTTAACAAGAATAATTACAAGAGATGCGGCTTGTAAGGATATTGCTGCTGAACTTAGCTAAACGAAACTAAACTTAGAGTAGCTCTGATAAAGAGGTTTCCAGACGAACTGAATACAAAATCTTAAATGTGATAATGCGTTTATTTTCCACATGTCTTACTCACTGAAATTTCTTATCATGCGTGATCTTTAAAAGTCAATAACATAGAGGTCCCATTCAGAGTGAAGAGAAAACATATTAGCTTTCATATTCCTGGCTCAGAAATCATAAGCCTTCAAGATGAATTGATCAAACTTCCATTTCCCAAACTCAAGATGAAGCGGGAAATATATATAAACCAGCTGCGAGATCAGTTTTTGGACTTGCACTTTCAACTCATTTCATACTTGTCACAACACATCATTCACAAAAATGGTCCGCCAACACGACACCGATTCGCTCGATCTGGAAAAGACCCCCTCCCTCGACTTTGAGAGGTCTTTCCCCTATGTTGATGTTTCTTTACAAGATGGGATTGAAGACACGAATCGTCAGGCCATGGATAGGCCCCCATCCATTCGCCCCTTATCTTACCGATCAGGGTCATTCGTCATGGACCATGAGTCAGACCGGCGTGCGTGGCTGTGTGTCTTCGGCTCATTCCTCTTTCTGGTTTGCTCCTCTGGTACGTCTTACATATTCCCAAATCATTCATCAGACACCGTAGCAGACTTTACTAACACCAAACCCCAGGTTTCAACGGCTCCATCGGCACACTCCAGTCATACTTCAGTGACAACCAACTCAAACACAACACCAACAGCCAAATCGGCTGGATCATCGGCGTATACCTATTCCTCGCCTGCGTCCCCAGTTTCCTCTACGGCTCTCTTCTCGATCGCTATGGTCCTCGACTCCTAAGCGCAATCGGAGGGATCCTCTCAACTGCCACTTTTCTCATAATGGGGCAGTGCAAAACATATTGGCAGTTCATGTTTTGTTTCGGTGTCTTTGGCAGTATCGGCACTGGTATCAACTGCACTGTTGCTATTGGAGTGATTGGAAAGCTATTCGTTCGCCGACGCGGCTTGGCTATGGGCGTCGCTGTCACAGGAGCTTCCCTTGGTGCTACCATCTTTCCACTTGTTCTTCACTCGACATTTGAGCATCTTGGTTGGGTCTGGTCCATGAGGATCGTGGCGATAGTCATTGCCAGCTCGACGAGTGTGGGATTCCTCTGTTTTCTGCCTTTCGAACGTCTGGTCTTGGGTACCGACAACTATGACCCGTATGCAAATACCGGTTCGGTATTTGATCTCTCGGCATGGAAGAGCTCCAGCTTCTTTTTCGTGGCTTTCAGCATGTTCCTGATGGAGTTTGTCAACTGTGGCATAGCCGGTCTGCTCCCAGCTATATCAACCAGCGCTGGTTTCACTGCCAAGGACGGATTCATCCTTCTTTCGGTCATAGGCGGAACCTCATGTGTCAGCCGCTTGATCATGGGCTTTTCAAGCGATCGCATTGGAGGAATGAATGCAATGGTCATCACAATGGTCCTCATGGTCGTTCTGATGTCCACCATTTTCTTCCCTTTTACTACATCGGGCCGCCCCTTTTTCTACGCATTCGCAGCACTTTGGGGCCTCCTCTCGGGATCTTTCTACACGGTGGCTCCAATTTGTGTCGGCAAAACATGCGCTGCCAAGGATTATGCGAGATATTATGGTATGTATCTAGCCAGCCACTTTTGAGGACATGACTAACAATTTCTCAGGCTCTACCAACTTGCTTGTAGGAGTGTCGCTCCTTATCGCCAATCCCTTGAGTGCCCTCATGTTGGAGAAGGCGGGCGCAAAGCCTCTGGCGTTCCTCTATCTTGGTGTTACCCTCACTGCATTGGTGTCCATTGCGGTAGCTCGTGGACTTGTTATTGGGAATTTCCTCGTTCTGATGACGAAAATTTAGGAGGTGGTCTATTCTTGACTTGGGTTTTTTAAATTGGGCAAGATGCAATGCACGGGGGATCATCAGAAAAGCGTTTGTATATGGAGCGATTGGTTACGAGTTCTCAGCGAGATATGTTTTTGACACTTGAGATCTGTGGTTGAGAGCTTATGTTCACCAAACAGATCATAGCTTGTACATTCGAGATTGGAAAGCGGTTGTATTTGAATAATATTACATAGCGGAAATGCATAAACATATATTACTCGGCATCGCGATGTGATCTAGGGGAGGAAAGAAAACTTGGGGCCTTGATCCTAAATAATAGTAACACTTGATAACTTGGTATAAGTTTATAATACCTTCACTCAGTTTAGCATACCTTTGCTCAGTTTGCTTTGACACCCTACGTCAAGGTCTGATGTTTCTTGCTCCCCATTGATGATCCGAAGTCGGTCGTCGGATCGACTTCAGGCCGGCTCGTGGGTCATAGCGCACAGTTCACTGTTCAGCTCGGCATCTGCACCAGTAAGAACGTTCCATGTTATCTAATCGATCTGATCTCTCTCCAGCATCGCGCATTAGACTCAAGCCATCAAGCTCTTGGTGGCGTGTTTGCGGGATCAATTCCGCCTTACAAGCTCAGAGTACCTCGTATTGCTTCCATTCAATCGAGATTTGAGATGCTTCACAAGACTGGCAAGTCGGCAAGATGGTTAAGTTAATTCACATCCTTGTTCATATGAAAAATAGCGGGCGCTCTCAAAAACACCAACGGATGTTCGACTGTTAAGGTTGATTGTGACAAGGTACAAAGTTTACCCAGGCTAGTGCTCTAGTCCGGAATGCTCCGTCTTGCTGACTGCCGACCTTGATGGGTCTGTGCTGTCACCGCCTGTCAGCTGAGATGATGCCGGGCCGTCCATGAAAATGAGCAAGTATATAAGCTGAGGCGATCGTCTCATCGACATCGGAGATGTAGTCTTGAACCCCAAGTAAACATGGATAAGCAGCCTCAAAAGGTGGCTGTGGTCGGCCTCGGTGGGTATTCCGGGTATCTTAATTGAAGATGGGGGCACTGACACAACCCAGGTATCGCTGGCCTTGTCGCGGTCAAAAACTTACTCGAAGTCGGTTTCGACGTGACTGGATTCGAGCGCAGTGAGTATGTCGGAGGTCTTTGGCATTACACCGAGCAAGACAAGACATCAGTCTTACCGAGTAAGCACACACCTCAAAGCCGCACAGAATGCATCGCTGACAAGCCCCAAGGTACCATCATCAACATCTCCAAAGAAAGGGTACTCACCGAATCTCATGCTCTGTATGCCCTGGTAGAAATGCTGACTATTGTAGGCCGCCTTCACAGACTTCCCGTACCCAGACTCCACGCCCAGTCATTGCCCGTCCGCCAAAGTGGAAGAGTATATCGAGTCTTACGTAGACCACTTCAACTTTCGCGATAAGCTTCGTTTAGGTGTATCGGTAGAGAAAGTGCGACGCGATGACGCGGGCAATCGCTGGGCGGTAGACATCCAAGGCTCTGAGCCTGAGTATTTCGACAAGGTCATCATGGCGACGGGCGGAAACAATCGTCCGCATATTCCCAAGGTCGAGGGCATGGAGCAATTTGAAGGCGAGGTTCTTCATTCGCGCGCCTTCAAGCAGTGTGTCATTATGATCTCCGTTGGCACGCAAGTTGACTAACGATGGCGATAGACCAGAGCTCTTCAAGGGCAAACGCGTGGTAGTTGTTGGCGTATCCAATACCGGCGCAGACACTGCGGCAGCTCTTTGCGGGCATGCCGAAAAGATATGGCTTTCTCGTAGTCACGGCGTTATAGTGGTAAGTCGCCCATGATCAATTGACCAAGTCGCGATGCTCAATGTCCCAGATCCCACGAAAGCGCGATGGCATCCCGTTCGATCACACCCTCACAGCGCGCACAATGGCCTTTATGGGAACGTTCGAGAGCACATTCCCTTATCTGTACGAAATCATCTTCAACGCAATCTGCAAGAAAATGCAGGACAACGCGTTCAAGATAAGGCCTGAATGGGGTCTTTCTCCTGCAATTTCCGTCCTGCACGCTCTGCCCGTCATATCAGACAATCTCATTCCTCTGCTGGAGTCGGGCGACATCGCATCAGTCCCGAAGATCAAACGCGTCACAGGGCCTAGAGAGATTGAGCTGACGGACGGAACGCGTCTGGATGTTGACACGATCATTTGGTGCACCGGATACAAGGCAGATTTCAGCCTCCTAGACCCAAGCATTGATCCCACGCGCAACACAACGCCAAAATGGGCAGAAGCAATCGGATCTCGTGGAAAACCCCTTCCACGACTTTATCAGAACGTGTTTTCGCTCGATTACCCAGATTCACTGGCCTTTATGGGCAATCTGCTTGTCGCAACAAGCGCATTCCCCATCAGCGATATCTGCACCATGGCCATCGCTCAAATCTGGAAAGGAAACTCTCCCCTCCCCTCAATTGACGAAATGAACCGCGCCACAGACAAGCACCACGAGACAATATGTAAGCTTGCCAATAGAGGCAGCGTGGTGCCTGGTTGGCTGCGACAGTCTGACTGGCTTGCGTGGGCTGACAAGGCAGCTGGGTCACAAGTGTATGAACATCTCGGGTGGGGAGTGAAAGGATGGAAGCTGTGGTGGAATGATCGCGCGCTGTATAGGTTGTTGATGGATGGAGTCTTTACGCCGTTTGTGTGGAGGGTTTTCGATGGGGAGGGCAAGAGGAAGAAGTGGGATGGGGCGAGGGAGGCGATTAAGAAGGTTAACGCTGAGTTGGCGGCTGCAAAGGCGAGGAATAAGAACAAGAAGACTCAGTAGTAAGACATTGCAGCGTTGGGCAGTAGAAGCTTGACGAAGATGGTGGAGCAGAAGCCAAGAAGCTAAGATCTGACGAGATAATTTAAGCATAATCATGGATATCCTACAAGGTTCGTTATTATCCGAACCGGGCGCTGAATGGTTCCGTTTCTGTTGCATTTGTCATGCCTACGGGCTCTTTGTTACACCGTCTTGGCGAGAAGCCGTGCATGTCCAACAGGCCAGTCGTAGGTTGCAGGACTGAGGATAATCGTCCTCATTGAACCGAGCCTGGGTGCATCTTACTCAGATATGGAAGGAGGTTAAGCCGAAAAACGTTATCCCAACGTTATGCACAATATTACGGATGCAGATCATTCTGCACGCCTTACTCTGCATGATGCGATTGAGCGTGAAGTATAAATGACAGAGTAAGACGTGAAGAATTAAGCACATCATCCACTCCCATTCTAGCGTACAACAAAAACCGGCTATCTGTGTCTCAATATAATCCGCAAAGATGTCGCAACTCAAGAATTACACTTACGAAGGCGTCGGCGAGTTTCTTACCAACTTCCTCAACTACGCCCAAGCTGTCCGTGTCGGCGATCAACTCCAGCTCAGTGGTCAAGGTAAACCACCACGCCGCTCCAATTGCTCATCCCCAAAAAACTAACACACAATCTCAGGCGGCTGCTTCATCAAAGATGGCGACCTCGTCTTCGCAGAGACTCAACTTGAGCAAATCGACCTGGCTTTCGAGAATGTGGACAAGGCGCTAAAGGCAGCTGGTGGAAAGGGCTGGGAGCAGGTCTTCAGAGTGAACTCGTACCACACAGAAATTACACCTGAAGTCGGGCAGAGAATGGCAGAGAATTACAAGAAGTGGATGCCGAATCATAAGGTCATTTGGACGCAGATTGGAGTGAGGCAGCTTGGTGTTCCGACGATGTATTGTGAGATTGAAGTGTCAGCTTATAACCCGGAGGGGGCAGACAAGGAATAAGCGTCAAAGATGGACAAACACACTTCAGACTACACAGGCTACACAGACTACACAAGAAAACAAATTTACTGAATTATGAATATCAATGGACCGTTCGGTCAATTTAGTTAAACCAATGACTAGCGATAGGACACGCTTTTACTACCATGGACTTTGTTCATGCTCCTCTAGGGTAACGCAAACATCAGTGACGCAGCATGCTGACTAACGACTCCGAGATCGCCACTGCCTCGTTTAGGTTTAGTGCGGGTCAACCATTCGCGCAAGAAGGATCTTTTTTTCTTCGCGACATCATCGTTTCATCCACCGCACAAAGCACATCTGCATCCCCGACCACACAAAATGCCTCCGCGAAACAACAGGCCGCGCAACTCGCGTCCCGACTCGCGCCCAAGAAACGACCGCCCTCTGCGTCCCGATGCCGACAGCTATCGACCCGGCGACAGGTACGACTTGCCTCCTCGACCGCCCCGCGATAATTATGGCCACTCCGATTCATACCGCCCGCGCGTGCCGCAGGGCGACTTTACCTTTCGTGTAGACAAGCCAGCTGGCATGCCTGATTTCCCGGCTGATTACCGTGGGCCGTCTGACAGGAGAGGTCCGCGTCGCGATGGTGGTCGTGGTGGCCGAGGTCGGGGTAGAGGAGGAAGGAAATGGCAACCTCCGCCTCACCCGTCCGAACGCGCTCTGGTATCTGGAGCGACTGCGAACATGCCCGAGGAACGACTTGGTGAAGAAGGCGCTGCTAAATTCCGCGATGTTGATGAGTTATCGGACGACGACGAGCTGGAAATGGACATCTCTTCATCCTCCGAGACAGAAGGACCTTCCAAGAAACGTGCCAAAACAGGAGACGATGGATCCGGCGATGCTGCACCTAAGTGGTCAAATCCCGATCCCTACACTGCCCTCCCATGCCCCGATGAGAGCACCCGCAAGAAGCGGGATATGGTCAAACTGATCCGAAAAGCGCGCCTGGAAGACCAGTCGGAAAAATTAGCTGCTTCAACCGAAGCCGAAGACTTTATCTCGTTTGACCTGACAGAAGATGAAGAGAGTAGTGAAGAAGAAGAGGAAGCACCGCCGCCTCCCCCGCGTGAACCTCCCCCGCCACCGCCTCCGAACGCGCCCTCCGGACCGAAAGCTGAGACTGCGCGTCTGCCCGAGAAACCGCGTGCGCCCGCTAATGGAACTTTGGATACGTCGCGAAGAAATGATCCGCTGGGATCTCGTAAGCGAACTGCGGATGATGAGATCAAGCCTCCTGATTATGGACAACTGAAGAAGGCTACGACGAAGCCTTCGAAGGGTTCGCTTTTGCCCAGTTGGCAGCCGAAGACAACAGAGGACCCATGTCCTTGGGATACTGTCGACCACTCTGCTACCATGAACATGCCATTCCGGTAAGTGCATCACCCTTTCTATCGTCTCGGTTGTCATGGATCCGCATTACCGGCCGGGCCTTCTCCCCGCTCCTGTACTCGGACTAACGTATACAGGTTACACAAAGAGATCATCGACTTCTACGAATACGTCCGACCCCGCGATTTCGAACAGCGAATCCGTGACAACCTTGTCGAAAACCTTCGAAAGGCGATGCGACGCGACGGAAGGAACTTTGCCAGCGCCTCGGTCCACCCCTTCGGTTCCTTCATGTCAGGCCTCTACCTCCCCACCGCAGACATGGATCTGGTCGTCTGCTCCGCAAGCTTTATGCGAGGAGGTCCGCCAACATACCTGTCGGCAAAGAGCTGGCTGTATAAGTTCCAGAAGTTCCTCACCAGTCAACACGTAGCTGACCAACACTCCATCGAGGTTATTGCCCACGCTAGAGTCCCGTTGGTCAAATACGTTGACAAGCAGACTGGTCTCAAGGTCGATGTGTCATTTGAGAACTTGGGTGGCGTTAACGCCGTCGACACCTTTCTTGAGTGGAAGGCCCAATACCCTGCCATGCCTATCCTGGTAACTGTGATCAAACATTTCCTGCTCATGCGTGGTCTGAATGAACCTGTAAATGGAGGAATTGGTGGTTTTACAGTGATTTGCTTGGTTGTCAGCATGTTGCAGCTTATGCCGCAGGTACAGAGTCGAAACCTCATCCCCGAGCATCATCTCGGCGAGATGCTTCTCGAGTTCTTCCACCTCTACGGGCGTGAGTTCCGCCACGACACCAACGCCATCTCCCTGACCAGACCAATCGGGTACATCCGAAAGGTACGTCTTGCACCCTCTCGGCTCCTCTTTTCTTTACTAACAATCCCAGTCCGAGGTCCGAAGCCTCACGTACAAGAACTACGACCGCCTCTCCATCATCGACCCCAACAACTCGAGCAACGACATCTCCGGCGGCTCATCCAACACCGTGGCGATCCTCGACCGCTTCAGTGGCGCCTTCCATCTATTACGTGAGAGAATGGACGAGATTGCCCGTGATCCCAACAAGGGCAACATTCTTGAAGTGATTCTCAAAGGCGACTACTCCTCTTTTAGAATGCAGCGAGATTTCCTCCGCCACGTACACGAGAAGCATATCGGACCTTGTTCTTCCTGATCCTAAATTCCCTGAACACGATCAAAAAGCCCATATTGATACCCCCCAACCGGATGTGCATACTATTTTATGCTGGAGTTTTTTGTGTCTTTTTGCCGGTTATGGATATTTAGACGGGTGGCTTGGAAGACGTCATGATCTTCGCATTTTTTCTGTTATCCACATTGCATTGTGTATAGTAACGCCGTGATGAAGAGGGGATGGGATGTTCTTTGGGGGGACTGGCGCAGATTACATTTCCATTGAGAGGCGCTCACGCATCGGCCTAGTGGCCTAGAATTGGACGACGATATTTATTCACCACGACTCGAACTTGATCTACTAACCGATGCAGTGACTTGGCTACTAACATTGACGCAGTGACATGACACGCCACTACGCTGACAATACTTGCAGACTTTGTTCTTGGAAGAGTGCGGAATGCATTCGACGTCCTTTCTTCGGTTTATAGCTGTTGAAAAACTCGTTGTTTCTTGGACAACACTTTTTCTCACTGCTTCTCTGCTATATGCAGGGCTGTGGAGAGGATTGAAGATGGTGATGGGATTGAGGTTGAGATCTGGACGTCAAGGTGTCGAGAGAAAATGAGGGACAGCATCGTTGCTGGGGTCGACTCGGTTGAGGTAATATCAGGACGAGGGCGACGAGTACTTTGCCCGTATGCTTTTTTTCGTGTTCTTTTACCTTTGTGGCCTGGAGGCTGAAGCCTCTTTTGACCCCTTAACCTTATCATACAGCAATATCAGGACATGGCAGATAGGACTCGGTCCAATACACAGCAGGGGGAAAGGGAACATCCAACCTTGGATATATGGTTCATTTTATTATTTAGATAGATACCTTGAGTTTTCTTATCCCCAAAGCACTCTAGGGGAGGAAAGAAAACACAGGTCCTCGATCCTAGATGACAAAAAGACTTAGGTAATATAGCCTAAGCTTAGGATGACTTTTGCAAAGTTTATTTTGACACCCCACAGCAAGGTTCGCTGTTTTCTTGCCCCCCGAGGGCACTGTAGATTCAGGTGTAGATTCATGCAGATGTTTAATTAACCGGCAGGGAACTATCGACAGTGGCGTCGTGTTAGCCTCAGACTATTGACTCTAGCTCAGGGCATCAGCGTTCTTAAATCTGAATCTCTCCTGATCCATCCCCATTTCTTTCCTTCCTCACTTCTTTATTATCCGCGAATCTCAAAATGCCTTCGACAAAGTCCATCGCTGTCGTCGCGACCCTCGCAGCAGGCGTCGCCGCAAGCAACTGCAAACCATCAAAACCCACCACCACCACCTCAGCTCCCACCACAACATCATCATGCCCCGCCTACACGCTCATCTCAGAGCCAGCCGAAGACATCAACTGCAACGTACGCGGTGAACCCAAAGAGGGGCAAAACCAGGTTCTGGAGAGTTTATATCTGGAAGATTGCGCGCAGAAATGTAAAGAGTTTGATCTTTTCAACTGTGAGCTTATTAGCTTTGAGGAGCCGGCTTCGCCAGAGGAGCAGGGAAGTTGTACGCTGTATCCGGATACTGAGATTGTGGAGAGGCCGAGGGGGGGAGAGGTTGTTTATTATGATTCGAGGTGTTTTGCGTGTTATACGAGGGGAGGAAGGGGAGGAGGAAGGAAGTTTAGGGGGAGGATTAGGAGGAGCTAGATGTTTTTCGTGATGGATTTATGGTGTTACAGAGGTTGTGCTTTTTTGGTTTGCTGAGGTCGCGTTGTTGACTTTTCGGGAGGTTATTTTTCATGAGGCTGGCTTATGGTCGCACATTACCTGTGACTTCGACTTGCTATGGTTCATCCAAGACTCATGAGTGTAAATAATACATTATGTTCATTCCAAAGAATCTTATCAGATAAGAATGCCTCGATCTTGGCATTGTCTAAAAACAGTAAGCGACCGATCGGCCGTGAACCTTGATGGATCCTCCACTGAAAAAGAATCGGTCCAATAGAACTGGCGACATTATTAAGGTTAATTTTGAACCGCTACACATTTTGTTTTTTCTCTCATTTGTTGACAATTTCCAAGATCACGAGAAGTGAGTCTCAGCAACGTTGACTCAGGGATACCGTGGCTAATCGGTGGCGTTAGTGTTTGACTACCTCTGGGGTGATACGAGTAAAGAGGAGAAGAGGTTGATACGAAAACTCGGTATGTTACTCCAACCTTTCGACGGAACGACAACTAAAACTGAGCAGATTTCTTTATTCTTGTAAGTCACTCATCACTTGGACTCAGGTTTGGTTCTAACAGGACGAGACTTTCTGTTGCTTCAGCTTCTTTTTCAATCATCTTGGTACGTCTCCTCATCGCAGCATCCATGACGTTCTTCTGACACTTGAGTTACAGACAGACAAGCCTTTGCCAATGCATATGTGAGTCCCCTACCAAAGAAACCTGTGCAATGACTCTGACTGAAGGTGCAATAGGTAGCAGGTCTTAAAGAAGCTCTTGAGTTGAGCGGAAACCAGTACAATGTCCTCCTCTCGATGGCATCGGCAGGGTACGAACTCGCCCAAACCGCAGTCCAGGACCAACTGACAGATTTTGCAGCATGCTGGTCGGCCAAATACCCAGCAGTATAATCATCCACAAGATCCGCCCTCGAATATGGATGTCTTCTATGGTCGTCGTATGGGCAGGCCTCACCATGGCCAGTGCAGCTTGCAAGACATATGCTCAGCTCTGTGCCGTGCGCTTCCTGATGGGTCTCGCTGAAGCAAGTACTTATGCTGGCTCGATTTACATCATGGGCTCATGGTAGTAAGTCTCGCAAGTCTCAAGTTCACCGGTAACGCTGACAACCTGACAGTAAATCCAACGAAATCGCCAAGCGAACTGCCATGTTCACAGTCGCTGGTCAAGTCGGCAAAATGTTTGCTGGAGCTATGATGGCTGCCATCCATGAGTCAATGGAAGGCCACGCCGGACTCGAGGGCTGGCAGTGGGTGTTTTTGATCGACGGCATCATCACTTTGCCTGTTGCTATCTTTGGATTCTTCTTCTTTCCGGATGTACCTGAGTACACGGACGCTTCATATCTGAGCGATAAGGAACGACAGCTTGCGCTTGATCGACTACCACCGAAGAAGGAAGATGGTCATGATATACAGGCGTGGAGTCTTGTGAAGAGGGTGATGGGGCATCCGTTGCTGTGAGTAATCTTCATTCTTTGATCTGACCACTTACTAATGAGGTGGGCAGTTATGTCTGCTGCGTCTTCTCGGTCCTCGGTTCCGCACTTCAGTCCTACGTCGTGCAGGGGCTCATGCTGCTGTATCTCAAGTTTCGCAAGGACATTGATGGCTTCACCCAGTCTGAAGTCAACACGCTCCCCATCCCAACTCACGCCGTCGGTATTGTCGCCGAGCTTTCTGTCTCATTCTTCATGGATCGTTATAACCGGAGGATGTCGCTTGGCTTTCTGCTTTGCTCGATCCAGATAATTTGCAGCATCGTACTGCTGGTTCCAGGAATGTCAGTTGCAGGCAATCTCACAGCACTGTACCTCTCAGCCTCAGCATACGGCATCAATCCTCTATTGTATGGCTGGTCAAGCAATATCCTGGCTCGCACAGCGGATGATGCTGCTCGAAGTGTGACATTGGCTTCAATGGCGGCAAGTGATGGGTTACTTTGGACATTCTGGGGCATCGTCATGTTCCCGGCTGATCATGCACCTTACTGGCGTAGTGGGTACATCGGGATGCTGTGTGTGAGTGCTGTAATGATTGGCTGGCTATTTGTTGTTCGTTGGGTAAGTTTGTCCCCATTACTATCATGCGTGGTCTGATGATATCTAGCTCGATCGTTACACCGCAGAAAAGTATCCTGCTGGAGATCATACAAGCGCCTCGTCTCTGGTAGTGACGGAGGTGAACTACTCAACAATGGATCAAAATAAGGCAGTTTGAGACTTCACGGAAGAAAGTGTTTGTCTCGAAAGAGTTTTGAGATGGTCTAGGAAAAGAGTCAACCTAGCTCGGACCCCATGAAAACTACATCGTTTTCCCTCCATCCAACTTGGGCTACTGCCGTGCCCTTTTGTGCTCATGTCTCAAAATGGAGGAAGAAACGAAACTGCCCTCCTATGATCCGCCCCTCAAGTTTCCATCACTACAACATTGTCTACACAATCCATCCTTCTCAAAATAGAGTGAGCTTCTTCTCGAGTTCTTCAGCAATCTCCCAAGACAGCGGAAAAGGAGTCTTCGGTCCTTCAGGATTCAGAATCCCAATTTTGTTGCGCTGCTTCAACGGAGGACGACGCATCTCGCATGACTTGCAGTGACGCATTACAGCAGTGTTCTTGGCCTTGCAGGCCTTGCAAACCCACACGCGGAGGATCTCTTTTGTTTCAACATCAAGGATGGGAATGCCTCCGACATTACGTTCAGGTCGACCTTTGAGCTGAGCAATGGATTGCAGATCAGAAAAGTTGCCAGAGATAGTAGTTGGTCCCTCGTCAAGCGAAAAGAATGGGTGACCAGCTTTGGCGTAAGTAGCGGCTGAGATAGGGCTCTTCGGGGGTTCCTGGCCCGTTACGCGCTTAAAGCTGACACTGTTTAGGATCTGCAAATTGATTGTGATTTGGGACGTCTTTTTGTATTCGCCCTTGGGGTGTTCAACGATGTTTTGACGGATGAGACCGCCAGCGGCGATGTTCATCTCTTGCTCTTGAATCATCAAGCTGCCACCGCGAAGTCGGGTAAAAAGATGAAGAACGGCTCCCTAAGGGTCATATTCAGATTAGCATTGAGAAGATCCCTTTGCCAAGATGACGATTCAAACATACGTTCTCGAGATTGTAGTCACACAATCTCAACTTGTCTGCGAGATAGTTAGCTGACTGGAGCCTGGAATTGATGAAAAGAATAGTTCATACCTTTCAGGTTTTGTGATGCCCAGACCAACGTTTGGCACGCAACATCGACGCCAACCTTTGCTTTGACGAATGATTTCAGTGTTTCGACCCTACTGAAACGCGAGAGAAAGTAGTTGGATATTTTGCCGCCGAGCTCTTTGACCATGACATTGATGTTGTCTTTGGGACCAGAGAGGAGAGGATCGAGGCGCGTGATGTCAAGCTGAATACCTGCGGACGTCTCTTCACCGTTCATCTGGCACTCGACAGAAGTACCAGTCCCAATCGGCATGGCCACAAATTGTTTGACTTGGCCGGGCGCGGTAGCTACGCCATCAATCCACTTCTGATCAGGAACAACGATATAGTCCTGGATACTCTTCTCTTTCTTCAAGAGCTGCCGCCGACGAAGCTCGGTCGCATAATTTGGAACGTTGGGCTCACCAGAGACGATGTTGACGTTTCCCACGTGGATCCTGATGGCGTAGGTCTTGGTACTCTCAAATTTGATCCATAAAGCCTCGCGTTCTGTTCCTTGAAATGTCAGTGTTGTTCAATGAGAAGAGCCCCGGAGTACGAACGATACATGGGGATGAACATGCCGCCTTTCTGTGCCATTGATAGAGGAAACGTTCTAGCATAGTCTTGGATTTTGAATAGTGGAAAAGCGCCCTGATCCGGTGGGAGGCCGCTGGTGTTTTTGTTGTCAGGGACGCGGATTGTGCGCCTGAAGGTGATAGTCAAGTCATCGAGTGTGACGCCTTCTGACACGGTAACTTTCGGAGTCCACGGGGTCAGTTCTTCAATCATCCTGTCTGCTGCCTTGTCGGAGGATGAAAGGTGAAATGGTGATTGTGTTGGAGGAGGGATTGCTTATCTGAGCAGAATGAGTTCAAGAAGTCGGTTCGGTGATGTGCTAAAACCCTGCTGTGAAAGCGTTGTATATTGAGCAGAGCAGTTAAGTAGCAGTGATATGAAGGTGAAAAGTGAGAGAATAGATGGGGTGTACAGTAATTAAAGACTTTCTCCCCTTTTAAAGTGGTTATGGTGACAACTCTGGAACTCCCCGGCAATGAAAGTGCAAGGACACGATAGGGAGTTGACGAGGAGATGGAGCACAGATTCATCATGCTGCGGATTCTGAATTAAGTTGATACTTTTCTCATGGCCATTTGTGGTGCAGCATTGATTCGCTGACATGCCCTGAGCTCAGCATTGCGGCATAACATTATACATAAGTTGGCAGCGATTATCACAGCCAAAACATGTTTTTTACTTGGGCTTTAAATATACACGAATGCTTGCACCTAGTTCGGAGGCATGCACCAATTATTGATGAAATATTTGGACTTTCTGTGCAGTGGTCTTTGCTCGTTCAACAAAGTTGGACCAGGCTCTATGGCATCTCGCTACCGTGCTGTTTTGGCAAGGGTCCTAGATCGTATGAGAGGTCTTGACAAATATCAAACACACCGGCCGCGTGGCCTAATGGCTAAGGCGCTAGATTTCGGTCCCCTTCTGAACACTCTAGAGATTCCAGGTTCGACTCCTGGCGTGGTCGATACAAGATCCCCCAGACCTTTACTTTTGCAAATTTATATAAATTTATATAAATTTTTATTAACTTTTATACTTAAGGTAAGTTATTAGGGAATAGACCAAGCTACCTTCCTTAATGTTTTATAAAGCTTTATTTAAGAAGGATAATTAAAGCTGTCTTTAATTTCTGTTATATTTCTTAAAAGTACTTTTTTAATAACACTATACTGTATATATCGTTCAAATGCTGCTCACAACTGGCATAGCAGTCTTGTCATCTCCATTTGAAGGCATAAGCTCATTGTCAATGCTGCTCGGCTTCTCGGGGACAGTCTTCTTGCGCAGACCAAAGCATGTCGTAAGTGGTGTAAAAACGCCAAGGTTACCATATCGCTCCATATAAGTCATGGAACAAAAGCAGATAATGACAACAAGCCAATAAACGTTGTACGAGACAACGGATCCAATAGTGGCAGAGTTTTGCCAACCAAGAATGGCGTTGAAGATACCCCAACCGCCACCACCGTTGAGCTCAGCGTTGCAGCAGTTGACGTGCCAGACACTCTTGTGGATGTCATATGAGCCGGGACCGGAACCGACTTCAGCTGCATCGCCCCCGATGATGTTGTTCCAGGCATGGATTTCGAAGGCCCAGACGGCTTTGCTAAAGAGACCAGCGGCGACGAGGTATAAGAAACCCGTGGAGATGATGAGGAAAATCTGGAGGGATGTAGTGTTGCCTCCTCTGGTCAAGATGTCAGTGGTAGGGTCTTTTTCGTGGAATAGAGAAGTCAACGAACCTGTAAATGATGTATCCAACAACGCAACCAGCAGCAAGACCGCAAATAACAGCCAGAGGAAACGACGAAGCTGGAAGTCCCAAACTGACTCCTCCAATATACACAACAGCCTCAAGACCCTCTCTCAGAACTGTGATGAAAGGTAGAATAAACATAACGTGCTTTTCCGACCAGAGCTTGAAACGACTCATGATTCCAGAAGTTGCAATCGCATTTTTTTTATCCAGAGCCTGCATAAGCTTGACCCGCCACTTCTCCTGAAGCTTGTTGACTCTCAAAAGCGCAGCGCCCATGATCGAGATGATAATGGCTGCAATGAGACTGAAACTTCCCTCCCAAATATCTTCAGTTTTGCTAAAGACGTCTTTGCCGAGGGAGTAGAATGCTCCGATCATGCCGGCGCCGATGCAGAGACAGATGGCGAGGCCGAGACCTACTCCAATCCATACCTGATTATCTGTTAGAATCGAGGGAGAGTGAATTTGGAGAGGGGGAGTACCTGTTTGAGAAGGCGTTTGTAGGTTTCTTTATCGCCCTCACCGCCGACACTCTGCTTCAAGAATGCGAGAAGGACGGAGACGATGATGCTTGTTTCGAGACATTCTCGGAAACAGATGAAGAAGACTATTCGGATGAGAGTTAGACAGCTGGATTTATGGCTAGACATAACTTTTGGTGTAGCGGTTACATACTGGGAACAGCAAAGACGTTGACTGTCATGATGATATCGTCAGCCAGACCAGACAATCAAGTGCAAGTTAAAAGATGTACAGTTCAAAATTCATGAGATTTCTGGCACGAAGGAACATGCAATGGAACGAAACAATATATCGATGCGCCCAAACTCGCTTTCACAAGACAGTGGACCCCCCGAATTGACTTTGATCCCCTCTCCCTTAGCGCGCCAGCCTCAATGCCGACTTTCCCGAGTCAGTGTCATCTGCCTGTAAAAAAAGATGGATAAGATAACTTTTGACACTGCGCTAATCACTTTAAGCACGCTGTGCTTCACAGCTGAGTGCCGACTTGCCGAGACTTGGTGTGTCTGACGCCATCTGATTTGACAAGATCGATAAGATAAATTAATCGCGCTCCCGATTATCCGATAGTTATCAATCTAGACTGTGCCATTGTCGAGTTTGATGGGCTGATCCTCGTATCTTGCGCGTGCCGGTTATCCAGAGTTTGCTGCCAAAAAGTAAGGTTACTTGACTCAATTGCTGAGAGCTGGGATTTCGGTGGTATGTGGCTTGCTGAGGAATTGCCGCAGTCTTTATCTGATCGGTTCCCTGCAAAACACTGAGCGGTCAAATGTAACTCGAGCCTGTCACCAGTTGATTCAGTTCATCTTTTCTCATCACGAGTGTATGCAGTAACGAGACTGATGAAATAGTGACTGTCGCGATGTTTCTCTCACTCTTCGTCTCATCGTTGGCCGCCCTCTTTGCTGCACCAACGGTCAGTGCAAAAGATGTGCATTTCGACTGGAACATTACGTGGACGACTGCAAATCCCGATGGATTACAAGCGCGTCCTGTAATCGGCATCAACAACCAATGGCCTCTCCCAGTCATCAACATCACAAAAGGCGATAGAATCATCGCCAAGGTGACGAATCAATTGGGTAACCAGTCTACCACCATCCACTGGCATGGCATGTATCAGAATGGAACGAATTTCATGGATGGACCTGCTATGGTGACACAATGTAACATCCCTACCGGCGCTTCCATCACATACAACTTCACGGTAAGTGTAATTCACTATCTTTAAGAACGACGGGGCTGAGATGTGACAGGTCAACCAAGTTGGGACTTACTGGTATCATTCTCACACAAGATCTCAATATCCGGATGGTCTACGCCAAGCCCTCATCATCCAAGATCCCAAGAATCCATATGAAGGTGAATATCACGAAGAGCGCGTCATCACCCTCTCAGATTGGTATCACGACGAAATGCCTGTTCTCATGAAACAATTCGTCTCCTACAAGAATCCCACTGGCGCTGAGCCCGTTCCAAACTCAGCACTCATGAACGACACGCAGAACATGACTCTTCCCGTTGAGCCTGGCAAAACCTATCTTCTTCGCTTGGTGAATGTCGGCGCTTTTGCATCTCAGTACTTCTGGATTGAAGGGCATACTATGAAGATCGTTGAAGTTGATGGCGTCTGGACGAAGCCTGCGGAGACGGACATGATTTACATCGCTAGTGCGCAACGATATGCTGTTTTGGTTACGATGAAGAATGAGGCTGGGGCGAATTACCCTATGATGGCTAGTATGGATACGGTATGATAATTCTGAGGATGCCTTGTTACACCAACTAATCATCATTCATAGAGTCTGTTCGATTCTATTCCCGACGGTCTGAACTGGAATGTCACAGGCTGGCTCGAGTACGATTCCGACAAGAAGCTTCCCGCAGCTGCTGTCTTGAACGACTTTGAGCCTTACGATGACTTTAAACTTGTGCCCACAGACGGCGAGAAGTTGTTAGAAAAGGCCGATCACACCATCAGCTTGGATCTGACAATGAATAACCTTGGCGACGGCGCAAACTAGTAAGCAGCCCTTCCCACTTTTATCTCTGACAAAAGCTAGTATGTTCATACTGACGACCTTTAGTGCTTTCTTCAACGACATATCCTACGTGTCCCCCAAGGTCCCAACATTATACACTGTTCTCTCAGCTGGTGAAAACGCAACTAACCCAACCGTTTACGGAACCGACACAAACTCCTTCGTCCTCAAACACGGCGAGATTGTAGAAATCATTCTCAACAACGACGACTCCGGACGACATCCTTTCCATCTTCACGGTCAAACCTTCCAGGTTGTTCATCGCAGCGAAGAAAACGCAGGCCACTACAACGCATCGTGGACGAATATCACATACCCATCTGTCCCAATGCGAAGAGATACACTTATTGTGTATCCACAGGGAAATTTCGTCATTCGTTTCCCAGCTACGAACCCAGGTACGTCAACTTCAAACAACACGTAACAAAGTAGGTCTAACTGTGATAGGTGTCTGGCTCTTCCACTGCCATATCGAATGGCATATGGACACTGGCCTGATTGCAACCATGATTTCATCACCGCTTGAGATGCAGAAGACTTTGACGATTCCACAGGAATTTAAGCAGATTTGCTCGCATCAGGGGATCTCGACTGTCGGTAATGCGGCTGGTAACACTGAGGACTATCTGGACTTGAGTGGGCAGAATTTGATGGTGCCTCCTCTACCAGCTGGGTTTACTACGAAAGGCTACGTCGCTATGGTGTTTAGCTGCGTGGCGGGCGTTCTTGGCCTTGCCTCGATTACTTTGTAAGTGCTCCCCTTTATATCGGTGAGAATAATGCTAATGATTCTGCTTAGGTACGGCTCTGCACCCATTGCAGCCAAGTAAAGATATTATTAAACGTGTATTATATAGAAAAAAGATTGAAATACTATTTGAGATTTGGTCAGCGATGTATCGATTTGGGAACTTGCTATATGCTTGAGCCGCTTACTCTTGGAATACCCAAAAAAACATCCCCTTAGCCCTCTACCCCTCATGTAAACGCAAACTTTCGACCTGGGTATATATACTTTCCACTTACGAGTGACAACTGTGATCCTCTTCTCCTCTCCTCACTTTGCAAGGATAAATCCAGGAAGTGCTTGGGTTTGAAGTCCTCGCATCTGGACCTCCGATTTCGTCGATAAAGTGAGTTGCTGATTGAGCCCACTGGATGCCGAAGCCCTTCGTGAGCAGATAACTGTGACCCTGTGCGTCTTTAACCTTGGTGCCTTCCAAGACCCTCTTGTCGTCGATGCAGTGAAGATAGTGACGAGCAGATCGACCAAAGGCCAAGCTTCATTGGTACATGTTACAGGTGTGAAAGCTGAACGGGCACTTAAATCTCATTGGATGGTACGTTGAGCAAACTGATACGCGAGCTGAGAGAGCAATACGGCCACTGGCGTTTAATCAGGGTGCCAACTTCAACGAGTATCAACATAAACTCATGTTGCCTAAGCTCTTTGATCCCTTGCAAAAGAGGTCCCTTCCTATGACACACTAGATGAGATTCTCTTCACAAACAATGTAATCAAAGCGAGTATGTTAAGAAAGTTTTCAATACAAAGCTAACAAATGAAAAATTATTATGACAAACTAATATTCATATCTTCACCCCATTACACCTCACCATCTTCCCCATCGTAACCATCCAAATGTGAGGACGGTAATCAACGTTCCGTAGAACCGTCGGATAGCCCATGCCGGCGCCAACAAGGGATCGTTCCTCGGAATAGGCTGAACTGGTGGCTTGACTGTCGGCTCCGGCTCCTGGCTTCAGGCAAGCGCTCGGAACTCCTCAACTCGGTCGGCCAGCTCGTCCAACTCCGCCTCAGTAGCCTTTCCAGAGTGGAACTTCTCTTGATACTCATCAATCAGACTCTTCCATCCATCGTTCCTGAGGTGTAACTTGGCCTCCAAGTTCGTAATGATAGTGTGGTTGGTCTTGGCCTCGCGATCTCTGTCTCGAACCTGCTTTTGCGCCGTGGCGAGGTCCTCCTTGTGCTTCGTAAGATCCGCTGAGGTCTTTTCCAACACAGCAAGCTTGGTATCGAGTAGTGTCTTGGTATCATCAAGCTCTTTCTTAGTGTTAGCACCGGCAGTGAGTGCGTCGTCACGCTCCTTCTTGGTGCGTTGGTGGTCATCTTGTTCGTTGGAGAGCTGGCTCTGGAGAGCCTTGTTTGCGAGAAGCGACTCTTGAAGCTTCTTGTCCAGCTCTCCATTCTTGTTGATAAGATCGGTGTTGGCCTTCTTCTGAACCTTGAGTGCATTCTCAAGTTCAAGAACCTGAGCAACAAGAGTAAAGATCTCTCCCTGGAGGGTGGCGATGATTTCGTTGAGTTCCTCCTTCTCACACCGAGCCTGGCTCAACTCATCATTGAGAATAGCTATGTCATTGAGAAGCTTGTTGAGGTCTTGCTGAAGCTTCTTGATGACCTTGTGGTCGAGCTTGTCGTCCTGCTTAAGATGCTCGATTCGGTCGTTGAGTTCCTTAACCTTCTTTTGGTACTCCTCGCTAACCTTGGCGAGCCGCTTGTTGAGCTGTTCGATGGTTGCGTTGGCCTTGTTGCGCTGGCCTGTGAGGGAAGTAATCTCAGCCTCGAGATTCTTCTTATCCTTCTTCAGAGTCTCGACTAGAACGGTCTGCTTATGGAAATCGGCATCGAGAGCTGAGAATTTCTGTGGCAGGTCAGTATACGGGTATCAAATGGAAGGACTTGGAGTACATACGTTCTGGGCTTGGACAGTAAGGTATCCAGCTTGCTCAATGAAGGCTGCTCCATGCTTGAGTGTCTCGAGAAGAGTCTTGGGGAAAGGCATAGGGTCAAGAACTCGGGGAAGGGTGGCCTGAGGCTGGGGTAGACGTAACTCAACCTCTTTCTTGGTGGGGGGGACCAAGTCGTCGGAGTCAAATGAGCTAAATTGATGGTTATCATCACTGCACTTCAGTGGAATTGGAGGTATCACTTACTGTGCCTTGGGTTCAATCTTGGCCACGAGGTTCAGTTCGCCAGCCCTGGTCTGCTTTCCGTCCTTCTTGATCTCAAGACCAAGCTTCTCGGTCTTTCGGTTCCAAGAGCAGGTGAAGTCATAGACGTTGTTGAAGGCGAACTTGGAGACCTTGTCATCAGAACTGATGAACTTCAATGGGGTTCCTTTGAAAGCAGTCGTCTTGGCCTTGCCCGCACTGTCCTTAGTCCACTGCCACGATGAGATGACAGGCTTGCCATCCTTGTAGTCCTCAGGAAGGACAAAGATAGCTTGCTCATCAATAGCACTGTCGTGGATAGTAATACTTCCAGCCCAGATACGGAGAGCAGCATCGTGGTCAACCTTGCCCTGAGGTTTCCACACGCGGTCCAGAGCGATGGTCTTCTGACCACCAGGGCTCGACATGTCGACCTTGATCTTGGCATAGTTCTGCTCAGTGGTGATAGCATAGCTGTACCAAGAGCCAGAGAGATTGAAGGAGATATCAGTGGTGTTGGAAAGCTGCTTCACATCTGAGACGACGATGGTCTGAAAGAACTTGGACTTCCGGACTCGATGGGAGTCCTTTGTCCACTGGGTGAAGAGGTAGACGGGGTCATTGGCACGAACGACACCGTTGGGGAAGATGATTGTGAAGGTCTCGTTGTCGGCATACTCAGGCCAGTCAAACTTTCCTTGATAGATGAACATTGTGAAAAGTAGAATGAGATCTGAGATAAAAAGAAGAGAAGGATGTAGATTGTAGTAAAGAGAAGAAGTCGATGTTGATGATGAACCAAATCTGTAGGAGATCAACGCAGCTTTATAACCTTCGACTATTGCTGCATGAGTCTGGCTTCACGACGAACTAGTAGGTTTCCCCTCAGCTCTGGCTGCAGAAAGTATTGATGGCGACTAGCCCGAATACTGATCACATCCCCTCCACCCTCCCGCGTATCATTCCGCATGGCGCTTGTGAAACCATAAAGGTAGCTGTGTGGCAAGCTGAACTCCCTTGACCATTCCGTGCCCAAGCCAAATCACATCCCCAGCACCACGCAAAGCCCTCGTGGCTAGCTGCATGGCTTGAAACAATGATTCCCAATCACCAGTCTAGAAGTTCAGCCCTCGCTAACAATTCCCAAACGCTCTCTCAAGGCTGAGACAGGCGCTGCTTAGTCCAAGCTGATACGAGACCCTGGAGAGGGAGCCCAATGATAAGGGTTCAATAGTGCGCGCCACGTGCAGGTCCAGCTCGCCACGGGCCGTGATAAGCGGCTAGAACGGTCGGGCCCAGACCTCGCCAATCACACAGACTATCTACCAATAAATTGATCACAATGCAGGTCTAGCAATAGTTTGCGGTAATGTTGCCATTTTGGAGCTGGGGCTTAGACAGGCCGGGCTAGAACGCTGCGGCTGGTGTGCGCGGGGAAGACAGATTAGGGATAATGCATGCCAATTGGGGTCTCGGAGGCGCAGCTGAGCTGCAGCGCTAGATTGGAACAGTCTGGAGGACACGAATTGCGCGATTGAAGTGAAGAGAACTTGCAGGAGTTGAAGCTCCGTATAGCGATCACGTGCAGGAAACAGAACTGTGTGATGCAGCCGCCGATGCTGGAGAGAAAACCTTGAAAATACCGGGTGCTCTACCAAAGTGGGTCCAACGAATAGCTTCACTTCAATCACCATGGTCGGCTCAACGAAACAAATAGAAGTCACGCGAGAGTGCCAAGGCTCACAGTAATTCTTATGATTGGACTGCCGTGAGTAGGTTAGAGACTTGTATGATCAATTGTTTGTATTTTCCCAAGCATCCCCGATTCTCAATCCCGATATCTCCGTGCCTGGTTTCGTCCTCGCGTTTATCTCCTTCTCAATCCTTCGTTCCTGATGCGATGACGCTTCCACCAGCGTTTGCCCCAAAGATCAGGCAAAATTTCATTTGAGGCTCCTTCTTCGTCCGTCGCTGGGCATTTTCCTCCGGTCGGCTGAGTGCCTTCTCGTTTCGATACACGGGTCGAAAGCTCCAAGGGCTTCGTGTCGTCCCGCTGCGGATATCGTTCGATCGAGGAGGCTGAAGAGAGGTATCTGCCGTTCAAAAGACTGATTGTTGCCTGGACAGGTGTTGATGCCTTGGGTTGTTCCAACCGTACTCGCGTCTCGACCTCGTACGTGTGCTTGGCTGAGAGATGGGATCTTTTTCTTGCGATTCGGAGAGATTTCTTGTTCCAGAACCTTATCATTTTGTTTTTGTTGATCGTTGCATTGCAGTTCATGTGAAAACCTAGGCTTGGCCCAGCCATGAGGCGCTGGGCTCCCGCATTCACGGCGTCGGTCCAGGTGATCGTCTGTAGGCCTTCTTCCTTCCCCGTGAAAATCTGTCTCCTGCTGTTGCATTGCGACTTGGTTGCCAAGAGGTTGCGTAGGTGTCTTGGTGTTGTGCCTTACCCAGTTTGCAGTCTCGAGCGAGTGCAGATGGGTCAGGAGCAGGCTCTGCGTTGAGACTTGAGACTTGAGGAAGAAGATCTCATTCTGATGCTCCTTAGCATACATTAGCTCTGTTACAAGGTTTAAGAGGCATTAGCCCCAACACATTCGTTTTTATTCTCATTGTCTTGTATGAGTGAGGCCTTGGAGGTCGCTGGGGCCGCGGTCTTCTTGAGTGATGTTCGTGGTGGTCGCGGTTGACTGCGTTTTGCTGTGTGAGGCTCTTTCGTTCCTCGTGCTGTAGATGGGCAAGTCGTTCGATGTAGGTGGCGTTGCTTCCCAAACTTGGTCTTGCACTGATATTCCTCGTTTCCAGAGCGTGGGCCCTGAACCTGCCGCCTGCTTTCGCTCTCTTCGTTTCTCCTCTGTGTCTCTCTTGCTCTAGCTGTCTCGCTGCCAAGTCGTCTTGTTGACCGATCGCTCAAGGTGCCAGCGTGAATGTTGTGCTTTGGAACAATTTTTGCAAAACGTCGGTGAGTCCGCGGTGTGAATTTTAATATCGTATCACTGCTTGAAGTTTTAGCACAACATTGATCTTGCTTTTCTGTATCCCTCTTCTTGTCCTGGCTCTCGGAGTCTCGACAACGCCGTCTTCTTGAGCTACCTATGTTAAGGCGCTTGCGGACGAGTGTGTCTCGCCGTGAAAGGCTCTTTCCTTCATGCAGCGGGTATATGAGCAGATGGTTTCGATTTCGATGGTGCCACCTGTCGATGTTAGTTTTCAGGGACTTTCACACTTTCCAACTTGGATCTTGCTCTTGCCTCTCTGTTCCTCATGCCTCTGAAGTCGCTCCGGCGTCGGAGAGGAGCGCGAGTGCTCCCAGATGGCTACAAAAGGCCGCCCCCCCCTTCGTCTTCTTCTTTTCTTTTCTTCTCTTCATTCCCTCCTTGTCATGGACCTAGTGCCTGACAATGCCGGCCTGCAAGGCGCTGAGATCAAGAAGTCAGCGGTAGGGTTGGGCGCACTGGGACAACTTGCGCTAACCCCCCAGTGCGCAGAAGGTAAGTACGGCACAATTTTTGATTTACTCTCACTGCTTGCAGTTTTGTCTACTCTCGCTGTTTCTCTGACCAGGGAGGTGTCAGTTGATTCGGTTTGAATCCTTTTTTTTTTATTGCATTCACCGGCTTGCTGGTGGTGTGAAGAAGAAAACTTTGCCATGTGATGTGCCAATGTGTAGTGTGCCAATGTGTAGTGTGCCAATGTGTGATATGCCATTGTGTAATGTGTGTTGTGCCAACATTCCAAGGTGCCAATCTGTGAAGTGTGAATTGTGAAGTGCGATGTGAATGATATGTGATGCGTCAGTGCCGAATCATGTCTGCTGAGGATGAAAATTTGATGGTGGTGAAGATGGGCGGAACTGTGTGCAAAGATTGGATGGGGAATGAAATGAAATGAATGAATGTAGGATAGAAAACTCGAACAAATACAAGAACCAGGAAACGAGCGAGGTGAAAACTTCAGGAGGAATACAGATGAGGAATTAAAGAGGCGGGGGATGGGGGAAATGCTGTATTTATAGGGAAAATCGAGACAAGCTTTGCGGGATGAGGGCAAATGTCCTCTGGATCAAACTTTGGCTTTGCGGCTGTCGGTGACTTATTTGAAAGACGATACTTTGCTCCTAGAACTCTGTTGATGATCAGAGCGCAACGTCAGTGGTTACAGAGAGGATGCTCACGACGCGGACGAAACTCCAGCATCAGGTGGAGGTGTCAGCTTGCGCGTAACTCCAATGATCGGTCGACACTGGATGCGTTACTTTGCATTTGAGGCCTGTAGGATTCCATCGCAGAACTTTGATGGATTGACGCGATCGATTGATGGCTGACCTGGGGCTTGGCAGCTGGCGATACCTGTCGACAGGTAGAATCCCATGACAACACAACGAACTGTCCTATCAGAAGCTCTTCAATGGCAACATCGCGCCGCCTGCAGCATCAAATTTCCGTCTACAGTATCCTCGTCAGTAACGGGCATTGCGCGCTTTAGTGTCCTTACGACGCGCCGAGTCATCCTGCGGTCGATCTCGAAGTACTTTCCATCGACCACCGAACGATGCCCTCTTCTACTCGGCGAACAAACCAGAAGAGTGGGCTGGCAAATGGCGACATCTGTCGGAGGCTGATGGTAGCGAACAACGGATGAGTCCCATCAAGCGTGACCTCTCATCACCTGCAGCATCGGATTTCCATCTACAGTGCCCTCAGCAGTAGCAAACACCTCATGCTTTATTGTCAACACGCCGCGTTGCGCCATCCTGGGGCCGATCCGAAAGCCTCTTCCATCAACTACGGAACACACTACGACGTCTTGTCGCTCGGTGGGCAAAGCACAGACGATCTACTCCTACACGCCGCCGTCGACATCGAGTTCCCTATCCTTTACTGAGAGCCGAGTCGGATCTTCGACGACGATGCTGGGAGACTCTCGCTGCTTCTGCCCGCCCAACATCGAGTCTCGGCCGAGTACGACCAACACGAGCCCGAAACGCCCGTCACCACGCCCCAACTCGATGCGAATCTCGCAATATGTTTCGCTCACCAACAAAGGGAGTACTTCCTGCATCGCTTGCGAAGCTTCATGTTAGGACGAGCGCCGACTTCGACTGGCCTCGAAAGGCAGTTGATCACGATCGACGCCCAAAGAACCAAGAACCGAGTCACACTCCACTCTTCCAACTACGTATGGGGCGCTACATTGGCGATGGTTAGAACAGCAACATAAGCAGGAGATTTATCGGCTAGAGCTCGGCATCCTTCGTTCCCTTCCACTCAAGCCGCCACTTGGCGGTGCTCTGGCAGCCTGCAGCATCAGTAATCAGAACACTATTATCGACAGCGTTTCGCCGTCCTATGTCCAAGACCCGACCGCACATTAGACGAAGCAAAGGCCTGAAATATACAATAGAGAGGCAATCTTTTCACCCATCTCCATCAGTGTTCGACAGTCCAGCCGCAAACTCATTGCCGCCCCACAAGCTATCCACGAGCAAGTATCCCTGCACCGAGAATTCGTTGTCAAGGTACAGTTGTCCAGAGTTTCGTACTAAGGACATTCCAAAGTCATGTCTGGCCGAAGACGTGTTATTGATCGTGGACTGCCACATCGGCTCACGTCGCTAACGTTCCAAATAGCGACACGCCCTACCATCGGGTACGGGGCGCGATGTGCTGGACGGACCTGGCAATGGCTCGATATTACACCCAACCAATATTCCAGCCGTAAATGATAGGAAACCATAGCGTCAGAAAGACTCAAAATCAGACGTTAGTTCTAGCTCAGGAATCACAAGCTTTGACGATTAATCAATCAACAGACTGCAGTAGATGTTCCTCGGATAATGTGTTAACATATGTTGAACCTCTGCTCCAGAGACTGAGGTCCCTCGCCCGCATGATGCCGTATACGAATCCATACCATCTTATTAAGAGTCGCTCATATCATCTGTGACAGCTAGCCGAATTGAGTTTCACGAGCGGGATAGCAGCCCGTTCCCCGAAACGCGACCTTGTTGGGCACAATTTGGGTTAAGAATGGAGTTGTCTCAGACGGTCAGACCACAAGACATGCTGACATATCCTTGTACTTTACGGATCACTAGCCCTATTTAGTTAAAGGCCCAAGACACCTATCTATTAGCCTTTCAAACATTCCTCCTTGCATCAAGAACTATAAGTCCTTTAGTATACTATTTATTTGAGGCAGTACATAGGCTTCGTATTCAGTAACGGTGGATACAAATTAGCAAGGCTGTGAGATCCGGACCAGTTACAAGTTGCCAGGTTTAAATGCCGAGAAGAGGAATCAAGCGTGCCTACTTAAGCTTCAGGTGGCTGAGCTAAAGTCAGTGTGAATGACGCCCGCTACGAGGATATAGGGTTGAACCCATTGGTCAATAGTCCTAGCCGGTGTATCCGAAGAGATTTATCAGCTCAGGAAGGCGGACTGAGCTGAAAAATAACCACACGAACATGCCTGGAAGCCCAAGTGCAAGTCTGGAATTGTAAGTCATGGATCTATATTTAAGAATCGTTAACTGCCCGTCTGTCTTATATCCTTTCATCTTGTCATCATCCCCTTTCTTCTCTCAATTTCTACGATTCTCTTCACACTACAATAACACTATATCATTAAACCAATATGCTCTTCAAAAGTGCGCTGATCTCACTATTTACAGCCTGGGCCATCTCAGTAGCTGCAAACCCGGTCGGGGATTCTCTGCCCGACGATGCGCACCTCCCGGATCACCGCCTCTCGCCCGCCGAGGTTCAAGCTTTGAAAGAAGCCCAGATCTATCCTCCAGGTTACATTCATAAGAGGGTCACCTTTGGAGAGGGCAAAGACGCCATAACTGTTCCCATTGTTGAAGCCGACGTCGATATGCTTCTAAATGATGAAAAAGGTGTCAAGGCACGTTCCCTAGCACCACGGGGCTCCTGCTTTAGTTTTCCTATGCCAGCAAGAGGAAGCTGCATGATCGATTACTGCTGGCGTGATGACAGCGGGGCTATCTACTCGAGAGGTATTACGATAAGGGGTAGTAACGGGCAATCCAATCCTGCAGCTGTAACAAGCAACGACCCAAACAATCTTTCATTCAACTCTATATTCAACGATGGCTATAATGGCTGGTTCCCGACTGGACACGAATGCTCCAACTCCGACACGCAGATTTACACCAACCACCGTGTTTTGCAGGGCGTTACAAATGTGGCATATGTTGACCATGTCCGATGTGACAACTGCAACTTCAGGAACGTGAACTGCCTCTCGGATTCCCTCAAAAATAACCTAATCGCTTATGCGAACGGCGTTTCATCACAGTCAAGGTGTACATAATCGGCGGCAGATATAACACCATGGTATCAACAATCGTTTAAAAGCCGATATAGAAAACCATGTTTTTCTCCTCCGATTGTACTAGTTTAAAACTACTGCTCTATAGGCTAGCTAGATATACTTTACTTTCTTTCTCTAATATAAGCCCTTTTACTTTATATAACTAAATCCTTAATATATTATTATATATTACTAAGCTTTATATTTACTTTATTACTTTCTATACTATACTGGATATGATTATTAATAATTATTATACTTAATTTATATATATTAAATAAACCATTTTCTATTAAAGATTAAATTTAGTTAAGTATATATATATAGTTTTTCTTAAGTCTTTAAGTATTATAATTACCTTTATAGTATTTCTACTTATATAATATATTAGCTAGTCTTATTATTCTATAAGAAGTATAACTTAAAAATGAAAACGTTATATATTCTATATTTACTTTACTTAAGTATTATAATCCGATATATAGGACTGGCTGATGCTAGGTAGTTAGGTAGGTTAGTAACGATATCGCGATATTACCTTAAAATAAAGAAACTTTTAGTTTATAGAGTTTGTCTCTTTATCTGCTAAAGGGGGGCAAAATATTTAAAATCACATATTAAGTAGCATCTGTCCACTGATACCTTGACTTATCTTGTTTGAAGTGAACGAGTGCGTTGTATAGATTTTGAGCGACCTTGAACCTTTTAACATGGCAAATGTATTGGCCATTTTAATTCAAGGGCTCCTAATTCATAGGAAATGGCCTTGTACTCGGAAATTCGAGCATCGGACTAAGAGGCCAGATGAACACGTCCTTTAATAGGGTCAAGATCCCCCGCGTCCCTCAGCTATGGGCGGGGCTGTAAGTTCTTGGTTGGCCTGAAATCATCCGGCCACTGACATTGGACTTACCCCGCCTTCTTCACTCCGAGAAGAATATCCAGACTTGATAAGACGCACAAGTTCAATCAACAGCAAACTGTTACCACTATGGCATCTGCTACCCGCTTCAGACTCGTCTTCAACGTGCCCAAATCGTCGCTGGCTCAATGTAAAGAGGCCATTTTCGCTGCTGGAGCAGGTCGCTACCCCGGCCCGGGTAACTATACGGAGTGCTGTTGGACTGTTATCGGGACTGGGCAGTTTCGCCCTGGCGATGCAGCCAAGCCGCATCTTGGCGAAGTCGGCAAGCTTGAGCAGGTTGAAGAGGCAAGGGTCGAAACCATTTGTGTGGGCGAAGACGTTGCCAGGAATGCCGTAAAAGCCCTGAAAAGGTACGGGATTTCTAAGCTAAGTCTTAACGTTGCTAATACCTTCTCAGCGCCCATCCTTATGAAGAACCTTCCTACTCTGTGTATCGACTAGAGGACTTCTGAGATGAAGCAAGACGAGGAGGTTATGAAAGATAAGGCAACAGAATTCACTCAAGACACGGCTGTTTGCAGCGTAATGAATATCTATCACAGGCGGACGGAGAAGAATTAAGACCCAATATCAGTAGCCTATATACCAATTTGGTTGATTGCAGGTTCAACCGTTACCGGCCTTGTCTACAATGTGCGTCAGCTGACATGCCGAATCGAGCAATTAACATGTCCTTCAATGTCAGCACGGCTTATCATACCCGAAGATTGCCTCTCGGCTTTCTGTTCTTCTATGATTATTCAAAATTGAAGAACATGTCTCGTAAAACTATTTCTAACGTTGTGATTGCTGGCGCAAGTTTATCTCCTCACCTGTAAAGCCCGTGCTGACATCTACAGGGCACCGGGCGTCTCGGCCCACCGACCATCAGTCACCTCCTCAAAAACGGATTCAAAGTCAGCGTACTGACCCGCAGTCCATCTCTCGCAAAACTCTCAACAGAAGTTGATGTCATCGGAGCCGATTATTCATCAGCCGAGACTCTATCGCCAAGCCTAGTAGGTCGAGGATTCGATGCCATTGTCATTATCCTCAACCGCCTTGCCTACGATGCCTCGGTGGTTACGATGCAAGCAGCCGTCAACGCTGGTATTTATCGCGCCATCCCATCATTTTTTGGTGTCTCGCTCGATAATCCGGAGATAGCCAACATGCCATTCATGAAAACCAAGCTACCGGTTCTGAACGACGTCTTGGCAAAGGCTGAGAAGGGCGAGATCACATACACAGGTATCAACACCGGCATGTTCCTCGACTGGGTGCTTGATGAAGACATATTTGTTGGTTTATCTGGCAAGGCACCGACTCGCGTTGCGGATGGTGGAGACATCCCCATGTCTGCTACAACTCTCGATGATATTGGTAAAGCAATCTCTGCCGTGCTCTTGAATCCTGAAGAGACAGTCAATAAGTTGTACTATATACACACTGTGGTCATGACGCAGAATCAGGTTCTGGGATATGCCCGCGAAGCTGCTGCAGGCGCGGAGTTTGCTGTTGAGCAAGTTGATACGAAGGTGTTGGTCGAAGCTGCGTGGAAGCGGTATAACGAGGGAATACGAGACCGAGTTTCAGTGAGGGACTTTGTCATCAGAGCGAGTTATGGTATGGGAAATGGCTTCTTCCCACAGACCGATAACGAATTTCTGGGCATTAGAAAGTGGAGCGATGAGGAGCTTAAGGAAGAGGTATTCAGGCGCGCGAAGGCCAATCTGCCTGATAGTGTCAAGGCTGCGGAAGAGTAACTTCATATTATGCTCAGATCATCAAACCATACGCTCTCAGTCCCCTATTCTCACTGCTCTAATCTACCCAGCTAGTCCTCTCTTATCTCCTCCATCTCGTACAACTGCTCAAACAGCTCCGCGCCACGTTTCCCTGACGCCTCGCTCAACTGTGCCATACGCTTTCTCAGCGTTGAGTATCGGTGCACCTCTGCGGGTTCCTTGTAATCAATATCCTCAACTTCCACAGAAGGCAATAAGTCTGCAAAGGGATCTTGAAATGATGATTTCGCCGGCTTTAGCGTACGTTCACAGAACGACAGTAACAACAAAGCCATATCATCCTGATCGAAATTCTCGAAACACTTTTGCGCAATGTTGAGGGCACATCGCACCTCCGTCTTTGTTGTTTTCCGTGTCGCCAGCCAGTTCAGACGAAGATACTTAACATAATTTGTCCAATCTTTCCTTACCGGGTCTGTAGGTTCCGCACCGTCGACCCTAAAAGCTGGATACAGTTTCCAAAGCCCAGCATCCTTGAGAGCTAGCACGGATGAAGTGATTGACCGTCTTCGGAGGTAAATGATTCCTTGGGAGAGGTATTCTCCGTTATCATAATCTGTTCCATCAAGTCGAAGACGGCGGATCCGCAACTCCGTCTGAACTTTGCGTTCCGGAATGACTTAAACAGCCACATATCTCTTGCGAACTGACCTCGCGGAAACTTTGCTGTATCCACAGCGCATATGTGAATATCATCTTGCGGGTTGCGCCACGTGTTGCACAATCTCCAGTTGGCATACTGTATCACAAACATGAGAGAGCTGCTCCACGAGACAAGATTGTCCGTCACAAGACTACTAAAGGCACCCTTGCTCAAATGATGATGCAGCATTTCCGAAGCCTTTTGATAATCCATTGAAAAAATGTCAATCTTGTGGCGATTCGCTTTGTCGCCCTTGCTAAGTATGGAGGCGATGACATCTTCGCCGTTGGCGCCCGTGCTGTTGTTGTCCCATGCTCGGAAAAGGTACGGCGCGGTTTGAGTTGGAGACTTCGTGACAGAGTCCTCCTTGGGCTGAAACAGTGTCGGACCACCGGGGCAGTTGCAGAGCGATCTGGTCCAGAATTTGATCCAATTTTCCCTTCTGTCTTTGCTCTCTGCCCATTTGCTAGTGGCAAGATAATCATCAGGATTAAGCTTACCCGTAGGGCTTGTAGCTTCATGATAGCATTCCTCGGCAATCTTCTGTAGAACGCCCTTACTCCCTGATGTCTCGATAACTCTCTGTGTGATATTTTCTATCGGTTTCTTGAAATATTCTAGGAGGTCACCTACGGCAAGTGACGTCTCGGTGTCCAAGCAGATGACTTGTCCGACAAGAGCTGGGATTGCAGAGTCGCTAAGCAGTTGTGCAAGTCGAGCAAGCTGAATACCCCTGGTTCGTACGAGGCAAATGGACTCAACGTCTGCTCTGTTTAGTTCACCGTCAGTGCCAAGCAATTTGACGACGGTATTTGCCTGCTCTGTGAAAGCAACAGCTGTGTCGTCGAAACTGCGCAAGGCTTCGTCGAGAGACTTGCGAGGCCGTCTTCTCATTTTTTTGCCACTGATATTCAGACCATTGACCCTGTTGGAAAGATCTTCAATGTTGGCCGTGGCCTCATTTTGATGGTCGTCCATTTTCAAGAAAGTTGATTAGGGATGATGGTGAAGGGAATCAGGATGGTTGATAAGGAACATTTCTGTCTTGGTGCGGGGTATATGATACCACATGCAAGGCGCCTAGATGCAAAGGAGCCAATTAGGAAACTAATTTCAAGCCTTTTATGATCGCGTATGCATTCGATTCGCTATAATCATATACTGTTGTCATGCACGTGAATGATCAATCTAATGATGGAAATCTAAAACCTTTTTCTTTTCACCAAAGAGTAACTAGATTCTTTCTGCAGATATAAGCTCTCAGTCTATTTAATTTAATACATAATAAAAAAAGAGTCTATCTAAAGGTTTCTTTTATTAATAAAAAGTTAAATTATATATATTTTTTTAAAGTAAAAAGTAAGTCTATTAGAATTAAAAAGATGTAATTAATTAGAATCCTTAAAATCTAGATAGTGATATAAAATATAGCTTTAGTATATATAGTATAAATACATTATATTATATAAGTAATTGAGCCAAAACTTATAAGCCCCTTAAGAAAGGTTCATTCCAACAATACAGCACGGTTCTACCAATACACCAGCCGGCTCAGCCTGCTGCAAGTTCACCTTAAAATGTTGGCAAGTGTATGCAAAACAAAATGATAATTCAAGGCTACTATTTGTTCTTCAAATTGGAGAAATATGAACATGAGTCCTCCCCTCGACCAAGACGGATATCCTTGTAGCCCCATCCTTATCTGCTTTCACTGTCTTGTCAAGATAACAATACGTCTGACCTGGAGCAAGGCGTGAGATCCCAAGTTCAAAGACGCCTGCATCAGCTGAGGGATAGAGAACTAATTCCAAGTCCTCGGATGTATGAGACCTTGCTTTGGCGATAAGGACTCCAGGATACGGCACTTCTGAAAGAATGGGGCCTCTCAAAGTCGTTTCAGATGGACCCTGTGAGCGTTGTTAGATGTTATTACTTGAACTGATGGTGATGGGGTATTTACCTTCTGAATCATCCGATGATATGCCCCAGGCCGGATAATCGCGGCTGTCAACGCCGCTTGATTCATCAAACATGACGCATTCTCAAGGTCAAGATACTGAGAACCTGTAGGAGCTGTCTTAACACCCCACGCTTTCTCAAATTTCCTCACACAGGCCTCTTTCAATTCTTCATCCCCATATTCACCTGCAGCAATAGCAAGTTGAGTATACATAGCATACTCATTTGACCGATAATTCCCTGCATCAATCTTATCCGCTCCCACCAGTCCAGTCAGCGAAACCTCTTTCGTCTTGCTGTTGAACTGAACAGTCTCATTGCGAATGATAGCCCAAAGACGTCGGGAGAAGTTTCTCAACGGGCCGCATCCCATCATTATGGCGGCCAAGTCTCCTGCTGCACCGCATAGACCAGGAATAGTGAAGCCTGTCAACTCGGACCTTATGGTCAAGACACTACCGCTCGTCTCCGTGAAGTTGGTGCTCAGTGACTCCTCGAATATTGGTAGTAGCACCTCAGTCGACTTTGTGCCAAATACTCGATCGTAGAGAACTGCTCCTGTCATGCCCTGCAGATTGCACATAACATAGATCCAATTCGGCTCACATGAGATGAGACAATAAGGACTAGCAGACCATTGCCGCACGAGTGTTTCCTGAAGGTCATGCAGGCTGTACCTATAGGAATTCTTGTCGTCAATGTTGAAGACCAGACTTCCCGGCTTTGTGTATCTCATGTCACCTGTGTTGGCAGTATAGAGCATAACTCCCTGCAGTAGAAACCCCGTGACCATGATGTTGTCTTTCTTGACTGGATCCCAGTCTAGCGAGAACTTGCCAGTCAAACGCTCCCACTTCCAGAAATTGAGAACTTTCTGAGTCAAAGACCGCTCTATCACTCGCTGGAATGCTTCGTTGATGTAACCGTGGGCGTTTGGGGCGTAGGTGGATTGGTAAAGACCGAGGACGAACATCATTTGGTAGATCTGATACCGAAGAGCCGCAGTTTGATACTGGTCGACAATAGTAAAGCCTGACCAATCATCGAGACTCTGAAAGGCCTGATCGAACAGAAATTGTAACTTTCTGAGACTTTCAAGGCTGAGTTCTTCGTCTTCTTCTCTTTTGGAAGCTGCAGCGACGAGTCTGTCTGTCTCTGCAGCCTGGCGCAGAATGAACTCGTTCCTCGCCGTCCTCTTCTTATAGCCACGTTTTCTCTCAGCTCTTGATGAGAGATTGGCATACAGGAAACATGCAAAGAGTATCCCAGGGGCCCAATACCCAGAGTCCTCCCAGACGGTATCGCCTGTAGCGAAGTAGGCGCCGATGATAGACAAGCCCCAGACAAGGAGGGGGAATAAGATTGCTCCAGCACCAAACCACTATTGTTCTAAGTCAGTAACACATAGTCTAAAAGTAGCTGAGTAAGTAGATGGGGCCGGCTTACAGCAAAGAGAGCAAGAGGGATGCTAGCCCAAGTCACCACGAACAATATTCCACTAAGTACATTGGCGCTCGCGAGATATCCAGCTCCAGGGAAGATAATCCCAAGAGCTGCGGCTCTGTGTTTCGGGCCAATGTCAACATATTCTTGAAAGAATATTCCGAGGGAAGTAAAAGTCAAGGCAATCCAGACACCGAGCGTGCGTGCCTGGACGTTCTTGCGATGAGGGCCAGATCCAACGTTTGGGGGAATAAGATCTTTCACATATGGTCCTGCGCGAGTCAGCAACGTAAAGTCTCTATCATGCAGATTAATGAGCACATACCTGACGTCCCATAGGCTTGTCCATGTTGGGCACTCGACTTTGATGCAGCCATGATTTATGGAGATTCTGCAAAAACAGGACTAAGTCACTGGCACTCTGGCAAAATTTGGCTGTTCAACGTACCTTACATATCCATTGATCTGGGGTAATATCTGATTACCCCAGAATTTGCGGGGTTGTGATCGTGGCTCCTCTGGTCATCCTTTTCTGACTATCCCCTAACTAAATGGAATATGTGGGGAGTTTGTCAGAATTATATGACAATTCAGCTTGCAACTCCCGGTTTTCAACTTCCCGTCGCCAAACAAGGCCATTTTTTCCATCCAATTTCTCTATTCCTCAACATTTCTCTTCTTCTCTTCTGCATAGCTTACACGGGTCCCTTCGCACGACCTATCCCCAAACGATGTCCAAAGAAATCACGTCCCCGCGGCCCTACACCTCCGAAGCAGAATGTCTTGAGTACCATTCTCAACTTTTCAGAACCTTCGCCACTGGAAAGACCAAAAGCATCAAATGGCGAAAATGGCAGCTCAAGCAAATGTGGTGGATGCTCGTCGACAATGAGAAAGCCATTACCGAAGCACTAGCAGCTGATCTCGGACGCCACGAGTTCGAGGCCTTGACGTCAGATCTCCACGGGTTGAAAACAGATATTCTCGAACATCTCAACCACGTGGAAGAATGGGCAGCCGATGAGCCAGTGTCCTCAGCTGGTTTCCTTATGGGGACATTGGGAAAGGCGCGCATTCGAAAAGAGCCTCTCGGTGTCGTTTTAGTCATCGGCGCATGGAATTTCCCCTTCCTGCTTACCTTGCAACCCGTTATTGCTGCTATAACTGCCGGTTGCTGTGTCGTCGTGAAGCCGTCTGAGTTATCAGTGGCTTCTCAGAACCTTATGCAAGACCTTGTAGGGCGGTATCTCGACCCAGAAGCCATTAGGCTCGTCACGGGAGGACCACAAGAAACGACCAAACTTCTTCAACTCAAGTTCAATCACATCTTCTTCACTGGTTCGACAAAGGTTGCGAAATTCGTGGCTGCAGCTGCAGCGAAACATCTCACCCCGGCGGTTTTGGAGCTAGGTGGTCAAGGACCAGCGATAGTGACAGCGAAAGCTGACGTCGACCTTGCGGCTAAGCGCATTGCATACGCCAAGTTTCTCAACGCAGGGCAGATCTGTCTCTCGGTTAATCACGTTTTCGTCGATCCAGAGGTTCATGACGCTTTTGTGGAAAGGCTGCATCATTGGACTCAGCAATTCTCCGTTGGAGAGGAGAGTCATATGTGCAAGATCGTCGATCAGCGCAACTTTGAGCGATTGTCAGGCTTGTTGGAGAACACTTCGGGGGATGTGTTTCAAGCTTCTGGAAAAGAAGGGCACAATATGCTGAGCCCGACTGTCGTTACTGACGTGACCATAGATGGTAAGTTTCTTGGCTGTCTAAGTGAAGTTTCTGTCTAACCTTCTCGAAAGATTCGCTTCTTAGTGAGGAGTTATTCGGTCCTATTTGCCCTGTTATCAGAGCGACGTACAAGGATGCAGTTCGCCAGACCAATAGGTAAGCAAACAGTCATGACCAGGGCCAATATCCTATGTCTAACATGTAACAGTGGTCCTCATCCTCTCGCGATCTATATCTTCAGTTCAGACCGGTCAGAGATCAACTATGGTAAGGTTTCTCTGTACAGAGGAACAGAATCCTTGCTAACACTACACGCAGTTCTGCAAAATACCATCTCTGGCGGCGTCACCATAAACGATGTTCTAATGCACTATGGCGTACCCGGCGCTCCATTCGGTGGTGTAGGTGATTCAGGCCAAGGCTACTATCACGGCAAATACGGCTTCATGGCCTTCACCCACCAGAGGACCATCTTGGAAATGCCAACTTGGATGGACAAGCTTATGGCATTTCGATATCCTCCTTTCGACATGAAGAATATGAGCAACTTTGTGGTGAAGAACAACTTGGGCTTCCGACGCGGAGAGACCATGGAGGATCAGGTGGTTGGGGGTAGTCGAACATGGGTTTGGGCAGCACTTGGGGTCTTGGTCGCTTCTGCGATTGGCCTTGCTGTGAAGAACCATGAGAGTCTTCAAGAATTATTTTTGTAAATTTAGAACAAATAACATAGATGGTCAGTGTTCCATAGTAAGAACATAATCACCATTGCCTGAGCTCATCACTGCAAGGATATCTTGTTCAGATGAAGCATACCCATGCATGATTTCTTTGTTTTCTTTTGAACATACACGCCTGTGCCTAAGCGACGATCTTCTCTACTACTCAATATTGCAGTCCCTGACCCTGCTGTCGACCATTTGGGTTAGTCATCGTAACTGTCGTGTCAAACACAACGTGTGTCGGAGTTAACGAATTCCTTGCCTAATTTGACATTAGTGCCTTTCCGGATCCAGCGCTAACACCCGATGCAGGAGCTTGCCCAGCCGAGGATCTTGATGTAATTATGCCTCTCACAATTCATTCTTTTCTGACTGTACTTTTGATTTTCTGTGTCATGTATACATGACGTTACTTCTTCTGGTGCCGCTTATGCATAAACGGTCACCGGATCACCTGCCGAATTCTTCACGTGTCATTAACTAACGGTGTCACGGCAGCACAGTTACTACTCAAGGATCGCCTCTGATCCGCCAATCTACCTCACCGAGCACCATTTGCATTTTATTCATCTTGCCTATACCGTGTTTCATTACCCGCAAGAAAGCACCAGTTCGGGCACAATGCTTCCATCTAACGCTACCAACTATGTCTCATCTCTTCTCTCAGAGGCTCATGAGCTCTCACAGCCATTACTTGATGGACTGTCAACCTCTCCACTCACTATACCCGTTTCATTGGCGTCTGCACTGGGCCTTGGTTACCTGGCAAACAAGATTCTAGTCAGCAGAGCTTTAAACCACGGTACAAAAGCCTATTTCGATTGGAATAAGGAGATTGTGTTGGTTACTGGTGGATCAGGCGGCATTGGAGGCGAGACTGTTCAGCAGTTGGCCAGCAAGGGCATTCGTGTTGTTGTTATCGATGTCCTTGCTTTGACTTACAAGGCTCGTGAGTTACCTTTCCTTTTGAAAAGTTTGGCGGGGACTTACTATGGACAGCATCGAATGTTTACTATTATAAATGCGACCTTACGAATTACGAGCAACTACAAGAGGTCGCTGGAAGAATTCGGCGGTAGGTTATAACACATGAGCAGATGATGACTTTTGCTAACTTTGCCCACTAGGGAGGTCGGCGAACCTACAGTAGTCGTAGCGAATGCTGGTGTCTGTCGTGGAAAGCCTCTATTGAAGGCCACTAAACAAGACATCGACCTGTTAGTACACGGCCATACCTAATCGAGTAAGTTAAACTAACTCGATATCCAGTACAATTGGAGTCAACACTCTAGGTCTCATCTGGACCATCAAGACCTTTCTCCCCGCAATGGTATCACGCAACCACGGCCATCTTCTCATCGTCGCCTCGCAAACAGGCTACTTAGCTACCGTCGGCATCACCGACTACGCAGCTAGCAAATCAGCAGCTATTGCTATTTACGAAGGGCTACATACCGAGATCAAGCATGTTCACAAAGCTACCGCAGTTCGCCTTTCTTGTGTCTCGCCGAGCCATGTACAGACCCAGATGTTTACTGGTGTCAAGTCTGTTCCTGGTATGTCCACCATGACAACTGAATATCTGGCGGACAAGATCTGTGGCATTCTCTTGAGTGGAAGGGGTCAGAACATTATTGTTCCGGCTGCAGCTGGAATGTCACCTTGGGTTCGTGTGTTTCCGGGCTGGGTTCGTGTTCTTCTGCAAGATGCCGCGGCTCCAGCCTTCACGGACTTGAAGCCTCACGATCCGTTCAAACAAACTTAGTAAACAGAGAGTTCATTCTGTACATAGTTCATTCATCAATAGATTCACTATCATATGAGGTTCTTCAGGTCGAGAAGAGCTGCTCTGCAGTTTACAGCTTGCCCCACCCAGTACGGGGTTCTCTGCGGTGATATACGCCCTCAACGACAAGTCTGAACTGCAATAATAAATCTGGCTCTTATTTTGAAATTACACCAAAATTCTTGACTATTTGGCCCACCCTAAAGCTATTTTTCTTTTATTAATCAATGCCTTCACCAAATAAAATCAGTCCTCTGCGCTGACTAGAGCTCTCAGCCATGATTCGCAACTGCAAGTACTATATCTAGATCTCAACTGAGACAATATACCATTGTGTCAACTACTTAATGCTAACAGGCTTGCGGATCGCTAATAACTTTTGGTCCTATGTCTATGCAAATCATCGAAACAGCTTAGGCTAAATGTGAGAGTAACACAAGTTCAATCTTATCGCTGTCAAACTCTTCATTATGACATGCCTTCTACGGTGCAATTCACCAAGAACTCGCCTACGCCATTAGCATATCTCAACCCATTTATCCCTCATCCACCCTTGAGCTGTTCCATAGCACAACAACACTACTAAGTCCCATTCCTATACTAGACCAAACCCTGTACAATATGTCAGGTACCAATTTTCATCATCGATGTAGTTATAACTTACGGAGAAGGCGGCGTTATCCCACCAACACCAAGTACGCGGGTTAAAGATAGGATATTGTAAATAACAGCCCAGCAATTGTTCTGCATCACAATGCGTCTCATGCGCCGTGCCAAGAGTACCATCAACGGAATACGACTCAGCGGAGAAGTCTCCGACAACATCAACGTCGCATCCGCACAGTCAGCATCATCAGACTTCATATCCGAGCCTGCGACACATATACTAAACGACGCAGATGCAAAGCACAAAATGTCGTTGTAATTGTCACCCACATAGATAGCCGGTCCGCGTTGAAGAAAGCGGGCTAGAATGCAAGACTTGTCTTCTGGAAGGGCATTGGCGAATACCATGTCTGAATCAATGCCTACTTCGCCAGCAACGGAGGCAGCCGAATTTGCGTTATCGCCGGTGATCATCCCAACAGTCAAGCCCAGGTCCTTGAGTTGTCGGACGACTTGGTGAGCTTCAGATCGGACTGCATCTTGGAGTACAAATACCGCAGCCTGCTTGCCATCAACAGCCAGCACAACAGCCGTTGTAATTCCAGTTCTCATCTTGACGGGAATTTGACTGAGATCGATGGAAATTCCTAGGCTCTCGATATATGTACGGCTTCCCATGGCCAACTTCCAAATGGTGGACAGTCCATCAGACTTAGATATGGGCTGATTAACTGTCAGGACCCCTTGGACGCCACGACCAAGTTCGTGGTTGACTCCAGACACCATCAAGTTAGCTAAACATTCATACTTCTCTCCTAGCCTTAAATGACTCTCTTGTAATAGCGCTCGGGCAACTGGGTGGGTGTTCCCAGTTTCGACCTCTTGTACAGCCCTCCACAGCATGTCTTGCTTTGGCGATGAATACCACTCTTTAGAGAAGTTCGTATGTGTCACTTTCAGATCTCCATGCGTGAGAGTACCAGTCTTGTCAAAGAAAATAGTTTTAGCTGACGCGGCATTCCGTAGCCTTACATAGCTAGTCACCAACTGAACTCCAAACTTTGATGCTCGCACTAACCAAACTCCTGGGTCAGTTGGGTTCCATTCGATTATTGGGTGATCACATACCTGTGGCCAGTAGTTTACAAGTTGGAATGCTCAAACTCAGTGAACACGGGCAAGCGGCTAGTAGCAACGCTGATGCTCGGCCTAGCCCATCTGGCCAGCTGCTGCCCCTGGTGAACGTAGGAGAGAATGTGAGTATGCCTGCTGCAAACAACATAACTGCACTTGAGAACCATGAAGTAGCACGATGAAGCTGGGGTTCTGAGTTGGTCAATTCCGCCGTCACGACGGACGTGAGTAATTGACCTAGGCGAGTCGAACGCCCACAAGCTGCTGCATTGCAGACGAGCGATCCTTGTTGTACCTGACCACCCGCATACACAGCATCGCCGTTTTCGACTAGTCTAGGCTCCGAGGAGCCGTTGATCCAAGTCTCTATGACTAGAGCTGATTCCGTGCTCTCGACTATTCCATCGCAAGGTATGTGCTCTCCCTGGCTCACAATAACGCGATCGCCAGAAGACAATAAGTCGACAGGAATATTAGAATATTCGGCAGCTGTGCTATATAGCCTAGCCATGGTAGGCACAAGATTTGAGAGCGGAGATGCGAAGACCTGGTTTCGCTGGGAGAGGATGGCCTTGAGTAAGCGGCCACCAAGGATACTCGTAGACAGAATTGGAATGGCCTCCAGGGACTTTGGATCCATGCAATGAAATCCATTCATATCAGTCTGTACAGTATCAGTCACAGCTTGTATAAGAGCCAGCATAATACCCAGTGATGCAAGGGTCGCCATATCTGGTCTTCGTCCGTGCCATGCAGAGCGTGTAGCCTCAAAATGGAGCTGCAATCCAGACACTAGACTCATTACAACAGAAAAATACGCAACTAAATATATGTAATTGTTTTGCGTCGCCCACAGGGCTTTGATGATGCGTGACGCAAAGAAAAGGACCGAAGCCGCTGTCGCCACAAGAAAGTCCCGTTGACATGAATTAACATGATGTTGCTGGGAGTTTATGGGCTTTTGAATGATAGATAACAGACTAGCCCAGCTCTGAGATTCAGATGAAGGCAGTGAATTGGCATCATAGCCAGCAGAGCGGATGGCCTCAATGATCTTCTCCTCTGTCACAACATCATTGTTGAATTCTACTTGAGCTCGAAGTAGTCCGAGTGAAACAGTGGCCTTCAAGACTCCAGGGATAGACCCGATTATATCTTGGACCCCAGATACGCACGATCCGCATGTAAGGCCATCTAGACTCAAGATGCTGACCTGGGCACCTTTGATGAATTTTGGTCGATGGGTGGGGCTATGCTCGACATGATTTTGACGAGGATAAAGAGTACATAATTTCTCGTGTATGTTGAGAAAACGGAAGACGATGTAGGCTCCGACAGCACAACAGGCCATGATTGTCGACTTTGAAAGATTGACTGGCGATACTCTCCCGAACCTGAATGCCCAACTAAAAATAAAGAGCAATATGCTAATGATACACTATTCCGAGCCCATTCCCATTTAGCTTAGGCTTGGCTAATGCACTAACTCTTGCTTGCACTAGGCTGACAAGGATATTTCTGACAATGATATTTCTGACAACGTCTTTTCTGACACGTATTCTTCTGACTAGATTAAGCCACATCACGTCACCAGCAGTAAACCATCGCCGAGGGCGCAAGATCGCGCTGCGTAACAGCTAAAGCAAGCCACATGTCAGTGCACAACCTCCAAACTCCGTAATCATCACTTACCTGTCGAGCAATCCAATTTTGGATATTTCCGCGCAAACTCTTTACTCAATTTCCACTCACAAAAATCATCGAGACCCAGAAACTTGGCTACGTCGTTTGCTCGACTTTCCTCCACAGGATTATCGTCTGGACTTGGCGCCACGGCGTTTATCTGACGATCTAGTTCTTGAAAGATGGCTTCTTCGACTATATCATGCTCAGAAGAGTACCATTCCCCAACCTCAGGGCCGATCTGGAATAGTGTCCATGATGGATCGGTGAAGTAACTCCTCTGAGGGGACTTTTGGTGCTGACGTCGGCGCAGAACTTGATTTTCGAAGATGTCGAGAACATTCACCGCGACGCTGTGGTTAGCGGGTTCTATCACCGAGTGCAAGACAAGGTCTTTAATCAGTTCGTCGAAATCAGTGGTTTCCGCCTCGAGGACGAGTTGGTCTCTGATTTCAGGCCAGTTGAACAAATCAATACCCCAAAAGTGCGTGGGGTTTTTGGATTGTAGTGGTGTTGGACGGAATGGAAGCGGAACCGAATTTCTTGACTCGATTCCGAGACGCCAACTGATGACTCTTTCGATATACTTAGCCCCATTCTATTATTCACATTAGCTTGGGAGTCATTGTTGGTGATTCATCTGGTCTTACCACTCCATAGGCATACGATTCCAGTCCTGCGCAGCGCATGGAGAAACGCACAGCAGTCTTGATTATCTTATCGGCCATATCGCTATGATTTCCAGCGTCGCGCAGGTTATCCAGATGTCGACGACAAGCACCAAGGAGCCTAGAGCCAAAGATAGACATTGACGTGATACTGAGCTGGTTTGGGACGAACAAAAGGGATCTTGGGGATAAAGAAGACATGGCTGGATCTAAGAAGGTGTCCCCAGGCTGCATTGTGCTTGGGGTTAATGCTTCGTGTTGTTCCTGGCCCGCTGTTGATAGATCTAAAAGAAACGACGCGTCTTTGAATATGTCTGTATGAGTGACTTGCTCCTGGATGTCTTGGAAAGACTGATTGTTGATCGACGGATTGAGAGTAGATGGTGTTTCGTGATTGACTAATTCCGTCATCGGTGCAGATGTCTGTGCTTCCAGGTTTTCAGCATCTCTCCTTCGAAATATAGAATCGAAAACCTCATCATCTAATACCAGTGTCAGCTACACCCCTACGGGACAGGTGCGAAAGGGACACCCACCAGCCGCAGCAGTAGCAGCTTGACCGAAACTGAGTAACTTCTTACGCAGCCTCAGCAAGGCATCCTCCAACTTCCGGTTCTCGGCTATCAGCTTAAGATGCGCATCGAGAAGAACAGAGTACCGATCTTGAGGGTCTGAGCCTGTCGCTACCTTCTGCAACAGCTCAATCGTCTCCTCCAGGTTACGGATGTAGGTGATGTTCTTTTCGCGCAGACACTGTTGCGATATGCGGTTCTGTGCTCTTTTGCGCTCGGATGGATCAAGGGCGTTGGCAGCCTTTCGTTTGGTTGGAGGCATGACTTGGGTTGACGAAATGAGGTGATAAGTCCTTGATAAGATTGGTCTGTGGGGGCGGAGCTGGTCTTTATGGTTGCATCAAAGACAAGGGTTACGGGCTTTCGGGGCGCCAGGATCCCCGAGTTCCCAGGATTCCCCTCAGTAGCCTCGAGCTAAACTGAGATCTTCCCCACAAACTACGGTTTTTCCTCCTCGGTTATTCCTATCATTCTCTTACTCGAGGATGATTAAATTGTTACGAGTGGCAATTTCTTGTTCTCCTCTCGGCCTGGTAAATCATAAATTCCGTCTATCTCAAGTTCAAAATAATACATCTACCTACTACCCTTGGTATAAAGACAAGTACAGGTAAAGCCCACGATCAAGCAAACGTCTGCATGACCTCGTCTCTATGCTTCTCAAGATAGTCCGAGAATTTGGTCAGGCGGATCGGATATTTCTCCAACTCCTCAAAGTCGACTTGATATCCAACTTCATTCGCCCACAACTCGGCATGGATCTTCGGGTTGCTCAATGCAGCATCTTTCGCTTCCTGCTCATCATAGAACTCAAGCCCAATTTCTACCCCGCTGACTCGGCTCAACTCCTGCACAATCTGAGCCGGCGTAAGAGACTCGACACCCAAATCTATCTCATGCTTGTTGTAAGACAGTGGTTCAGTAATTGCTGCTGCCGCAAATTTGCCAACGTCGCTTGGATCAACCACTGTCATCGCAGTCTCGGGCTTATATGCAGACAGAAAGGCTCGTCTCTGGCCTAATTCGGGAAACATGTAAGATGCCGTTGGTTGATGATAGTTGTTCATGAGAAAAGCCGGCCGCAGAATCGTCCAGTATTTAATGGCAGATTCTCGTACCATAGACTCGATCTGGGCTTTGCTCAGCCAGTACCACGCCATGGGGTAGTCTGGTCCCCAGTTCGGAAACTCTTCATGTCTTCCAGTCATCGTGACGCTGGAATAGACTATGCTGGTGACTGTTCCGGACTCAGCAGCAGCGTCGATGATATTCTTTGCATGAACTACCTCCAGGTTGGTGTCAGACAACACCGGCAATACGTTGAGAAATACGGCAGTGGCTCCTTTGACCGCAGCCTTGAGTGAGGATATGTCATCGAAGCTGCCGGGGAACAACTGCGCTCCGAGACGCTGGAGCTCGATCGCGGACTTGAATGAAGGGTCTCTAACAAGTGCATGAACTTTGACGCCAGCGTTTAGGAGTTCTCGAGCAGTGGCGCCGCCCTGATTGCCAGTTGCGCCAGTGACAAATGCAATAGTCTGGGACATGATCGGGAAGCAAAAGGTAAAGTTTTGGGGCAAATGAAGTGATGGAGCAACGAGTGATTTAAATCACAAGTGATAATTTTTAGGATTTTCTGAAAACGTATTATTGAAGGAGAACTGACATGGTTTAAATACTTGGACTCAACAGACCTCTACTGTGAATGATGTCCACCTAGACAAAAGAGGAATACACCTCGATGACGTGGATTTCCGACGAGATCTCTGGAACGATTACAAATACTAGGGCATCTACGTAGACATACAAGCCATTTACTCGTCAGTGGTCTGAATTCTTGTTAGAAATGATTCTTTTTTCTACTATCACGTTAGATGGCGCGGTGTGGACTTGCGGATGCGTTAAAGGCGGACTTGGCTATTCCGTATTCAGTAACCAGCTCGACACAATTTCGAGGCTAGTCCTGGTTCAGTATAGAAGATTACAAAGCATGCAAGACTACGGGCATCACATAATTACGACGCTACTAGAACAACGACTCGAAATCATGACGTTTCACAAATGAAGGGGTGAGCAACATGGTCTATTGCGGTAAGCCCAGCAGAGCCTGCTCGGAATGTCGAGTCAAGAGGAGAAAGGTATGTATCCCAGTCGTCCTATCCCAAGAGATCCTAGCGTGTTAACAGATCTGGGGGCGAAGTGTGACTTGTCGAGACCTGCATGTCGTCAATGTCGCAGGGCCGGTTCCAGATGTGCTGGGTATCGAGTGGAGGAGTCTGTTATCTTTAGAGATCAAACTGCCGAAACTTTGGGCAAGGTGTCAGTCTTTTCAACCCTAAAATTACCTAATGGCAACCAGGATGTTTTGGTAAGACCTAGGCTATCCCAACAGGCCAAAGTCCACCATTCGCAAGATATCTCCAGCCATTATCCGTGGTTCAGACTTGAGGTTACGCCGGAAGACCAAGCCTTACATTTCTTTTTTCACCACTATGTTCTGCCTGAGTCTGGGCGGTCCCCTACTCATCCCGACTGTCACGGCATCATTCACAAACGAGCGATAGAACCTGGATACTTGGCTAACCTCATCAACGCTGTCGGACTGGCCGGTCTAGCGTATCTAAGGAACGCGCCCACGCTCATCAATTTAGCCAGACAGTCGTTTTCTCACGCACTTCGCGATATATGCGCTGCACTCATGGACCCCAGTGAAGCATCGTCCGACCAAATGTTAGTCGCTGTAATGCTTCTAGCGTTATACGAAGTAAGCCTTCTATCCCTTCCAGGACAACTCAGGCCAATTAATAACTTGAAACAGACTGTCGCGTTCAATTCTGATGGAGGTTTGAGTCCGTGGAGTAGACATGTAGATGGTGCCTTGGCATTGCTACAGCTCCGAGGAGCAGGCCAGCTGCGCAACAGGATCGGCCGGAGCATTTTTCACAGCTTGCGCTCTGAAATCGTAAGAGAACCTCAGAAAACACATTTCGGTTAATCTTCTGACTTTTCAATAGCTTATCAACTGCCTTCAGCGAAGGCTGCCGGTACCAAAAGTCCTCATAGACTTTATGGCCGAGGCTCGCAGCAATGAAACAGCACAAGAAGCCCCTGCGGCTCGGCTAGCAGACATTATTGTCAGCGTATGCGCCGCTTTACCCTCAGCCGAGGAAGACATCACGGACGAAGGGACTTTGTCTTCCCACGTTTCAAGACTATTGTCGATCGATGCAAATCTCAAGGACTGGGCCCAAACACTCCTAACCGAATATGGGTACAAGATCCGAACCAAGTCAATGGATCTCGATGAAGCGGAAGTGTTCATGGGACGACATGACATATATTCCAGCGTGGAGATTGCCAACACGTGGAACTTGCAGCGCTGTGTGCGTATTATTGTACGTCAAGCACTCGTTGAAACCTTATCGAAATACTTCCCCATCCCGTATTCGCCATCTTTCTCTACATCATACAGAGACCTACTCCAGACTTCAACTATAGTCATAAAAGACACCTCTAGTGATATATGCTGCAGCATTTCATATATCTTGCATGCCTTTGATGAGACAGGTAAATCGAGCGACCTGCGGGCTGCTCATGCTGTGCATCTTTTATGGCCACTCTATATCGCCGGAACAACACATAATGCCAATGACGCTTTACGGTATCGGATTATATCAACGATGGAAGATATCAAGGATGCTGCTGGTATTCAAGAGGCAGAGCGTATAGCCCTAGCTGTACAACAACGAGGCCCGGAGTTAAGATGCCAAAATAACATCACGAACCAGACGGATGATGATATCTGGATTCGATCGTAGAACCAGTTTCAGTAACCTGACATGTTAATGATAGGTCTCGATAAACAACCTGGAGCAAAAAGAATATGGTTTAATTTCAGAGTGAAAAGAGGGGGTAGAACTCTTTATCCACTAGTGTAAATAACCTGTCCAACTGTCCAAACTAAACCTCTGTGTTTTTATATTGCCTTCTCGCCACATACCTTGTCAATAATTGTATCTTTCTGAGATTTCCTGTTTTTCTTAGTTTAGAAGGACGTTCTTTTTCGTTTACAGGGTGTTATTAGAACATTAAGTTGCAATTTGGAAGGCAGGAAGTATTCAGATTTCATTCGGCGTGAGTCACACTCTGTACATCAATAATGCTTGGGCCCACACTGCCGACTGCCACAATCCAGTTCATCTGTTCACGACCAGGCTGTTCCTCTTGTCATGCATCGCACAACACGTATTTACCAGAACAGGACCAAATCAAATCATGTAAGGGGCCACAAATCTGGCAAACACGGAATTCCTTTGTTAGAACATTGTCCGATGATGTGGATGGTCAGCCGCCACATACTAATGGAGGGGACGTGTACAAAGAAACAATTCCCAGTGTTCCAACCGCCAGAAGGCCAACATGCAGCCAAGACTACACTTGAAATTTCGCGAATGCCGTGTTCATTATGCTTACGATTTCTCGGAACTATTTTTGGACCTGTTAGCCACTATCGTGAGATACGCGTTTCCATAGACGTCACACATTCGAGCTGACCTACGAACCCAAGCATCATTAGAATCCTGAATAATGCAGAGACTGTCAATCTACAGTTATGGCATTTCCAGTTTCTGTGCCAGCCTAAACGCATCCCGGAAACCTCTTGGAAAACCGTCGATTGAAATGGCGCTAAACAACTGATGGGATGTATTGGTGTTCAGTGTAAGAGGCTGGACCGACCCCCATCAATGACTGAGAGCAGCTTACTTTGTATCTGCAGGTTCATAGGTGCAGAGAGTGGCCTTTTTTATCGTTTCGTCGTATTTTAGTGATCTTGTTGGGAATAGTTGAGACACATGTCGATGTCCATGGTGAGATGTCCACTCTAATGGCCATCTTCCGATTGTAGTGATGGTGGAATCTTTCGTCTCTTAAGCACATCTGATACGGTGTTCTATATAATCTTTCATGAGTCAATGAAAGGTTAAATGCCATATCACTCATCATACTCACCTTGATCAACAGCAAAGCCAATCGCTCCCAGGAGAGCATGTATGCTGAACTCATCTTCCTTATAAGCCACAACCTGCATCCCTTACTTATTCTTTTGACCATATAGTGCAAAATCGTACGACATTACATCTGATGAGCAAGCGGATGTCTGTTCGAACTGATTAAGTTTACTCAAAGTAGGTGTTATTGTATGATAAATACCTCGACACAGATCGCATGTTGAGGAGCTTCTCTGCAGGTCTTGTAATCCCTCATGAAACGGGATAAGATGCGCCCCTGGAATTTGACTCAAGAAATCACGTGACATATAGGTAAACATATTTTTTAACTGAGCAGGTCCCTCGAAGCTACCGTAGTATTTGTCCATTTTACAACTCAAGATATCGACAGATCAAGGCCGGCACAAAGTCAACAAAGCATTTTTCGTAAGGACTGAAGCAACTTTCGAATCGATTGGTTGGTGTTTCTTGGAAGACGCCTTATGATCTAAGTTAGAATGCCTGCTTGTGTCCTCTGAAGGTTTCATCAGGCCACGGTCAATTGAAAGGTTTAATTTCAAGAGTCACGTGCTAAGACTCTGGAATTATTGCTGGCAAAAACACCTCACTACTTCTGAGTTAATACTTCTAAGGATAACATTTGAGGAGACGTTGAAGTTATAAATTCATCATTCATCCAAGCCCATTAATTTAATCAAGATGTTACCTAGGTACTAACTGTCCAAGAGGCGCCAACTAAATCAGCCTCGTAGGGCTGACATCAATGGTGAATGGCGGGGTTAGGCAACCTTGAACGTGAAAACTATTTTCATCAAACAACTCAATTTCGCAACAATCTCGCCATACAGGTCTCTGTATTCAACTCAGCCCTCTATTCAATCACAACCATGTCTAGCTCAAAGAAATCAAGTCGAGGAACCTCTGTAGCAAACGAGTTCAACCAAGCCCTTCAGGAAACCCCCGCATTTGAACCAATGCGATACACTGCAAACTATGTAAGGATGGCACAGGTAACATGATCATCGTCCAGGAACAAAAAGCATATTCTAACACATTATCAGCTTGAAATGAGTGCCTCTGAGCTTCAAGCTCTCATGGCTGGGCTTAAAGAGGCAGGGAAACTCTTGCCTGAGAATTTTGATCCAGATAAGGAGTCGTGGCCACCGGAGGCAGAAGAGCTTAATCAAAGGATGGAAGAAATGTTGAAGAGTTATGATAATCTTGCCGGGTGCTTTAAACAATTTGTGCAAAGTGCACAGGCTGCAGGTGCTATGGGTGTTAAGCGCCAGCAGTGATCTTGTGTAGGAAATATGGCTGGGTTACTGGTGTTGCCAAATTAAGATGATTATCGGGTTTCCTTGAAATTATGTTATTAAATATCTGATTTGATGAGTGATGGAGTGCAACACGTTACCAACAACAGACAACAAAACTTTCGTCTGAGCTCTTATGGCGCCCTCCTTGATCTCTCTGGAATACTAACAGAGCCACTGGGAAGAAAGCCTTGCATCTCCGAGAAGAATAGGCATCCTGTAAAATTCACAGCACCAACTCCAACCCCACCAACAGTCGCTTCTTCGCCTTCGAGAGCTAAGGGCTCCTGTAATTACAGGGCACTTATAGCGCACCTCCACTAATTCCACAAGCTATCTACCAACATATAACGCAGTTCAGGATAGCTATTCCAAAGAAAAGAAAGCCAGTCGCATAAAATAGAAATTCAACTCTATCGTTGATTTAACTTATGCGTGTTTAAGGAAATGTTCCCCATAGACTGCCTCTTGTATTTCTTCAGTTCACCTAAGGATGATACGTGATCTCTTATCTCTTATCTTATCTTATCGCGTCCCATCTTAAGATCGAGCCTCTTAATATGATGGTCCTCGCCTCAGCTGTTTCATCTTAGCCTAGTATTTGAATCTCTCTCAAAACTAAGATCTCATACTCGCTTCGATGTAGCTTGTAATATAATTCGCTCTGCTTTTTAATGTTGTTAAAAGACACCGTTTTCAATGTTAGCGGACCGCTGCTATCGAGTCTCACGGCTGCTGAGTCGGGAGAATGTCAAGTGAGCATGTTGCGCGTTTCGGTAGACTCTAGGCTTCCGTTGACCGGGAAGGCAGAGCGAAGCACATAGTCACACGGGAGAAGCGTTTCTCAGAGACAAAGAGGCAGAAATGCCAGGTAGAGTGGCCATCGCGCTAGATTGAATCTGGTAGTTGACGGTACCCAGGCTTTCAATCAGATAGATTGAGGTAAGGAGGACAATAGGATCCAAGAGTCAGTCCTCAGTCCAGGGCAACAGTGAGCGACATGCCGAATAAGTTATATTAGTCAGGCAGCGACGTGCTCAGCTAACCAAGGCCAAATGCTCAGCTTCCTCTGCCTTGCTAATGACGTTGTGGAACGGACATCAATCTTGTGACACTTGCTGATGCAAATATAGGTCCTCATGACACTCAGGGACAGATGCGACTAACCGATGACGCCTGGTGTTGGACCAGCTCTCCCTGCACGTCCCGGGTCTTTGGGTCTTGGAACCTGAGCTACATCAGGCGGAATTGAGACACTTGAAAGCCCATTCATGTTAGTAGGTCCGTATTCCCTTCCCTTACTCTTCACCCACAACTTCAGGTCTCGGAGATCAGCGAGGTTTGTTCCCAGTTGTTTGTGCATGCGTTCGATTCTTTCACTTGCCAGTCCTGGCTGCATGGACGTCGAGCCAAGTAGCAAACAACGCCTGGACATACCAGATCAACACTGAAACCTCAAATCTCACCATCGGAATTCCGAATAGTCTCGAGGACAAAGAGAGAACAGGAATCACTGTGATTCATGACCATCCCTTCTGGGAATACTTCTTTTCGGGGCTGATTGAAGGAACAAACTTGCCTTTGTCACCATCGCGCATCGACCCCTCTGTCTTTCCACTAACAAGCAAGGTGGCGACGTCTTACCAACGCCATCACGGGCTGTGGCCAACAAAGAGTATCATGTTTGCTCGAACCATACCGTCTCGTGGGAAATGAAGATGGTGTTCTTCCGGCAAGTCCGAGATGCGCTAAGAGCTCGACAATATGAGTGGCTTGTACCATTAATAGAGGTCGTAGGCAGCAGTACAAGAGGACCGCACAGCGAAGTCATCGGAATCGCCGGTGTCGCTGCTTTGCTTATAAATACCCCAGGTTAATCGTGTTTCAAAATCTCTTAACTGCTACCATCAGCCAACCGCAAGCTTCACATCGCCCTCATTCACTTGCATTCAACGTTTCAAGCTATCACCTACTTCACAACAGAGTTCCTCATCTTTTCCCATCATGGCTGAAAAGACCAACAAGAACGAGTTCCCTATTGAGGAGATTGACGACAACTCCTGGATGACCGGTCAGGTTGTCATTTCTCGCCATGCTTCTAAGCCAGATGGCCCATGCTGGGATGATGGCAAAGGCGCCTTCTTTACCATCTCCGAGGCCCCGAGCCCAAAGCCCTCGACCCGGCCTCTCTCTGATTCTTGCCCCATCGTCGAACTGTCCTGTGGACCCATATATACACTCGCAGGCAATTTTCAGGTTGGCCACGCCTATCTGACGATTAATCCCAACATAGGAACCCCCGAGCACATTACTCTGGAAAAGCTCGCCGAGATGGACCTTTCGTTCAAGGTCCCAAAGGTCTACTACCACGGAGTCCACAGTGACAGATATTATCTGGTCTGCAGCTCATTCCCGTCGGGTCGCGAATTGCTGTACGCCTGGCTCGAGACTGATGATCACGATACCAGGTCACTTTGGGTGGCACAGATTGCTGACGCCTGCCTGGAATTGTCCAAATTCCGCGGCAGCGCTATCACTGCTATCGACGGTGGCATTCTAAATGACCATATGTTGACGCGAGAGGTTGGATTAGCTAGCGACATGGACTATAAACCCGAGAAGCTGCGCGAAAATTGTTCAGAAATTGGTCTCGACTGCTCTGAGCTCGCGTTTGCCTTCAACAACATCCAGCCACTTGCATTCACGGTCAACAACGAGGGTCTGGTAGGTATCAGGTCCTGGAGTCATGCTGGTTTTGTCCCCAGGGACTGGATCGGAACAAAGGTGCGCACGAACGATTTGATGGAGTCGGCCGATATATGTAATAAGCTGTGGACGAAGGAGGATAAGGCTTATTGGTCTTACTACATAGGGGTGGCTCTCAAGGAGAAAGGCTTCAAGGAGTTCTGGCACGAATTCGCCACCTGGAATTCCAAGAATGTCGAACGACACATGGAAAAGATTGGAAAGGCTTGAGATAATTATGATTGAGGAAATTTTAGTTTGGTTAAGAGGGGTTTTTGCCTGAAGGTTTTCCCCACAAATACAATGATATTCTACGAAGGCTAAGCATCTTGAACTAGCTAAGATGAGGTGATTGGTGAAGTGAGATGAATTTAACAGATGATTTACGATAAGGTAGATAAGAAAAACCATACCAGGATGAGCATCGCCAAATCGATCCGGATTATATATCTTCCGATTCATTGAGATATGATACTGTGTGCTTGCTTATTGGTCGAAAAAGTGAACTCCCTCTATTGATGAATTTAAAGTCTGTGCAAATCGGTGTCGTGATTGAACTTCAGCGGATCGGCTAATGAAAGGCATTCTTGGTATCTGCCCCTCCTTCCCTCTCTATCTTCCTCCCCCTCACCCTTTCTCCTCTAGTTTCTCCGGATATGAATCAGCTTGGCATCATACATAACGCTCATGGTTCAAGTTGCTGCCTCGTCCGTAGCGGAACCGGCGACGAAGCCAGCAACTAGAATTACGACGACAACCACGACCAGAGTAGCAAAACCTGTGTCGAGACCATTGTTGAAATCTGCGGTGGAAGCATCTGTTGAGACGACAGGGCCTGAGGAGGCGACTGGGCCGGCAGCGAGGCCACCTGTAGCATCGTTAGTTGGACCGTTACTATTCTGAGGATGTTGATGTCATGAATTACCCTGCCCGTGATTCTGGTCTCTTCCAGGCAATGACAAACCACAAAGCTTTCCATCCTTCTTCTTACGTTGGCAGGATGTTGCGCTGTTCATGTTGGTGTATCCGCAGTCGCATTTGCCTGAGGCATACACAGGGCCGGTGGGCTCTGTGTTGGGAGTGGGAGGTCGGGAAGCCATTGTTCGAGCAGCTGAGGAGTTTAAATGGGGTAATTTAAGTAGAGTAATCAATGTAGACCTTGGTGGGCGAGAGACTTTGCAAACTGTGTGAAATTAGGTAAAGGTAAGAGTCCTATTGAACTCTTTCGAAGAGAGAGCAGCGGGCTTTTATATCAAGGACAAAGCCCGGTTGGGTTTTCTGTCAATCCCGATCATTTCAAGCCTTTTCGGTCATATTTACCACTGCTGCATGCTATTTTCGTAAACGAACGCCAACAAAGAGCTCTCATGAGCTAAGTTGATTTCATGCCCTCCACAACTTCTCAGTGCAGGGTTTATGTAGGTCTGTTCTCTGGTCTAGATCATTAGCGATGTTCTTCACCGCAATGCGAAATCCAAACTTTCTTTATTCGGCAGCCAGGCGCAAGTTTGGTCTGCATAAATGGCACATGAGGGCAGGGGTGTTGTCAGGGCTGACGGGGGGAAACTTGCTTCCACCCGTCTTCCATGGGCATTCTACGCGCATGTCAGTGTGTGCTCCTGACATACGAGACGTCATGGGCGGTGTCGACCAACGCTCGTGGGCAATAGCTTCAGTCGGACGTTCATGGGGATTCAACACAGTGTTCATGTTGGGCCTATAGAGGGGCATGGTGGAAGCCACAAAGTTGTACAATCAGTTGAGCTTAGTTGTCGTTCAGTAGTAGCTAGTTGTATATGATATATGAGAAAACAAGCGTCAGAGAGACAGGACAGTATCGTATGCGACGGGCGAAAGCAGCAAGTGACGGCAGAGGAACTCTTGCTTCTCGCATGCCAAACCTGCGAATTATCGGTACCATGACATTTGATATGGTACAAAGAAATAAGCTCATCGCCGTCGTCATTCGGTATGTTGGCCAGGCCGTTTATTGCTCCAAAACTTCTGCCCAGAGCGAATGGCCCGTCGCAAATTGCTTATTCCCGCTTTGGCCGCCACCATGTTTCTCTGCTGGCTATGATGGGGGCGCATGGCTTGAGTATCGCCAGCCGCACACTTCTTTTTTTGGCTGATGCAATACCCTGATAACTTGCTTAACTGGCAAGCCACGTTTACTGAAGCGGCATGTTTGGCCATGAATTTTCGGCCTTTTGACTAAACCATGAGTGACAGTCAAGCCATGATGCTGAAGTGCAGGGATGATAGCTCTATGCAGAGCGATTCCCGCTCACTCTGAAGACCAGCCAGATCGGCTGACGGAGAGCTTGATGGGTAGGCTTACTCCTCTCTTCTGCTAGCCAGTATCCTGGGCCAATCGGGGGTTCCTTGGCACAGGAGGCTAACGTTGTTTGTAAAGGCTGCTCAGTTGAGCGGCGATCAGTTTGATCGCCAGGCACGCCGTCAGAGCTCCCCTAACTTTGGGCTGAATGGGATCTCCATGGTGGGGGTGGGGGAGCTACAGCTCCCCTCATTGCTCTGAGAAGTATGGATCGATGTACCTATTCTGCTCCGCAAACCCTGACATCTGTTCAAGCCGTCCACTTAACTACCTCTCTCAAAACGTTGGGGAGAAATGTGGCGTCTATTGACAGGGGCTATTCCGCTCTCCAGCGAAAGGAGTTGGCATATTTCTTGACCTCAAACGTACAATAGCAGGAGGCGGAGTCAATTAGTGTCGGCCTTTTCTGAACCGGAAAACCCCGACAGCAACCTCCCAGCTGGAAGAGACACGGGGAGAGCCAAAGAAACGGCTGCGTTGTGTCCCAGATTCAGCCCTAGCTCCGTTGTGAAGAGCTGGGGCGCTGCCAGTGCGTCATCCGTTTGATTGCCGGCATGGGTGACAGGGGGTTGTTGGGACCCAGCTGCAACACGGTTCCCGATCCCAGAGCAAAGGCACGCAGCTAAGCTTGAGCTATGGTAAGCCACGTTGAGTTACAACCGCTGCTGCGGTCGCAAGAAACTTGCGGTGACAGATGTCGGAGTTGCCGGTGCGCCCGATGGGCAGGTGAACCTCTTCATTCTTTGATCTGTAACTTATGAATGAGAAAATGAACTTGGCTCAAGCAAGCCACAGCTTTACGCTAACGCGACAGGGCGGAACGGAAGCTAGGGGATTGGTTACAACACCTAATCTCAAAGCGGCTCATGTTTTTGTCCCCTTGCGGACGACACATCTGGTGCCGTTGTTTCGTTTGGGCGACACAGTCACCGAACCAAACAAACAGGCCTCATTGGCTGAGCGAAAGCAAACTAACAGCAGTTATCGACGCCCGATAGGGGCCTCTGGACCCTGAACCAAATGAAGTCAGTCAATACCGTGCCAATAATGTATATTGTCACCCAACACTGATATTTCAACACTGTGTCGCTCTTGTGAACAAAGTGCATGACGTATTGCACTTGAAGTACCTGAGATACAGAGAATTTGATTGGAAGCTGTTCCCCGTGAGCGACAACGATTTCCACGGTCAATCAAGCCACGGGTCGTTGGACTACTGGCATTAAGGACTTCTCCTTTTGTGAGATCAACCCCTAATATTGAGGTAGCTCTGTTGACAAATTACATCGCTTTCAATCCCACTGAGATGCCTCCTTGAGTTTGGGATTGTGGCGTGGGGATTGGCAGCTCAATTGAACCAGGCCCGTGAAACACGTCTATCGTGCTTTCTGAAGATTTATTCATCGATTCATTTGGTCAGCCATTCCAACTCCCTGCAGTATAGAAGAGTTACTTGAGTATATTTTTTGTAATTCAATCTGGTTGCAGAACAGTGATTTTTTGACGAAGTACGAAGTCGGTCGTTTAGGAACCCCCACAGGCTGCTAGCTCTGCCGCGATGCAACGGCGCGCTTAATAAGGTTCACTAGTGCATTTCTGACAATGGATGTCTCACGCCGTTCCGCCCCCAGCAGACACAGCAGCCCCTCCCGCTACCGGCATCGTGGAATAAGCTCCATAACGGGAGACAGATCTTGATGGCGACTGTGCCGTGCGTGATCCCAACTCCGATCCAAAATCGCACAGACACGTGGAGCTTGGAGGCTTCCATTGAAAACACTGCACTGTTTCCATTCCCCCTTCAAAACGCGACAGACAGAAAATCCCCCATTGGCTGAACCATCCACCTGGGATAATCGATAAACGAATATGATCTCACAACGTCCAGCGCTGCTTCTGGAATCTTCAACACGGCCTGTTCCGCGTCTGTCCAAAACCTTTAAATGGGCAATCCACCGTGACGTGTTTTATTGACCTGTTGAGGCTGATGCACGTAACGGAAAAAGGCCGCCTCTTCTTCTTTCCCAGCGATAGCATTTCTGAGGTCCACTTGTATCAGCAAAAACATTACCGTGAGGCAGAAATGACTTCGTTGGGATGTAGGCGTGGCAGTTGCGAAAATATTAGTGAATATTTTAGTAGCTCATCGACTCGATGTTTCCGCCAAACATACATTTGAGATGATAAATTCAATGTAATTTGAACTTCATTACGATGGTTTCCTCACAACTGACCATGATAATGTGTCCTCAATAAAATTTGGCAATGAAGTCTTACCCGATGCCAGATTAGGCAATTCTCACTTACCGCCTTAGAACTGACTCTTTCCAAGTTCAAGGAATCAGTAAAAGGCATCAGTACCCTCGCAACGCATTTTAAGGATGACTCAAGCCTGAAAGTCTTCCTAATAATTGTTTTTCTACCCACTTATAATACTAGAGAAGGTGTCAGGTTCAAAACACAAGCATCAGAGTCCAAACTCTGGCTTCTTCAACGCGGCAAAAACTCATGTACTTAGACTTTTGGTGTGTTTTCTCCAAAACATCGGGTACCGATTTCTCTCGTGGCTAAATGCCGCACCGCCACATCAGGCTCCCGCGTCAAGGCACCAGCCTCATCCAAGCTCTCACCTCCAAACTGTCCTCAAGACCGCCTCTCCCAAAAGCCTCCCTACAACTACCTAACCCTCAGTCCCCCCCTTCCCTGCGCAACACCATCATAATGTCAAACTACTACTCATCGCAACAACCGCAATACCCCGCCGCCGGCGGCCCCAACGCCGCGCAGAACCTGCAGTTCTTCCCCTCCCAGTACACAAACCCAGGCTCCTCGACACCCCAGCAAGCAGCAGCCGCAGGCTACGGATACGGCAACCAGGGCGGCTATGGCGTCGGAGCCCCAGCGCAGAACTTTGCGGCTCCCGCTTTTGGTGCGCAGGGCGTCAGTGGAAGGATGGGCGAGCAGGGCGGGTTGAGGACTGGTTGGGTTGCGGCTTTCTCGTCGGAAGGGTATGATGGTGAACCGCCTCTGCTGGAGGAGCTGGGCGTTAACTTTGGACATATCCAGGCAAAGGTAAGTTTTCTTCTCAATTGATTGGGTGGTGGTGCTGATTTGTTCTAGACGCTCGCTGTGTTGAATCCCTTCCGACGTATCGACTCGCATATCATGGACGATTCCGACCTCGCGGGCCCCCTCATCTTCTTCCTCCTCTTCGGCTTCATCCTCCTCTTCTCAGGCCAAGTCCACTTCGGCTACATCTACGGCCTCGCCGCCCTAGGTTCCATATCCCTCCACCTGATCCTCTCCCTTATGTCGCCCTCCGACGCCAGCGATCCCCAAGTCAACAGCTATCCCCAATACAGCAGCGATCCATCCGCGCCTCAGCAACAACACGACGGTCAGCAGGGCGGCCACTTCTCCGCGACACTGACATACCCCCGCAGCGCGAGCGTTCTCGGATACTGCCTGCTACCGCTCGTGGCGACGAGCTTGTTCGGCATCGTGATGAGGATGGATACACCCGTTGGCATTGTCGCGACCACGGCGGCTATTCTCTGGTGCACTTACAGCGCGAGCGGGATGTTCTGCGCCGTGGGACAGATGAAGCGCATGCGAGGACTCGTTGCGTATCCCCTTGCGCTGTTCTATGTTGGATTCGGCATCATGGGTATTTTCAGCAGCCGAGGAAGTGGAACGTTCTCCAACGCTGCTGCTAAGCTCAACGCATAAAATGGGTAAACGACACGTTGCATAAATGGTTCCGACATGATGGGGAGTTTTTCTGCTTGCGGAAACTCGACGCTGTACATGATGACGCCCTCGCGGCGAAGATACGATGGAGGGGCGGTAGGCGTTCAGATGGCGAGACGCAAGTTACACATACGGGGATATGTTCCCTTGTACTAGAATAATTATTTTTGTATGTCACGATTAAAAAGAAGCAGAGACAGAAAGTTCAGGTTAGCGTTGAGACTCTTAAAAAAGCAAGTTTCAGATATGCAAAGACATCGTGACCATCTATATACCACAAACCAGCATGCAAAGGCATCGAAAAATTGTGCATCCTCCTTGATCATGAAAAACGTTGTTTCTTTTTAAACCGCACTCAGAATCCGCCCATCCGATTCATCATGCGTCCGCCGGCGTTAAAGTACAAATGTTGGAAAGCTGCCCCCAGCAGCGTAATTAAAATAGGGCTGATATGGAAAATCCCAGATTCCTCCGTCAATTCATTCCTCGTGTCAAAATCTAAGCGCCGTTGGTCTTGACGCCATTTGTGGGAGCATCGTCAGCGACGCCGAAGAGCACAGAGTATTGACCGCCTGCGCCGGCTCCAATAATCTTCTTGCCGCGGATGGCAGTGTTGTCGATAAGAGTGGGAGTGTGAATGTCGTCGATTGTGCCTTGGCCGGTTTGGTAGTTGCTGGAGAAGCCCCATGAGTAGACCTTGCCGTCGGAGGCGATGGCGAAGTTGTTGTCTGTACCGGCGGCGACACCGACGATGTCCTTGGCGTCTGTAAATATTGGTTAGCAGATGGATCGATATTCAGGATTATGAGTAACTTACCAGGCTGGACGGTAGGCTTGAAGAGAATACGAGCGTTGCCTCGCTCGTCGTAGATGGTGTTGTCCTCGGACAGCTTGTCAAACTCGAAGCCGACTTGGTAACCGTCGACACGACCCCAGGTCAAGAGATCGCCCTTATCGGAGCAAGCAAGTGAGTGATGCTCACCGCCATCGATTTCGGTAATGTTGTAGTCATCGAGGTATGTAAGCTTAGCAGGTCGAAGGATAACAGCATCGTCCTCGCCAGCATTCGACTCAACGCCGATCTCGCCAAAATTGTTAAGACCCCAACCATAGACCTGTCCGCTCTTGTCAATAGCAAAGCTGTGATACGAACCGCAAGCGATCTTGGCAATCTTGCCGCGGGGTAGACCGACACCCTGGGGAATGAGGGAGGACATCTTGTTGCGCTCGATGATACGGCGGCCGAGCTGGTTCTGTTGACCGCAGCCCCAGGCGACGACGTTGCCCTTGTGGTCGAGAGCGAGAATATGGTTGGAACCAGCGGAGAGGGACTTGATGTTCTTGAGATCGCGGAGCAAGAGGGGAGTAGACTGGACCTTGACGGTCTCTGAGAAGCCGAGGATGCCGTCGCTGGATCGGAAGGTTCCCCAACCGTAGACTCGACCATCTTCTGTGAGGGCGAAACTGGCGCTGTCGCTGGCGACAACCTGGACGAACTTGGTGCCGGGCGCGAAAAATTCGTCGGAAACAGCTGTTGGTGTGCTCTCCATGGGGTTAATACCAGTGTCATCCTCATCTTCCGAGTCAGAATCCTCTGGCTTGTCCATGTCACGAAGACCGCCATCCCAGTTTGTATCTCTTCCAAGCGCGCCCTGGTCATTGACGCCCCATGTCAAGATCTTGTTATCATGGGTCAACGCGACAGCGTGCATGCCACCGCAAGAAATCTGGACGACGCCGACATTGGCGGCGGAGAGGTTATCGTTAAGTCGGGGACGCTTGACATCAATTGGCTTCTTGTTGTTGACGCGCTTGCTTCCGAGACCAAGCTCACCGGAGGAGCCCTCGCCAAATACATACACATCGAGGATCTGAGTGGGCGCGTCGTTGAGCTTCTTTCCGATCGCAGGGAAGTCGGACTTCTTCTTGGGCTCGGCCTTTGACCCAACAGGACGGCCGGGTTTCTTGGCAGCGGGCTTCTCCTCCGCCTCTTCAGTCTTCGCTCGTGTCGTTGTCTTGGCCTTTGGAGCAGCGGCTTTGGTCTTGGGTGCGGGCTTGACAGCGGGCTTCACGACGCGTTCTGTGGTCTTGGACTTCTTTGTCTTGCGATCTTCCTCCTCCTGGGGCTCAGACTCTTCCTCGATCGCCTTGCGCTTCTTGGTGGCGCCATTCGTGGCAGCAGGTTCAGCCTTCTTGGCGGCGGCAGGTTTTGTAGTCTTAGTCTCCTTCTTCGCAGCGGCAGCAGCTGTTGTGGCCTTCTTGGCCGCTGCGGTCTTGGGAGCAGCAGCTGCTTTGGCTCGTGGCGCCATCGCGTAGGATTTGTGACGTGATGATTTGTTGTGTGTGACGCGCGACAGTTGTGCTTTTTTGCTCAGAGAAGTAGCTTGATCGGGGAGATTGAAAAGTGCAAAATTTGATGGAGTGATGTGTGTTGATGATAAGATTAAGCTTGGGAAGAGCGTAACAATGAAGAAAGTGGGTGGATTTTTCTGATGAACAATAGGGAACCAGGAAAAAAAAAGCTGATCTGACCGCGCTGGGGGCAGTGGCAGTGATCATTTGCGGGCTGGACAGGGGATGATGCCTGGATTGGGTGTCACCGCCCGGGAGCTGTCAGCCAGTTCCAATTGCGCTAGTGGTTTTTCTGCCGGACAAATCTCCCAGTTACGAGCCACAACAGCAGAGCTTTCAAAGGCGGTGAATCGAGAGCTGTGCAGTTGTTCATCTTATCAGCAGATACGCGATTTACTGTTGGTGATTGATGAAATGAACGTTGCATCGTTTTGAGCACAGACGCTGCAATAGTACTTCAATTATACGTCGCAACTTTATTGTCGTCCGATGTTGGACTGACATCTGATCTGACAAAATTTGGTTTCAACTGCGCGTTCTCGGAATGAACAATTGAACATCACCTCGACGCGTTTGCTTAGCGGCCAAAACATCCCGATGCGTCTGACTGGGAACGTATTGTAGTGCAGACCCTCACAATTTTTGTTTGTATCACACAATTGCACATTTCTATTCGTAAGTTGAATATCTTGAGTGTTGTTCATTTCTGTATTCGTATCTCAGGTATCTATCGCCTCGCCACCCAACCAGTACCATAACCGTTCCCCAACGCCATCCGAATGCAATGTTTTATTTTCTACGCCATTAAACCGTATTCATCGTCACCGATATCGTAAATTTATTTCTTGGTAGTGAAGTCGATCTCGTTGGCAGGGTTAAAGCCACCATCAGCAGCCTTCTCACAAGTGCAGCCACCTAAAAACCCCACAATTAGCAAGCAGTCGTCACAGGAACACTAAACACCACATACCAGCAGGACGAGATCCGCAAGCGCAGGTTGAACCGGTAGGTGTGACGTTCTCGGTAGCGGCGCGGTCGCATGTGCATTCACCGGCGGGTCGAGCGCGGCATGAGCATCGAGGACCGTTGACGGTGTTTTCGGAGGCGGCTTTGGAGCATGTGCATTGGAGAGCGGACTTTTGACCGCATGAGCATGTGGCTTTTTGAGCTGTGATGGTTGTTAGAAGAGTTGTGAATGGTAGGGGGGAGGGATGATGTCACGTACCACAGGCGCACTCGACGTTGTCGCCGGAGCGGCAGCAGGTAGCAGGAGTGTTGACGACCATTTTGAAGGTTTGGAGGTGTTGTTGAGTTGTTGGGAAGAGTTATTAAATTGGTGAGGGTATGAAGAGAAGTAATTGAATTGTGAGATGCTTGCTTGAGATGTCGAATCTTGGAAGCGGCTCTTGGTCTTATTTGTACTTGATCGCTTTCAAAGAGTTCGGCCCACTTTATCCAAAGCTTCACAGCTGCGGACCTGCGAGCTGGTAATCGCATTCGCTGTGATTGGTCAAGAGCTACTGACTCAGCTTTCCCAGCCAATGAGCGATTGCTTATTCTTTTTTTACTCGATTGTCGCCTCCCAGAACATGCCATGCTGATACAGACCATGTCATGCGTCTGTCAGCTAACGAGCTAGACCAACTAAACGAGCCTCAGCATTTTCGCTTTGTCCGTCATTGGTTCTTCAAGTCTTGTATTGTCAGCAACGGATAACATTTCTCTGTTGTGTCTAGATAAATGTAAGGCCGTTATTATAATAGTCTCTTTGGCAATAAATATGCTCCCAAGTATTACTGATCATAGCTCAATTGATGTATACAGTGTAAATAACTACTCATAGTTGAATCATCTATCAGTTGTGATCACTCACCGATCAAGACCAGGTCCTTCATCGTTACACAGCGCCACTGCCGTTGTCAATGCGCTTTACTCCGCGTCGGCTGTCTCCGGTCGGTTGTTGATGAGGTCCCTGCAAGCCACCGTTGCCAAAACAGAGAACTGATAAAAGAAAATAAGCGCAGGTACTCTGTAAGAAAAGTAACATGAACTGAGATGGCTTGCAGCCATCCGACACTCCCATGGGCGTCAACCGCGCCCTGGCGTGGATGGAAGCTTTCTTAATAAGCATTTCAACTACATCTCTATCTTAATATTACAGTTAAGCTCGATAAATGCTAAGCCATTTTACTAAATAATAAAACTTTAAATTTAAATAAAATAATATTAAATATTTTATTACTAGTATTTAGTAATTATTAAGTTTAAATAAATACTTCTATATAATAAATATCTAACTTAAATAATATCTATAGGGTAATTATTTCTACCTCTGCTAGTGTGTCTTTGTGCGCCACTGATAGAATTCAATTTTGAGCGATTAGTCATCGATCAACGGTCCTATAGTTTAGTGGTAATGACGTCGGATTTTGATACCCTCAAAAGCCTTCCGAAGACCCCGGTTCGAACCCGGGTAGGACCTCGCCTTTTTGTCTTGCCCGGCATATGCCATCCATCACTCCCTATTTTCCAACTCATTGAATGGCTGGATTTTGCATTTTTTTTTTGTTTCTGTGATTACTTGGTCTTTACGCTACTTGTTGTGTAGCAAATAAGATATGCAATGCGCATAACCTGCAGCCGACGTCGGCCGGACAATTAACTGATCACTACTGTTCTTGCGACGTCGCACGGAAATGATGACGGTGTCTGAATCACTTTAAAATTGATATAAATGCATACAAGTTCAAGTGTGTCACTCTAGTTGCCGTCATTTGTGTCTCTGTTAAATGTCTTTGTCTTGCTTAAGTCAACTGTCTCCTGGTTGGATTACTTTTGTGGGGACATTTGATGTTAGCCAACCTCCACCTCTTGTCCATTAACTTACCATTGTTCCCTGTCTCTTCACATTTCATTTCGAGACACAATGTCAGTTCCCAGCCCATCTGATATAAGCGAATCCACCATTGTGGTCATTGGGTATGCTCTCACCATTAATCCCGGCCTAGGATCCTGCTAACAGTAGCGTTTCAGTGCTGGCATCATCGGTCTTACCAGCGCTCTCAAGATCCAACAACTAATCGCCGACTCACCATCAACATCAGTCCTCCTCGTCGCAAAAGAATGGCCAACTTCAATCCCCGGCGCACCAACAACTCACTCAGCAGACTATGCTTCCATGTGGGCTGGCGCTCACATCCGACCCATCCCAGCTTCTACGCCACAGTTACGTCGTGAAGCCAAGTGGGTGAAACACACTGTCGCTGAGCTTGAGAAACACCGGCAGAGTGAACCTTGGGTTGGGATCAGACGTCTTCCAGGTATTGAGTATCTTGAGGACCCGTCACCTGAGTACCTGAAGCAAGATGCTCAGAGCTTTGCTAACGAGACTGGACTGCCCGGATATCGGAAATATGAAACCCATGAACTACCTGAGAATGTAAAGTTGGGGTTTGAGTATGAAACTTATTGTATTCATGCCCCGTTATACACCGCTAGCTTGCTGCGCAAGTTTATCATTCAAGGTGGAAGGACACTGCAGAGGGATTTGAAGAGTGAATGGGAGGCTTTTATCCTCGCACCTAGTGTCAAACTAGTCGTGAATGCGAGTGGAATGGGTTTTGGGGATAAGAAGTGTTTCCCAATCAGAGGTACGACAAGCATTCATGACCATAGATAACAGCTGACAAGAACCAGGCCAGACAGTGCTAACCAACCTCACCGCCGCCGACAAAACCATCACAACTCAGAAGAAAGACGGCACTTGGAGCTTTATAATTCCTCGTTCTTTTAATGGAGGAACAGTCATTGGCGGTACCAAAGAAGCCGGAAACTGGCAGCTCGAACCATCAGAGGAAACACGTGCTCAGCTACTGAATGCTGCTCAGTCAATCATACCACAAGCATGCGACAAGAGTCAGACGCTTGAGACGATAAAGGTAATTAAAGATGTTGTTGGAAGAAGACCAGCTCGCGAGGGTGGCATGAGAGTTGAGACTGAAGCTAGGGATACTACATGGGGTGTTAAGCATGTGGTTCATGTCTATGGCGCTGGCGGACGAGGATTTGAAATGTCTTGGGGTGTGGCTAGTGACGTGGTTGAACTGGTAAGGGAGATATTGATATTGAAGCCTAGTGCTCGACCTAAGCTCTAGAGTTCAATGTTCTAAAAAGAGAATATTAATATTTAATTATTACTGTTTTATAGTTAAAAGCTTGAGCTTACCTTAAGTATAGCCTACAGATATTTTGCTTCAGTTTTAATAACTTATTTAAGGATTTTAAAAATGTTTTTATTATTAAAATATAAGTAATAACTAAATCTTTTACTTTTTAAGTTTTAAAAGTTAATAATAGTATAATAGTATTATAATAAAATTACTGGTTTTAATAAAACTATAAGTACTTAAAATATATATACCCTTGCCCCCAGAACAGATGCATATGTATATAAAGACTTAACTATCATAACTGTGCCAGTAGAATCAGTACTAAGTATCCCAATGCTGACTTCATACATGTAAAGATAGAGACACTGCCCAAGTAAATTTGGTGACATAATCAACCATCGCTGTCTCGAATACCTAATTAATCGTTCAAATTTTCACAGTCGCTTGCGTCCTTGGTGTCCTCCAATACACTTTTAGCCTTCTGCTCTCCAATGACGTCTATTGGCCATTGAATGAGCTCCTCCCTCAGGGAACCCCTGATGCGATTTGTAATAAGCTTCATCAATGCATCACTCCAACCTATGAACATCCAGTGGTTGGGCTCACGAGACTGGAGAAGAACGCAGTAATATGATAGTATGACCAGTGCCAGAGGCTTCTCCTGCCGCAAGAAATCAAGATACAAAGCCGGTAGCTTCATAGGCCAGCTAAAGATGACTCTCATCTCAAGCGTCGGAATCATCCTTGAAGAGCCCATTACTGTTGCAATGGCCTGGATGAATACCGCGACCGCTTCTACCAAAATCCGCCTCTCCTCGTCATCGATGGTGGGCGTTTGATTTTCTACAAACGACAAGAGCTCGCCAAGTCGGAGGGCAAGCTCTCCGAGGATGCTAGGACGTTGAGGCGACTCACAAGAGCACCCACTCAGCAACGTCTTGAGCGGCCCATTCCGTATGGCGTCGTCCGACGACGTCAGGATAGTGTGCATGCCGCGCATTAGTCTAAATATGCCTGTGAGACTCTCTATCGGCTGGAATGAATCGTTGAACCTGTCGCAGCTGGGGAGCATACCAAACCCGCTGACGGCGACGAAAAGCGAGCTGGCATACAGGGCGTGGCACGAGTCTGGCTCGAGAGACTTTTTCAGCATCTCATTAATAGTCTTGATGGCGACATCCTGGTGTTGGGATACCTGGATGAGATACCTGTGGCGGAGATCTGAGCGGAGGTATGCTAGATGCAAAGCTGAGAAGGCGAGAATCTGGTGCATGAGGAATGGTTGAGACATAGCCTCTGATGGCACGTCGTTCTGTAGCGCTGTGAAGGCATGGCAGCACAGTGAGCCGATAGTACGGTAGGCGTGGACGGTGTAGTGGTGGATAAGCTCAATGTTCGATATCCAGTCGGGGATGTCGGGGTTTCGATGGGCAAGGAGCTCGGGAGAACGGGAGAAGGGCTCGCATGCGCGTTCTGGTGGTAGGTTACTAGAGAAATTGTGGCTATGAATCTGGAAGGGAATGAGCACGTGGGATAATTTGGGACATCTAAAGGGTTCCTCACCATTTTGTTTGCAGCTGGCTCTCCTCGGTTTCCTGCTGTGACTTCAGCGATGACTAACTGGAGGCTGCATTGCACTCGGTGTCTACAGCATGCTGAACAAGGGACCTTCTCGTCACACTATGAAGGTCGACATTAGCCATACTTCGACTTAGGTGACTCTCTGAGCTATGAGGGCAACCTTTTATCGGGTCTTTCTTACCTTTACTCTCCTTTGTTTGCATCTCACACACCCTTTTCGGGACTTCTTATATCCGAGTTTTTTCATGATTAACGATCTAGTGCAGTCCGACTCTACGGAGGTCAAAGCAAAACTAAAGGCATAAGAGACCACCGAGAGCTCAAGTTTGCGGATGCACCAATGATACTTGTTTTCGGCCGGGGCTCGCAACTTGGTGCCATTTGATCCGACGTACGTTATCAGTCTAAGCCACAGAATATGTTTCGGCAGGATCAAAAGTTTAATAAGGAATGCCGGGAGAGGGATCTAGCCAGATAGTTAATTAATGGCGCGGCCAATTATGATGAGTTACGAAAACGAGGAGCCACTCTCCTGCAGCCAATAATTAATAATGGTTACGCGTTGGCTGGCAATAGGTTAGCGCAGTCTCTGCATCTGCGAATTGAATTCAAATCCGATAACGAGATTGGCCCATTTTTGATCTTAGGTAGGGCATGGTCTGTGCCAACCTGCAACGGGTCTTTAAGCATTTGCCGAAGTCGTCTACCAGCTATGCTCGTTATCGCTTTTACATCCCATTTGATAGACGATTACTTATGAAGTTTGACTCCCTAGAATATAAGCCATGACTGGTCCTGCTTTTGAATTAGAGAAGAACAGACCAAGACAGTTCACACAACATAGCAAAATAAGCACGCTTTTCTCAATAACGACACGAGACTCTCCATCATTAATCAACCGCCTAGCCAAACCGTCAACATGGCTGAGGAAAACGAACGATACAAGTATGACCCGTCCATGGCGGCTGCAGTCATCTTCGTTGTATCTTTCTCACTGTCAGGGCTCTACCACGTTTTTCAAGTCATCAAGTTTAGGTCATGGTACTTCATCCCATTCGTCGTCGGTTGTGCTAGTAAGTAAAACACTCTTTTAGGGAGAGATTCTTGAATTGACCAGATGTAGTTGAAGCGATCGGATATGCGGCCCGAGCTATCAATGCAAGTGAGGAGGCCGGGCAATGGACCGAGGGTCCGTACCTCATCCAGGCTCTCCTCCTGTTGCTGGGTCCTCCCTTCTTCGCCGCCTCCATCTATATGGTCCTTGGACGGCTCATCAGGCTCTTGAATGCAGAGAAGTATTCGATGATCAGGCTCAAATGGCTGACAAAGATCTTTCTCTTTGGTGATGTTGCCTCCATCGTGGCTCAAGGGATCGGTAAGTTGCCGTTTGTTTCATACTGGCTGCGCCATACCAACTAACAAATCCAGGGGGTGGCATGCTTGCCGGAGCCGAGACCAAGTCCGACAGCGATAGAGGCCAGGCAATCATTATCGCTGGTCTTTTCATACAGCTCATATTCTTTGGGGGATTTATGGTCGTCGCTGTGGTCTTTCATCGGCGTTTCCACCGCAACCCAATCGACGCAAGCCTCAAGATACAGCCACCCTGGAAGAAGCTTCTAGTAGTACTCTATTCCGCCAGTTTGCTCATCATGATACGGTCTGTGTTCCGTGTCATCGAGTACATCATGGGTGAGGACGGCGAGCTCATGGCTCATGAGGCATACTTGTATATCTTTGACGGAACGCTTATGCTTGCCGTGACGGCGATCTTCAACATATTCCACCCTTCCGCTGTCATTAACAATCAGAGCATGCAGAGGATCGATGGCTCGGACCAGGAGAACCAGCTGCAGTCGTTAAATGGCCTTTCTCACTAAGGGGTACGACTCTTTGCAACACCGCATATCGTCCAATGGACTTAGTAGTAGGAAACCGTGAATTCTCAGAGGATTGGGGTATCATAAGGCTATTCTCGATTTATATGTTTATATAAGTGTGGTGACTGTCAATTAGAAATGGTACAATCAACATAGGCAATTTTAAATTTAAATACGCAAGTATTTATCTCATGTTGAGTCACCGGGGTACGGCTAGGGTGAGACGAGAAATTCCCATAATTGCCATGCTAATAAAAGAACTATCTGATGTCAACTAAAGCTCTTTGCCAAGTTTTGGATAACAACTTCACCTAGTTACTTAAGTAATTTATTCAGTACTGAACAGTATTTTTGATTAGCAGCCTAACTAAGTAGTAAGAATATTTACAAGTACTATTCTATTTGTTCTTAGCCACGAAGCTCATCTCCATAGCCAAAACTGCTAGGCCCGAAGCGCTTGTATAGGCAAACAGTGGCCGCACCTCATGCAAGCGATACCAGTACAATCCAACATTCGATCCTCCTAAACCTCAAATTCGAACGCGAAAGCCTGAGTTCTATCATCTGCGGCGACGAAAAACATGATCTGAAGAATATTAGTAAATCTCCAAGCTAACAGCTGTTGCTGCAAATCGAAATTCTCCAAACTCACTTGGTCGTTCTTGATCGTGTGCTTGAAGGTGCCCAGATCAACAGGAGCTCCAACGGCAGTAGACACGTTGGGGCCATCAAACCTGTAGGTCCTAACCCTTACAGTAGGACCCTTAACCTTGACCGCAGAGAGACCGGTGATGGCAAGGTTGTACGTCTTCTTTCCGGCCACGGGTCGGATTGCTGCTAATATCTTGACGGTTCCCGCACTGCCACCTCGAGTAGCGTAAACCTCAAAGAGTTCGTCGTCAGATGGAGATGTCCCGACTCGGTTACCCTTCATGACCTGGTTATAGTATTGGTAGACGTGCCATTCGCCTGCTGGAGAATAATCTCCGTCGCTGTTCTTGACCAGGAGATTAGCCAGAAAGTCGTGTAGCTGCCCCTGAGATGCCCAATTGGCACGAAGACCGTGAGCATTGTGTCTTTCGAACTGAGAAATGTAGAAGACAGCGCCTGCTGGGTTTTGTTCGCCATCCCATGAAGCATACTCATTGATGTTAATTGGGCGCTCTGGTAGTTTGTATTTCTTGCGTAAAGTATCGAATTGTGCCTTCGACTCTCTCAGATTGCGATCTGTCGCAAGAAGATGCCAAGAATAGAAGTCCGGGATGGTATTGGTCTTTGCAATAAACTTGAGGTAGTTGTTATACCACTCACTATCGACTGTAGGAGGTGTTGTTGTCGAAGGGCCGGTGATTTGCACACCAGGTAGCTCCTTTCTAAAACAAGTTAATGCAGGGTACTGAGATTCCAGCGAGATACTCACCTGATTCTCTCATAGGTGCGCTTCCACATATTGAGATACTGGGTTTGAGGAGCATCCCAAAACAAGTTCAAATCAGGCTCATTCCAAATATCGATTTCCAATCCAGTCGTCATCTTATTTTTCAAAATGTCAGAAAACACTTGATCCAGGAAAGCATTCCAATTCTTCCAGTTTCCTCCATCTCCAGGGTACGGGAATCCTTTGCCCTGGGTGCTATCCGCACCCCACAGATCATGGATTAGAAGAATGAATTTTCCTCCATTGCGCCGAGTAGTTCTATAGTTAGAGAGACTGGACTTCCAGCGACCCTTGTTGAATGTCAGTGGGAACCCCGTAGCTTTTAATGGGAGCCAAGAGAGCAGTGAAGGGGAGTGACATACCTCGTACTCATTACGGGCCCATCCTTTGTATGGGGTCTGAGCTCCACCGGCACGGTTGTAGTTGAAGCCAACATCTTTGATATACTTCTGAGGGACATCGGTATTGGCAGTGCCGTCAGCGTTATCGGGAAACCCATAAATCCAGCCGGAGGCAAGTTTCTCAGGTTTTCCGGAAGGCTGGTCGAGGAATACAGTTGCAGTTCCAGCGATATCCCGCTTAACTGGATTTGCAACAGCCAGTACCGAAACTGAGAAATAGATCCCTAGGACGGATCCTAGGGTAGCGAAGGAAGATAACTTCATCTTGGATAGAACAGACAATAGATGAGTATACAAGTCTGATTATTGGACTCCAGATATTGTTCTGTAGGAAGGATTCTTATTTAGTTATAAAGGTAGCGCAGACTTTTATAATTTATCGCTGAGGCAAATTAAACGGCCTTCCATCTATGCCCAAACATCCTTGGAGAAATCGCTCTTGCTTGCGTCGAGGGGCTCAGCATCACAGCGAGTTCCTGTGGGCGGCTTTGAATTTTTTCCCCGGTGGGATAGTTTTGTACTACTGATCTGTTTTAATTTATGATCAGCTTTGGAACATTATCGCAACTCATCGTATGATTTTTCGCAAGTTTCATGCATACAAGTGATAAACAATACCGATCATTCCCCCAGAGCTTACCCCACAATCTAACAATTTTAAGCTTAATTCAATAAACAATCGCCTCAGCCGCTCAGCCACCTACACCAGGTTAATCTAATTATCTCGTATTCAGAGAGGGGGAGCAGAAAAAGAGTCAAAGCGTCCAATCATTAAGGAATAGTTTGAGGCGTTGGCGTCTTGTTGGACAGGGGTAAATCGAGCTCCGGTGGGATGACATGCCCAGTTATTTTGACATGATCTCTGTTAACTTGACGCGTTGGGAGGAGGTAAAACATCGCTCAAACTAAGATAATACCCTATACTACTTTAAAACTTCTTAAAGATTATAGTAAGAGGCTCTCAGTATAGTAGTACATGTTTCTATGCGTTCTGCCAAGTAGAGGCTGTGCTTCTGATAGACTTTCAGAGTGTCTAAAAATACCTGAGAGTTATCATCCCACCGGACATCTGCTTTGGGCAATCAAGCTCATAAGCCGAGATACAAACAACGAGGTACCTATATATTCCCATTTGCATAGTAAGCCTTTTTTGTTTTCACTCGTAGTGATTGGAGCCCCCTTCTGTAATACATTCTCAAATCACCACAAGATGCTTTTCACTGGCTGATAGCAATAACTACTTAGATAGATATACTGCGGTGATCGTTTCGGTTTATGATGATATCAGTTTTGTCACATAGTGTTTAGATACAAGCCAACATAAACATTAGTCGAGACCTTGAATTCTGAATCCATATGTGAGGGAGCTATGCGTGCATTGGTCAAAGACAGTCCGGCTCAGGTGTACGCCACTTGCTATCAGATTTGGCTATCAAGACAGCAGTGGACCTTTCTGATGGGCGTCCCGATGGACGGCGGTCGAATACTCCCAAATGTGTTTCTTGAATTTGGTGACGTCTGGGCATGTAAATTCAACCGTCAAGAACAGGCTTCCGGTGGGATGGATCGTCGCGCTTTATTTGTCGGTTAGGTTAGCTAAAAGCCGATGTTGAATGGGGAGTCTAACTTACGGGTCAGCGCGTCTCGTATTGTGCTCTAACTATGCCGGGGTTCGAATCATGTTTCTAGACGAGCGGAGCGCTAAATTTGACATCCTCACGCTTGACTGTAGATTAGGGGTCCATTGGACAAGCTATTAGCATATCTGGCCACAAGATACTTCATAATGTTGGCGACATCTGGCTCGCGTCTTGGCAGCATATTTGGTCGAAGATTTAAAGCAGAAGATGCAGAGAACTACTCACTACTGAATTCTATAATGTCCTATTAGGTAAAAGTAGCCAAAACCTTACTAAAGATACAGAAAAACCGCTGCGACAAACCTCAAGTGGATTGATGAGTATCAAACCGTAGTTACGGGCAAAAAGGAGGAAAACTTAAAGTTCTTGAGAGGAATACTATTAAAGAAGAAGGGTCTTGTTGCATGTTGGGCCAGGGGTTGGTACTAGTAAATACACAGTGCAGATTTCTAAGAACGGCTGTTCACTTCTCAAGCCGCACTTAAATAGTCCAATAAGTAATATTCATCTCGGTCGCATAGCATTCTTGGCAGTAGGTCAGCAAGGCTTTGTCGGTTACATATAAAGCTGCCTCAGGTCGCATGCTGATGCCATTTACCCCGCTCGACAGATCTTGGTATTAAGCATAATTTAACAGCCCACGTCGAACCCCATTTTCTATATCTTGGTATGGTATCATCAGTGCCTGTATGTACTGAGAATTGCCGATTAGCTAGCTGCAATGCTTCGCTGGCGTTACCCATCTTGCTGTGCGCCGTCGACATCAAAGACGGCTTGTCATGTTATCAATCATGCGGCCAAAGCCTGGACATCAAGCAAATGCTAGCGGAACAATCAGAAACTACAAGAAAGCGAGCTAAGAACTCTCAACCTAAGTAGATCATTCAAGACGGGAGATTTAATAACTTATATCTATATTGTCCTGCAACTTTATTTTCCATAACTACATAGTAGTGAATTTTAGACAGTAAGACTGAAGAGCTGACTAATATAGCATGCAGTCAGACGTAGGTAGAATCTGCCATAAATGAAAATGACGCAAATAACGCATTACTACATCGTTGTTGACTTTTTTTTTATCATTCAACAAGCAAGTATACAATTCACAACTAAGAGACGATGAACTTATCAGCGAATGAAATTCGGTTGCTTCACCTAGAGCACCATCTAGTTAGTTCTAGCGACTTAGTTCAAGTGATTGTGCTAACAAACAACCAAAGCCGGGGAAAGTCCCTCTTTGCACGATATCCTTCGAGCGGGTGTGCTTGGACAATGCCAATTTGCCGCCATTTGTCGCTCTCTCGTATACATGGGGTGATATAAACGACATGCTGCCAATAGTCGTTTCCGGCAAAAAGATTTCAGTAACCCAGAACTTGCATCACGTACTGCAAAGTCTTGCCCGGTCCAAATTCGACCAATTACTTTGGGTGGATGCATTGTGCATCAACCAGGAAGATCAGCACGAGCGTGCTGCCCAGGTAGCTCTGATGGGAGATATATATTCGCGTGCGATATATGTACTTGCATTCTTATCTACTGAGTCAGAGCGTTTCCACTTGGGTTTAGACTTCATTGAGAAATCTGCTAGTAATCCCGAATTACACTTCGATCCAGCCCAAACACCTCATGTCACGGTGCGAGGCCTCAACATTAACAATAAGGGCGTACGAGATTCTTTTATCGCCTTCTTTGGGGTCTCGTGGTGGACGAGAGTGTGGACCGTGCAGGAATTCATATTGGCTCGAGAAGTCAGATTCCATTGCGGAGAACGTTGGATCGATGCAAGAGCAGTCCAACAAAGCATAAATACTTGGATGAGTCATGAAAGAGGATGTTGCTTTGCTGCCGGAAGGAGTCCAGGCGGGGACTCTTATGAATATATCGAGATTCCTAGTGAAAGCAACGGCGGCTTAACAATGCTCGCTGCTGCCTCGCGAATGAAAGATTTAATGGATATCAGTGGACTCGGAACCGTCAAATCTACAAGCTTTCTATTAGCCATGAGTCTCTTTCGAAAACGAAATTGCTCAGACCCTCTTGACAGGGTGTTTGGCCTGCTGGGCCTGCATGTTCCCGGTTCTGATATCAAAGATGCTTTAACCGTCGACTATTCCATTCAAGTGGGCCGCCTATATCGAAATTTAGCCAAAGCTTTGATCGAAAATTCTCAAACGTTGGATGTACTGAGCTATGTGCTACATAGGCCAGACGTTCAGACCCGGACCCAGGGCCTACCAAGTTGGGTCCCGGATTGGGACGCGATAATGGACGACAATTATCATCTAATGTCCTCTGAGCGAATACACAAGACGCTTCATCTAGATGCTTCGATAAATTCAAAGCTAGAGTGGAGAGTTGACGACTTATTAGGTTCTGTCATCACTCGTGGCTTGCGAATTGCCATGGTCGAGGCGATTGCCCCTGGCTACCCAGCTGACGCCCCCGGCGCAACACTTCGAGGGAAGCCACTCATTGCGGCATGGCGTCAGCTAGCTGGACTCGAAGGAAGTTCACACATGACGCTCATGGGCGTAGATCGAGAAGAGCGAGAGAAAGCTTTTCAGAACGTGATCTGTGGAGGTTTTGTTGGCCATACGAACTCATACAACATATCAGATGCTTATCCGCAATGGCTTGAGTGGTTCTCACATGCAACGCGGCAAAATCTTTCTACGAGGGGCAGGGAAATAACACGAAGTTTCAATGGATCTGTGAGGATGACGACCCTTGGAAGAAGGTTTATCCGCACAGGTGATGGACATATGGGCTTTGGACCCGAGACAGCACAAGTTGGCGACGTCGTTTTCTTTCTACCGGGAGGAAAGGTACTGTATATTCTGAGAGAGGTAAGTTCATCTTGTAAAAGCGTGATGAGATATGAGTTCATAGGTGATGTGACCCTCGAAGGAGTAAAGGTTGATGAAATAACCGAGACTGAGTCACTAGGCTTTGAAGAGATAGTGATTGTTTGATGTTTTCAAAGTATAGTTTTGGAATTTTGAGCTGCTGATAATCACTACATAACTGAGATTAAGAGATCCATTGGAGCATGCAGTTAGTAAAGAAATTTAGACTATTAAAGTATAATCTGGTAAAGAGATAGCACCTTGAAATTGTCTAGAAGGCTTCAATTGCCTACCTAACAAGAAGATTCCTAACCCCCTGGTCTCACAGACGTTATGGCTTTCGATGGGACCATCGCTTGGCTGACTTCACCACAAAAAATATAGCGAGGACAGTGGTTATAATCCTGTTGCTTTTGAAAGTTTGACTTGCAATTACCTTTTGAAGGGCGGAGAGTTGGTCCTAAGATCTGAATGGCCTTCAACCACCTAAGATGCTTTCTGCTATTACAAGTTGCCTGATGAATTCCACAAACAGCGTCAGCAGCTTAAGGGGATCTATTAACTAACTATTATTTGGTATTGGACGTTTATCTTATCTGTCGTGAAGGCGGTAAACTATAAGCAGTGTAGGAAAGTAGCAAACTCAGGTAAGCCTGGTCTCAAGCTGGAAAAATACTATTAAAATTGTTATTATAACTATTACTTAATCTCCTGTATATGTTATAATACTATAGGCAGTAAGACTAAAAAGTACAAAGAGTTTCTAAATATTTCAATTGAGATTAACTAAGAAGTTCACTCTTGTTATTCCTATTCCACAAGCGGCTTCTTTCGCTGATCTTCCTTGTATGGCGCAGGCTGGACTACCTAGAGAATAAATGTTAGAGGTTTATTGAGAGCAGGCAATGAGCATTCGGTTGCACCCAGTACTCACAGCGCGAATCATCTTTTGTGGACTCCCGTCGTTCCCCCATTTGACCATAACTTCTGTTCCGGGTGTTGAGTACTTCACCTCGATGATACAAAGAGAGATCATCTTCTTGAACCAGTAGCTATAGCAGCGCGAGACGGCACAGCCAATCAGTCTGTCATCACCATAGACACCACTTCCTCTCACGCCTCCCCACTCTCGTGGCATTTCCATGAAGTCCAGCGTCTCGTTGCAGAAGAGAGATGCATACACATCTATAACATCCTTGCTGTTCCATTCTAAGGTCACGAGGGCATTTGGGGGGTCGCTGGCTATTTTCTTCAGGGTTTCTTTGCCGATAAATTCATGGTCGAAGTTAACAAGCCAGCCCCATCCAAGGTCAAATGGTGTGCGGTGATGCGCGGAGGGATTAGAGCTATAGTTACCAGAAACTCCGATATGCAGCACGGCCGGAGAGACCAAACCTGAAGTTCGAAGAAATTGACGGTATTCAACCATATCGAGGTCATCTCCATGGAACGAAGGCAGGAAATCGAGCCATGGAGTAGGAAACGCCCCTTCCACCTGGAATCGAGTAAGCATCGCAAGCAAATTTAGTAGTCATAACAAATAAGGGCAACGAACGTGATTCACTGTCTTGGCACGGTAGCCGAGTTGACGAATACCGAAGTCAGACCCATACGACAAGATGGCGCGATAGACAGCGTGCGCTTCTTCAGCTGGACCCCAGAGTTCGAAGCCTCGCTCGCCGGATACGCCCGCCCGAAGGCATAGAAATCTATGCCCATCGATGGACATCTTCCTGGAATGCATGAATTTGAGGTCGGCAATGGATGATTTGGTAGCCGCCTCCATCACTGCTACACTGCTGGGGCCCTGAATCTGGAAAAGATACCAATCGTTGGAGACGATATCGACGGTGGCATTAAACTTTCGATTTCCGTGATGAAACTGATAGGCCGCCCAGGTGACTCCGGGAACAGAAGTAAAAATGAAGTCATCATGATCGAGCATCATGAGAACTCCTTCACCAATGATCGTTCCGTTGTCTCGGCAAAAGATGGCATGCTTGGCTTGGTTTGGCTGGAAGTTTGGCCAGTGGTTCGTGGAGAGATACTCAAAGAATGCCTTGCTGTCCGGGCCCCGGACTCTCATCTTGAGGAGGGGGGACCAGTCACCAATATAACAAGTCTTCTTCCACGACAGGCTCTCGTCAATCCAGTCGGTGAACTCAGACGCCTCGAACGTAGTGATAAAGCGTGACCATGTATTGACAGACGGGTCGACAGGAACGTTGGGGGCAACAGGGACGGCATTCTGTTCTCCGTGAAAGTCGGATGCGGCTGATTCGGGCATTGTAGGATGTTTAAATGTTGTATGAAGTAGAAATCGGTATGGGCAGGTTAAAAGCTAACTTGTGTCATGATGGATAAAGGGAAGGTATCAGAACCCTTTATATAGAGCTGAAGGATATGTTTGGGAATTAGCACAATTTAGCAGAAGCAACACGACCGGGGAGTTCATACGCCATCAGAAACACCCTAGTGAAGTTGCAGTAAGCCGCCGGGCCGCCGTCAAGATCCCAAAGAAGCTTGGATTTTCACATTGCCGTTATGTACCTCTTCTATAATTGGTTAGATTTAAGACCTATGCATTTTCAACCAGTCAAAAACCCTATGCTAGACAACACAAGGACTGACAATGTTGTAATGGCGTACGGCGAATTTCCGGTAGGCGGTCTTTCTTTCTATGGTAATTATGGATTTGCGGACTTTTAGAACTTTCCAATTGTCCGAATAATCCCTACTACAGTGGTTTAGAGTTTAAAAGATGGAGGATGCTTGCGTAATTGTTGGGGATGTTCCAGGGTTTGATCACTAGTCCTATGGCAGTTATCCAAAGAGGCGGTGATAGCACAGTCGCATTTCACTTTCTACCTCATTCGTAAGCATAATACATCCACGTAGTTTTGCAACCATCACGATATTTGGCAGCGCATTAACGCAGACTATCATTGTTGTTAAGGACAAGTATAAATACGAGTTATGCAATGCGACTCTGTCACTGGCTCAGAAGGCTTAAAGTAGAGCGTCGCGCGTTAGGTTATTTCGCTTATTGAAAATTGCGACGCTCCATGATTTTACCTTCTACTCTTAAACCTTGGCAAAATCAGGGTCGCAGAATCAGAGATATGTAAGTGCAGATAAGCACTTGAGATTATGGAGCATTTTCTGTCTTTAATGCAGAATAGAGGGAGTAGAATATAAAGGTATGTCAAGCTAATGAAATGACTAAAGAGTCCCTGGTCATAATTCGGGACAGTGGCAAAAACAATTCGGGATCCTTTACCGAGCTTCGGCCAATATCATGAATTGACCGACTACTTATTATGTTGTTTTAGTATTATCACGAAAAACTGGGGGAATGACTTGGCAGACCGCTCTTAAAATCAACTGCATGTCAACTGCGCCCTTAAGTAGGCGGGGTCCATGATCTTTTGCCGTGCAATAAATATATCCTCTCTCAGTAAATACCCTCTCCATATCGAACTACAACTACATCACCACACTAGATTCACCAAGATGAATGCCCCCACTGATGAAAACTGGCAGCCCAAAGCCATAGTCTTTGATCTCCTCACCGGTCTCTTAAACTCCTGGGATCTATGGGACGCATCAACCCCATCCAAGACCCACCAAGACGGCGGCCGCTGGCGTCAGCGCTACCTCGAAATCACCTTTGGCACTGGCTCCTACAAGCCCTACGAAGATCTCGTTAGACAAGCCGCCTCGGAAGTCGGTCTCCCGCCATCAGCACCTGAAGCACTCCTCAAGAACTGGTCTAGCATCGAAACGTGGGATGAAGTCCCCGCTGTTCTTCAAGCTTTAAAAGCGCAGGGCTATAAACTCGGTGTTATTACCAATTGCTCCAAGCACTCGGGATATATCGCTATTCGAGGTGTTGAGGAGCAGGCCAGTGTTGGGTTTGCGACACCGTTTACTTTTGATGCTGCTGTTACCGCTGAGGAGAGTGGGTTTTACAAGCCTGTTAGGGAAGCATATTATGCTATTCTGCCCAAGTTGGGGGTTGAGACAGAAGATATTCTTTTTGTTGCTGGAAGTGCAGGGGATGTTGAGGGTGCGACGAATGCTGGTATGAACGTTGTTTGGCACAATAAGATTGGGTTGACGAAGAAGGGAAATGCAGTTCCATTGAGGGAGAGCAGGACGTTGGACGTTGCTCTCAAGGGGTATTTGAAGAAACGCGAGTAGTAACTACATACATTCAGCCTTTCTGACATAGAATTGGTAACTAACCGTTATCTTCTGGGTTAAATAAGGATTTATTTCATCCCAATTTAGGCTAATTTAATATTTAGAGTCATTTCTTTAAGTTAGCATCAGGGCTGAGTGGAGTCTCATTAATAACGTTTTGAGTAACGTACTATATAATATTCATCAGTTTATTCCCAAAGCTCCTCCGCCCACTGAGATAGAATTCACCCTCCTATTATGGTATTTAGTCAAAAGAGAATGTCGGCCTCCTGAAAATATACTTCTTTCCCTCCCACTTGTTCTTGTCCCTCGTTAGGCTGGTCAGCCCTGTTAATTACTCTCTGCCCAGTAAATCTTGCCATTCATTACTCAATCCGTTCTTTGCAACGCGCTACATCGATTCGGGCTCACTAGCCTTTGACCGGGGTGCAGCAGCAGGCCTATCCTAGCCCAGTGCGTCTGGGAAGTTCCATTAACTTATGAAGAAACTGCGTGCTCACATCATCGACTTAGCGACCATCGCCTCGTCAACGCGCTAGAAGCTTCTGAGACTGCCACTGTTGACCCGTCAACTTTATTTGAACATTTGGAGACTTTCACCCTGTCTGCAACTTCGTCAGTCGACACAAGCTCTCTTCAGCCGAGGAACCTCTCTGTCGCAGAATCGGTACCTACCTCGACTAATGCGGCCACTATGTCCGTCACATCCTCCACCACGTCAGATGCAGCGATCTCATCCACCATTGCTCCTACTTCCACCTCATCTTCAGTCCTTGGAGCCTCTAACGCAATCGGCCGAGACGGCCAGATTTTCCCCACCAAAGTACAGGGATGTCCCTAACACTGACGACCAACCAACATTCTTGAAGAGGCCAAGACGGCATTGACTCCAGTCTTCTCTTAGCGCGCACCTCTTCATGCTATCATTATTCTCACAGCTACCGATGATCTTCAGCCGTTCACTTTTGGCTTCCTTTTAATCAACATTTACCTTTGATCGTAAATCCCTAACGACAGTTCAGGGGCGAGCGCTTAGATTGACTCTGTCAACATTCCCGGGACATTGGTAGGGGACCAAGGCCTTACCAGGCAGACGTAACCTTAGTGCTGGCACAACAAGGGAAGCAATCAAGTACCCGAATTAATGACGGTTTTCCATCTCCGCCGGAAACTGGTTCTGAAAAGTGGGCTACAATCGGGGTCGAGTTGTCGTGTCCTTAGGCAAAATTCACAAACGATGGACTGCAGCAATGTGATTTTAGGCGAAGACAAAATATTCGCAAAGAGATTCTCAATTGACTGGGTTGATTAGCTGACATGAAATGACCTTGTCTTTCTATTTCATCTTAGTGGGTAGATCCAAGCTTAAGATAAGAGTAAAATTCGAAAGATCACTCCTTGATATCACCGTACTTCATTGCAGATATGACTAGGTAGATATGGGCTCACAACCAGAGCTCCCAAGACATCTACTTTCCGGCCTTAAATACACACGATACTTGTCCCCGTTAGAAGTTACTAAGTTCTCTCGGCTGATTTAAGCTCTCAGCCTGTTAGAAGATGTACAATACCCACGCCATCATGAACCCAGCGAGACTTGAATCCGCCTGCTCTGTGTCTTAGTCTACAGTTCTCTTTACACTACCTCAATCAAAGGGTACAACTCACGTGTGAAAGTATCTGCCCCGCGTTCTTAGACGACTCCGCTGCTTGCCCGGAAGACGTCTCGGTCGACGTAGATGCCTGGGTTTGGGTCGCACTACTGACGGCTTGCGATGATGCCGTAGCGCCAGAATCTGATGTAGTTATGGAGGCATCAGCTTGATTAGGTACACGCAGGGCAGTCCCAAGACAGGACGCCGGCTCGCTCTCTGTCGCGCAGCAGGCATTGAGTGCCTTTTGTCCAAGGCCGGTGCATTCTTTACAAATCACCGACGCGCAGGAAGAGATAGTCGGAGCACAGGTCTGGATAAATGCATTGCACTCATTGTATCGGGTTTCTTTAAAGCCGATGTCTTCGCTGAGCTCCGGTCCTAGGTTGGGAAAGGGGACATCCGCGGCGACCAGAGCCGCGCAGAAGAGCAAAAAAGCAATCATTGTAGGTTAATGTTAAAGTTTGGAGGGTGAAGGACTAGTTGGGAAAATGCACGCCAGAGCGCAGATCCAGTATGTAGGTGCCTTTATATAATGCCAAGCCTGGTAGGCCTTGACCTCACTACTGGCGTTTGACTTTACATCCCCTGTCTTGAGTGTACTACTCTGCTGAATCTGCCCTACCATGAGGCTTAGCACGAGCCTGTTTGGGAGTCAATAGTAGAAGGATAACGCAGGGAGTGACAAAGATCGATCCTAACGATTGGATTCTCAGCCACACTAACGGCATGCCTCATCCGAGACAGCAGGGGGGAACAAATACTTGCTCTTTCAATTGGATTCTCGACCGCGCTAACAGCGGTGTGGCTTGGAGCTGGAACATCAAGGCCGCTCAACGGCACGTTTCATCCGAGACGACCCCTCTGATAGGCTGCTAAGCCATGACTTTTCTTATGTATCTCAGGGCCTCAGACACAGCTGGGTCCTACTCGCAAGCAAAGACCGTATCTACAGTAAGAAATAGATACATCGTATTAGCTGATATGTGTAAACATGACCTAAGTTGCTCGGGTTGTGCTTGGGATTGTCAGGGTTGCAGACTGCAAGAATATTATGGATCTCTTGGTCGACTGTCGTGACCTGGAGCGAAACTGGAAGACTTTAAAGACTGATTTTGACGTATGAGAAACTTTTATTCCTCAATGGACCAACTAAGTCGGTTTTGTGTGCCGAGACTATTAAGCTACGATGCTTAAGAAGGTTCAATTGGTTACTGCGGAAGCAATTGGGTTAAGTTTATCTCTAATATCGTGACAGCCTCGCGCTAACCCCGCCTCATTTCCCTTTAAGTAATTATGGAACTACTTGGAGGTCCAGCCAAGTTCATCGTGCCTGGATGAGAGCCTGGCTGATTCTTACAACAACCCCAACATTGCTAGCGTCTCAGACTGTTTCGAGATGGAGCGCCCCAGCGCGTCGGATTCTCGAGATACACTAAATATCTACATGGCCTATCTCTTTATCTACACTGTCCAAGTTCCTGAAAAGTGTCCTCGTGTCTTTCAAAGCACTCACCATGGGATAAGCGGGCCTCTATGGCATGATCTTGCAGTGCAAACAAGATGTCACTTTTGGGATCTGGGACCATGCTATCTATTGGCGTGAGACGTGCCTCAACATCAGTCCAGCACAGTCTCAGCCACCGATTTCGGTCCAGTCTATGCTACTTGCTGGCATTAGCATGGCGTCTCGTCTTGCTTATTTTCACGCAGATGTCATCATGCCCTGTGCCCCCGTCTTCAACCCATAATTTGTCGCTTTCATCAGCACAAGATTATCACAAGAGTTATTAATCAGTCGGCAGTATGTGGGAGATTGAAATGGGTACGGATAGCGGCGCAATCGGTAGCAGAAATATGTTCCAGCGCAAGGTCGACCCTATCGTCAACGGCATTAGCAACATGGAACGCTTCAAACCAGCTGACAAGGTTCGCACTCATAAGACTACAGTGATCATGCTTTCCAACTTGCAGTTTATCAAAGGTGTCAAGATCGTCATCCAAGCGGCATGGGGTTCAAAGACTACTCTCTTGTCGTGTACGGCGCCAAGGAGCGACAGCCGAGCTACGCTATTGAGATGGAAAAGGTTATAGCTGAATCTGGCCTTTCCTGAAAGATTATCTTGGCTGGATTCGGTGACCCCAAAATGGTACTGCAAGATGCGTGGCTGTTCATGAACTCGTCAATGTCTGAAGGTCTCCCGCTTGCGATTGGTGGAGCAGCCTTGACCGGAGTTCCAATAGTTGCCACAGAGGTTGGAACAACCGCATCAGTGCTCACAGATCCAAACAAGCCAGAAAAACAGTATGGAGAAGTAGTACTACCTAATGATCCCATGGCACTCGCACGTGCTCAACTGAGCATGCTAAGCATGGTCGGGCCGTGGTCCAAGTTTACCGCGGACAGCCAGGAAAAGCGACCGGTATTGCCGGATGAGGTTTTGCCTGAGCACATCGAATGGTTGGCACGACGTTTTTACGACAAGGCAAACGATCGTCGTAAACTAGGATTACTTTCGCGTGAGGGGGTCTTGCAGAGTTTTCATGCGAGTCGTTATCTCAGGAAACATGAGCAAATGTATTGGATTCAATGGTATATGTCCAACATGAGGAAGTAACAGGGCCTGAATGACTTTCCTTTCAAGTTTGGAAGCCCAAAGCCATTGCACTTTGTGGACAATTAGTTAGGGGATGAGAAAGATATGTATTGATATAATTAAGTTCTCCGTGCTGATTGAAGCTCTCAGCCACAAGTCTTGACTACAAATAACACTTCATAATAATAAGTTAAAGATCTTTAGGACGGTGTATGATAGAAGCATATTGTGGATGCAATTGGGGAGCTGTCTATTGTGTTGATTACAAAAATAGGAATTGAGACAGAGGGGAATAGAACATGGAATTTGGATACTATAGAACGGGATGTACTGTCATCATAGCATATACGCAGACAGTATTATAATTTGTCAGTGACAATGAAATTCCTTGCATGTACTCTCACTGAGAAGAGAACTACCATGGGTTATCGCTGACCCCAGCGTATCGGTATCCTCCATTCTGCGCCAGCGAACTGCGGATCTGCGCAAGAGCTTGAGTAGCACTCCCGCCATAAGGAGCGCCATCCAATCCATAGATAATACCGTCAATACCCACGCCCATGAGCTTCTGAACCAATTGCACTTGATCCACCACCGCCGTCCAACTGAATACCTTTCCGAATTTGCCACTAGTGACCTCCTGGCGCAGCTGAGTACATGTGAGATGTGCATCTCCTGACTCTGTGCAATCGCCAAATCCTTCTTTGAGGTTCATCCAGCCATATGAAGCTACACGCTTCTGGATATTGGAAGGCCCCTTGTTGTTGAAGAATTGCTGCAGGGGGGCTGATCTGCCATCTACATTCAGAGCCTCGTTAGCAGTGAGGCCGGATTGTAGAAGTCGGTATGCGTTGCCATTCTCGTTTCCGTAAAATCCATACAGGACGCGAACACCTTGAGGCGCAAGGATCTACCTGGCTAGGTCCCTAAGAGCTGCGATTGAACAACCCCATTCTGCCGGTTTGCTGGGATCGCAGGCGTCGGGGTTCTTCAAATCAAGCCAGACAAAAGTAATGGCCTTGCCAGCTTTGTGATGAGCAGCGACAGCAGCGAACATTTCTTTTGCTCTGTTGCCATTCTTGCTTGGTCCATCGTGCGAGACCCACCGGCCATCTTTGCCTTCTGAGAATAAATCCATCTCTAAGGCGTTGGCACCGTCGTTTACAGCGCGTTGAACAGCGTTTATGTCGTTACATCAATGAGCGATAGCATAGAACGGCTTCTTGACAGCTCTTACATCTAGATCTGGCAGGATATTGTGCAAGCCATCAGTGGTGCTGTGTCTTATAGCGAGACTACCTTCATGTTCAGGACTGACAAGAGGGTTCGCCAATGTGACAGCGGCGACAGACAGGCTTGACAAGAGATAATGTAGGCTTCGCATCGTGATATGTTTTTGGGGGGCAGGTGAAAGTGAAGGAAGAAAAAAAAAACAGCATGAAGGATTACTGCTATTATTTATATGGCTTTTGGATCATGTGCTGTTAGACAGTGCTGGAGGATTAAACCAGGCACATTTGGTGTGAAGGAGCTAGTGTCTTGCATAAGCCTCAAAATAAGTGAGAGTTCTACCAGAATTACAAAATAGGATTTAGGCCACCTTCCGTAACAGGCTCGTGAAGTTGATCGTTCGATGGAAACTTTCGTAGCGCCTGAATAGGGACAAAGTCCATACTCAAATGCAACCAATGGGAACGCACATAGCGGACAGCAGCCAGCACCACCAGGGCAAGTGTTTTAGAACTTGATGCTTCATAGATTGCGGTCTACACTTGCCAACCAATCTGAGTACTTTGGACAAGAGAGATTCCCGCATTTTATGTTGCACCATGTATACTTAATACTTATGTTTTGATTCTGGCTGCTGTAGGGTGTAGAGCGGCCGCTGATGGCATCGATGCTGTGGGTAATGAAGTAGATCTCCATCCAGTATTCTTGCATCTTTATTAGAGAAGAAATTAATTGTTGGGTTATTTTGTCCTAAAAATGAAGATGACGTTGAATGGAGATGTAGATGTCACGGGACATCTTGCACGTTCCTGATAGCGAAGACTGTCATCAAGGCGTATAGTCAATGTTCACTCTGCATGACTTGGTTTGGCATTCGGGGCAGCCACCTGAAATAATGCTTCAAGGTCGAGATGTAATTTATTGATTTGTTGGTTCAAGCATTTCTTTGTTCTTAGTTTAGGCCAGTTCGGACTTTGGGGCCATTTCTCTGCGTCATCTGTTGGTTGGTGCTGTTGGTCTACCCGATGTGGCTTGAGGCGACTGGTTCGCTAATCCCTGCCCGATGCCTGATCCCGTTGCCATCCTTCAATATGAGCCATTTCAACCCCTCACCCCGTCATTCTTACATTCTATCATCTCCTCCATAGACTTTGCGGATTGATACACAGCTTGCGCAACACGGTCTTTGTACGTGATTCTGATGCCACGTTCTATGATAAAAAGCTGGCTAACATTAGAAAAGTTCACCATGAGCCTCACAGACGAGAATTCGCCTGTCGAACAGCTCTTCCTCGATCGCTCGATCCACGACGTCCTGACAAGGAGATGGCCCGCAGTTGAGCCATGGGCTACTATGTATATCGATGCCATTCGAGAGCAAAGATATGGCGATGCTGTGTGGGCACGGTATCATATAGAAGGAAACGTTGAAAATGGTGTTATTATTAGCCCATCGTCGAGCGATAATATGCCAGTTTTGGACAGTATCAGAGAGGATGCCGAAGAAGCGAAGATGAACGAGCCCGAGTTCTATGCAAAGGCTCTGCAATTTTACGCCAAAACTAGTCCCTTGGATGGGCACCCTGAGGTTATTAAAATTGTATTTGAGGTGGATGAGACGTAACCTCGTGGTGAGGAGTACGCAGAGGGGTGAAGAACATGGGTGGTATATATATAGATGGATTCTGCCGCTCGAGATTATTTAGGAACTAACCTGTATCTAATGACTATTGTGTGGTTTTCCTGCACCAGACAAAACCTGAGAAAAGTATCTAGTAAAGCCATCTATCAACAATTATTCACAGAAGGGCTGAAGCTGTAATATGTGGCTATAATAGGCACGACCAAGCTGCAACAGCGGTACTAGACTATCCAGGACTATTCGATGCATATCCAGAATCAGACTGTTTCGTTGCCTCACCAGCACCATCCTCCCCAGGCCTTAATAGATCTTCAATCAAATCACCATTATCAAATGAGAACTGTAGCTCTTCAAGGAGAGAGGACGGATCAAAAGAGTCCAAGTCGAAATTATTTGGCCACGCTTCTCCCTGTCCCTCAAAATGTGGGTTGGCACCCTCACCACTAGGCAGCTCAGAAACAAGAAGCTGAGGTCCTTCAGCCAGTGCAGGCATATCGTTGCTAGCTTCAGGCCCTTGACCTGGACTGCCCAGGCGCCTAATTTGCCTCAATTCTTGGAAAGCCTCCTCGATTAGGGTCCTGACACAGTCACCAGCTCTTCGCCTCAGGTTCTCCTCCACAACGGTCAGGTCTCGATCTAACTCCCTCCCCAAAACTTGTCGAAGACGCTGCGGCACTTCCCTCAACATATACTGTTCATACTGCGCCAGAGATCCCGATTCAGGGTGTCGGTAGGCATCCTCCTTCTGTGACACTTGGCTGTAATCATAGACTAAAAGTGGTTAGCGATGTAAGGATACAGGAAGCCCTCTTGTTGCACCGGGTCAACTTACATGGAGAGGGGATATCATCAACAAGCACATGCGGGAATAGAATCTTGAAGACTCGCTTCCACTTCTCGGTCTCCGAGAGCTTTTGGTTAGCTCGCTTTCGTGATCTCAGGTTTCTTTCTTGCGTTGCATCAAAACCCTCTACATATCCCATTTCTCGCAGTGGACATGGTTCATCGGCTCTTTGGTGGTGCGTCAGGCCTTGCTGATCCGTGAAGGGTTGCCAGCAACGGGCGCAACGATATTGAGGTTGCTTATGACGTCGATAAAGATGCTCCCTGCCCAAATATTAGAACTAAATGCTAGGAGGTGATTTGCTCACACCTACTTTACTCGATGGACGTCATTCCAGCCAGGACCTGGACATGTTCTCCAGTCTTTGTACTTTGCCGGATTGTATTTGAAGTACGGGCAAGCGTACTTCAGATTCTCGTGTTGTTGAATGAACATACCGCTGCCCCCCTGGTCTTCCCTGTTCCCATCCTCGCCCTCGTTGTCTGTCTCGTAACTGTCCCTTTCCGTTGCTTTTCTCTTCTTATTTCCACAGTTAATAGTGTTAGATGGCTCACTAGGGAGATGTGAGCCCGAAAGTGCCTCTGATGTCCTCGGTGCGTTTTTTGAATTGTCACCAGCGTTCTTACGCCATGCGTCTAACTTTAGACGCAGCCACTGCGCTGCAACGAAGACAATCTTTTCAACCATCAGACTCTTCTGATTATCGACACAAATATCTGTGATGGAAGAACTTTCATCGCTGTCAGGCTTTGGAGAGGAATCTTGGTCAAGTTTTTCTTCACTCGCAGACGATGGGCCAGGCTCGGGAGAACACAATGCATCAAGATACCCAGGAATATCCTCGGGACTTTCGCTTTTAACTCCATGTTTGGGTGATCTGATTTGAGGTCGGTATTCCCCGCATTGGGTTGGTATTTGTAAGTTATCCGAACTGCGTTGGACGGAACCCGGCCGTGAAAGCGAATCGTCAGTGTACGTATGTATGTCTTGATTTAAGCCGTTGGTCGAGTCGCTCTCCATTGTCGCCTCTGACATTGGGATCTTCTTCTTTTCCCTCACGTCGTTTCGTACAGCCTCTTAAACTTTGGTGTCTCTATAAATAGCATAGCATTAAGCAGATGTCGCTGGAGTGATTTCGAGGTTACCTTAACTTACTAGAATACTGTATGACCGGTTGCTGGTGTAGTGACCGCAAATACATGTAAACTGCTTACCCAGTGCAGGGCGAAGGCCCGGTGGCAAGAATGAAGGGGAGCTAACGGAACTCTCTCCCCCAATTGTTGTGGGCGGGGATAAAGGGAAACCACAGAATAAGTCTTCAGGGGTTGGCATAAAACTTGCTTTTGGTGGCACGGAGCTCATGGGGTTGCAATCTGTTCCTTCGTGTTTTGAGCATTTCGTTACGTCACCAGCTGAGTCCAAAGGTGTTGGGTACTGGTCCGTGGGCAGGAACTTGGATTCTGCCCCGGGCTCTGCAGAGCTTGGAGTGGACGGCATGCTAGCTTGTAGCTGATTCAGTTTCAATCAGGTAGATAGATACAACAAAAGCAGAACTCGGTGAACTGATTGCCATTCAATGCGGGGCATTGCTTGTATTTGAACCCAATGAATAGCTGTATCAGGTACTGTGCACGGTAGCACGTTGCTAGCCAATGAACGGTCAGACAGACCGGAACACTGCGGCTGAGAAAGACTTCTCTTCGTTTTCCGCAATTGCGCATAACTGGATTGAGCTAGCACTAATGTGACAAATGCGTTCTGTAATTTACTCTAACATATTCCAACAATATCCTGGACATCTGAAACGTAGATTACTTAGACTTAGTTATCCAATTATAAGTTTAATCACAATACTTTATCATTGGTCATCTGCAGACAGCTATAGTGATCAGGACCGATGCTGGTCTTTCGCGTTGCCCGTTGAACCCCAGATTCTTTCATCGCTTGCGAGATTAAGTGGGCGCCGCGGATACCATTTGCAGAAACCCGATTGGCTGAGCAACAACATCAAGATCTGAAATACCTCGGCGTCTTGGACCCACAATCCTTCTCTCCCGCGCGTTGGTCCAGCACGGATACAAATACTGACCTTGACTTGACTTCAACACACGCGCCAAGCTACCCCTCCTAATCTGCCAGCCTCCAAACCCTCCTTTCTCATCGCCCCATGATCGACCTTCAATTACCGCTGACTCGCCATGCCGCAAGACGAGCTCCCCAAATCCGCGACCCAGCCCAGCAATCCTGAACCTAAAAATGAACGCGCTGTCTCACTGGTCGATCGCTTCACATGGGGCAACTTCACCTGCACGCAGTCCACAGGCGGTGTGGCCCTGATGCTTTCAAAGAGCCCTTATTCATTTCGCGGTTTACATACCATTGGCGTCGTGGTGTTCATTCTCAACCTTGTTCTTTTCTTTCTCTTCTGCTCAGCTATGGTATATCGGTTTGTTCGGAGACCGGCTAGCTTACTGAAGTCCGTGACGAAACCGCCTGAAGCGTATTTTACGGGCTCCCTGTGGCTATCGATGGCGACTATTATCATGGGCATACAGAGTTTTGGTGTTCCTCACGCTGGATCCTGGCTTGTCGATACCGTCCGGGTTCTGTTTTGGATTTATGGTGCTATCACGCTCACGTATAACGTTGTTATCTTTGTGGTCATGTTTTCTCTCGCGCCGTTTGCACCTGGTAGCATGAGCTCTCCGATGTTTCTGATGATTTACAATGCCATGCTTACCGGGACTGTCGCATCAGTAATCGCAGCGGATCAACCTCCATCAGAACGAATACCCATCATAGTTGCCGGAATTGCGTTCGAGGGTCTCGGCTGGATCCTGTGTCTTCTTTTCCTCCCCCACTTTGTCGGCAACCTTCTCGTTAACGGTCTCGGTCCAGTCAATCTCAGACCAGGCCTCTTTATCTCCGTCGGTTCCGCAGGCTATACCATCATAGCCCTGATCGGCTGCGCAAAAGCAATCCCAGATGGGCACGGCTACTTCGCGAAGCACCCCACTGCAGCAGAGACGCTGAACATCATGGCGCTGTGGGTAGGAATCTTTCTCTGGTTATTTACCTTTTGGCTTTTCGCAATTGCCGCGGTTGCGCACGTGCCCATTCTGGTTTCGAAACTCCGCGGGGATAAGTCTCGACAGCAGATGAGTTTTGCGCTTCCTTGGTGGGCGACTGTCTTTCCAAATGTTGGGTTCACGATTGCTACGGTGTATATCGGGGAAGAATTAGAATGCAGTGCCATATCATGGGTTGCCACTGTTATGACTATCTTGGTGTTTGCAGCGTGGTTGATGGACATGTATTTGCATATGAAGTCGATATTTCAGAAGCGCATTATGTAGATTATTACCAACATAGAAAATGGAACACAAGTCAAGCGCGTAAGTGGCCTTTTTCATTCGACTCGGCCACACTGCTTATAGCGAAGTCTGAGATTTCACACGGAAGAAGCGTTTCTTGGATATAAGGTTAAATTTTAGGTATCTTCTGTCCATAAATAACGCCCATGTAGGTTTTTCTACCCGAGATAAAACATATTGATAGTTAAATCTGACAAGTAAAAAGGACAATGCTAGCTTCGGCTCACCCTAATGCGTATAATGGGGGGCCGAGCGAGCCGTCCCGCCCCCTGTCAGGCTCGTATCGCTTAGAAATGGCCGCGCAATCTGTTCCCCACCTGCTCCTGGCTAGGACCTGTTCTCCGCCGATTATGCAGGTGTTAGTTGTCTAAACTCTATTCTCTCTGGTTGAAATCCTTCTGGCTGCATCTATTTCCTGATTTAGGCGTGATATGATGTGTGTTGGCGTGTGGTTCGGAGCCGAGGCATTTCGGCCCGCGCCGTTCGCCCGTGACAGAAAATGACGGACAGATGCACTAAGGACTCGACTAAACACGGACGTCGCCTTCCTAGCCGTATACGGCATATATCTTGCGCCTCTTACATAGTCAAATTCATATGATGCCTTGTAACATAGGCACGAACTATATAATATCCTGCCTATTTTGGCGCACGCTGTCTTAAAATCAAAGTTGCATTACTGTATTTGTCTTACATAATTCTATCTGAAATTGAGATAACGCCAAAAGGAGAGTCCAAGCTACCGCGGAAAACAACGCACACAGCACGAGGAACTGGGTTCCTCTGCTAGATGAGCCTGCGTACAAGCCCCGAAACATACGCATTGTTTGTGTTGGGGCCAGCTTTCCAGGCCTTATGCTAGCTTATGAAGCAAAGTACAGCGAATCACTACAAGGGTTCATCGACCTGACTATTTATGACAAGAACCACGATGTCGGGGGAACGTGGCTTGTTAATCGATACCCTGGCGTGGCAGTGCGTTTATCCCATGAGTAGGCTCCAAAAACAATAATTGACTGACATGCTCAGTGCGATGTTCCAGCGCACATATACATTTTTCCTTTTGAGCCAAATCCAGATTGGTCCAGCTTCTATGCTTCAGGGCCAGAAATCTGGGCCTATATCAAGAGAACTTCAGATAAGTATGGCTTAGCTGAGAATGTCAGATTTCAATCGAAAGTGACAGATGCCATGTGGAATGAGGGTACAGGAAAATGGAATCTGAAGTTATTTCAAGATGGCGAGGAAAAAGGGGACGAGTGTGATGTATTGATCGACGGTTCGGGGTTTCTAAAGTATGCTCACAGCGAGTTCAATTAAGATATCAAAAACTGACGGCGTTAGTAACTGGCATTGGCCTGATATTCCTGGTCTCCTTGACTTCAAAGGACAAATTGTCCATACTGCGGATTGGTACACCTCTCTACTCCCTTTACCGCGGTATCTCTAATAACAAATTGCCAGGAATCCTTCTATCAATGTGGCAGACAAAACGATAGCAGTCATTGGAAACGGTTCATCTGGTGTCCAAGTCCTGCCGCATCTGCAAAAGACCGCTGCCCAACTGACAACCTATGTTCGTACGCCAACATGGATATTCGCCAACTATGCCTCGGAACTCACAAAAGACGGCACAAACTTTGCCTTTACAGAAGATGAAAAGAGGAAGTTTCGAGAGAATCCTGCCTCGCTCTGGAAGTTTCGTAAGGACATTGAAAACAGGTTTGTAGCAGCTCTAACATCAGGAATCCTACTGAGTCATATACAGCCAAGACAACTTTTGGAACGTCTTCTTCAAAGAGACATCCGCTCAAAGAGCCGCTCTCGAGAATGCATACAACCGTATGCGAGAACGTCTCGGCAACGACAAGGAGCTGTGCGAGAAGCTAATTCCAGACTACGAATACGGATGTCGACGCCCAACACCAGGCGATAGTTACCTTGAAGCTCTTCGTCAGGATAACACACGTGTCACTTTCGATCCAATCGTTCAGATCACCGAGTCAGGGATTCAAACTACACAAGACTATACTGACTTTGACATCATCGTCTGCGCGACCGGTTTTGACGCAAGTTTCCGCCGCTCGTGGACGGTGCAGGGGCGGAATGGTTATCAGCTCCATGAAGCGTGGGGGGAGTCACCGGAAGCGTACTTTGGGGTTGCAGCGGCGAATATGCCGAATTACTTTATCTTCATTGGACCGAATAGTCCAGGTAAGTGAACTTTATAACAATAGGGTTGCATTACTGATAGTCCGCAGTGGGCCATGGCTCGCTTCTAGACAGCGTGTTTTGTGTCGCCAAATGGATATTGAAGTGGTGTAGGAAGATTGCAACCGAAGATATCAAGTATGCTCCGCCTACCGAGTCTCCATGATATGATCCAATAGGCTGACGTTACAATAGGTCAGTATGTGTGAAACAGCAGGCGCTGGATGATTACAACGTCTACCTGCAAGAACTGCTCAAGCGGATGGTGTGGACTGGCTCATGTCGAAGCTGGTACAAGAATCGTAAGAAAGAGGGACATGTTACCGCAGTGTATGGTGGAAGCCGCCATCACTTTAGAGGTAAAGTGTTCTCTCGTTTCCTGTCAACATTTAGGTCCACTTTTACTAATCTTAGATGACGTCCGTTCAGAAATCCTCGAAACCTTTAGAACAGAGGACTTTGATATTGAGTATAAATCAGTCAACAGATTCCGATTCATGGGTAGTGGAAGGACCTTGAGGGAGTCAAGAGGAGAGTACTACGTGCTAAAGTAACGGGACAGTTGGTCCAATAGTTAGTGTAGATAGTCTTAAGAACTTCAAGTGCGGAGACGGAACTCGGGTTACACGAGCCATCCATCTTTGGTGATTCGTAATTACCGACAGCAACTTAAGTGACATATCATATTGTGACCCAAATGACGTGACATGCAGCATGCGTTGTATCCAAGGCATCGCCTAGACGCGTACACAATCCTTCTCGGTCTTTCGGCCCTACAGATTGTGATATGTCACTCCTGGAGGTGGATCGTCGGTCGAACCGAGGTCTCTTCTTGCGGGGAGGCGGACGATGATGATATCGGTAGTTGAACGGACCAACGGGTGAATACAATTGATCGACAGAGGGCATATACATCGTATTATATTACTCTTGATATCACACCACCTCCCAGAAACAACGAGAAGCTACCCAGCGCTAATCAGGCTTTGACGACTACGCTATGAATTCCACCAATACTGCTTCGGCTCTACCCACCATCAAGCTTAATGATGGAAACGAAATCCCAATGGTTAGCTATGCCTCACTGTTATGTACTCGACCTGGAGTTAACGTGAAACAGATAGCGTACGGCCTAGGAACAGCAAACTTCAAGAAGGGAGGACGAACCGATTACGACGAGAACGCATTCAACTATACGTTGAATGCAATAAAGAGTGGCTTCTATCACCTCGACGGTTCTTCATGTACGTTTTTCCAATAGTCTGTTCACTCGTACCTCTTCTCATATGTTTCTAGCGTACGGGAACGAGGAGGAGCTTGGTGCAGCTATCAGAGCATCCGGCGTTCCGCGGGAAAAGCTTTATGTTGTCACCAAGCTCAACGGTTGGAAGAAGCAAGACGTACAGAACGCTTTTGATACCTCGTTGAAGAAACTGGGGCTTGATTATGTGGATTTGTATCTCATCCACGCCCCGTTCTTCGCGGAGAAGCCTGAAGATTTACAGGAAGCTTGGGCTACCCTTGAAGTCATTAAACAGTCTTGAAAGACTAAGTCAATCGGCGTCTCTAACTTCATACAAGAGCATCTTGAGACCATCCTCGCCACAGCCAAAATCCCTCCAGCAATCAACCAAATCGAGTACCATCCCTATCTGCAGCATGGTAATCTCATTGAGTACCATCGTAAGAACACAATAGCCCTATCGGCATATGCGCCATTGACAGCTATCATACGCGCAAGGCCAGGTCCCGTAGACGCTCTTTATGAGAACTTAGCTAAGAAGTATGGCGTCACTGAAGGGGATATTGCGTTGCGCTGGTGCATAGATCAGAATATTGTGGTTATTACAACGAGCTCCAGCGAGGAGAGGTTGAGAAGTTATATGAGAAACGTGTGGAGCTTTAAGCTGACAGCTGAGGAGATTGAGGGTATTGCAATGATGGGGAAGCAGAAGCACTTCAGGGCGTTTCAGAAGCAGTGGATTGCAGAGGGAGATTGGCGATAGGTCAATCGAGATTATCGCAGTTCATAAGCCATGAAATCAATAGAACGGAATTACCATATATCTTAAAGAAGACGGAAATTCTATATCGAAACACCTATATCACCTCAAGCTTCTAGAGTCTGTTGTTCCCACCTCACATTAGATGAGTCCCATGATTGTTAATAAACCAAACTCGAATTTCTTTTCCGGACATAGCTGCGACTGCAATGACCTTTCTGCCTTTCCTCGTTACGGTGCCAGCTCGAAGGAGCAGCTGGTAAGTCCAAGACGGGTTCGGGTCTTTTGTTGACGTTGTCCTGGCGCGCTTTAGCTCGCCCATTTCTCCAATCCACCAGAGCCTCAAGTCGTCTTCATTAAGCAACACAGCAGCGATCTCCGATTCTACACTGGCACTACCTAGCCTAGCAACAATACTGATGTGCCATTTCACTGATCAAGAATCTGCCTTCAAAGCGGACCGCCATCTGAACTGACCTTTCCTATGTGATGCATTGAAGTCTTGTGCTAGTAGATGTGCTGGCTAGATCTGTAAGGAGAGGGGTCGGTGAAGCTCTCAAGGCATCAGTGCCTTCGGCCCAGAGTCCAGAGATATTCCCCTACAAGTCTCCGTCCACAGCATACTCCCCTGAGATGCGGCCGGCTTGAGTAAGCCAGAACAGATCGGTGATGTTGTCGTTAACCGCTACACTGCTGCTGCGCTTACTCGGTGTCTTCGCTCTAGGACCCATCTCTCCATAGACCAAATCGATAGACCCCGTTCATTTAGGGGATTCAGAGGTATATCTTCCCGTCATCAGATTGCCGTCATCAGACGACCTTTCGGATAAACCCACTTGTAAATGGAAATTCCTCGATTTTGACCCACTGGAATCGCTGATCAACCGTTTGTTGGGATGGAGTCTTTGGATTCCAGCGTGCAGCATCGATGGAACTATCGGGGGTTATCCAGTAGATCTCTTGCTTACTGGCACATAGTGACACACATGCAAAGCTTGAACCTATACCAAGTGCCGTATTTGCATCTTCTACGTGAATGGAGTCTTATTAGCTGCCTGAGCCTAATCTAGGGTATGCGCTCCGCAAAATTTGATCTAACTCAATTCGTATTTGCATCTTCAACAGACTGTGAAGTGCTACCTTTGACGAAATCGTCAATCACCTTACCCTGACTGGTTGTCCAAACTGAGCAGTCTTTCAACTCGGCAATAGGCTCCAAGACAGCAAGTTGTGTGTGGAGCGATATCTCCGCGGACCGTAGAGACTTTATGCATCTTTACAAGCTGGAAATTGCGGAACCCGAACGCATTAGTGTTCCGGCATTTATGCTTTAGGAGGCTATATTACTTTCGTAACACAGACAGACAAGCGCATGAAGGTGGTGAAGACCGTGAGTGGCATCGATTTAGGGACGCTATATTCAGAAGGGCTTGGGAACTATGATGAATATGTGCTTCCGAATTTCCGGAGCTCGCTCGAATACGCATACAAACAGCCCAGATAAGAAATTCCAGTCGCCAAGCTTAATCTAGATCAGACTACCGCAGACGTATGACCAGAAATGCCGGTATTCTACCAAGGAATATGCAGTTACCACCAAACACCTCATGGCCACGTCAAGACGGCATCGAACTGGGATTTACGACTCGCTTACCATTACTACAGCAGCCTAGACGGCCTAAAAATGGAGAAGATATATGACAATTCGATTCATGCATCTGCTTGTCGCGAGGAACGATGTTACATGTTGCTGTATCCCACCCGTTCAAGACCCCACTCTCTGCGCTAACGCTCGCGGCTGACAATCGCATCAGGCTTGGTAGGATCTGGAAAGAAGGCTCAAGCCTACTACGGTAGCCGGTTCGGGTAAGTCTTTCTTCCTTTCTGCCTGCAGGCTCGATGATTTGTTCGGCCCGTATCCATGGGAAGTGGAACCCATGAAACCGATACGCGCTAGCGATTTACTTTGGTACAAGCGTGAAGCCACATACACCATGTCGCTGATCTGGACAGGTATAAAACCAAGGCTGTTGTGGTAGGAAGGATTCCCCTTCTTCATTTCCTACTTGAAATTTGTCATTCCTCTGCAGAAAACGGAGTATCTCTAACCGCACGCAACTCAAGATGGTCAACACACTGCCATTCGGCGACAAGCAAATCCCAGTGCCTGGCTTCGGGGCTATGGGTTTAAATTCAGCCATGGGCAGCGATCTTGACCTCGAACAGGCTGAACCAGTCCTTATGAAAGCGTTGGAGCTTGGCTGTACGTTCTGGGATACTGCTGTATGTGTATTACTGAATGACGGCTGGTCAAGGTATTGTTGCTGATGGCTATGGGCCGCAGGTCGCTTACAAGAACGGCGCAAACGAAAAGTTGCTTGGTGACTTCATCAAGAAGCACAACGTTCGCGACAAACTCTTTGGTGATTATAATAGTGTCCTAGTACTGTATTAAGCGTGGTTGCTGACGAGAAGTTGCGGTGTAGTCGCGTCGAAATGCGGATTTGACGTGTTCTCGCCTCAGCGAACCGTGACCAACTCGGCAGCTCATATCAAGGAATACATTGAAGGGACAATCGAGAGGCTTGGTTTCACTCCGGATCTGTACTATCTGCACAGAATTGACCCCAGTAAGTTGAAACACTGTATCTATGCTATTTCCCTCAGCGTTAACAATATCGAGATACGCCACTTGAGGAGTCCATTGGTGCTCTGGATGAACTGCGCCGTGCTGGAAAGACCAAGTACATTGGCCTATCTGAATGTTCTGCGGCGACCTTACGCAAAGCTCATTCAAGTGCGTATACATGGTGCAGTGCCAACAAAGTTTAGTAGTACTAATACATTCAAGTCGCCAAGATTGATGCCGTCCAAGCCGAGTACTCTGCCTTCGAAACGATACACGAAACAAACGGTCTTATCGAGACAGCCAAAGAGTTGGGGATAGCCTTTATAGCATTCAGTCCTTTAGGGCACGGCTGGCTGGTAGACGAGTTTGATTATAAGTCTCCCGACGACTTCGCCCCCAATGATTTCCGCCGCACCGGTAGGCTACCTCATTTACAAGCGAGGTGAAGCATCACCAGATAGGAGGCTAACGTTTATAATAACAGTCCCAAAGTTCCAAGGCGAGAATTTCTATCATAATAAAGCAATTGTAAATAAGATGAAGAAGCTAGCTACACAGAAGGGCTGCACAGTTGCGCAGATTGCACTGGCATGGGTAGCAGCGCAGGGGCTTATCAGCATCCCAGGCACAACGAAAGTTTCGCGCCTGGAAGAAAACTGGGCATCTCGGGCCGTCGTTTTGACAGAAGAAGAGGAAAAGGCAGTGCGCGAGATTGTAAACGGTACTAAGCCGGTTGGGGAGAGGTTCGCTGCCAATATGCAACACTTGGTGGGTCATTAGACTCATAGCGGCCCATGATAATCATGCCTCACTTTGTTATCTTGACGGTTTTCCAAGATCTGAGTTGAGTTTTCTTGACTTTAGGCATTAGAATGCAAGTAAAACGCACTCCAAATCCAAAACTTATCTGTGGGCTTACGACGCTTTACCATCATTGTGACCTAAACAGAGGAGGCTCGCCTCGTTGAGAGCGCCACATATTGGTAGACCGGAAGAGGTCGAAGCAGCCTGAAATGACCCAGCCCCATGATCGAGCAAATTCTGCCGTAACTTCCCATCCGCTAGGGTCCCATGGCTCGCGCCAGACGATCACCCCAGGGCCTTCACCGTGACCACGCCCCGTAAAGGCACGACATAGACCCCCCTCGTCATACGAGTCAACGCTTCGCTCAAGTATGTTGTTGCGAAGCTGAGCTACGGGGAGTAGATCGATCCAAGGATGGTGCTCTGTGTGGTATTGAAGACGGGTCGGCCGAAGACCATGAGGCAAAGTCTCCGTGTTGAGATTTATGCTATCGGGCCAAGGCCCAGCAACGACGAATAGTGAGCAGGCATCATCGTGCATGTGATCAGCAGAAAGGCCAAAAACATCTGCATTCAGCATCAACGCACGAGAAAAATTGAACTGAGATAGGCTGGAGAGCATATCGCACCTGACCATCCCAGTTCTTCTGTCGTGGCTCACAATCGTCTCGAATACACGAACTATGGCCTGATTGTCCCACGAATGCAACTGAAGTATGCTGACTTTGTCTATGAGCATCTTGAGGTCAATTTCGTGATTCAGGACAGCGCTGATCAAGGCCGGGACGGATGCTGCATTGAGGTGGGCGGGCGCGGACACGGCTGTCGAGGGGTCGAGAGCGGAAGGCGACGGCTTCTGCCGTTGACGAGCGCCTACGGGGAAAATGTTAACGCAGCTGGATACCTCACAGGTCCGTTTGTAGATGACGACGAGCTTACGGTGGGACCGCTGATTGATGCGATTTTGAATCTTTTTCCGTTTCACCGAATCGGCTACACCGGACCAATTATCCTTATCGCCGATGACACCGGATTGCAGGAGGAGCTGGTGATCAATTCTGGCGGGTTCAGACATAATTGATCGGAATGGCTGAGGGATATGGAGTAGTACTGGGTAAGGTTGCGTCAAAGTCGAAGCAAGTGTGCGATTATATGCAGAAGGATGACAGAGTGACTAGGCTGAGAGAATTCAGGCCGATAAAGCGATTAACTGTAAGTAGTAATCCATAACGAAGATCCATGCACCTGTCACCAGCTTGCATTAGTTCCAACGCTAAACGCGCCTTGGCTCGCTAGTTTAAAGTTTCGGCAAAGGCTCAGCGTAGTAATCACTCTTGGAATAGTCCACGACGGTGACAATCTCCTCAGTAAGGACTCTTGGCAGGCGATCCTGAACGCGCGGCAAAGGTTGACCATTGACCGTATGAAGACATGATACATATAAAACATGAACTAGAATATCGTATTGTGGAATGTGGTTCTCATAAGCTTATCACTGACAGCAGAAGTAAAATGAAGTTTGCAGTTCTATACCTAGTCGGCCAATTGTTCGCATCGACGAATGCCGTCGACACGAGGGCTAAGAATAGCAGATTGCCTCTCCAGCGAGATGGAATAAACTGCCAAAAAGCCGTACGCACTGCATCATAGCGGTGTACAGATCTTCCAACTAACAGGAGTAGTGTGCGACTTTAGCGACCGAATTCCCAGGCAGATTCCATTATCACGACGATGATACCGACTTCACAATCTGGGACCAGAAACAATTAGAGACCGTCTATACCTGTCGCGTCCAGCCTGCATCTGCCACCGAGGTCTCCAGAGTCTTGCAGGTCCTTGTGCACAACTGGTGCAGATTCGCAGTCAAATGCGGCGGCCACTCGCGATTTCCAGACGACTCAGTCTCCGTCGGTGGTGTTACCATCGACCTTGGATTGATCAACAATACCGTCGTCTCAGATGACGCGACAACAGCTCGCGTGGGCGGCGGGTCCCTCAGCCGCCAGGTCTTTGCTGCTCTTGATCCGTATGGTTTGGCATACATTGGTGGAAGAGTTGGGCAAGTTGGCATTGGGGGTTTCACTCTTGGTGGAGGTTCCTCAGTTCTCGCCGGAAAATATGGATGGGCACTGGATCATGTCCTCGAGTACGAGGTGAGAGAATCTGTTGCTTTGCTTGTCGTGATATGGAAGCGCTGACCCCCAGAAAGGTTGTTCTACCAAATGCCACGATTGTGACGGCATCCCAAGATTTGCATCCGGATTTATACTATGCTCTTCGAGGCGGCGGTAACAATTACGGACTCGTAACATCGTTCAACATCACCGTGTTTCCCCAAAGTCCTGTGTATACCGGTTCGCGTACCTTTAGCGATGACCAGACGGGTCGAGTACTTGAAGAGGCAGAGAGAGTCTTTACAGTCCAGGACTCTGAGGACACCGCGGTAGGTCTCGAGTACCGGTATACCTACACTGCACAGAGTGGCTGGAGTATCTCAACTACCCAAAGATACGGGGAGCCAATACTGTACCCCCCAGTATTTGATAGCCTGAACAACATCCCGGCATTAGGGAATCTTACCGGGGGCATCAACAGTATTGCCAATAGCACGAGTTCGCAACAAAGATTAGGGATAACAAGGTAAGAAAGCTCAATTGTTCTGTTGTTTCGGGCGACTAAAGACAAAACAACAGAAATGTGTTCAGCACTATGACGCACTATCCATGTATAGACTTGAGCAAGAAGGGCCTTGATATCGTCAAGAGCCTTGTGGAGGGAAAAGGTTTGACTAGCTTGAATCCACAGCTGATCACATATTCCATACCTGCCGCGACAATGGCAATGTCCAAGGCAAGAGGCGGCAACGCTCTCGGTCTTGACGTCGAGGGACATCTTATTAGTAAGCCATTACCCCCCAACCTTGGTCTACTCCAGGCCATCATCTTTCAATGATGTGAAAATGAGCTGACGATGATTTAGTCAATCTATTCTCCTTGAGCTGGACTGATAGCGCAATGGATAATGCCGCGTATGCATTGGCAAATGACTTTACTGCAGACTTTCAAAAAGCTGCCAAGAGTCTCGGCGTCTTCCATCCATTCATCTATATTAATTATGCGAACCAGGGACAAGATGTTTTTGCGAGCTACGGTGAGGAAAATCATAGGAGATTGATCGAGGTACAGAGGGCGTTAGACCCCGAGGGTGTCTTTACATCTTCGGGGCTTTGGACTGGCTTTTTCAAGGTTCGGTGATCCGCTGTACCTGTACGTACACAACTCGTGTACTTTCCAGCCTAAATATTCGGGCTGCGCAAATGGCAGTAAGTACATGTGTTGGGTCCTGAGAGTAATTGGAACTCGGAGTCTTTTGAGGATCCAAGGGGCTCAGCCAAAAATGGCACATCTAGGGATTTCTTGTTGCCTTTCGCATTGGGGTTTAGAGAGCCCGAAATTCTGGTCGAGCTAGCGTCTATAGGAATGGAAAAGAATGTCTCCAGGCGTACACCTCGATTCTTCTACGGTGGTCGTAGGACGATGATTTTGGTCTTGCTTTCGATATTCCCAACACTGAATGGTAGATACTCTTTCCAATCTTGTAGGTTAACTGCGAGGAGTACGGATGAGAGGTCGTAAAAACCACTAGCTCGTGATGCTTCCCGGATTGTCAATCCAACTTGGGAGCTAGGCATTGTGGTAAGGTCTTGCTTCTGTTGTCCTGTGCCTTTGAGGTCAACAGTATGCCAAAAGAACGCACTTTTTTATAGTCACCAGCAAGGTGCTCAGTAATCTGATCAATATTCTCGATCTTCTCTGGGACGAAAAGCATCCCAGAGCTGTCCTGACTAAGTACACAGCTATTGCTGACTTTCAAAGCCTTGTCCTACGATCCAATGCTTGCTGATCCAGCGAATTCGACCTCTACAGAAGGCAGATCGATATCCCTTACCCGAACAGAGATTTGATCGATCCTGCCTTTTAGATCATCATGAAAGACTAACGAACTTGTTCAAGATTCCGAGTTGAGTGAGAATAGTTGTATTTCGGACAATTAGGTTTCCTGTAGACTGGTAGATAACGACCTGCGATACACCCAGGTGTGGCTGGAGGAGATTGAGGCCAGCATTCACCACAGCAGTGGGTGCACCAGAGAGTAAGAGATCAATAGTTTGTTGAGAGTTGCCAATGATGTAATATAGAACATCACCAAGTGCTTTTTGACTGCATTATCCTTATCCTATGGACCTGTCCTTATGCTTCGTGAAGTACTTCATACTTCTCTTCCGTCCATAGTCCTTTTCATTAGTCTCTAGGACGGCCAACTTCTCTATTTCCTGTTCCTCATCCTCATCCACCTCAGGGGCCATCTCCTTCTTTGGTTCTCTCAGCTTGAGGGGGTCCCTTGGCTTTGCACTTGCCCCCTTTTTGACATTAGCCATCTCCTCCACAATATTGTTATCGCCGTCCCCAAGACTGATACTGCGAAGCGACTTAGCAGTCTTGGTGACATTGAGATCGCAGTTCAGATAGCCAGCCCCCTCTCTGCTTCGATTCCAGGCCTCAAATCCAAGAATGTACAAGAAACTATCCATGATGCGGTCTTCCCACTGGATGGGGTCGAAAGCAGCCTTGGAAGAGAATACTTGTGTCGCAACTAAGGCTTTGATGCATTGAGATATCTCTTTCTGGATTGCCTCATTCGTGCTTGGTAATTTGCCGTCATGGGCTTCGATGTACGACTGGAAGCGCGAAAGGTAGCTGCGGAATGCTATAGGGACCCAGTACTTATAACCATCTTCAGAGACGAAGTCTTCACGAAAGGATTCCATGGCTCCGAGAAACCACAGAATGGAAAGGATAGCATCGATGGCATTCTGCCACTCTCCGTTCAGATGTCTCCACCGCGATGGATCTATCTCACGTTCTTTAGGTGGATTCGTTTGCGGCAGCGTTGCCAATCGTAACAGTACATCCACTTCTCCGATTGCGATGAGTCCCTTGATGCCCGTGATCCGTTCAGTGCCGCTGAATACATATGAGTTCGTTGATGTCCATCGCGTGATCTGCATCGCAACTGGTCGCAGCTGTTCTCTCCCCTTTACAGCTCGACTGAGCGGTACGGTATGAATGGCGTCGAGAACTGTGTCGGAGAAAAGCTTTGAGTCTGAGGTAATATCTCTCGGCCGAGAAGTCTGAGCTTCGCCCGCAGCTACCACTTTAGCGGCCAGTGTTTTGGCGAAACGGCGGACGTGGGGAGCCCATTCTTCCCGGGATTCGCGTGGCACGATAATGAGGGGTTCACGGTTGTTGCCATGTTCTGCCACGAAGGACTGATAAGAGCGTTTGTACCATTGGTCTTGACGTTGAGAGTGAGTGGCGACCACTTGAAAATGCTGCGACAATAGAGCCTTAAGCTCGTCGGAGATTCCTTCGAACCCCTCCATGGCCAGCTTTTGCTTTTTTATGATGAGTTTTTTTAATTGTGCAAGATCCATTCTGGTTACGGATGGTCCCTCTCTTTTTAATAGCCTGTTGGTCATGGCGGCTGCTCAGCCACGCCGCTTGACTCATCTGACTAGAAACCTGTGTTAAGGCTTTAAATAAATCCGCTAGCGCCTACCACTCTAGGATTCTTAGCGCGAGCCAGGATAAATGTGTTACAGATATATGATCAAAAACTAAATATTAAATTAAGCGGAGGATATCAGCATCTTGCATTATTTCTTTCCTGACTGTGAAATGGAGCACCTCTCTCCATCCAAGACTCTGTCATGACTTCATTCTCAGCACGCGACAATATCAAGTCCCGTTCCGTCAATCGCCGCCTGCATTCCGTTGATGCAATGGCCCTTGTTACGCAAGTTTCAAATAACGAGGATGTAACCAGCAGTGCTACATATAATGCCTGTCTGGTTCCCTCTCATCGAGGAGAACTTCCTCTATCAATTCCATTCGCAAAGTGCCAGTGAAAAAGATGTCGTTTGGATACGGTGTCGGCGACGTCATCGCCGTGCTAGGCCTCTTCGAGCGCATTGCCATCGAGCTACGAAATTACAAAGACGCACCTACTCACTTCCAACAACTCCGTACCGAACTAGATCTACTGCGGGGTACTTTGAAGCGTGTCTTGTCCCTGGAACCGGAGGGTGATGCGGAGCGCGAAACTTTGGAGCAGATCAGAGCCATCGTCATCTGTTGTGCGCAGCCTTTACAGTCCATGGCTGACAAAATGAGAAGCAAAGAAAGCAGTTTGGGCCACTTCAGAACAACTAGAAGTCTTGTCAGTATCGGGACAAGACTTCACTGGTCTTTGATTGATCAAACCGATATCGAGGGACTCAGAAAGATTCTTCTGTCCCAGATGACCGCCATCAACACACTGTTGAGTATTCAGCAACAGTGAGCTTCCCAAGAAATTTCAGACCATGGCCCGAACGACTGACGTAGAGACAGAGCTCGGATCCAGCGACTTGTACTACAAATGAAGGTTAGCGAGAATCACCAGACGTTGGCGATCGAAAAGCATACAAATGCCATAGCGGGACAAGCTACCAATATCCTGGCTATTACATCCAGAACCCAAAGCACAATCGACACTCTGGCTTTACAGGCCAGTGTGCAGGCGGAAATCCATTCGAAGCAGGCAGATGAGATCAACCAAAGCTTGAACTCTATTGAACAAAACATGCGTCATATGACGCTGAAATCTGAACAATGCACCACTGTTGTCCGTCGTCAGGCCATCTTCATTTCTCGGCAAGTTCAAAACTTGTTTTACCTTATGCAAGAGATAAAGAAGCTTTTCATCTTGTACATATCCCTCTTACAGAGTTTTGCTACTTGGCTAACTGACTCGTGGTCTTGCAAACTGCTCGAAAGAAATGCTGCAAGCGATAAGCCGTAACACGTGGGGTGCCACTGACAGGAATACGAAACCAACCTATACTAACAATAATCCAGGCGCATGCTACTTGATATACGTGGGCAAATGAAACGTATGATACGCGCCATTGAAGCCATACCACTTCATCTCACACTCGACATTGTCCGGCTAGACGATGTCCATGGAGAGAGCTGGGCCCTGCCACTACAGGCATGTAGGACCTGGGAAGTAAGTTAAACTGGTCTCAACAACTGAGAACCAGTGATTGATAGTCAAAGTCCTTTAGAGAAATGCTCTTGTTCGTTGTGTATGCAAACAAAAGACCCGGAGCGAACTACATCACACAGAATCTCTTCGCGGTGACGCAAGCGAAGACGGGCAAGGGAGTCGACCAAGAGACGTGGGAAGCAATGATAAAACCAGGCTTTCATATAGAACAGGCGGTAATACTGAAGGGTTCCCACTCTTCCAAGAGATGCCTGAACCCAAAGTGTGCCGGGATGCTTCAGGATGAAGTCCTCGAGTTCGAAGACCGTCAAGTTTGGTGAGCGACATGATCTATGAAATTCGCATTTATCGGCCGTCAACTGATCAGAGAATTGGACAGCAATATTTGTTCCCGGTCTTCAAAGACAGCTTTCACAACGACGCCATTGATCGGCCTATACAATGAGGCTCCCTACTCGCACCATCCTGTGTAGCGATTCACAAGTCGAAACAATACCAAGGGAAGTTTCGGGCCCCATCTACCTTCCATAGCTATGGATGAGCAAATAGGAACTTTCCTCAGGGTTAAGCTCTTGCAACCTACCGAGCCTATACAAGATATCGAAGAAGCCTATCGGCGACTGGGCGAAGACCCTAATCACGCCATGGCAAACGCATATGTCGGCCTTGAAATACTTCTTGCAATAGGGGAAACTATATCTGTCGATCAAATTGATATTGCAAGAAATCATCTAGAAGTTGCCGTTGAATCAGGTAATAAGACTCGATACACTTCTTACAGCCTGACGTTCTAAGACTTTTTAGATAGCTCGACCGCCGAGAACTGGTACCTGCTAAGCCGAGCGTGTATGAAAGCAGAAGATTACGAAAGGGCCTACCAATGCCTACAAGTCGCGATATATCTTGAGAGCCGCTGCCCCTCGTTCTGGATCACACTTGGGATTCTATACTTCAATATAGGTCAAAGTAGAGATTGCCTCGACGCCCTGACCAAGGCCGTAGAGCTAAATGCTCATATCTGGGAGCCTTGGTATAACCTCGGCGTGTTGGTACGTCTTTTCTTGTCTTGAACAAACGGTATGTATTCTAACACTAGCTGCAGTATGACAGTTGCAATGGCCAGCATTCAGATGCCGCTGATGCCTTTTATAAATGTCTCGAGCGGAACCCAGAGCTGTGTAATGTCCGGGCACGACTCGAAGCTCAACAAGCCTACGCGGGGGATATGAACGATGAGCTTTTAGGTGGTACGGTGATCCACGAAATGGTCGACTCACCACTGGATGATAAACATGGATGGTAGAGGAAATTCGCCTCGCAGATTCTGTGTCTGATTCTTGTAGAGTCCGCTTTACATGCTATATAGACTTTGGCCTTACTTGGAAAACAATGATTTTGACAAGTTTGTCTCCATCGGCGCCGCAATGCTGATCAGGGCATCGACCAGTGAGAAAGGTTCTTGTTCTTTCATGTTACAAATTTTACTTCCTGTGTAATGCATGCAGTAGCCTACACAGCAGGTACAATATAAACATTAGTAGCAACAAAATTCCTTTCTTTTTTTCTCGGAGGAAAAGACGAGCCGTTGAGTCAAGCCGCAATTCAGTGGCTTCAGCTGAGGCACAAAACTGGTGGTGGCTGAGTCTTGAAATAACGCCTTCCCGCTGAAGTGCCCAATCATACCCCGGATGCAAGCGCGATGATGGTGGCTGCCGCAGACTGCACGTGAGGCCTCTTTCCGATCAGGCTGTGAGGGAAGACCTCCTACTTGCTCAATCCTCTCCTTGCATCAACAGAAAATCGGATGCTCGCACGCGGCATTGAAGCCATGGAACTTTCCCGACCCGCGGACTCACAAATCGTTGCCGCTTCTCGACCTCGTGCTGGATACGATGTTTCAGCCGCACCTGTCAGGGAGCTTGAGAGAACTATCGCGGGGTTCCAAGCCATCCTGACCGATGAAGACCGCAAAAAGCTGCAGCAGCTGAAAACGACGTCGCACGACTCGCAAAGCATTATCACTTTCACGGCCGAGTTGGATCTTCTCGACAAAAACAGGCGAGGGAAGAGTGTCGCCTCGAGACTTGCTTCATTTTTGCAGACGATTGAGCAGTTCACGCCCATCGTCGACACATAAATCCAATCGAATCCTGATGTCACCGCGCTCATCTGGGGCTCAATCAAACTCACATTTATGGTAGGAAGGATGTGATTTCTACGTACCGCTGACTGACAATATTATCGTCATAGTTTCTTGCCAACTTCGCGTCTTACTTCCAATCGTTTGTTGAGCTTCTCCACGGCTTCGGTTCACTATGCACCCGCTTCGCCGAGTATCAAGTAATCTTCAAGGAATCCTCGCGTCTCAAAAGTTCGGTCTGCCAGTTTCACACGGCAGTCGTTACTTGTTGCCAGCAAATCGTCTTGGCTGTCCGACGGCCTTGTGAGTATGGCAAAGTAGTTGACCGAAGGGAAGGATGCGCTAATTTATCGCATAGTGAAGAATCAGATTCTCAAGGCAATTACACAGTCCTTTCAGTCTGAACTTCGAAGCTACGTGGAAGACATCAGAGCGAAAGCAGAGGAGGTACAGGGCGATATTCAATTGGCCAAGGCTCGGTGTGACCGCGAGGAACAGCAACTACAGACGACAGAGCGCAAAGAGGCTACTGACCATCGGAAACGCTTCAGAGCTTGGGCTGCCGAAATGGAAATCTTTCAAGCGCAGCGAAGACGAGATGCATTAGGTTGGGCACGAATGATCTTTGCCGACAGCCAAACTAACTCGCGGTCGCAGAACATAAACGTCGTCGCCTTCTTGAGGACTTATCGTCATTCAACTTCACTTCGGCTTTCAACAGCACACGAAACAAGCGCCATGTAGGCACGGCCAAATGGGTCTTTGACACTCCGGAATTCCAACAATGGGTGGAAATCAATGGGTCTCCCGTTCTTCATATCACCGGAAAAAGTGAGTCATCTGCTACTCACAAGAGCGAAAGACTGGAGCTGACTACTGTCTCAAGTTGGGTCTGGTAAAACAGTCTTGTCGTGAGTAGTGACCCTCCAGGTACCCAAGCCCACAAAACTTACCATTATCGACCCCAGGTCCTCGATCGTTGAGAAGCTGTCGCAGATTCGGCCACCTCAACAATTCGTGTCGTTCTTCTTTGCGCGGTTTGATGATCCGCTTAGCCTCAACGCTGAGACAATCATACGTTCCTGCATTCAACAGTTAGTATCAGCCATCGACATGGACACTCTTGACCCAAAGGTCGTTTGTGCACTTGACGAACAGCTCTCTCAAGCCAGGCTGGCTCTGTTCTCCTTCGAATTCCTTTCAGATCTCTATTTGTCTGCGGCTAAAGCCATCAAACAATGGTTTATAGTCATTGATGGCTTGGATGAGTGTAGCACTGATCAACAGTCCAAGCTGCTAAAGTTCTTCCAAGGAATTATTTCGAGGAATGATACAACGCGCAACATAAGTCTTGTCTTCGCCTCTCGAGAGACATGCACCAACACAATCAGAAGCATTTTCCCCGAGTCGCAACGACTGGTCACAGGTCTAGAAAGTACTAGCGTCGACATCGATTCATATGTTGACGACATCATTATTGACAAATTGTCAACTGGCGAACTGGTTGTTAGTGACCCCAGGCTATTGAAAGAGATTCTGACAACAATTGCTTCCAAGGAGCAGGGAATGTGAGCATCCTTCAGCTAATTCAAAACTGACAGAACTAACAATTTTACTTTGCGGTTAGGTTCTTGTGGGCCTTTTTTGTCATTGAAGATATATGCTCTGGGAAGACCGACAACGAGATTCGACAAGCACTTCAAAATATCCCCGGTGACCTTCCGGCGACTTTTGACCGTGCGCTTAGTCGCATTGTTCAAAAGCGCAATCAGGACACCGCCAAGAAGGCCTTCATGTGGACAAACGCAACATTACAGCCATTGACCTTGTCACAACTCCGCGAAGCACTATCTATCAAGCCTGGCCAACACACTCTGCGACAGGAGGATCTTATCAGCGGAATAGAACGATTAACTGCTTGGTGTGAGAACTTGATTTATGTGGAGGAAACAGACAACACAGTTCGCTTCAGCCATCATTCCATTCAGGAGTTTCTCTTGGCGTCAGATTCAGGTGAACATGAGGCCCTCCACATCGATCACGACCAGTGTGATAAGCTTGCTGGCGAGGTCTGCATTACTTATGTCAACCTTGACAACTTCCAAACGGCAATCACAGAGAGTAAAAGGCAACCTCCGACTCAATCCGCTATGAGGATCGATCCAAGTGGAATAGCCGAGCAGACGATACAGTCCGCCATTCAGGGTGGTGTTGGAACACGCGTTGGTCGCCTCGCTCGCCAATTTGTCAAGGCGTCAAAACCAAATAAGGCATCAACAGGGACTGAGTTTTCCCTGAGTTCTCTCATGCCAGTTACCAGTATGGCCCAAGGGACCGCAGACTATCCCTTTCTCGAATATGCTTCGACGAACTGGTTCAAGCATACCAAATACATCAACAAAAAGGAGACGGAGGTCTGGAGACTTTTCGGTCAATTGGTTCAGAAGCCCGCTCAGCACTCGCAAGGCGAGCCTTGGCATAGTACGGAATGGAAGAACGAAGCCTTGCAGGGGTTTCCAAATCATGACGACTCGAGATCAAAATGCTTTAGCGATATTTTTCGTGCCCAACTGAGTGGCGAGATACATGGCATCAAGACGGCTTCATTTGACGTGCCAGAACTACACCACCTCCTCCGTTCCTTTATCTACGCTGAGTTGAACGACTACGGGGCGCTCGCATGTCGATCCTTTCAATTGGCAATAGAATTATATGCGTTTTCAGATGAGCTTAATAGGCTTCTTTGCATTCTCACGGCTAACAAAAATTACATGGCCTGCGGAAATGACTGTGCAAGCTTTGCACCTTCGGGCCTGGACCATCAATGGCTCATGGAAGAGCTCAGAAGAGCAATCGTCCGTGGAATTCCATACTTCCCAGCCTTGAAAGGACATGTGATACGATCTTCCTGTGATTGCGCAGATTCATCTCCTCTCGAGTCCAGGCGCGATATATGCCATGTGCTAGAAGCAGGTTATCGACAAGAATTCGAGCCGCATCTACAGGCTTTCGCTATCATCGTGGAAAGGATGAAGGCCAAAGCCAGTATACCCATCATCAGTGATTTGGAGCATTGGTGTCTTGCTAAGGGACGTGCGTTGACTGAAACCAAAAATACCCACGGCATGCTTTTAATTGATGTTCTGATACAATGGCTCGTGGCAAGTTGCGGTCTTCTCAACATAGATATTCTTCTTCCCCAGGGCTCCCCAGGGCTCCCCAGCGAGGTTTAGAGCCCTCTCAGACCCTATCGCCAGATTTATGGAATATGTACCGACGCTAACCTTTGCGCGAGACGGTCCATATGCTCGTAGATCACCTTATATATTACCTCCCACAGAATATACCATCTGCTTTCTGAGCCTCTTGGAGGATGGGTTCCTGGATCAACTACCTCCAAAGAAGGAGGAAGTTGAGCAGTATGCTTTATCTGGCGCCCTGATCAAACTCCATGGAGAAACCATAACAACGATATTTCGCGTTTACGTCATGCCTACTCTATGGAAATCCTACATGGCGACTTACATTGTAGAGACCTTATTCCGTGTATATTCGCTGCCCGCTCCTGAGCATATAGTGCATGCCCATGAGGATTGTTTCCGAGAAGCAGTGTGGCAAAACAACTGGGACATTGCTGCAGCTTTGGCTAAGCATCAGCCAGCTCTTGTCGACGATGCGATGGACAGTGGGCACTTCGATTCCATCAGAGAAGCTCTCCTCTGCGATACTTGCTGGCTACGCATGCAAAATATGGTGAGGCACCTGACCTCAGAGAAGATGTATCAGTATTCCTTCAAACTATGTGAGGGTCACAACTTGATGTTCAAAAAGATTCCTGATTCGCTTCAGGGCATACACGATGCTAAGAAGAAAACCTTGCTCTGCCCGGGACATAGCACAGATGCGTTGCCTGAACGGGAGGGAAGATTGAAGTGGGTATAATTTTATTTCTGATCATTATACAATGAATTTCTATCGCCTCTTGTCTGATATGGATTCTCGGTCAGCACCAGCACTCAAGGTTCCTCATGTATCCCCCCTCACATCCTTAGCTTGCTTCGTCCTGTCCGAATCCGTTTGATCTCCCGTATTAACAGTCCCCTCCTTCTCCACCATCATAATCACAGCATTCTCCGCCACAGGCTTATGCGTGACTCCCTTTGGCACGACATACATATCCCCCTCCTTCATAACAACAGACTCTTCTCCTTGGATCTCCATCGTCAATTTTCCAGAGAGTAGATAAAAGAGCTCTTCAGAGTCGGGGTGTGCGTGCCAGATGAATGAACCGTCGATCTTGGCGACTTTGACGTGATGGTCGTTGACTGATGCGATGAGACGCGGGGACCATTTTTCGGTGAATGAGGAGAGGATTTCGGGAACAGAGGTTGTTTGAGACATGGTTTGGGAGTTGGGGATGTGAGTGGTCGAGACGTGTTGTTTGTAGTTGAGACTTTTGGCTTAGAGCCTATATCAGAATTGAGAGAGAAACTTGGTGGTTTGAGTTTGATGAAATAAAAGTGTATTTAGTGATTGGCGACTTATATAGGACTGAGCTTATGGCGAATGGTCCCCACTATGTCGTTTACAAGGCGCAAGGGCGTGAGATTTGTGGATGGGAAGAGGGTCTCGCTAATTCTGGCTTACAATCCGCGCCTTGCTATTGGCTCATGCTCAGTTGAGGCTCAATAGCGACAACTTTGACATTCTCTCTGAGGCCATGTGTTCTTTACACTTTCTCAGCAATCTCTCATTCATATCGAATAATCTCACAAAAGTGACGCCTTATATATCAATACCTCTCTGTTACCTGTGTCGAAGAGTGGTCTAGTGGTATCCGTCCTAGAACCTATAAACCTTCTCTCATTCCGCACCTAAAAATCTTCACCCACTAGGCTGCTCTTCGATTTTTGCCGTTCATGAGTTCGAACACTTCTTCAGCAAAAGTCCCTTGATTCTGGACGTGTTACTTCAAGCGTACCAATGCTCGTCCCTCTGAAGCCATCGCGAGTCTCTGATCAATTCTCTAGATATACAATTAAGACTTTGACTGTTCTCATGTACTTCATAAGCATAAAGTTTAATAAATAAAATTATATAACAGGCGCCGTCCCAGATTTCTAAATCCGTTTTCCTTCTTCTTAGATATTTGGCCAGCATGGTGCGTTACCAGCAACTTGAGCGCGATCCAGCGACGCGAGATCTCTTCAAGAAAAGAATCACGACACTGGAAGGTTTTCGCCAAATTTTCGAAAGCTCATATCTTCTCGCACTCGACACAGAACATGTTGCGATCACAAGTGAAAGAGACCGCGTTCTCCACCAAGTCGGATTGGCGTTCACCAAGACACTAAAGTCTAGACATCCTGCATGCCCAGGGCGTGAACCTGGACTGTTGAAACCAAGGCGACGACTTCGTTATTTCTTCGAAGATAATAACATGGAAGGACTCACTTTGAATGTCAACACGAGTAAGGAGCTTGGAGATGACGTTCTTCGCGTCGGTGGTTTCAGAGGCATGCCTGTTCGTCGCTCCCATCGCTTTGGCGAGCAAAAGACGGTCGATATTGAGGATCTGGAGCCTTCCATCGTAAAGTTCCTCCAGGATCTACCTAAGGACAAGCACCTGGTACTCATCGGCTTCGGGATGGAAGCGGAGTGGACTTACCTTTCGACAAACTTTCCCGCTGCCATACCCTTTTTCTCAGCCTGGATAGATCTTCGCGACATCGTGGTAGACACCGCCTCCTCACCGAGTGTCTGTTCCCCAAGTCTGTTTACTCTTATAAAACTCTTTGGTTACTTTTGGCAAGATGTCAAGCCAGGGAGAGCCTCAGCCGACAATGCTGGCGACGATGTCGTCACAATCTTGGCACTGGCGCATGCTCTCCTTGATGAGAAGAACCACGAAACGCTCCGATTCGAGCACGAATGCTTTAGAATATCTCGTTCGGGCAAAATTGGATCTTTCTACGATGCATCCGAATGTTTCACTGCAACCGTCAGAACCGAAGGAAAACTCCCGCTCAGACTTTCTTCAAGATTCAAGCTTGCGCGGCAATTTTTCGATTTTCATCCGATGGGCACTACGCTGATGTCCAGTGAGATGGGGCTAGTGGCTTTTCGGAGCCAAGATGATCTTGATCGTTTTATTGGCTGTGTGGACGGGATGGTGCTAGATACTGGCGAGACCCTCTCAGCTCAACGATACATCCATGCCAACCCGAATACACCAGAGGGCGAGAAGTTGAAAGAAGAGAAGCGTGTGATGAGAAAGATAAAGAAGGACGCATGTGACGAAGAAGTGGTGGAGTTGGGGGATCTTTTCTCCTGATTTCCTGTCACGTTGGTTGTCACGGAGTTCAGTAAGAAACAAGACTATTGATTGATGTTACGCTCTATTGTTTAATCGATAGCTGGTTCTACATGTATAAGCCTGTACCATCACGCATATATCACACTAAAATCTACTTTTCATTTCACAATACTTAAAAAGACACGATTATCAGTTCTCAGCGTTTGGATCGTGGATGGTGACCCCATGAAGATGTTCATCAATCGCGATCATCTTCACTTTTAGTGGGGTACGCGCTAAGCTTTAGTGCCCCTGCAGTAGCGTCAGGAGACAATTGGGCCGCTGATCGCCACGAGTTTGCCATACCCTAAAGCGTCGAATTTGCCTTTGACATCCATTTAATACTTCACAAACTGAGGCTATAAAACGGCTATAGAAGTCGACATATGAAGGAGACCGATATGCGGCGATTAATTCCCCATATGAAATTATCTGATTTATTGAGGGGGAAAGCCCAGTGCCGATTGACATTTTGGTTGAAGAACTTTTCTAACGGCTGACCAAAGATGGGTGAACACATGATGGGCCTTCTTCAAGTAAGCTTAGGTAGTGATTTCACTCTCCTGCTGTCAATTAAATTCCACCTCAGTAACTCGCCGCAATCGCTGGGGTCTAATGGAGCTCTATACCATGTTATTACAGTGTTTTGTTGTTGGTTGCTCCCTGCGTTGGCAGGATATCTCAGGTGAGAAAATGCCTTGTTGGCATGGACTAGCCAACTTCAGTAAGGTCTCGATATTTTCGCGATGAGAAAAAAGAAAACCCCAACCTCAGCGCGTCGCCAAGTGCGAGAATCTTATCGCATTTCCGGAACATAACAGACCGTAGCTCCCAAGCTTCACCAAGTGTAAAGACATCTTTGACGTCAAGACACGGCGGGATAGCGGAAGTCTCTGATCCGATAACTATTTTTATGAGGCTATTGGGCATTTTTCAACCTTAGCTGAGCTTGTGAACGCCACTTAATTTCTCATCCAAGGTTAACTCAGGGGAAACGGCGCCTAACGGAGGGCGGCGTTGGGGCTGGCCCGCAAAAGAAACGAGCCAAAAGTCAATAGTCTCCTCCTAGCTTTATGCGCTTGGAAATATCCATCATAGCTGCCGATCCTTTATTATTGCGATGCGCAATGGTTATAAACCCAAACGCGCTCTATTTTTGTGACGATTTCTGTTTCTTCTTCAGTCATCTTTTAGACCAGTCACTCTTTTAACAAGATATCTTAGATATCACCACGCTCGCTACAATGATGTTCCCCAATTTCGCTGCCGGCCTCGTTGCCGCTCTTTCTATCTCTGGTGTTAACGCTGGTCTTTGCCGTCCTAGCTCGCAGACCAGCGCGGTGGTTTCGTCTGGTAGCACTACGGCTAAGACTGCATCTGAGACTTCAGCCACGCAGACTGTTGTTGGTACAACTACCACCAGTGTTGAGACCTCGGAGACCACCACCAGTGTTGAGACTGGTGCTGAGACGACCACGAGCGTTGAGTCTGGATCTGAGACTACTACCGAAGCCGGATCTGAGACCACCACCGTTGCGGTTGTCTCTGACACCACCACCGCTGAGACATCCTTAGCCACTACTACTACCCTCACCACCTCTGGTATCGATGTCACTACCGAAGTGACCACCTTCATCACCTTCACCGCTACCGACACAGCCACCTCTGAGTTGGCGACAACCTCTGCTTTCGTCCCCGCCGACCTCTTCCCTTGCGTCACCAACGAAGACTGCAATGCCTTCGTTCAGCTCTGCGATGCCGTCCGCTGCGGCTGCATCAACCGCAACTGCGAGCAACTCACAGGCACCACCACTGCCGAGCCTACAACCACCGCAGCTGTCGACGAGGAAACAACCACGGCTGCTGAGGCCACTACAACTGCTGCCGCCGAGGAGAACACAACCACCGCCCCGGTTGAGGAGCCTGCTACAACCACTCAACCCGAGGAAGTCGCCACTACTCAACCTCCTGCTCGTCGACGTGCCGTCGCTGTCCCTGTTCCCGAGGGTGCGCACTACTGCGATGTTACTGAGGATTGTGGCGAGAAGACCGACATTGATGGATACAGCTGCGAGGTCTTTGGGTGCACTTGTCTTGAGAACTCTTGCGTTGCTGAGGTGCCCAACCTCTGACGGATTAGGGTAGCTAGCCCAAAGTACATTACTTAATTGTTGACATATACGTCAAGCATGAATACCTTTCTTACCCCTTTGGCGCAATAGTGAGATGCTATTATTAGACATTGCTGCCCATTAATACCATCGGATAGGCTCAATTTCTAGTGCTTTGACGAATATTGATATTGATTATTTGACCAGCTTTTGCTTGCTTTCACTGTGTGTAGGGGGGTGCTTCTAACTTCATATCCCGGCTTGATTCTATATGCTAGCTGGCTATACAAACAATGGTAACTTGATGTTTTGCGCCTTCATGATATCGTGACACTCTCTTGCCAACCCCCTTCCCTCAGAAGATAAAAAGTTCTCATCAAAACTGACCTCCAAAAAAGACTTCTTCCAATGCTGCCAATGCTCAAACATGGTGACCGAAATCTCGTATCTCTTATCACGCCGACCTCTCACTGCTCTCTCGAAAGACTTGATCTGATTTGAATCTAATGTTTCCGCCAGTTTCGGTCCTGCAGTCTGCAACCAACCGTGAATCTCATGGACAATGAACTCGAAGTCTTCGTTCTGTACACAGACAAGGTTGATCGTTCTGTACGCCCAAAACTCCGTTATTCCTGGAATCCCGCTAAGGTACATCTTTGCTTCTGCCGTCCCTGCTCTTCTGTAGTAATTCCTGTCTGTCGAGAAACTTTCATCTTCCCCGTCGTGGCATTTACAGCGAAGTGATTCATAGCAGGACTGCCAGATACTAGCAAATGAAGGCAGTTCACACAGGGAGTCGCTGGGCTGTAGATCCGTCACCCACCAGGGCGTACTACTCGTTGATGGCAGCGATTGAATCGCGACGAGAAGATCAACTACCATGTCGCAATCGTCTTCGAAGCGCAGGAGAGTAGATGCAAGAAGCTCCCAAAGTTCATTACGGCGCCTCACATCTTCCCGGCGTTGATGCGAGAAACCGGCAGTGATGGCTCGGGCGGCCGACTCGGCGCTCATCGTCTTGTTAAGATAGTTGCAGAAAGCTAGACTTTCGTCGAGATGTTGAGTGCCCCTAAAGTGTCTCTGGCATCCGAGTGAGAATCTGCGAATCTGCCTGTAGTCCCTTCTCGAAATTGTTATTTTGAGTTGAAAGACCCTATAAATGATTCTTGCGTCGCGCACCTTGCCTCGTCCTCCCAGTCAAGGGTAGGTTTGACTGTAGAAAGAATCCATCCATCTCGAAAAGACACACCCAGCCGAAGTGGCAACATTTTCGGCCTTGATGGGAGATTCAGATGAGGGATTGGCTGAAAGGCAGGCGCTTCGTAATGAACGCCCTTTCACCCTCGGCAATGGATGGATGTCGGTGGCCAGATATTTCTCATGCGCCTCCAGATTGTGGAGATCCTGGCTAATCACGTCACGTGACAACAACAAGTCATGCGAAAACACTTGAGCACAAGAACAGTTTCATTTCCACCCTTGGAAGCCCTTTGGCACTCAATAGCATTTAGTGTCATAACACGATACCCAGATTGGACTTCTACGGATTGGCAGTCAGTCTCACAGCACTGCCATCGACCCCGCGAGCCAGCGTAACCAGCCCTACCGGTATTTCATCAAGTCTCCCTTGCGAAGTTGGGGGCCATGCGACCTCGCTGAAATGTCTCGCGTGAGAAAGTGGTGTAACACCACTGAACCATTTTATTCGCTCCAAGAAGCCTCTTTCATCAGAATCCTCTGTGGTTGGCTGTCATTATGCAGTCAGCCATATCCATGATCCAATCGTTCAGCCGCATCAGCTCATTATCCGAAGCCCTTGTCCCGCAGTTTGTGTGTCTTCCGTGGCTTCCTTGGGGGCTATGTTAATGTCCCTTTGGCCTCAAATCAACCTTAGACCTGAGGAGGGTTGAATTGTTCTAAAAATACTACCATGTTTGGCATCTGCACACCACAAATCAACGAATTCTCTTTTATAATTGATCTCCCGAACCATGAATATTCGCTCAGCCGCAGAGCCTACCTTAGCTGACAAGCTATCCCGCAAGCCTCATCACTCCGTCAAGGACTTTTGGTATGAAGTAACACGGGCTGCCGATGAGCTGTACCACCAGCTCCCGTCGTGCTCCGCCACGTCAGCTATTCGCCATGAAGCTTACGAGTTCATAAATGACCCAGCTCTTCCCTTATCTCGCTCCCCGTGTGTCTCAGTTACTCTACAGCGATTACCATGTCTCTCAACACTCCCGCTGCAGGGCAATCTGCCCCGGTGAACAACCCGGAGGCTGTCGCGTATCGAGAGCGTGATGCGTTATACAACTACTCAACTGGTGTTGTTGATGTTCCACAAGGCTACAAGTACCGCCAGTATCGTATCTTCGGGTTCACACTGCCTTGGTATGCATCACCGAAGATTCAGTTGGGTATGGTTGCTTTTGTATGTTTTATGTGTCCTGGCATGTTTAATGCGCTCAATGGGATGGGTGGAGGAGGACTGAAGGACACCAAGCTTGTGAATGACATGGTGAGTAGCCATCACTGACTAGCATCATCATTTACTAAGAAAGAATCTCAGAATACTGCTCTATACAGTACCTTTGCTGTTGTCGGCTTCTTTGGCGGCACGTTTGTCAACAGGCTTGGGGTCAAGCTGACACTAGCCTTTGGCGGCATTGGCTATGGCATCTACACCATTAGCATTCTGCTCTATACGCACTACGAAAATGATGTCAGAGCTTTCAACATCGTTGCAGGCGTGCTACTTGGCGTATGCGCAGCAATGCTCTGGACCGCTCAAGGAACTATTATGATCTCGTACCCCCATGAACATCAGAAAGGTCATTACTTTGCGTGGTTCTGGGGCATCTTCAATATGGGAGCTGTCATCGGAAGTCTTGTAAGTTCTTTCACGGTCTCATTTCTCTTTGCCTATTCGTTCTCTAATGAAGTGGCATGTCATCTCCAACCGAAGCTAACAAACCTTGCAGATTCCCTTGGGTGGCAACATCAACACTGAAAACAATGAAGACGTTAGTGACGGCACATACATCGGCTTCATCGTTTTGATGTTTTTCGGAGCCGCCTTAGCCCTCCTTCTCTGCAACGCAAATGATATCATAAGAAAAGACGGATCATATGTGATTTTGATGAAGAATCCAACATGGCAAAGCGAATTCTACGGCTTGTACGAAACCATTCGCTATGAACCATTCGTTATCTTCTTATTTCCTATGTTTTTCTCATCTAACTGGTTCTATGTATATCAGCAAAATGTCGTCAATGGTGCATACTTCTCAACGAGGACCAAGGCGTTGAATAGCCTCCTGTACTGGCTGGCGCAGATCGCAGCTGCGGCTATATGGGGGTACCTTTTGGACTTGGAATATCTTCGTCGATCTGTGCGCGCCAAGATTGCACTGATTGTTCTTTTTGTCATGACTTTTGTTGTCTGGGGAGGAGGTTATGTCCATCAGAAAACGTATACGCGAGAGATGTCGCAGGCCGAGGGCTTTGACACGGATTGGAGGGACGACGGATATGTTGGGCCCATGTTCCTTTACATCTTCTACGGCTTTTATGATGCAGCTTGGCAAGCTACTGTTTATTGGTAAGTCCATCGTTCTCATCTGGCTTATGGAGACTGAATGGTCAAGGTTCATGGGCGCTCTCTCGAACTCAGGCCGTCGCTGCGCAAACTACATCGGCTTCTATAAGGGCATTCAATCAGCCGGCGCAGCCATCTCCAATAATCTAGACGCAAGAAAAGTATCGTTTGAGGCACAATTTATCAGCAACTGGGTGCTCTTAGCTGCCTCGTTGATTATTGCATCACCTGTCATATTTCTCAAGATCCGAGATCATGTCGGGTTGGAGCAGGATCTTGAGGGGACAGATGAGACTATGGCAGATGTTGCACCGCACGTAGTCGCCAACTCGGGTCATGCTGGGGACAATTTTGAAAGTAAGGAATCGAGACAAAGAGTTCCTGGATTTACTGCAGTCTAACTGTCATTTCAGTGGAACTCGATGAGTTTGATGTATCTACGAAGCTATTACGTCGGTGGTGATACACTAGCGGTTCGTGATGGGGATATGATTATGATTGCTCGGATACCCTTCTGAGATTTGTTGTGTTTCGAGGCGGATAGTGGTAAACTGTATAAGGATTGGGGATGTCAGACGAAATAAGAAGTCTGGTCAATCGAGTCATTTTGTGCCAATGACATTGCACAGGATGTATCTCGTTTCTCCCGTCTAACGTCATCGTGCTGGACGGCCACTCTTGACAGCCTCAAACACGAGCCCATGCCCGCCACACTTTATTCCTTTGTAACAGCAAATTCCAAATCTTGTGCGACGAACAAATCTTGCCACAATCTCGATTCCGTCTATTACGTCTCCTCTCATGTATCATCTCCTGCCAAGGCCACCTTATCTTAACACGCACTCCATATTATTTCAAATACGAATAAATCTGCCCGAAGAAACTCGGCTTCCGAATGTTAATAATCTTATCTCACAGGTCATATTATGCACGAGTCCGTTGCGGATCATGCCCAATTTGGTATGTCTGCTTACGCCGCGTCTTCCTATTCGCTCTCGCTGTCTCGCTTTTCGCTGCGCGACAACTCGCGAGATGATGATCTTTAGTGCTGATGATTGTGAAGAATTTGAAAATTCTGTGGTATTTGGAAAAAAGGTCTTCCGAAAGAAGAAGGCAAGTCAGGGATGTAGCCAAGATTGACGATGTTGAGGCCGCGTCATTGGGATTGCCAAGACTGGGAAGAGGGATATATATTGCCTTGATAGGAGGACATCTTGAGCTCATTACTCTACGCACTCTGAGTCCTCATAGAATTACTTTACTTGACAATATCGCTATTCAAGATGAAAGTCTTTAATTTTTTGTTGCTTCTTCTCCCTCTGTCAGCAGCTGCATCAAGCATACCCCAAACCCGCACAGTCTCTACTCTTGAACCAGCCTCATCCACCGAATGCTGCCCCTTCACTTACAAACCGACATGTACCAAGAATCTCGAACGAGTGTATCACATCAAACTCTTCTACAACCGAAAGGAAGGCATCACGCCTGAGCAGTTCAACGCGTACTGGGCCAACAACCATACCAAGACTGCTGGAGATTTTCACTTGAGGTTTGGGGTTTACAAATACTCGCAGGTGAGCAACTTGAAGCTTCAACTGCTTACACAAGCTAATTCCTTCGTTAGTACCACTCTACTCCTGAACTTCGAGACCTTCTTCGCGTCCCCGGCGCAGCTCCAGTCCTTGAGTTCGATGGTGCTGCGGAATTCTGGGTTCCAACTATGGAGACGTTCCAGGCTATGGGATCTGATCCGTTCTACAGAGATGTGATTACTCCTGATGAGAACAACTTCATTGATCATTCCTCTATGAGGATGATTGTTGGTTTCGATTATATCATGGTGGATAACCAGAACGCTGTCACGGAGCATGGCCGAACCTTTCAATAGAACATGGACAAGAGATGATAGTGCTCACGAAATAGAGGCGAGAAGAAGGACGGGATATCGGACTTAGTTAATACCTTGCTCGTACAGTCCCAAAACGAAAACGCATACTTCATACAGATAGACAAAATCGTCAAATTCTATGTATATGCCATATGATATGTTATTCGCGCACGTATTCTGCATATTCACTCTAGCTTGATCTCAAACTTTCCAGAAGGCTCGGGCTTCGAGAGCGCCCACTTGATTCCATCCTCCATGACCTTGTCCCATCTCTTGCTCTCAGCCAATTGGTCTCCGAAGCGGCGGAAACCGTGAGGTAGACCATTGAAAACATGTACGTCCGTGGGTGTCCTGTAATCGGTTAGAATCGATAATGGGATCGCTTTTTTCACGACTTACCCTGCCTCAACAAGCTTTTGCCCATAGAAAAGAGCTTCATCTCTCAAGGGATCCAAGCCACAAATACCCAGCGTCGAAGACGGCATGTTCTTGAGCTGCTCCACAGTCGCAAGTCCAATATTCAAGCGAACGTCTTTAGGATCCGGATTTTGAACCTTCAACAGCCCAGTGAACTTGTCGAGTGCCGCGTTATTGATCATCGGAGCGTCCGCATTCTGAACATATGAAGACAAAGAAGGTTCCCTCATCTGCTCCATGATAGGTGCGTAGCAATCAGGATGAACAAGAGCAGGAATCATCAACACCTGACCAGCGAGCTTCGGTCGTGAAAGAGCATCGGGAGCGATGTTCTGACGAAGCGTCAAGGAGGCTGCTAGTTGGGCACCAGCTGAGATTCCACCGACAACGACCTGGCTCGGAACTCCGAGAAGTTCATCAATGTGATCATGAACCCAGTGAAATGCGTCGACGACGTCTTCCCATGCTGTGGGATAAGCATAATCCGGGGCATGACGATAGTTGAGATTGACGACTGTGACGTTGGTCATTACTGCGATGCGAATGCAGATAGCATCTTCAGATGGAATGTTTCCAAAGACATAACCGCCACCGTGGAGATGGATGTAGACAGGAAGACGAGAACCCTCTTCGGCGGAAGCAGGTCTGTAGGTTCGAACCTCGAGAGGAAAGCCATCTCTTGAAGTAACGGTGTAATCTTTCATGTGAATAGGGTAGTCTTTGAGTTTCTCCATCTCGCTCTGGGCCAGTTGTTCTCGGTACATGTTTGTGAGGCGCTGCATCTCCTTCAGGTCAAGATGGCCTGGAATAGGCGGCCTGCTATCCTTGACGGCTAGCCATTCTGCTGTTGCATGTCCATATTGAGTGAAGTCAGCCATGATGAATATCATCCGGTCGGTGCGATCAAGTTAGGGCATTAAAACAAATTGTGCTGAGATATCAAGCAAGATATTGGTAATTTAGGACTTTTGAAGCTATCGTGGGAAATGCCGAGGAAGAAGTCGTCGCATGATGTCCGCGGGTCCAAAGTTGTCGCCGAACCCCTCAACTTCGCCGAACTCGGTATAAGTGACTGCCGAAGCATCCACATAAATCGGCGAGAAGTCCGGGAACTCATAAAATCATGAATTTTTAACGTCGTGATGATTTCTCGCTAGAAGCGAAAAGCTTTACCTCAATTTATTGATTCTTGACAAGTCGACTATCGTCGTAAATATGTGGCTTGGGCATTCGGCAGTTCAATTCATAACCAAGAGGAGCTCAACTCTATTAAGCGCGCCAATCATGATAGCTTCACACAAAGTCAACCAAGAATCAAGCGAACTACGTCACGATATTCATAGTTCACAAAAGGCCCGACAACGTCTCAACGTTACATAGAATCAGGGTCGAATGCAACTTTCGCCCGCATTTTAAACCAATACCGAACAAGATCTGCATAAACTTCCGGGGCCGTCGGAAATGAACATAAACTTTAACGGTTCCTTGGTTCTGCAAATAAAATGGGAAATTCCTCCTCCTTTTGCGTTGATTTGATCAAGAACAGTGCCACGATGAAATTCCTCAGTGTTGTAAGCGGTGCCATAGCTCTTCTACAGAGCGCTGATGCAGCCACTTGGAAGGATTATAAGCCGCAGAGTCGCACGCCGAGCTCGTGTCCTGATTATGTCGACTATTCGCAGAAACCGCACAAGCCGCTTTCGTCTGGCAAGTTGAAGCTGCCTTTCATGAGGCCGAGTGAAGAATGCAGGACTTTCAAGAGCCCAGCTGTTGAGGTGCGGACAGAAATGCCTTGAAATGAGATCCCTCATGGCTGACTTGATGGTAGAAAGTCATCAGCGACATCAAGAAGCGCGTCAAGAACCCTGACCTGGCGCGGCTCTTTGAGAATACCTTCCCATCGACGCTCGACACGACGGTCAAATATTTCGATGCGAAGAAGAACCTAGCTTTCATTGTGACTGGCGTAGGTCTCTTGACCTTTCCTTGAGAATATTGGCTAATCAGACATGCAGGATATCACGTAGGCAGACAGATCCCTTTCAAAGAGATAGCCACTAATGAAGAACTGAAGCGCACAATGGCTACGCGATACAGGCAATCAATTTGCCCATCTGTACAAGCTTCTTCCCCAAGACAAGAACTTGAAGGCCCTCGTCAAGGCTATCATCAACACTGAGGCAAGATACATCTCCGAGTACCCGTATTGCGGTATGTGCCATGCTGTTCCACCACAAGAGACTATGAGCTAATTGAGAGTGCCAAGGCTCCTTCCAGCCACCGCTCGAGAGTGGCTTGAGCCCTTCAGTCAATGTATGAACCCCGAGGAAATGTTATATCATAACTGATCTGGCAGTACTAACGCGATGAACAGGACTATGCTACACTTGTTACCGTCAATCCGTGTGTTCTGCCCAAGACCCCATGTTTTCCCTGGACTCAAACTAACACCATCGGTCCACAGACCAGTCGATAATCAGACAGTATTCGAGTGCAAGGTATGTCACTGCCCTGACATGCTACCATACCATTTGCTAACTACTTTCAGTACGAGCTTGACTCTCTGGCTGGCTTCCTCAAGATCGCACGATCATACTATGATAATACCAAAGACGCTTCTTTCATCAACGACAATTGTAAGTTAGCGGATTCATTGTGTTTTCACTAATTTACTGACATCCGACAGTCAAATCTGCTATGAAGCAGATCCTTCGAGTCATCGATGAGCAATCTCAGAGCACATGGGCCGAAGATTGGTCTTACATCAGCTACTATAACTGGACTGGCCAGGCCGGATCACTCTCACCACCAGTGCCTAACAGCGGAAACGGCGAGCCCAAGCTAGCCAATGGTCTCGTTGCGTGCAGCCATCGTCCGTCAGACGACCTATCAGTCTTTAATTACATCACTTCCGACAACGCCATGATGTCAGTTGAGCTCGATAACGTTGCCGACGTATTGGATAAAGTCGGAGGCCAAAAAAGCCTTTCTACAACGCTGCGTGGTCATGCCGAGACAATTCGACAAGCTGTTTGGAATCATACTCTCACTTCGAATGGTATTTTCGCTTACGAGACCAATGGATATGGCGGCCAGTACATTATGGATGATGCCAACGTCCCTAGCCTCGTATCCCTGCCATATCTAGGCTTCCTCAAGCGCGACGATCCTACATACAAGAAGACCAAGTCTGCTCTTTTCTCGCGAGCTAACCCTTATTACGCCGTTGGAAAGAAGTTCGGTGGAATTGGTGGACCGCACGCGAATGCTACTAACCCATGGCCTATGGCACATGTCTCAGCTATCTATGGAACAGATGATGACGATGAGATCACTGAGCGACTCAATATGATCATGGAGAATACTGCAGGTCTAGGGTTGATCCATGAGAGTGTGAATATTTACAACTCCTCTGTTTTTACACGACCGTGGTTTGCTTGGGCCAATAGCTATTTTGCCGAAATGGTCCTGGATTTGGCCGAGAGAAAGCCTGGGTTGATTTTCAAGGATGATAAGCCATATGTCATTTAGGACGCATCACCTAGGAACACGATAGATTACTCTGAATGCGTGCTCAACAAAGAGTAACCATTCACAATCTTCCGCTTAAGAGTCTGGTCTTGTTCCAGTATCGAGTGCCGAGAAGATTACAATAAGCCGAAATGGTACTATGTTGTTGAAAAATACTTACTAATTTAACCTTAAGCAAAGAGTTAATCTCAAATTTGTGCAGGTAGCAACAGAGGTCCACGTGCATAGTCAGTTTGGATATCATTGCAGACGAATATTGAAGTATGAGTGAGGCTCAGCAGTGGCCATATGCAAGATAACACAACGCAGAACATTACTAACAGCTTACATGGCCTTTTATTGGGCTCCATTCGCAACAATAACTGCTTTGTCAGAGTGGACCTATATTGATAGCGAATGGGATTAGTGAAAAGAAGCCAATAGGGTGCGACTATCGACGAAGCGGCCGACCAAACAGTAACAGTGGCCAAAGAGTCCACCCAGTTGGCATCGCTTAAGCTATTCTAGAGCAGTCGACGGGGGAAAAAGAAAATACCTCTTTCTCAAAAGGGATGGTGCGGAAGAAATGCATCGTCGAATATGCTCGAGCATGCAGTGAAAACTCGTATTGGTGGAAAGGATATGAAGTTCCTTCACCGACAACCCGATCTACCATATTTCCTCTATTATAAAACCATCTGAATATACCGTCATCTCACATGAACTCAAGCCTCTCAAGACTCAACTTCAAAGCCCCCACAGATTCCTACACAATGCAGCTCATCAACCTCTACGCCCTCACAGTCTTCGCCACCTCGGCCCTGGCTGCAGACTGTTTCGGCAACGGTAACAAGGACGTAGGAAGGTTCATCACAGCTTACTGGGATGCTCGTGAGAGAATGTGCAGTAACTCCGGCTGTACTTACCAAGAAGCTTGCACCACCTCCGGATCTTTTACCGTCAAGGGTCTTGGTGTTGACACTATCCTGAATGTTGAGATCAAGCGCAAGAACACTGGTGGTAAGAAGGGTTTCAAGGACTGCTGGGTAGGTATTCCAACCTTACATGGTAGACTATGCTAATTGGTGCTGTGACAGGACGCTACAGAGTATGTGACCCGATATTTACATCTGACTTATCTAATTCTTCTAGGGACATCATCAATCAGTGCCCCAAGGGTGGCTCTAAGCAGCTAAGTGGATCATGGGAGGCCAATGGTCAGCTGTACACGGTCAATGGATATTTCTCGTTCAACTGAAAGCAGATATTTGCACGAGCCTTGAACAGATCTCGTGACCGGCTTGGATCTCTTCATGAAGCGGTTCTGGGAAACGCGACACGGGAGAAATTTATCCCTTTTGGAATATATCCCAGCGATACGTTTTGTTTCAATAAACGAATCCTATAGACAAGGCTTCATTTTGATAATTATTTTTTTGGAGGTGAATGAATTATGTATTGCCGGTGAAATTCACCGAGACTATCAGTTTTCCCTCTATGTACGCGTAAATGAGGGAGTGGTCAGTACAAGTTTTATGTCTTGCGATGTACAAATTCTTTGATTTGAGATCCACGCTATTTTCCCAAACATCTTGATCCTAACGGAGAGACTTTCGCATGTTCAGCGGGCCGAGCTCAGCTTTCATACCAACATTTATCTTTAGCTGTTTTTATTGATGTCGCTTATAAACGGAGTTTTGCTGTGACGGAGGAAAAATAAGCATAAAGCCAAGACAGACGGCGCGCACGGCCCCTGCAGTAGGTATCGATAAGGGTTGAGGTCTGCAAATTGCTCTTTTCATCTTCATGTTGGTCCCTGTTTCTTTGTTGCATGTCGCGATCTGGTTTATCTTGCGTTTCCCCTCACCAGTCATTCTCACTGATGATATGGCTGCTTGACCCAGATGCGCGTATTGACCCAGTTTGTCCGCGTTCCTCAAACAGATAGATCATATGTGATGATCAGGCCATCCTCATCTGGCGGTTCTCCTCTTACGGCGCGTCACGCATGCGATATTTGCAGGCAAGTCATGACAGGCCCGTTCTCGTGTCTATATGCACTGTGCATGTTTTTCGACAGTCGAACTGACGACTCGGTTCGACGAGCAGAGAGCGAAAGGTCCGGTGTGACAGGGCTTTGCCAAAATGCAGGTTAGTTCTGTCCATCCCATCCCATCCCAGCCCATACCGTGCCATGCAAGCCCAGCCCAGTCAGTCTGTTGCATCAATGTATCTTGTCCACTGGAACAAAGGTGCCTGTACATACGTACGTAATGGGGATGTGGAGCTGACGCTTTGGCCGATGTCCCGCAAAGACGATGCGACCGGCTCAATCAACCTTGCGGGTACAGCCCGATTTCTCAGCGTCGTACTCGCGATGAACAGCTGCAGGAGCTCCAGGAGCGATTGGCCAAGACCGAAGCTCAGCTCGCTCTTGAGACCCCGCGAACAAGGACAGGTTCTATGACCTCACATTCACAAACCCCCTCGACCACTGCTGCGCCCGTCTTGCCATCACGTTGGCCTGATGCCCTTGGCTCTATCACACCAGATACCAACACCCAGTATCATCTCGCGACTACAGCATCATCCCGTGTCTCCAGTGTCCCCGGATCTGCAGATCCGTCGACTGGCCGTAACCCCATATACTTAGACAGCCACCGAAACATGGGCACGGCTATCGATCTACCGACTAACAGGTCACCCATGCTAGATATTGACCTGTTCAATCCAGGAGCTGACTCCAACATGACCTTCGACTGGTGCAACCCGCTTACAGCCCTGGAACCACTGGACAACATACTACTCACTCGCCTATCGCCACGGTCTCTCGCTCACGGCGGCACCGAGGAGGAAATATCGCACGCGGAACTAAATACACTGCACAAGTACTACTTTGAATCCATTTACTTCTCCTTTCCCTTCTTGAACCAAGATCGCTTTGCGGTAGAATCTATGGGAGGCGGTCTTGCCATAAGCGCACTTATTTACGCAGTTGCACTTGCTGGATGCGCTCACTCATCCACTTTCCAGAACAAAGAGTCTGCTTGCTATGTATTAGCAAGGAATTATGCAGAGAGGTGTGAAAGAGATGGCCAGCTGAACGACCTCAATTTGTTGCAGGCCCTTCTCTTTATTGGGAAACATGAGGCTATGGCTGGGAAGCTCGAGAGGAGCTGGATGACACTGGGACGTGCAGTGATGCTATCCAGGCTGCTTGGGCTGCCCTACATGGATAGAGGAGATAAAAGCGATGGACTTCCAGACTCTCAAATTCATGATGAGTCTGGCCTGAGCCTGCCTGAAACGACTGATCAGGTTCTTCTAGAGGAACGAAGAAGGACCTTCTGGGCTTTGTACATATTGCTCAGTTACGTCAAGACACGCACCGGATGGCAAAGCATGCTTGGCGACATAAAGGTCAGATAACCCTATCAACTTTGTTGGCGAGCCTCGACGCGAAACTTAAACTATCTAGGAATTTTACATCAATCTCCCATCACCAGGCTTGCTAAGATCCGACCTAGTCCCGCTCAAGATGCCCTATCTCTCAGATATAGATTTAAAACCCAGCACCGAAATCTCATCCTATACAGGTTGCGTCCTAATGGTAGAGCTGGCACTGCGCTGTTTTGAACATGGACAAAAGCGGACTTCAGAGAGCTTCTGGGATGGCTACTGCGATCTTGTGAAGAAGACAGACGTGCTTTTCGGAATGCTGAAACGTCACCTCAACGCTGCATCTATCCGAGAAGACCCCGTCGCCTTCAGCCTGTATCTGAACTTGCGAGCAACGGAGATCTTTTCCCATGAGTCGGCTATCACTCGTAGCGAAGAGCAAGGTCTGCCGCTATTGATGACAGCGGAGAGTCAACGTCGTGCCACGGCAGCGGCTTTTCAGGTATCAACTGCAGTGCGTCTAAACCTCCCCTCGCCTGGGAAGGCAGAAAACGACATTATAATGCTGCAAGCCATTTTCATTGCTTGGCCGCTTACCATGGCCTTGAAAGCGTTTCATCGCGAGCTGGTGAACGGTGGTGATCGCGATAGCATTAACGGCATTGTTGCATCATCAAGATTACTATTTGCCGCTCTGCACCATATTGAGGAGTCCGGCGGACATTGGCATCGAAGTGTTGCACAGGTGGAGAGAAAACTTCAGGAATGGGAAGAGAAGAACACCTTCAACTCTCTTACGCTATGATGAGCAGAGCATTTCTCAGAGGCCTCGTGATTATTTGTACACCCTTGTTTGTGCAGTGCGGAAGGCACCGGACTCGCTGTCCGCAGCGAAAGACCAATTAATCATAGACTTGATTAATCTCCCTTTTCAGCATTTGTTGTGCGCGTGATGAGTACAATGGTTGTTTATTGTCATGTTTAGAATCGTAGAACTATCTTTGTTGAGGCTATAAACATATTACCTCGCAAAGGCTTCAGTTCATAGGGACTTTCCAGTGTCTTGGCTGAATCTATCCCGTCGAGACATCATAATCATTCATCATCAACCAATGGCGACAAGGGGAATGAATTCGAACAATGAATGTGAGACATTGAGTGGGAAAACGCAAGGGCAGAAGGGTCTTGAAGAAGAAATAGTGAATCCTTCCGACGCTTTGGGTCAATGTAATATCCGCCATTTAGGAACAAACGTAGCGCCAAATTGAGGTAGATCCTGTAGCTAGACCTTTTTGCAGCTGAGGGATGCAAACGCAAGCCATTTGATCTCATTATAATAATAGCAGTCCATACACTTATTTATGGAGGACTGATTTAAAACGCCGAAAAGTAGACTGCAACAGGCTTGCAGAGTCTAGGCACCTGATCACCTCCGAGTAATAAGTGCTATCTTGACCTTCTTCACCTGCCAGGCACCTTAGTTCATCGCGAATGGAAACTTGGTGGTGCCTAGAATGCCCTTTCGCTTGTCGGAGACCACGATCCAGCAGGAACTGAACTGCAGCCAACCTTTGATTGCGATTGATGGTTGGTAATCCATTAGGGGGGTCGAAGTTCTCCGCCATGTAGTACTTGTAGCCAAAAACTGCATTCTCTAAGAGACCTATCCCGTCCTTCGAATTCCATTGTTGGAGAAAGCTCCTCCTCGTATGTAGTCTAGATTCCAAGTAGGGAAGGATGGAGAATTGAGCCGCCAGGCCCAGGAATGTGTTGGGAAGTCCTCTTCTGTGGTCAAACACGTCTTGGACTGATGACCAGTGTATATCTGGACCTTGGAGTTGGTAGACTGTCGGCCATGCGCCTTGAGCCCTCCAAAAAGCCTCCGAAGCAGCCCTATCCAATGTGTCTAGTGTTTGAATCAGAGCCCCCAACTTGTCTTGCGAGCTACGAGCCGAGAACTGGCTAGCGTACCATAAGGCTCTCATGATAGCTAGCCAGAAGTGACTTGGTGGATAGTCCGAAGTGGTTTCACTGTCAAACATCAATAGAGTTTCGGCTTGCAGCAAGACTAGATGTGGCTCGAAATTGCTTTCGCACGAAGCACATAGCTCCTCCCATATGTGCGCTTGTTTTACCCAGTCCCTCGTCGTACGATGAGCAAAGTTGACGACTTCTTGGGCGGCCCCACTGAGTTCCAATATGCCTCGAGTACGCGTAGCAAGTCTACGCTTGAGTCCTCTTTTGGCGTGGTATTTCACTTCTGGAGACATGGCGCTTGGGTCGACTTCTATAGATCGAGACTCGTCAGCGAGCCACATCAAAAGCCACGGTAAGGGTCCATATGCACTCCTTGCCAGTCGAATCATGGCACAGGCATCAGGTAGGTGACGGTGGGGTACTCGGGCCCATATAGCATCAAAGAGCGAAGACAGATTCGTTGGAAGCTTCTCCAGTGTTTCTTGGAGCTGGGCCATACTGTCGCCTGCCGTAAAGAGATCGATGAGCTCCATGACTACGAAAGATACCCATAGGAACACCCCGTCTGCCTTTTGCACTACATCGTCAGTGAGCTTGGCAATTTGACGAGGGTAAACATTTTTCAGCTCGATATACCCTCTGTTCTGTTGAAAACTGTTCGTTACAAATGTCATCATGTCATCCTCAGTCAGAAGGTGCATCTGAAGCATGGGTCCATCGTTGAAAGCATCTTCAAATTCCGTCCACGGCCGGCTTGCAACACAGACCTTGATGCCTTGAGCAGCGTCATTGGCCATGGAGCGTATATTTGAAACAACCGTGGCTGGGGGTATCTCAAACTCATCGAGGCCATCGACAAAAAGAGCCATCGCCATTGAAACTCCACACTCATTCATGAGGGCCTGGAAAGACTCATCGATCTCCCATTCTTCCCAATCGGGGAAGTCTACCATTCCTCGAAGTGCCTGGAACAAAGCCCAACGTCTCGGTGCAATTCTGGGCGCAGCACTCGGGTATTGATTGAGGACTTGATGCAAAACCGTCTTCTTGAGGCCTTCCCAGGCCTTTTGCAGGTTTAAGCCCGAGTTCCAGGCGTAATAATTGGTGATGACAATTGGTAATGACTTTGCCCAGGGCTGGAGGAAGGTCCTGAGTCTATCAGGGCGAGCTATCAATTTCATGATGGTAGACTTTCCCGACCCAGGCTTGCCAGTTATCCAATAAGGTGTATTTGACTCTTCAGCAAGCCACTCTGGAAAGCTGTACCAGAGAACCTTGCCATCTGATTTCTTAGGTTCATGCTGGAAGATCCATTCGTACGTAGCCTCGAAATTGTTGGCAACTGCATCTTCGCGATCGTACATGGAGTCGAAGTAGAGGCCATGAGAAATATCCCTACCGACATCTGTAAGTTCTGGTTTACCGTGGACTTGGTCCGTTGCAAACATGGCCATTGAGCTATCCAAGGTCCATCTCTTATTCCAGAGCAACCGCACTAATTCAGCCCGGACGTTCTTTGCGTCAGCGGAATCACTACTTGTTAGAGCTGCGGTGATCTCCTGGCCTACCCTTTGAAGGGAGATAGATTCGCGAGCTTTTATCAGAGAAGAAATTACTTCTCTTAACTTCCCGTCGACTCCACTGGCAAGCAATCTCGAGTTAGCATCTTCTGAGGTTAACGTCTGACAAATGTCATCCAACTCTAGAGTTAAAGGGTCAGAACGCTTGCTACCCTTCATGTCCCTTGTACTCTCAGCCTGTTCTGATGTTGATTTTTCAACTCTTGCCAAGATTCCGAGGATAGTATCCAACGTTTCTGTGAAATGCAATTCCCACTTTGCTGTTTTCTTTGAGTCAGCCCTGCGTAAGTCAGCAAAGCTTTGATCTTTGTCCACTGTGTGATCATATTCACCATAGACAGAGTACGATGCAATTCATAATCTTTTTTGAAGTGCCTGTAGGCGATTGTCCATCTGATCGATTTTGTGTCTATCCCAGAGACCTGCTAGAGCAAGGCGAGGAATCTTATTCCTAGCTCGCTTATCATCTTTGTCGATAGTTCGCCTTTTACGGTTGTCGATCCTGTTTAAAACGGGTTTAAACTCGGTCTCAATGCTCTCGCACTCCGTACAAAGCTTGAGTAACTGGGATTCCGCTAAAGAGCCCCCAGCCACAACCCCATCAGAATAAATTTGAACGGCTTTCGCCAACTCAGAAATTTCTATTGTGAGCGCAGTCAAATCGGAACTTTCCTGGGCAACGTGATAAGCGGAATCTGAGCCTTTGTAGACGATCAGGTATTTATCCCAAGTCCTCTTCAGTATTTTGCCCCCAAACTCGGCGAATTGGACGACGGCAGCCGCGATGGCCAATGCGCTGAAGGGGTCCATAGTAATGATCGGAGGTGGAGCTAAAGAGATCGAGCGGTCTCTAACTTAGTATCTAGCGCCGAAGCTAACAATGACTGCATTAAAAAAGTGGCCGAGAGCTTAAATGAGCAGACCGAACTTAGTAACTTAGACGTAGACAATAGGAAGAAGGCACTGGGTACATTAAAAATGCATTAGTTGGCCTTTAGTGAGTGCTTTTGCCAAAGGTAAGGTGGCCAGTGTTGGTGAGATAATTCTTTCACAAGGTGTTCGCAAGGCTCGGCCCTGGGATAACCTTTAGCCGCAATATGCCTCAGTCGGAAGATTTATAGCCCGATTGGCTTAGATGGCAACACTGGAATTGAGACTTATTGTAACAGAACTTATCCTTTTTTGAGACTATGGAATGGATCAAGTCGGTTGATAAAGAGGTAGCCACTCTTGGGAGAGAGGAAGATCGGAATACTTGCAACGGTTTTAACTGATGTTGCTTGAGTCTGTTCGCTGTTCTTCTTCCTTGGTTCTGTTTCACTATTACCAAGGCGCGACTGACTACCAGATATTGCTTCTTAGCGTTCGATGGGCCATGTCGCTTAATCACAGAATATCATTGATCGCGAGAGTCCGGGCGGAAAGTTGACGAACAATATGAATGCACTTTCGAACAGATGGTTGTGGCCTCCTTTGAAAGTGTTCAAAACATTAGTATCTAATGCACATGGTGCAACTTTATGTGATGTTATGAAGACTGGTGCTACGGAAAGAATGAGCGGAATGACTTGTTGTCTAAACTCGTATATTTATCATCTCTATAGTTCCATGTCCATCGTACAGCTAGCTCAATCTTTTATAGCATACTCTGGCTGGGTAGGTATGTTGTTAATGTTACTTTCCCTCGAGACCATGACATGTCCTGTGAGTGCGTTCCCATTTATGTTATTCAGTTCCGTCTCGCTACCAGCTGAGAATTCAGGATCCATGGCCTCGCCATACCTATGTTGACTCTTCCCTGTTGCATGCCAGTAGATCCCTGATACTCCGGTAAAGGCCCCGGGTTTCCGGGGCCCATTCGATGGTACGGCTGGGATACCTGATTGATCTTGACTCGTGAGTAACGTTGTAGATTTCAGGTTGGTGAGCTTTCGCAGGAGGGGCCGAACTGCTGTCAGAGCGACGACTATGACAGAGATGCAGATCTCGGCAGTCGCCCAGATGTCTAAGAGTATGTTAGAGCTAGATTTGAGAAAGGTTGTGAGAACTGGCATATAGATATGGCATTGTCAACGTAGACCATGGTTATGAATCTACCAACGCTGACGGCGATGGTAATGACACCCAGGCTGAAAACAACAGCTAGTCCGATCTTTTTACGTGTTGAAGTCATCTTGAGGGTTGCCAGTAATGGGATCGGATATGCAACATCTGAATGAGTGTCAGATATCGGAGTTTACAAGCTCAGCTGGGTTGCGGAAATCGGGACTTACTCAGCACCTCAGATATAAAGTTCATAGACCACAGAAGCCGCATCAGTGTCATGGATGTGAAGGATGTGCATTCCTGTTCTCCCTTTGCCCTAAGCATCCCGTTAACGGTACCCTAGAGTTTTCCAGATTGTTACTGACCAGTTGACCGAAGGATCAGGCCCGCACCAGAACCAGTCACAGAAGAAAGTGATGATCGCGAAAGAGACTGTAAGGCCGGCTAGACCATAGAGCGCAATGCGCATTTTTGGTTGCGAAATCGGCACAAGGTTAAAATAGAAGGCGATGATGCTGAATTTTGGAAAGTATATGCCTGTGTCGAAGAAATGATTTGTCGCAAATCGGATCTAAGTCATCAAATGGGATTAGAATGCACGATAGCTGGTACGTACAGAGAGATATCAAGATTATACTTGCATTAGTTACTCACCTTTCGAATAGTGACATTGTCTATTGTGAAATTATTCATCGCATCCATGGAGTAGGTAATAGTGTCGCAGATCAGTAAGCCCTGACAGGACAACAAGCCAACAATGAGCCAGTAGTCAGCGGAGAACAACCGTGCTTTTCTCATGACTACGCGGACATAAATGCGGCAAGCGACTGCTATGTAGGCGAGAGTCATGAAGGACCACTCAAAGCCCTGAAAAGATCAGTATTCTACGACCATAAATCGAGACATTAATACGTACCATAACAGCCCTACTGGATATCATACTGGCGATGTCCCGTATAAGGGAATCGGTCTCTTAAGAAGGAAACTATGCAGAAAATACGGTCACATCACGCATCAGAGACTCAAGAAAACAGGAAAAGGTCTCCGGCAAGCCAACGAGGGGCACACGGCGACCGCTTATTATAGCGACCCTGATTGACATCTGGTGCTAGCACATCATGGCGCACGCCACGCCAGCATTGTAAGCAGTAATAGAGTTACCCGGCCCCAATCATGGAATGCCCAAGCTGCATTCGAGCGAATATTCCCCACTATAACCGCGGGCGCAGATTACGCCAAGCAACCAGCGTCAAAGCGTAGACAACGGCCTTCTTCGTTTGAACAGCATGTCACCTCTACAACTCGTGCACTATTGATTGCAGATAACAATGATGAGTTGGTTGGCGACTTCAAGCGATGACTGGAGTATTGGACCATATCAAGTGCCGATATTGAAGCGTCTTTCTATGATACCTTGATGCAATCAACGGGCGAAATTCAGGCACCAGTAAAGTCAAAGCAGAGCCGTAGTTACAGTGATGCGACCTCCTTAAGCCCGGCCGTCCACTGATCGCTCGAAAGAATGCCACACAGTCACGATACTTGTCGATCGCACGAGTCAAGCAAATTCAGACAGAGTGTGCCGCTTGTGGATGCCAAGCACCTCTATTGAACTGGCGCAAGCCACAGCGCTCTGATTGACCCAGGCCTTCCGAGTCCAGGGACTGGGAATCTGGTGGCTTACGGAGAGTACTTAGCGCTGTATTTATTTCCATGACCTCTTATCGCCGGAAATGAAGACCATCCTGTGATTTAAGCTTTTTTTATGGTGCTTTGCATTCCGTGTGCCGTCACCTTGCATTTGAGATGTATAGTCATGACTGTCGGTAATGACCGCATGAGCTTCCCAAGGGACTGTGCCGTTAATTCTGCCGTCAATGCTTTCCATAGATACTGTTTTGTAGCTTCCAACTCAGCAGCTACTAAAGGGTACAAAAGTATCTGTGGCAACTGTAACTCGAAGCTCTGGAACTTTTACAATGAGAAGCAAGGGATTTCTTGGTTCAAAATCGTTACCATTGAAGCAGGTTTCTTGAAATCGGCCAGGCTCATATTGCACCGAGCGCCTTGGTGAAATGGAAGACGCAGCTTTTTGACAATTTGACTGTGTGGCTGTTTGCGAGTAACATTTTCCTGACTCACTCTGTCTGTATACTGCAATTGTCACTCGGGGAAGCTGGTTCATGGTGGAAATAAAAGATTTGACTGTTAATGACGATGCGTGATGTCTTCTACAACAATGGAGAGCTGATTGTCAACCTAGGAGACTTATTTTCCTCCCAGTGAATGGCCAATGAGCTCGGGGAGATCGATGATACACAATACACTCCTTTTCTTTGACTCTTTCTAGGGGCCTTGATAGTTAGCTACCCTACGACATCATCGAGTGGGAAGCTTAGTAGGTGATGCTTCTTGATCTCTCGGGACTAAACCCACAGATTTATTTGCATTTTGAACTTGGAGTATTCACTGCTTCGTAGATTGTAGCATATTGCCATCCCCTTATTCCAGTCCTTCCCTTCAGTCCGCTGAGAGCAACAACCAAGGCGAACCAATCAGCAGCCGTCCTCGGTGCTGAACGGACTAGCGTGAAGGGTGGAGATAGCTTCTGGCCAATCGAAGACCTTCTGCTCTTGGCAGGACGGCCCCGTGTCCGCCCCGTGTCCGTCCCCGATCTTGTATATCTCACTGCAAGCCTTCTACTTCACGGAAATGCTCCCCTTTCATGTCAGATAATGAAATCGCAAGCATATCAAGATCCTACCTCAGTTCACATAATCATGAATGATCAAAGTTTCGAGAAGCCTGCAGATACAGCACCCAGAAACCCGCATACTCGTGGTAGGAGCGACGCCTCGCTCAATGGGACCGGACAGCGTAGTATTCAGGGATGGAGAGTGAGTGCTTCCGAAACTCTTGGACTTTCGAGCTGTTTTGCTAACATTGGATGACTTCGTTTAGTGGGCCGTCGCCTATGCAGCAATGCTGTCCACAACGCTCCTCTTCGCCATCGACAATACCATCGTTGCAAACATCCAGCCTAGCATCATCAACGACTTTGGTCATCTCGAGCTGATGTCATGGATCGGTACGGGTTTCGCTCTCGGCACCATGTTTATTCTTCTCTGGGGAAAAGTATACGGCGTCTTCAACATCAAATGGGTCTACATCTTCAACATCTTCCTTTTCGAGGCCGGGAGTGCTGTATGCGGTGCTGCACCTAACATTCAAGCACTCATAATAGGCCGTGTCATTGCTGGTATCGGTGGTTCTGGAATGTATTCCGGCACCTTGACATATGTCTCGGTCCTCACCAACGAGCAGGAGAAGCCAACATACCTTGCTGGAAGCACTGTTGTGTGGGGCATTGGCAGTGTTCTTGGCCCTGTTGTAAGCTCTACTTCTCACTTCGCTGTTGACTATTGACTGATCATTCTCGGTAGGTTGGTGGCGCATTCGCAACAAGCAACGCGACCTGGAGATGGGTATGGTCTTTTCGTCTTTCTCTTACTCGACACTTACTAACCAGATACTGTAGGGATTCTACATCAATCTTCCTATTGGCGCTATCTTTGCCCCGGCGTACTTCCTTCTATTCCCCAGTACCGATCTCAACCCTACCAAAACTCTCGCGGAAAAGCTCCGCCTCGTCGATTGGATCAATGCTGCCATCTTCCTGGCGGGATCTGCTTGCCTGACCGTTGCGCTGACCTTCGGCGGTGTCGTCTATTCATTCCACTCAGGGACCATCATTGCACTCTGGACTGTCACTGGCGTTCTTCTGGTGGCTTTCATAGTCCTGCTTAAAGTACATCCTCTAGTCTCCAAAGAAAACCGCTTATATCCTTTACACTTCTTCAAGAAGTGGATTCTTATCAACATGCAGCTCCAAGTCTTTCTATCTTCGGGCATAATCTTAGTAAGTCACATAGTATCCAAAGGAACGCTTTGACTGATAAATTCCAGGCCATGACCTACTTTGTCCCCTTGTATTTTCAGTTCATCAAGGTAAGAGGTCCGATTGCGACATCAGGTACTTGTAACTAACATGTCCAGGGCGATGGGGCACTCGAAGCCGGCGTTCGTCTACTTCCTCTTATAATGTTTATGGTTGCTGTATCAATGTTGAATGGCTTTCTGATGCCAAGATACGGACTGATTCCTGTTTGGTATATTGGAGGTAGTGCTCTGGCACTCATCGGTAGTGCTCTAATGTGTAAGCTGCTCATTATTCTGGTAGTCTGTTCTAACGCCCTCCAGATACCATTGATGAAACCACATCTAACGGCAAGGTATACGGCTACAACATACTTGTCGGAGCCGGAGCGGGATGTTATATCGTCGCTGGGTTCGCTATAATGCAGTCATTGGTTCCCACTAACGAAATTGCTAATGCAGTTGGTGCCATGACAATTTGCAAGTATCCCTTGGTAGACGATTCGGGTTTGTCTCCAGCTGACCTTGAATCTAGCCCAGGATCTCGGGATGGTACTTTTTCTTGCTATCAGTGGCAGCCTGTTCCATAACGTCGCCGTTGACAAAGTGGGCAATGCTCTGCCAACTGCCTCCGAAGCTGAGATTGGAAACTTGATTGCGGGCACCAGCAGCGCCGTGTTCAAAGCCCTTTCTGAAGACGAGAAGGCCGTGGTTATTCCAGAAATCGCAAGTGCTATGAAGAGCATCTGGGCTTTTTTCATGGCGGCCGCTGCCCTTAGTTTCGTGTGCGCTTGCCCACTAGTCGTAGGTGTCTCCTTTCATTCATATATCAATCAAATAATGCTAACCAAACTTAGAAAGCTAATCTTGGTGGAGAGAAGATCGAACCAACTGCGATAGCCTAAAGGGTGGTGAGACCTTTCGGAGTACCATAGATGGAGAACATTGGCTTGAACATCTATTGCATTGGCTTGTCTAGGACTTTCATCAATTAGTGGATGTTTAGTATTTCTTGTAGCTTGACTATGAGATTGTAACCACAGTCACAGAGCAGAACAAACATAAGTTGCACTAAGAGGTGATTTAAAATCTTGAGTGAACCCCAATTACTTGTCCAAAGTTTGACTGTTCGCTAAACATGCTGCTGAGTAAGAGAGTCCATTAGGTAGGACAGGTGCTTCTTGTGGATTGCGAATATTAAAACGTCACAAGATCCTGTAAGCGCGTTTCATCAACCTCGTGCATGGAAATTCGTGATACCACCAGTTCATGGCAGATCAGTCGGTAATACTAGGACCAGTGGTAGTGAGTGGTTCTTGCATCAACTCTGATTCGATAATCACCTCAAATTTGAAACAATTATTCTTAGTTCAGTAAACCTTTCTCCAGCTCGTGCTGTTAAGTTCAACAGAACCCGACCTGTCCCTTCCAAAGCCAAACACATGATCCCCAGAGACGCTAAGATGAAATAGCCATATAACCGACGATATAGCAGCCAAGATAGCAATGATATGCGGGAAAATAGCTTCGAATCCACAATTACGATTATTCCAAGAAATTCCTGTCTTGTTCTTCTTCTTCGCCACCTTGCCTTTCATTTCATACCCCTTCTCAGCCTCAATCGTGTCTCGCCAACCTAGGATCCCTCTTCTCTCTTCAAACTCGACAAAGTTTAGTTTAGGTGGTGTAACACACAGACCTGCAATCTTCTGTGCTAATGTATCAAGTCCGATGATTGGCGTCAGCCATCGCTGGATGATATATGCTTCCCATCCGTCGTGAGCTTGGTGCCTCGTCAAGGCACCTCCGGCTTTGACTATGGCCCGAGCACGTTCTACACGTGTGTCTTGGTACTCCTGGCGCATGGCATCGTGTAACTCTACGTCACTGGGCTTTTTGTTTGGGTGCTCCGCCAATAGAGCATGCAGCGTGTTCGTGATTACAACGGCATTTTCCATCACTGTGTTTCACCCAAGGGGCGAGTTGGGGGTGACCTAGATAAGTTAGCCATGTCAAGACGCTGATACAGTATCGTTCATGGGATCGCGGACCTTGTGAACAGCGTCCCTAGCCAGAATGATTCGGCCGAAAGTCCAATGCTCCAGAATCCCCTCTTCAAGCGATATCATTTGTGCTTTCAGACGTCGCTTCCGCGGTTCCCCAGATACGATTGAATCTGTGACAGGACGCTGAGATATTTTACTCACAAGCGCCTGCATATCGGCCTCAGTATAACGTCGGCGCGTGGGCCACGTACACTGCTGGTCTTCGGGAAGCTTGCTGTGCACAATGATAGAAATCCAGTCTGGCTGGCAGAGGAGGAGAAAGGAGTACTTGTCATTAGAGGTGATTTCCATGTCGTGAACACCAATACCGGGGACTGGTGAGCTTGCCATGACAATGGCATTGTATTGAGTGACCATAGCTTAAGACTGTGAGCAACTGAGAAGTAATAAGGTCATATACACTCACCTCTCTTCTCATCAACTGTGATCATACCAGGATAAAGAGCGTCGGCTTTGTCCCACATGATCTCACGGACCTTGGAATGGACGCCATCAGAACCAACTACTACATCACCAACGAACTCACGACCATCAGCTAGAATGACACGGGCTACCGAGTTCTCCTTTACAATCTGCTCAACCCGGGCCTTTTCGTAGACTTGAGACTTATCGGGCAGTAGCTCGTATAGCTGACGCAGGAATACTTGGCGGTCGAGTGTCCTAGTATCGTAGCCCGCGCTTCAAATACTTAGCAACAGGGCCCCAGAACGAGTGTAATGGTACATACAACTTTCTTATGACACCAAAGAAGTCGTTGGAGGCAAAGATCTTGCCGGTGGGATCGCGACAATGCGCACCGCCCATCGTATCGCACTTGGCCAGGACACCGTCCAGACAACCTAATTGGTGTAAGATTCGGCAACCATGAGGCTGCAGGGTGATGGTGGTTCCGAAACTCGGCGCCACCACACCTTTGTCCAAGAGGACAAAGTCGATGCCAGCTTTAGCTAGGCAATGGGCAAGCGTGAGACCCGTGACGCCGGCACCAACAATGATGACTTTGAACGCCGAGGATTCCTGCATGACGAAAAGTATTGTTGGAGACTGGGAAGTTTGAGGATTTCCTCATGGCCAGCATCCTTTAAAACTCGGACCTATGGCCAGTATGAGACCTCCAACGCCGTTCGGATGGTAAGTTGAAGACGGGCCCGACCGGAAGGCCGGAGCTTCGGTCCCGAGCGCCGCGGGTGGAGCGCCGTAGCCAATAAAGCGGGAGCGGCCGTTGGATGCCGTCCCAATAGCGCCGATCGGTCCAAGGAAATGCCTACCAAGTGCAACTTAATGACTTATCATCTCACAATGTTGAACAAGAAAAGTGATGCATACTTAATTAGACCCTGATCGTCCTTCCGGCAAGACTTTGTTCGACACACCGAGCCTTCCTTTCCAGCACCAACTTCAGACCATGTTCCAGACTTCAAGAAATCAGCTCCTCTACCTCAGTCCTCTGGGCGTATGGGGTCTCTGGGTATATGCATCATTCAACGGCATGTTCCGCCGCCTCGATGCACTAACAAAGACACTCCGTTTCCCAGACGGCAGACCACTGCGCTCCTCATACACAGGCCTTGCACCGCTAGATGCCCAGCTTTCTCTCGTCACTGCATTCTACGACGTCCTCACAAACTCCCTCAGCTCCGGCCCGCGCTTGTTGTTCTTTGACATTAATTACGTCGTTGCAGGCGCAAACTTATGGGCGCTTATTGAATCTCGTCGTCGTGGCGTGCGTTCCTTATTCCTGAGGTATCCAGTGTGGGCAATGGCTCTCTGCAACTTCAACGGCGCTGCTATTGTTCTACCTTTGTACATGTTTCTGCTCAGCCGTAGCAAGGCACGCATACGCGACTCTAGTGTGCCACTTCATGATGCGGTGGCGATGCCAGTGGCAGCTAAGGTGATGCTCCTTCAGCCGCTACTCATTTTTGCACCGGCATGGCTGGGCTTCGGTGGAAGCGAAACTCATCATGGGTTGATTGCCCTGTTTCAAGTGACCCCTGTCCTTATTCTTGGCTTCTATGTCAGCCTTGTATCAATACTTCCTCAACGGCCTGTCACACCAACATCATCCAGAAAAGCCAAAAGGTGGATCGTTGCGTCCCTGATACTTGCTGGAATCGTCGCTTCGGCCGTCCACATATATACTGCGATCGGTGCACTACGAACCCACGACAAGGATGCGTCCCTCACGAGACTCTTTGTTCCTGCCTCGGGTTTCACTGATCCGGGCACGATCCTCAAGATTACCGAGGGAAGATTGGCAGAGTATGCCGCACTGCTGGAAAACCTCCACCTGTTTTCCCAACGGGATTGGATCGTTGTGTGTCTGGCGGCAGTGGTATCTGTCCACTTGTTCCTTTATCTTCGGGATGGACTCAAGGTCAACAAGTCTACATCGCCACACGAGGTCCAGGAACTAGTCTATCTTGTAGTACCTACAGCCGTTCTCTGGCCTGGAGGTGCTGGTTTATTTGCACTTGCAATCCGAGAAGCTAGGATCTGATGCGGCGAGTACTCTGAGCCCCTGCCTCTTACCAGATACTTAAGACTGCTCTTTAAGAGGAAAGAAAAGAGTCAGGACTGTTTTAAAGTAGGATCATATTTCTATTTTAGCTCAAAGGACATACATTAGACGATAATTATCTAGTGGAATTTACTTATCATTGGCTCTTGCCATAGCCAACAGTCAAGCCAGTGGCAGGATTAAACAACTCAACCCTCGTAAGATACAAATAAAGTATTATTCTGCCATTACTAGGGCCGATCCAATTTCTGCTCGTACCTTCAACGTCTTCATACGCTTTGATCATATACATAGAGCACCTCCTGTTAACTGAGGATTACCTTCTGATAATCATCGCAAGCTCAGAATTATAATTCCTACTTCTTTCTAGAGAATGTTTGAACCTTGATGGCGCAAACAGGACCCGGGCGCTCTTCAACAAGTTTCAATGTAAACTCTTTGTCCGACGACCTCGTCTTCCCAGATACAGTGATAGAAAATGACCCCCCACTAGGCAAGATACGCTTGGAAGTTGAAGTTGGATCTTTCTGTGGCAGTGGTTGCAATTCGTACTCGTATGAGATAACGCCACCGATCTTTCCATTCGGCTCGTGTAGCCTCGTCTGGAAAATATCATCTGGACCACTGTAGGTACATTTTCCGTCTTTGGCGTCCGGGGCGGTGCTGAAAGACTCGTTGCTGAACAGGCACACGGTGTCAGACCCAGTCGTGAAACCAAACTTGATAGAGAGGACTTCAGTCTCGGATGAAGATTTCTCAGCATTAGGTGCAGAGATGAACTCAATACTCGAACTCTTAGTGTTCTTGCCCGTGACTTTGAAAGAGAAATCTGCATCCTTGGGTATCTCGTTTGGTGTGATGGTATACTCGAGTGCAGTCGAAGGAGGATCATCGATCTTCTTGAGCCAGCCATTGTCACCCCTCATACTGTCAACGAACTTCTCTCCGGGGGTCTTTTCTGGCTCTGGTCTGCCATACACCAAATAGACAATCGAGATGACCAAACCAACCACCATAAGAACTTGTCCAATGACAGGGATCAAGGCACACGTAGAGAACAAGCCAATAATTCCAACGACAACAGCAGCCGCCTCAATAGCAATCTGTGCAATGGCTAATCCTCTGCCAGTGCCGGAGAGCTTATCCCATTGATTGCACAAATCCCAAATCATGAACGCGACGACCACAACACTTATAGCGACGCTAAGAAAGCGTATGACTCTTGATGAGAGGGAGAGTCTTCTTCTCATTCTTCCGAACCAGGTTGTCTCTCTCGCTGCTTTCTCGTTTCCTACTTTGGCGATTTGCTCGACATCAAAGTCATAGACGTCGAATTTAAGCTCTGTAGCGTTCGCCTTTCCAAGGGCATAGGCGGGTAGCTTTCTGCCGCTTGTCTGGTTTATCACCTGGCACTGCGCCACCAGTTCCCTTGCATTCTTCACTTCGGGCCTCAAGAGAAAAGGTGTAAGGATGTCGAAAACCCCCTTCGTTACGTCCGTCGTGACTCGTCCTATCTGGGCTGCGCTCATATCTTTGCCTCCCATTACAATATTATAAATACTGAATCCAATGAGACTCATCTAAGGGCGAAGTTCGTTAGTCGCTAGTCCCACTCAATGGTCTCTGAGATATTTTAAGTTCACATACCTTGAACGCTACTCCGAGGCCTTTCCATCCAGATTTTAAATTTACCTCCAAGAGACTCTGCCCCTTCAGGTGGTCCCAGTTTCCAAATTTGCCACGCTTCCATGAGCCCACTCCTATAATCATGAGTGATTTCGCTGCCAAATCTCCAGAAACGAGGATATGAACCATGTCAGCATAGTGCTTTGCTGCAAATTCTTTCCCATTCTTTTCAAAAATGTCTCGATGGGCAGCCATAAAGGTATCTAGCTCCTTTCTCAAAAGATCTCTCAAATCTTTGTCGATTCCGTCGTAATTCTCGTTCAGGATTGCGTCGATGAAGGCTTTGGTGATGTGCGGCAGCCAGTCCATCACTGCGTCCTTGTTAACCCGCTGGGTCATGGCGAAACCGAGGAACTTCGTATATATAGCATCTCGGAAACGCTCATGATAGTTTCCGTCTGGATAAAGCGCCCAGAGGATTGTGGTGTACCTATCTAGGATCCGTGGATTGCCGTCCATGTCCTCCACGATGTCGTCCATCTTGACGTTCAGTAGCTGATCTAAGTATGCTTGTGCCCACTTCTCCCCGCCATCATTGATGAATTTCTGGATGACAGGGAAAAGTTGCTTCAAGGCTTCGAGGAGGCACAGGCGATTTAAAGTCGCATTCTCTGGACATTTAGCAAGGCATTTTGGACCTTGGCCCTGCCAAAAATACAGAATCTTCTTCTTCTCGTCGTCTGTAAATTTGGACCGCCATTCTCGAGTTTGCAGACTCTGGGCAATTTGAAGGCAGGTATAGGCTGGGCCAAAGGTCTCCTTTATCCACTTGGATAGATTCGATGGGAGATTGCCGCCGAGATGGTCCGGTAGTTGTCGGGTTTCCTTGTCCTTTGAAGATAGTAATGAGGCATGGCCCTGATCCATATGATAGAACATGAGGTTCTGGAATATCAGATCGCTTGTTGACTTCACCTAAACCAAGAGAGCTCATATTAGTCTTTGGATCACGCCCCCTAGAGAATCATTTACCGTATCATCGTTGTATTTTGCGAATATGGCATGAAGGTTCTGTAATGCCAAATCGCTTTTGCCGACTGGTGGCTGGAATACTGGCTCCTTCTGTGGCGTTGTCTGCCCACTAGTCGGCCCTCCCATAGGTATATCTCCTACGATCTGGCCTTGGCCTATTCTAACCGGAACTCTTTGTGAGGCAGAGCCCGGACGTGACATGATCAGGTGTCTGTCGTATCAGTCAGTGCCAAGTATTTTATACGCAATTGTTCCATGCATACCGAATTCCTTCAGCGCCCTCTCTTGAAGGATCTTGATTATATTCCCACAATGTTCCAGAAACAATCTCACTCTTGTCGTCTGAGAAATTCAGCTCGAGCCTAGCAAACAGCAAGGGAAGTTTGGCTTCTTCTCCAAGCTCGTCTTTAAACGTTGATGTTTTGGAAGGATCCTCAGCGTCTTTCCTATCTTCCAAAGTCTTCAGATTCTCCAAAGTTGTTGGTGGAATGGTGACGGTGGCTTTTAGTCGCCCATTGTGCATCATGGTCGCCGTCTCATACAAGCGCGAGATCTTCAAGGTATCGTCGCTCTGCTTGCGATTCCATAAATCCAAAATGTTGTCCAGGGCTGGAATAGCGATATCAGTGAACAAAATTCCCGGAGTTCCATCTGTGATCACTCGCTGAGTCGCCAGTTGTATAGGACCGAAGTCGAGTTGTCTCTGAATTTGTACTTGGTCCTTTTGCAGGGGTGCTTCGTCGTAGACAACGTCATATTCCCGTGGCTTTACTTCAAATCGAATATCCCTCGTGGGAGCAGAAGCTCCGGTGACCGTCTGGGCGTGCACTTGTGATGTCATAATCCCATCGACTGCCGCCATCTTTTCCTCTTCCACATCGATAGACTTCAAAATCAGCTCACCATTTGAATCTTCTATGGGCCCGTCTGTATTGAGTTGAACGGGCTCAAAAGATGCTGCTTTGGAAAGCAACTCCTGCTTTGGAACGCCGACACTAAGAGGGTCCATCTCGAGCTCGCATTCAGAGCCATAAGTCATATACTGAAACATTGGTAGGTCCAGAAGATCATCTCCGTCGTAGTCTTGACTGTAGCAAATCCGCGCAATGCCTGAATGATAACGTGGATCTTCTATGGATAAGACTCCATGCTCGACCACGTCCTGGCCGATAAAGCGGGACCATCTTACTTCACTGTTGGCGTTATCCACACGTCCATACTCACAGACGACTCCATTTACTGAAATGACTCCGTCGAACAGAGTTACAATGGGGAGTGAATGCGGAAGCTGGGAGTAGTCTTGACCAGGTATCTCTTCTGGATAGAAACATACCGATGCATGTGAAAGACCAGCCAGCTTGTTTTCGGTGACGTTGTACATCCGCGCGGTCAAGCTATTCTTTGCTGCCTCGACTTCGCGATGAACCATTTCGGCAACGGTTGCTATTCCGAATCGTTCAAAAAGAGGATTCAGCTCTTTTAGTGACCGCAGAAGTCGTACTTGATCCTCCTGTGAGAATGTCGCAAGCGTGGAACAAATTCGTTTGAGTGTGATCTCTGGGTAGTTGACCATGACAAGGTAGTCATTGGCGTGGTAACTTCGCCGACCCTCGCGAAGATGGACACCATAGACCTCAGTGACCTCGGGCATTTGACGCCAGCTTATGTCTAAAATGGGAACTTGGTCGTATGCTCTCCCATCTTCTCCCAGGCGGTATAGAATATGACCAGCTGAAAGTCGACCGACTTCTGCCCAAGGGTTTTCCTTCATTGCCAACTCAGCATCGAGAGCTCGGAGACCAGTAGTCGTGTGAAAGACGTGGCCGGCAGTGAAGAATGGAGCTTCATTGTCTATGCTGCATCAGAATCGTGTCAATGATTTCAGAAGGGGATAACGCAGACTCACTGAACCCATAGATGATAGGCGAGTCTACTGGGATGACAACTCTTTCGTCAGACACAAGGCCCCATTCGTCTTTTGCTCCGTGAGTCAACACCCAGTCATTTTCTTCGAGGCGTTCGATAGGCTTCTTTCCAGATTTTGTGATGATCTTGGTTCCAGCGATAAAACATGTGCCTGGCCCATTGTTCGAAGGGGGTTGATATCTGTATTGGGTCCATGGTCCCGGCCTCTGCACAATAAAATCGGCGGATGCGCCAGCGAAATGTCAGTCCCTGCGGCGTCTAGATTGGCACAACTACTACTCACAATTCCTCAAATAGTATACGATACCCATCGCCTCTACTCTCAACGGCACGAAGTGCAGCAAGGGGTATGCCGCCATATCTCGCAAGGAAAGCATGTTCTTGGGGACTTCGCCAACACTACGAGCCAGATTCTCTGCTTCTTCCGAAACAATCTGCTGCTGCTTCGCCCAGAGAACTGTGAGCTCGTGGGTATGGGATTGCCATCCTTCTGCGCCTCCGAGATTCTGGATCTGCTTGAGGATCTCCTCCGTTTTGGTACCGGACTCGGGGTGGAAGGGCATGTTTTCTAAGAGACCCAAAACCTCTTCATGCTCAGGTGGCCGAAAGGTGGCGTTGTCGAAAATGCCATATGACACTGGGAGAGCTCTCAAAGCGCCAAGTGCGACGCGACCTGCCAAGGGTGATCCACTGGCTTGCTGAATGCATTTCAATGCAATATCGCCCACGGGGCTCTTCCATACATCGTCACTTGACAGGATTTGTGGTCGTTCCGGTTGGCTGAAATACTGCACAAGGAACAAGGATGCTTCTATCCAGGTAGCCTCACCAAGCCCCATGTGCTCCGTCATATCCTCAATTGAGTCTTCACTAGAAAGTGATTCAATAAAAGCTTTGGGGAAACCGTCATAGCGAGCAAGACTGCGGAGCGGTGGCATTTTGCATTCCTCCAGATGTTCACTGACGTGATCGGCGTACAAGAGGAAGGTCACTCGTGTAAGAGCATCTCGGCGGTATTTCTCAGCCTCGCGCTTTAAGACATTAGCATAACGAAGAATTATAATGGCCTGCTTTGGTAACTGGCGCTTAACTAACCAGAGAAACACATTGTCTGATACCATTCGGATCATATCGAATTTCGGCAATTCCGATGGCCCTGGTGGAGTCAGCCAGAGACTCTACAGCTTGAATACCGGTCAGAGTTTCCAGGTTGCTTGTATTCGGATCACGGAGGGTTGCTGAAGTTTTGGCCGTCCCATGAATTTTAAAAGAGAACTGATCAGGCTGGTCAGTGATTCTCAAGTAGGCCTTGTTTGTATCAAAGAGGGGGAGAGTCCGAAGCGCTGTCCCCAGACCTTTGATGGTTACATCAGGTAAGCCATCATGCCGAAAAGGCTTGGTGGCCAACGAAGCGGTCATTATAGCGTATCTTAGAGCGATGAATAGACAAAATCGTAAGGAACAGGTAGTGATTGTTTCTGAACCAAAAAGCCTCACGGTGTACGTGTACAGACCGAGGCATAGCAGCTGGATACTGGATTGAGCCCTTGCTGGTTAGTGGTTATCGTCAGCCTGTCAGCGTACGCTGATAAGCGCCGAGCCCTAGGCACAGGAGGTCTAGACAATTGTAAAGCTGGAACTACGCATATCTGGAAAAAGAACATTTTGAAGTAAATTTGGTTAGATTGCGGGGACCTTGCATGGTCTAGATTGTTCTCTACATATTGGAAAGGATTCTGACTGGTAGTTGCAAGTCAGAGTTCAAAATAGAGCTGAATTACACGCCTGGCTAATTTTGGATCGTTTTTCGTCAATCCGGCTTAGGGCCAAATTCTAGTTTTAAGTACCCTAAATCTTGTTCAACGCTGTAATATAATAATTACGTATTAAGTCTTATATATACTGACATGCAAACGGTATTCTTGGTCTTGAGATCAAACTCAACGTATGAATTCATCATCCTCAATCGTAATTTCAAGTATAAATCGACTATTGCCACGTAAATCCAACAACTAATAGTTTATAAAGGAGGTTAGTGAAGCTTGCGAGGGCGGCCAAAATATTAAGTTCTAGTGAACAAACTAATTACCCTCTCCCTAAGCGCCTCTCATCTTCTCCTTCTCCTTCGCATCTTATGGTCTTTCTTCGCCCAGCACACATTCATTGCTTCAGAGACTATGTCAAAATCTAAGGACACAACGCGCCCTATGAAAAGGACTTGGAGGGTATGCTCAACGGTCATCAGCTTTGCATAGCATACTCGAGTCGTCCCGACTAGCCTCTCGCCGGGTTCATGCATATGAACACGAATAGGAGGAAATACCGGTTCAGGCTCCCCTTGTAGAAGCTGTGATGAGCGCTTACCTAACTCACAAACGATGCCATGACTTTGAGGATCAACTGCTTTCTTTTTCATTCCTTTTCCACCATATGTTGTGATTGGCCTGCTTCATCAGCGCTTGCACCTCGTTCGCAATTGTTTGACTTACACGCATGTGCAATGACCTCTGTCGTTGGCCACAACAATGAAGCGACGAAAGCTGACAAATACGAACTCACCATAATGATCACGGTATGGTGTTTCCTCGCCGATATACGGAATTCCAGGGGCAGTTTCAGGCCAAACAGTTTTAAAAACCTGCAAAATCTACACCAGGGATGGAACACACGGTGATACTTTTGTACATACCTCACCAGGCTGAAACATGTGCGATGGAGCAACTCGGTACCATTTCGAGATCTTAGCTTTTGAAAGTTGGTAATGTTGTTTGCATGCTTACGAGGATCCAGCATCTCATTGTATTCCGGTGCCTCTCTCGTCTCATAGGTCACGTCCAGTGCTTGCTCAATCGACCCGGTCATATATTGGTTATGCCTCGCATTTGATGCCTCTCCGACAGGCCCTTTTGGTGCGTAAGCCTTTCTGTTCATTACCATCTTCTCATTGACTTACACAGCGTTGTTAGAATGCTTTGATACTCTTCGAGTTTGCTCAGACCGATGCCTAACGAAATCGAACTAAACTGGGTCAGCAGGAACTTCATTAAGGAATGTGCGGGATTTAGCTCACCCTTCAAGTACCTAAAATATTCCCTCGAGAATATCATACAAGGTTCCTAGTCCTCCCATTGCTTCAGTAACCATCGCAATATGTTTCTCTTGATCTTCCAAGCTGCCCTCATGAGCCTCGTCAAGCTCTAAGCTAGTTTTATCAAGAAAAGTCCGTGTGTCCCTTAGTATCTCTGTCAAAGTAACTCCGTCTTTTGCGGTCGGATGAACTCTCAAGTTACATTCGAAGAGCTTTTCTGTCATCAATAAACATCTTTCAGCATCAGTCGAGGCTAGATCGAATGCAAACTTGTCATAGCCACCCAGATCTTGGCCCATTCTCGCAATGTGGGATTTGAGTGATTCGAAGAACTGTTCAAGATATCTCAACATGGCGTACAGCTCCTCCAGCTCTACCGTATTTAGAATCGTGGTACTCGGATCAATTGGATACTGAGTGGTGTTCCGCTGAGTATCCTTTAGGTATCCATCATCTTCTTCAAACTGCTCCGATTTGGAGGAATCATCAGAATCAATGTTGAATAATTTGGAGAACTGGCTTTCATCCATGTTTTTATCATCACTGGAGATGGTCCTTGGCAGAGCAAATAGTGCAATTCGCTCAAGATGGTTTGCTAGATGATTGGTCAGTCCCTTGAGCAACGGCTGTTCTTCGAAGCATATGGGGCAAACATTGCGGTCATCAACGCGACCCAATTTAGAGACGTTGGTTAAGTCCTCGAGTTGCTCGCCAGAGAGGCTTCTATCATGATCTAGTAACAGATGACTTTGAAAACTGGAATATGAAGCATACCAGGCATCTGGGTGATCGCGGCATCGCTAACTAGGTCGATGCACAGTTTCTTGGTGATCCACCCACGCTTTTCTTGATTGATAAAGATCGTTGGCCGAGTTGCATGTTTCATACGTGCATACGTAAGGCTTCAAGTCATGAAGGACATGTGACTTCCAGCTCTTCCCTTTCCCTTCTTTCGGGGGGCAAACCACCCAACAGTAAGGGCAGGTAAACGAGTCTCCATATAGTGCCTCCTTAGGAGGTTTGGGGACCTCAATTCCTTTTCCGTCGGCATCGAGGGCAGTCGAGGCCATCGATAGTATAGTTTCCCTCTCTGTTCGATCATCTAGGGCAGGATCATGCGGTGTCGCATTAGTCTCAGAGAGGTGACTTTGTTCCTCAACCCGGGGAGGGAGTTCAACCAGTTGTATTTGTAGAAGTCCCACGTCCTCTGCAGCCTCTGACACTGAGGGCCTTTCTCTGATAGGTGTCTGATGCACAGGTAGAATCTGAACACCAAGCTTTCTAGCATGCCTTTCCCAGTATCTGAATTGCTTCTGACGTAAGATATTAGTTTTTGTGAGTCTTTCAAGAAGAGCATTAGAAGGTCCATCGTCTTCAAGCTTTCCCTTACGCATCGCTGTGAAAAGCTCAACCAGGTGCCTTGAGTCGAATTCATAAATCGTATCGAATAGATCAACGCCCGTGTCATTGTCCACCGCTTGGATCAAGTTAGCCCTAGTAGTAGTAGTAGGGCGCAGACCAGAGTTGCGAATTTTGTAGCATAATCGGTATAGGTTGTTGAGTATGTCCGTAATACTTGCAACCCTCATAGATAGCTCTGTTGATGAACAGTACTCGTTGCTTGTGTCATCACCGGATTCTTCGCTGATATCTGACGGGATAGACTCCTCATTGAACGGAAGCCTTTGTCCTGATACGACAGCGATAGCTACTCTGTCATTATCTTCTCATCTCTTCAAATCTTGGCTGTTAAAGCTTACACTCTTCCAATGCTATGCAAAGCTGTTGGAGAAGTTGCGAGATGTTTTTGTGCATGAGAGGCGACTCTCTCAACCTGTAATCAAGAGAGGAATAGCCCGTCTGCAAAGCCCCCAAATTTCCACACCAAATCCTGAATTTTCCAAGCTGTATCTCAATTGTCAACGGAGGCATCTGCTGCAGGAATCGAGGTGCAGTTCCTCTGAGACTCGACAAAACATACTGGAAGCCGTTAATACATGATTGACTCAGGCTTTGGACTGTGTTCATGGCGGTGATCAGTGCAGTCTACTTGTACGCACTACTGTGATGACCAGCTAATGGAAACGCCAAGCGTAGAAAGAAAATGGGTAATGTGAGCTGGATGTGTTATTTGTAGTTGAGACTTATGGCTAAGATTTTAAATCAGTATAGAGAACTTAGGAAATGATGACAAGCTCAAGACACAATCAAGTTCTCGATATTGCATAATTCTTTACCCCACTTCGAATAATCTCTGCTTAAAATCTCTCGATATGCGTAAGCGACATCAATTTCCATCTTGGATGCTCAGCTGGTGCTGCGAGCGCGCTCATGATTGGTAGCCTCGTTCTCGGTATGCAAGCAGGCAAAAAGGCCGCGAATTTGATCTGATCATCCAAAGGCGGGGTATGATAACTCTTCCTCTTCTCACTCTGTTTTTATCCAACTGAAACTTGACAACATTACAGGCAGCGAGCCAGATGTCGAGGTTTGAGATCGCTGGCATTGTTCTGGGGTCCATTCCTCTGCTTATTTCAGCGATAGAACACTATAGCGACAGCCTCGATCGCGCAACTGCGTTCTTCAAATGGAAGGACGGACTGAATTCGGCTTTACGGGAATTCTGGTATCAACACTCGTCGTTCGAGTTGACTTTGAGAAACATCCTCAAAGATGTCGCTAGTCCGTCCGAAATTGAGGAGATGATTGGAGACCCTCATCATGAACTCTGCAAGTCACAAGATCTGTCCCAGGCCTTGCATGAGATGCTCAAATTTGCATACCGGCCTTACATATCGACTATTAAGGATATTCATGCTTGTATGAAAAGGCTGGCCAGCCATTTAGATATAGATCGTGATACTGTGAGTAATTTTGACATGAGCTAATTACTATGTAGACTGACTGGAATCATCATCACAGGGAACTGCAGATGATCTCGAGGTGATCATGAAAGCGAAAAAGAGACTTCCGTCCGCTAGTGGCCTGTAAGGTTCGATTTTAAGCGTGCCGTTAAGTTAACTATGAAGAGAAACGATGTCCGGATACTCCTTGAAGATATGAAAGCATGCAACAACCGCCTGGATGAGTCAATCAACAAGTCAGAGGCTCCGAGTAACAACAGTATCACTGGAAGTACTGTTGACAGGTTGGGGTTGAGTTCCTCACTACAACAGATACAAAACTACGCATCCATGCTGCATCAAACTCTGGGAAAGGCCTGGTCCTGTTCAGCCCATGCTTCTCATGAAATTCGCCTGCTCTTAAAAGACAGAGTTGTACGCCACAACGAACCAAGGTCGCTTAAAAAGGTGAAGCGGTCAAGCCAACCACCGTGTTTCACGATATCCCATAAACCGCCAATGAGCTCTGCACTTTGGAAGTCAGCCAAAATCGAGATTATTGATCCAGATCAAGCGGTCGATGACGAATACAAGACAGTCAGATTCAGAGAGGCGCATCCCACGAGATGTTGCCTAGGCCAGCAAAGCATGAACATCCGAAGTATTCATGGTTTAAAAGTAGTCGGAGATCTTTGCACCGTCTTCCGTTGTTATAACGGGTTTGGTTTTGGACTTGACGACCAGGGTGTGCTTTACGAGACCTACCAAGCCGAGATCAAACCGGCATGTTGCGCGGAGAATCTAATCAGCCTTCAGGAGCTCCTCCTAGCACATTCTGGCATGAAGTCCTTCACTCCTTTGACTGAGGAGCAACGGTATCGACTGTCAATTATCCTAACTTCATCATTCATCCAACTCCATTCAACTCCCGGGCTCAATAAACACTGGAACCAACACACAGTATTCTTCTCTTCAAGCTCAGTTGATGATCAGCTTGTGATTGACCTTCGGCATCCTTTCATCGCGGAGAGTTATGGGAGTTCTCCATGTCGAAGCACCGCTTCAATCGATGCCAAGGAACTTGCAGATGACAGCACAAATCTACTCATGCTGGCAAAGATCCTTCTTCAGATCAAGTTCCATGGCCGACCGAGTTCCATCAGCAATATAGAAAGAGCATCGAATCCAACAACGTTTGACCGAGTTCGAGAATCTCAACTCCTCAATCAGTGGGTATTTCAGGAGAGGGAGAACTTATCCTTTGCGCACTACAACGTCATTCAGTTCTGCATAGCATCTCCAAATAGCATTGACGCTGATCTTTGGGATCTAAAGTTTCGACAAATAGTCCTGGACCGAGTGGTTGTGCCTTTGGTTAATGAACTAAGTCACTGGCAAGGGGTCATGTAACTTGGACACGACGTGATGAGAAGATAATAACACGTAGCATGAGTTGAAAGAATAGTCATGACTGTTTTTGTTGGGGGCCAGGTAACATTGATGACTTGATGATGGTTGTCAAGCGCGAATTGTGAGAACGACAGCCTGATTCAATACATGAACAAAGTACTGTGGGGGCCACTGAATTGAACGAATTAGAGCCAAATAGACTGCAGTAGACAGATGATGGCCCCGCCCGCTATACCCCCTTCAGTTGAGAAGGCTGCAGCTTGCATGAGCAGCCGAAGGGCTGAAATCATCAGATCGAAGATGGCAGTAAAGAACTACAAAAGGCACAATATTATTCATGAATCTAAACCACTGTAGCGCATGGTTGCTGTCGTCAATCTCATATCCTTATCTCTGTCTCCCAAGCTTTGTTTTGGTTGAGCTTTTAATTCTACCAGCTACAATAGTCCTCAAATGGCGCCAGAGCGGTAAATCTGCCTTGTGTCAAGGTGGCGCTTGGCTAAGGATGACTACAGGATGCAGGTGAGCGAGACACCATTGAAAATGCACCTCGCTTTTTTTCAGCTGACCTTTTGGACGCTCATAAACTAAAGCAGCCACCTGCTGCCCCTCAATCGAAACCTCGTCACTCACTGTTCACTTTTCTGCTTTTTGTTGTACTTTAGCCTCCTTTCTTTTCAGGTACCTAATCTGAATCTTCTGTGTTTTTGATTTGTCAACCTCGTCATGGCTCGACCGCGAGAAGGCTCTGTTTCCTCTACCTCCGACTCAGAGCCTGAGGATGAGGGCCTGATAGGGTTTTTCGAGGGAATCACCCAATCGTGTGTCGATGCCAACTTTTCAGACGGAGATGAATCGACTTCTGCTTCGGCATATATATCCTGGCGGATGCCCTCAAATGAGTTGTCGGTCTTGCTTAGCTTTTAGTCTTTTCTTCTCTAATATAGCGTAGTATCGAGGGACAAGCTCTGAAGCTCCAGATATCATCTCGATGCCGCATCTGCAACCGCCGAGGTCGAGCTGGAGAGCTTGCCTTCTGCACCGGATGTGGCAATTCCAAGCGACCAGCACACAGAGCATGTCTAGCGAGGGATCGACAACACGTTATGAGTCCTCGGCGAAGACTTAGTGTCGGCGACGAAGAGTGCAAAGAGGTTGATTACAGCGACTACGTTTTCACTCGATACCTCCTGCAACCACCTGCGCCCAATCTAAAACTACAATTACATACCAAGGATGCCACGTGTGCATGGATCGGAGTTCCCTCCCTACAACGGTTTGAAAAACCACAGATCCACGTTTGGCCTCGTCTTCAAGATCTTCTCCAAATGTCGCGAAACACCAAGCCGGGCCAGTATCCCAAGCTTGTCTCGTTTATTGGCGAGACAGGCTCGGGAAAGAGCACTCTGATACGAACGATGATCCAAATGGCTCGACCCGACCACCCCGAGGGAGAGTCTGTCCCTGTGCCTGGGTCTCCAAGTGATCGTTTTGCATCCACGAGTAGTGATATCCACGCCTACAGTGATCCCCTCACCCTCTCGACAATGTATCCAATAGTCTATGCCGGTAAGCTTGGAAGTATTCTCAATTAGCCTGCCAATCCGCTGACATCTTTGATAGACTGTGAAGGCTTTGTCGGCTCCGACAAGCCCATTGCACAAGAGATCATTGCTGCTCTTTCTGAACCAAATTGGCTATTCCAGTGGGAATTTGGTGAGGAATCAGCCGAGCACAAAGTACTTAAATACTGGCAAGACAAGTAGGACAAGCTACTGAGACAGGTGAACCAATTCTTAAACGGTGCCGAGAGCAGAATCAATGTTGAATGGGGCAAATTGGACTACCCAGATCCACGAGCCTCAGTTATCATGGAAGACTCGGATGGGCGAAGACTGTGCACTGTCCAGAACAACACCCGAAAGCTCATCGTGAAGTATCTGTACCCGAGAGTCCTCTATGGCTTTTCGGACGTAGTTTGTTTTGTCACGACGAATGGAAGGTTTGTACAAGGCGACACCATATTGAGCGATTATCCATTAACAATAGCAGGACTTCTGATAGTTTCTTGGGTCAGCTAATTGACTGGGCTCAACATTCACACGACCGAATTCTCAACCAACGGACAAAACCTGCTCTTATTGTCATTCTCAATATCGTTGTTGATTTAGACGAGGGCTCATCCTCTGATGCGACTGAGGACCTCCTTCGGAGTTTCCAGAGAACTGAACGGTTTCGAACGCTACAGGCTCTGTGGGAAGAGAGAGAACATCCAATCAGAAACACTTCTGATCTACTCCTTTGTTACTACAGCGACTTCAAAGTAGTCCTCATCCCTGCCATAAGTTCCAAGAGTTCCCCAGCCGATGCGACCTCTGTTGGCAAGAGCATTAGACAGCTATACGAGACAATTCGAGGATCAGTTTCCAAGATCCGCAACGCCAAGGCTGACAGTGGTAGAGAATCAGACTTGGCTACTCTCAACACCCACATGAACAGATCTTTGAGTGTTCTAGGACAGGACCTTCGCGCCGCGCTTGATCTTCACGATATCATAATGAATGATTCATCAATCCCGACTAGATTGAGCGACCACGTGGCATCCACCCTACGCCAGATGTGTATCTTGCGTGAAATTGACCGCATGGATGCGATTGGAGGCGAAGAAAGAGTTGTAGACGAATTCGCGCCCTACGTCGGCGCATGTATTGTAGCCCAAACCTGTCGTATTCGAGACATTGGTTAGTCCGTGCCTCTATACGTAGGATATGCAAAGCGCTAACAAGGAAAGAAATAAGAAAGAGAAAAAGAGAAGACCTAGTGACCGAAGCTCAAAGTGGTCTTCAGAAATTCCGCTGGCGATACTGGCGATGCGAAGCCCTAGAGCGAAAAACTGGTCGAAGATGTCGAAATTATTACGATGGACACTCCAAGGGACACCAATTTACCGGACCCGAGGACGAATTAGAGGACGTGAAGGGTCTCAATCGAAGGGGAGGTGAATCAAACCACAGATGTTCCTGGCATCCTGATCGGTTTGTGAAGCGTCTGCGGGAAGCGATAGCACAAAATCAGCAAGATGGCAGAGTCATGGAAAGGCTAACTTACTTGGCAAGAACGATACGGCTGACAGAACTGCAGAGCCAGAGGACGTGCTTCTCTTGTCTGTCCAACTGTCCAACTAACATGCTTCCATGTGCGAGGTTTCAGCATGGAATTTGTCAGACCTGTCTTGAACGTTTTGCTCGGCAGGAGAATGGTGGATCTATCTTGGTGATTGAGCATTGCCCCCTTGGATGTGCTCTGAGAACTGGAACATGGAGCATTCGAATCAAGCCAAAGCATGCAGCGCCTCGCGTGTTGTCTCTGGATGGGTAAGCCTTTTATTAATGTTCTATTCTCATCTGAGGCTAACTGTGGACAGTGGAGGAGTCCGTGGTATTGTAGAACTTTGTGTTTTGCGTCAGATCGAAAGACACGTTGGCTATGGTATCGCAATCCATGAGCTGTTCGATCTTGTAGTAGGAACAAGTACAGGTTCGTCTAAATCATTATTTCCATCCTAAGGATATGTCTCACTCGTCAAGGTGGCATCGTGGCCCTTGGTGTATTCCACCAGCGTTGGTCAACGGACGATGCCATCGATAGGTTCCGGGCACTGGCAAGAAGAGCTTTTACACTTCGATTGGGACTCGGAAACTCTTTTATCAAAGCCCTTGCGCAGCCATTCTATGAGTTTCTCTATACCAGTGAGGGCATAGAACAGTCACTACAAGAGTCGTTTGGGGGCTCAAATCTGTTCGGCGCATCTTTGAATCAGAGAAACAACTCTAGGTTAGGGACTGGAGGGAGGGATTGGGTAAAGGTTGGCGTTGTTTCTTGTTTGCAAGGACGGAACCAGGCAAAGTTGATTGCCAATTATTCCAGAAACCCAAGAGCAGACACTGATGAAGGTGAGCATAGTGACTCTGCTAGTTGATACGGACTAACTTAGTATTCTCCTTACATCAGAAGACTACTTTTCGCGTGAAGATGAACAGTCAAAGGATTTCAAAATTTGGGAAGCGTTGGTTATCCCCTCGACAGTATTCTACCAGTATTTAACTCTTCACAGGGCGAGAGCAACATCTGCAGCACCGACATTTTTCCAGCCCTTCGTCCACCCCGAAACAAAACGATCATACATCGATGGAGCTCTTATGCACAACAATCCAGTATCTTTAGCCTATTCTGAAGTTGAGAAAATCTGGCCTGGTTCCCTTCCTCCTGACATTATTTTATCGATTGGCACAGGAATAGTCGTGGACAAGTCAGGAAAGATGAAGACAAAACACAACTCCAAACTGGAATCTTTCAAGAGGTACATTCCTAAGGGCTACCTGATGCGGGTAGAGGCTGGACTCGGAATCATTCAAAGCTCAACTAGCTGCCACGAGGCTTGGAAAGAGTTCAGAAGTATGTCTGTTACAGACCGCCGACTTAGACATAACTGCCATCGCCTCAATATAGGCTTGAAACAGCGCGTCGAGATGGATGATGTTGAGAAAATGGATTCCCTTCTTGAGGAATGTGAGAAATACCTTTGCGATGGTACGAAGATGTTCTATTACGACAGAGCATACAGAACAGCCCCCGAACACCTTCAAACAGTAGCAAGACGACTCTTGGCATCCCTGTTCTACTACGTCGGGCCTCTGGAGAGGACTATGAAGGGAGGAAAATGTGCTGGGAAGATATTTTGCAGATTGGAGGCAGGTTCTGCGTCTGCAAAGGAACTATTACGAGACCATGTACGATTCCGGCTCGGTCAAATTCCGGAAAATAGTACCAAGGCAGTATATCCTCGCATCCTTCGTCATCGGGATAGTAAAGGCTGGGATGCAAGGGATCTTTCAGCTCTTGTGGTTCTAAAGGTGGAAGAGGGGACGTTTAAGCGATGGATCGAGGTAAATCTGCCTCATTGGAGGGATGAATGGGAGCCCATCTCTGGATTCCAGCTTCAGAGGCGCACCAATGCGTGAAGTCTCGAGCGTACGGTCGTTTGGGCGGAGTTGGCGATCATAATATGTCAAGGTTTATTACGTGCTCTTTATGAATATATGCATAGAAGAAAAAGCTCATGCCTCCACTGATCCGCTGATCCATTGAAACGAGGGTTGGCTAACACCAGTGCTGTCTTTTCCTAACCGACAGACGCCATAATGGCCTTGGCGGTAGCAGCCTCAGTAGTCTGGCTCATCCAAGTCGCAGAAGCAGTCCATGTCGTACCAAATGTAGTCTGTCTGTTGATCAGTTACGCTCTGGATGTTGCCGCTATATATAAAGCAAGATTGACCAGGAGTGAAGGCAAAGTAAGTGCACCCGCTGGTATCATGACAAGCCGCGCGGCAGGACTCCATCGTTTTGACACCGCTTGGACTGTCCAGGAGCTCCATGGCGGTACCCTCCCAGTAGCCATCTTTGTTGCAGACCTTATCGGACGGAACGGGACTCTTCTCATTGTTAACGCAGGACTCGCCTGGTGCAGTGGTAGTGGTTGTTGCAGCTTCAGTAGTAGTTGTAGCCTCGGTGGTTGTAGCCTCAGTAGTAGTTGGAGCTTCGGTGGTTGTAGCTTCGGTGGTCGTAGCCGCGATCGTTGTAACCTCAGTCGTTGTCGTCTCCCTCCCTGGTGGACAAAAGCAGCTCAGCTCGTACCAGCTCCATTGCACGGCCGCGTTCTCATTACGTTCGTAGTTTCCTTCCCAAAGCTCGCAAAACGTGTTAGGCCAGAAGGCAAAGAAATCGCAATCCTTGTTTGCAACGCAGGCTTTGACGCAATTATCAAGTGACGCGGCGTCTTCTCCAGCAAGTTCTCCGACGATACGTCCCACTGATCCGCCAATATGGTTGAACTTGACGTCGCATGAAAAACCAGCTGGAAAGCCGCCGGGGCAGCTATATGTGAGCTCGGCACCAGTGGTAGTGGTGGTAGCAGGAGCGGTCTCTGTAGTCGAAGTGGGTTCGACAGATGAGGTTGTAAGTTCGTTGGTTGTAGCTTCGGTGGCTGTCGTCTCGGTAGCCAAGCCACTTGTGGTGGTTGAAGACTCGTCACAGAAGCAGTCCATGTCATACCAAGACCAAGCCGATTCACCACCACTGGTACCCGTGAATGAGCCACCCCACAACGCGCACCATGACCCAGGCTGCAGCGCAAATGCAACACACCCGGCCCTGTCCTGACAGGAGTTGTGGCAGGAAGCCAGCGTTAATGTATTCGCGTTGCCCAGTCTTTGCAGGTTACCTTGGCCACCACCCTGGGCGTTACAGCTCTTTCCAACTGGAGCAGGGTCCTTAAGGCAGACATATTCGGCTTGGCTGGTGGTAGTAGTAGCAGCTTCGGTGGTGGTGGTGGGCTCTCCAGAAGTGGCCATGCTGGTGATGGAAGTGGCATCGGTTGACGCAGTAAGATCAGTGGATGCAGTAACATCGGTGGACGCAGTAACATCGGTGGACGCAGTAACATCGGTGGANGCAGTAACATCGGTGGACGCAGTAACATCGGTGGACGCAGTAACATCGGTGGATGCTGTGCCAGTCGTGGTTGTCACTGACGAAGGCTTGCAAGGGCCGGCCTGGACACCAACTGCAAGACCAACAAAGGCAGCGAAAACGTTTTGGGCGATCATTTTGAAAGAGTGACAGGCTCGCAAAGAAGCCGTTAAAACGAGTGACAGTGAAAAGTATGACGTCTGAAGCGGTTTTAGCAGTACAGCGTTATGTTTATGTAGTCTCCTTTTTTACAGCGTCTTTCAGAAGGAAGCTGAAGCAAATTTCCACTGAAAATGGCCATAGCGACACTACGAAGACACTAACGTTAGGGGTCCAGGTTGGAGGACGAATGAGATCTGAGGATTTATGAAGCTCTTTTTCTAGCTATTAAGCTATTCGGGGTCCAGACCCCAATAGTTAAGCATAATGGAGAATCTTCTTGATTTGATACGCGCTAGTGCCAATAGCTCGGCAACATCGCATGTTACTGCTGCTCTAGCTTCCACTCAGTTCCAGACTCCACGTGAACACTTCTATTTTTGTTTATAATCAAGTCAACATTGCTCAAAGTTGAATTTTTCAAAAGCTGCACGTAAACTATCTGAAATTCAGATACTTGTAAAACACATTTGAGCCTTGCTGCTATCTAGACAAGTATCATCACTCATGTTTTCTTGATCGCCCTTGATCAGGCGTGTCTACTCCTGTCAATATCCTTGGTAACTCTTGCAACAGACGTGTTATTTGCACTTGAGGCTTGAGGCTGATACCTTGAATCATCACAGAGAACTTGACTCTTGCAATTATGTAGTTGATTGCTGGCAATAGGACCAAACTTTAGACTCACTGACTCCTGGCATCTCCAACAATCCTGCCTCCATCGACGACAACAATCGAGCCAGTAGCAAAAGTACACTTCATCAAATAAACATAAGCCTCTGCCAACTCCTCAGCAGCCCCAAGCCTACCTACAACAGAGTCCTTCTCCATAGCAGGAAAAATCACATCCCTAACATCTTGCGGAAACCCATCAAACAGCGCGGTATGCACAAAACCCGGCGTAACACAATTAACTCGCACCGGCTTAAGATCAATACACAAAGCACGCGTCATCGGCTCAATTCCACCAGCTGCTGCTTTGAGCAGGGACCAACCCGCTCCAGCAGGACGAGAATCAGTGGTCGTACCCGTGATGGTGAATGAGCTGCGGTTCGTCTGATTGATATAACTCGAGAGATGCTTTGCGACAAAGAGAGCGCCCATGACCCGGACCATGCCGATTTTGGAGATGACACTGACAGTCGCTGAGTCGAGGCTTGGTGAAGGATTGAAATCTCCAGCCGTGAAGACGACATGATCGAGTTTTCCGTCCTGAGAAGCAGACTCGAGTAAGTCTTTGACATTGGCCTCGATTGTTTCCGGTTTGGCGAGGTTGCAGACTTTGCCAGAGATCTTCCTAATTGGAAGTTGAGCTTTCTGTATATGAATTTCGAGGCGCTTGATAGCAGCGTCAATTTTGGATTGGTTGGAGCTGCTGATAATAACATGTGCGCCGTGTTCGAGGGCCGCTTGGGCAACGGCGAAGCCAATACCCGTTGAGCCCCCGATTACGAGAACGCGCTGGCTATCAAGCTTGTCGGTGTATCTGGTAGACATATTGAGAAGGCTTGTGTAAGCTACTTTATTTGTTATTTATCCACATAATTGCGCACGTCTCAGGCCTTTTATATATCCCAATCATTCCAATTCAACTACATGTCCTCATGATTATGAAAACTCCGCTTCTCCGTAGGATTCAACACCATGTCCAGCTTTCCAGCTCTTTTCCTTCATGAGACGCGAAAATGGCTGTATTGAATACGTGAATTGTCAGATGTCCAGGGTATTCGAGATGTGAGGTTACGCTCGTCGCGAAATGATTCGTCGGGTCAAGTCCGCTGTTCGGCCTTCGGCCTCCGCAATACCCCGATCCTTGGATCCCGACGCGTCATTGACGCGTTTGAACGTGTTCGCCACCTGAAGCTTAACCTCATCACTACATAGAACGCCAAACCACAACATGGTTGTTGTGAAGCATTTTAGTAAGAACGACCTAAGAATTCTCACAGTTTGTAATAATCTGAAGTACATGAGCATTGTCGCGTCAGAGCAAATGTCGATAGAGATAACACATGATACTGATGAACATTATCTTGCTTGGAAACGATTACCAGTGAATAGCAACGAGAACGTGATCAATATGATAACGCCAGAACTTTTCCAATTTTCGGTTCTCAAGTTTGATAAAATCTTGAAATTTCTCCTCAGTGTGTTGATTCTGCGCATAAAATCATGATTAATCACCAGCTTTAGGGTAAACACTATAGATAAGGTTTACTACCATATGAGGTTTCCAGCATTACACAATCAATGATTAATGCAATGAACAATCACTTGAAAGACATAAAAGGTGTCATCATGCTTGAGCAAGGTTTATTAGCATATCTAGCTCTTTAAGAACGTCGTGGAAAGCATGCCTGTGTACATCATGCATCGCCAGTGTTTCTATTAATAATCTATTCATCTTAGCTCAACCCCGATGAGACAATGGTGATAACACTTTCGCTGGCTGCTATTGAGAAGTAGGCAAACTGTAGATTACGATAACCAAACTGACTGTTTGCTATTGCAGATCGCAGCTCAGCTGGTAAGCGGGACGGCTACGGGTCCGGTGACACAAGCCAAACGACGATCACCAAATTATTTCCTTCTTCCATGCATGTCTGACATGTACACCACTCCCCATCACATCGGTCATTTACATGAAACGGACGCTAAGCTTAACTCTATCGAACATGCCAACTGTCAACTCCATCGCCCCCATCTCGCCTAAGCTGCATGAGACTCTACATACGCCAGCTTAGGCTCATACTTGATCTCAACAGTCTCCCAGGGCTTGACTGTTTTCCCTTCTTGATAATCACCACCAGCAGGTCTCCACATCTGTCTAAACGTCATAGGGCCTAACTCCTCTTTAACTTTATGCCATTCTTCACCGGGATTCTCTTTGGTAGGCTGTATGGTGTTGATATTGACGACAGTGAAGCCATGCTTCTCATAAACAGGCACGCCCTGCTCTGTCGCATCGAGCCATAGCTCAACGCCCATCTCATCAGCCTTCTGCTTGCTCCAGTTCATAACAACATTCGCCACGCCTTGGCGACGATGGTCTGGATGTGTAAAGACGATATTGACATCTAAATCGAGTTTAGTCTCATTCCTCAGATCCTCTGAATAGAAAACTTACAGACTTGAGGTCTAGCCCCCATCCGCGCTCTAGGCGCATCGAATTGTTTCAGAGCTTGTGTGATAAACTCTCGTCGCTCCCCTTCCGGCTGCCAATAAGCGTAGGAATGATCCTCATCTGTATCGAACGGATTATCGGAACAAATCTTCCATAAACAACCGCCCACGATTTTGCCATCGTCGTTTACCACTTTTGCCCAGTAGCTCGTTGGGTCTTCATTGTGCCATTTGAGCTGAAGAGCTACTGACTCCTTGAGAGATTCTGCGTGTGTTGGAGCATTGAGAGGACAGAACATGCGAAAGAATGGCTGGAGGGGATTCTCATAAGATGCCCATTGACAAGCGATGAGCTCTTCAAAATCAGTAGCAGTGTCGACCTCGATGAGTTTGAGAGTCATCTTGCCGTTGTATTGGGTATGTGACACCACGTTTGAGATGGTAGCACAAAAGGATAAATCTACTGAATTAAGTCGCATTCAGTGGCAGAGAGGCCTGCCACAGCAAACAACCTACCCGAGCTAATCAGAGCATCAACCCAGCCAATTTATCCCCAGTGGAGCCCACGGCGGAAATAAGCAAACCCCATCAGCCCATCAAAACTCGCAATCCAAATCCTTCCTCTCTACTCGTACCATGAGAAAAACGAGCAATCGGAAGCTCGATGCCCTTTTCGGTTGACAATAAAGCCACTCAACGGAGAGGGCTTGCAGTACCGAGGCACCCACGAGAAACGGTTGGTCGAAAAGCTTAGACACCCATGTCCACAGCGATCTTTGCCCTCTTTAGCAGCAAGCCACGCCACTGTAGCAAGTTCACCAGGACATGCAGGCGGAAATTTCTGATGAGCAGTGCATAATTCCGCGAAGAGAATTCGAACCATTTTTTTTTCTCTTCTTCCACCGGATGATCCGCCCGAATAGATCCGCCGGTAAAAAAAAGGTCTAAACAGAGTTTGGAAGGTCGTTTTGCTAATTGTAACCCGCGGATCGATCTCCGCTCGGATAGTAGACCCATTGGGCTTAACGCGCGGACCCAGATTCAGGGAGGGGGGTTGTACAGTAGAAGCACGGACTGGTTCGGTGACGATAACGAGAGAGGGCTCCTCTTCACATGAAGATTCACACTAACAGCGGGGTGTACACTAACTCTTAGTCTGAGGCTCACTTAGCCCTACCAATCGATGTAGAGAACCTCAGCCGTATTGATAATTGTGCCACGATTGCACAGTATTTCAAATATTGCGATCTGCAACAATGCACAGCTTCATGTACAGATAAACTTCCAACCGGTGAAATTTCACTGGGAGGCCGGCTGTTTCGGATTGCTCGTTGTTGCTGAGCCGCTCAGCTGCATAATTCTCCTCTACGCGATATCAAGCATCATTGGCGCCTTTTTCACATCACATCAATAGGACCATGGAATTATAGCGCAGAATACAGGGGGGGTGGCTACCCATGTTGGAGATTTGCTTTTTCTTCTCTTGCAGACATGGCCTCACAGGCTGGTCTGAGGAGAGGGGGGAGATTCCTACGTAATTGTGATATAGCTTCATTCCTCCCATTTATTGGTCCTCACGTCCCGTTTCACGAAAAAGGTTCCAAACTGCTTTTGGGTGTCAATAACCGTTATAATCACCGTTTCCGGGATATGCCCAATACCAGTTTTCTGCCGCGCCAGTACCTGCGCCTGTGCCTGTGAGATTTCCTTCACACCATGGTTTTGAAGTACCGTAACTGTACCTTAGCTGAAGCTTCCCTTCCCTTAATCTACGCTCCACTGTCAGCTGTGTCTTAGCTTTAACTGTGATACCTTTTTGTCTCTGAATTCATCGTCGTTCGAATTTAATATCGTTTTCGTGGATCTCTCTCTCTTTTCGTAATATCTTTTCGCTCTTTTTGCGCAGCAATTGCTGCATTCATCGGTCCAATATGAGTTCGAACCAACGAATCATCACCGACAGCAACAAGTCACCACTCATTCAGGTCTTGTCGTTGATGTTTCTCGTCATTGCGATATTATCATGTTTAGTTAGGACTGGCACCAAGCTTTACATGATCAAGACATTGAGGGTTGACGACGTGCTCATCATTGTCGCAACTGTAAGACATCCACCTCACTTTATGCATTCCAACATGCTTATATTTATGCGCACAGGTGCTTGCGGCTTGTCAGACAGCGATTGTCTTTAATGCGTGCGAGCATGGACTCGGTCAACATTTTGATGTTCTCAGCGCCAGCGATCGAGACACCTTCTTCAAGGTAACACCCGACAGACAGCCCCGCGACAACAGAACAAACAACTAATACACCCTCGTACAGAGCCAATATACGACAAACACGATGCTCATCGCCTCGCTCCTTTGCTGCAAGTTATCGGGTACAATGAGTCTACGAATCATGGCGCCCAAGAGCCAAAAATGGATCATCATCGCCTGCGAAGCCGTCGTCGGTGTTTGGGGCGTCACGGCGCTCCTCGTCAATTTCTTCCAATGCCAACCACCGACGCCATGGCTCTACGGCGATAACGATAAATGCATCAATCTCAAAGCATTTTGGACGTACTACTCTACCGCCAACATCATCACCGACATCGTCATCGTTATCATTATGGCAGAAAACGTGGTCAAGATCCAGACCTCGTGGTCGAAAAAGATCCTTGTAATGAGCGTTTTTGGCAGCAGAATATTGTACGTACGGCGTGGTTTTATTTTCTTTTGTTCTCCACGCCATGGCTAACAACCTTTTAATAGTGTGACACCGGCAATCGCAGCGCAAATCCACTACTCCAACAAGGCATTCGACTCTGCCGATCACTCGTTTAGCATCTGGCCCGCCTCCATCACCATCCAGCTAGTGCAGTGCCTCGCCATCCTTACCGTATGCCTGCCCAACTTCAAGCCCTTCCTCGACAGCCTGGAGTCCGGGCAGATCCGCGTCGACGATCTTCGACGGCAGGGCAAGTCGAGCAGCAACGGTTACCCGACAAACAGGCCCGGCTACGCGGGGTACAAGTCAAAGACGGGGCAGAGCAGCAGATCGCGAGCCCTGGATCATGCGTCCAAGACGCAGCGCAGTGAGATTCACGAGATGGAGGACTTTGCTAACAAGCCGAAACATGACCACGAGAGGAGCTGGGATGGACAGAGTCGCTCCAGCCACTCAAGTCAGAAGATCTTGATCCATCAGACGTGGCAGGTAGACATAGAGACCACGCAGGATGCAGCATCCCGACAAACATGAGGCAAGGTAATTTCTTTTTTTTTCTCAGTCATGTTTGTTTGCTCGGTTATTCATCTCTCCGAGATTTTGGTTACAGCGCAGCAACGTTTTATGCAAGTGTACGAATTTAGAGTAAAAAAACCCAATTGGCTGTGTTAAATATAGAACGTTTTGTATCAGAAAAGCTGCAAGCACTCTGAGAAAAAGCAAGATGAAATGTTTGTCAGGCGCGCATGAATTCCCTCTGACCAACAGCATAACAAACGTAAGACCACTTGGAAAAAGAAAGGGTGAAGAGAAAACATTTTTTTTCTGACATACAGGGGCTCAGTGGTTCGCTCGGTTGCGTATGATTATGATACATCACCATAACGAATAGAGCAGGTCAGCCAACAGCACGGTACGTAACAGATTGGATCCTTGCACCCAGGCACCTGGAAAGAGGAAAATAAGCCGGCCCTGATCTATCCAGATCTGGTGGCTCCAGAGTTTGAGCACGCCCGGGCCCCCCTTTCCGCTGTCGAGCGAGAACCTATCTCTCAAATCGTCGTCTGTGGCGTTTATTCAGGTCGCTCTGTGCCGCTCGCTTATAACGAGCTATGAATCAATAGAACTCTAAGCCAGTAAACCTCACCGGAACGTCTTAGCCTTGAAATGGTCAAACGGAGGGGCGGCGATCCTATTTGTGGGGAGACACGGAGAAAAAAAGAAATGTTCAATTTATGCTGACAGTTTATGTCGCAAAATGGCTCCCCGTCAAACGCCTGTCAATTTGGCTCGTTGATTGCTGTCCCCTGTAACGCCGCTAAGTTACTGAAGAGACATGGGGACCCTGGCCCTACAAAAAGCCCGGTGGGAGGGGGGAACCCTTGTTAGGCCCTGTTAGTGGACTCTCCGGGGGGCATCGGTGCATTCTGCCGGATCAGCAACAGGAGGGGCGAGGGGATGTCCGGCATGATACGGTACGGGACAGATAGCGGAGCAACACAACGCAACGCAACGTCGCTGTAAATGTACAGTACACTCATACTAAGACGATTGAGTTATTCTGTAACATATCATACCCAGTCTTATTCCCAGCCTCGGTTGGTGGCGGCCGTCCCCAATGCATGCTACCTTAGCTTACTCTACCGCAGTCGCGACCTTTCCCAGGGGTGCAACCAACATTCCTGTACCTTTTTCTTTTCCCCTTCCTTCTCCTCCTGCAGTTCCTTTTAGCTTTTTTGTTCTTCTCTCCTCAATCCTTCTCTTCTCGAATTTCTCTCCCGTTGTTATTTCCGGTGCGACATCATGGAGAGTGTTAACAAACCCAGCTTTGAGATGGGCAACAATGCCACCGTCAAGGCGGCAGGTGATGTCAATGTCTCAGCAAAGGCAGAGCCAGATTCTGGACGGAGCTCGACGAGCAATTATCATGATAAGGACCAGTTGGAGCGGATGGGGAAGAAGCAGGTCCTCCGGGTATGTTACACCCTCCCTCGTTGCGGTGCATCGACTGACAGCTCAGCGCAACTTTGGGTTCATGACGATTCTGGGATTTAGCTGCACTATTCTCATCACCTGGGAAGCCATCACGGTTCTCTTCGCCCAGGGCCTCAATAATGGTGGTACAGCCGGTGTTATCTACAGCTTCCTTGTCGTTTGGGTCGGTAACTTTAGTGTCTTTGCTACCATGTGCGAGCTGGTCTCGATGGCGCCTACATCTGGAGGACAATATCACTGGCAAGTCACATCATCTCTACCTCTAGATTCCAACTAACATCGTCTCTAGGGTCGCTATGATGGCGCCGCGATCGTGCTCCAAATTCCTCAGTCACCTCACAGGCATGCTCACGGTCGGCGGATGGCAAGGCTCAGTATCGTCCAGCGCCCTGCTCACCGGAAACATGATCTTGGGAATGGCGACGCTCAATTATCCCGACTTCCAGCCTGAGCTTTGGCAGGGAACATTGCTGTTCTGGGCCATCTTTGGGTTTGCCGTCTTCATCAATACCCTCGTCAGTTCTGTGCTACCCAAGTTTGAGGGATTGATCTTGATCCTCCACATTCTTGGTTTCTTTGCCATCTTGATCCCTCTTGTTACTCTTGGACCTCATGCGTCTGCGTCGGATGTCTTTGGTACATTTGTTAACAACGGTGGATGGTCGACTAACGGCATCTCGTTCATGGTTGGTATGATGGGTAATGCCTTTTCCTTCGTTGGAACTGATGCCGCTTTCCACGTAAGCTCTCACATCTCGCCTCCATGAGCTTTCACTGACAGTCTCTAGATGTCCGAAGAAACCGTCAATCCCTCCGTCGTCGTCCCCACCTCCATCCTTCTCAGTCTCTGCATCAACGGCGCGTGCGGCTTCGCCATGGTCATCGCCATGGTGTTCTGTATGGGCAACCTCGACGATGCGATGGCCTCAGGCCCCGGAATGCTCGGCTTCCCTTACATGTACATCTTCAAGCAAGCGACAAACTCAAGGGCCGGCGCGACCGTCATGTCCGCCATTATTGTCCTTCTTGCTGCCTGCGCCACTGTCGGTATGCTTGCATCGACCTCTCGTGTCTTCTGGTCTTTTGCCCGCGACCGTGGTCTTCCTGGCTGGCGCACCCTATCAAAGGTCAGCGACCGAACCACCGTTCCCGTATACTCGGTCCTTTGCACTGCCGTCATCTCGATCCTCTTGTCACTCATCAACATTGGATCACCTGTCGCGTTCCAAAATGTCACTTCTCTATCCATCTCTTGCCTCTACTCCTCGTACCTTATCGCCGCCGGTCTTCTGCTCTACCGTCGCCTCACCAAAGGCTTCACGCTGCCCGGCGCATCTGATCTGCCAGCTTTGGCCAACACCACTGGCGCTGAGCTTGTTTGGGGCCCGTTCCATCTCAAGGGTGCTTTTGGCATTGCCAACAACATCTTCGCCATGTGCTACCTCGTTGTAGTGGGCTTCTTCAGTTTCTGGCCTCCCATGGTGGAACCTACCGTGGATATGATGAACTACAGTGTCGTGGTCACTGGTGGCCTCGTCATCTTCAGTGTCATTTACTATTTCGCATGGGCGCGAAAGGAGTATAACGGACCTATTGTTGAGAACTAGGTTGGTGTTTTCTTTTATCAATGGTGCGGCATAAAATTTGTTTCAGTTGGCGATGCATAATAAAATGTTATTCTTTTCATGAGATCATATAGACTCGTTTTATATCCCATTTGGATATTGAGATAGTATATTACAATAATACAGCTGTCTCAAAATTATGATCTGTCGCTATGTGGCTCATTTTATTATGGAGTAGATAAACTTGATCACAGCCTCGAATCCCCTGAATCTGTGGATGGATTATTTGATCTTTCTGGCAATCTTTTGTCGCGAATGCCATGACGCATATGCATCCTCAGGCGTATATCTCCGTTGAACTGGCTGCAACCCTAGAACCCAACCAACGCACGAAGCAACAAGTAGAATGAGATGCGAGGCTGCCATATCGATATTTTGTAACAGGTACCTCAGTCTACTATGAGGCGCTCGAGAGATATCAGGCAAATTCAAGAATACAGGGATATTGTCCAAGGTTCGAAAGATGATGAACAAGTTGAGAGGGATCCAAATATCGAGAAACAGCCCTTGCAGTCTTGCAGGTAAGCGAGAAACCACCGAGGCCTTATCATTCAGCAACTTGGGGCTGTTGAGAATGACACCATTCAGATTCCAGAAGAAGATGGCTTTATCGTTGTCATCCGGATCCGTCCTCTCAATCACGAGGACCTCTTCGCCGTCTGGTGCGGCTCGCTGCCATTCATGCCGAGCGTAGCGTGGCACTTTGATCTCAGGCTGATTGCCATCTGTAGCGCTGATGACTTGTCGCGAATCTCCCAGCCGGACTCGAATTGTTCCTTTGACCACTTTCAAGTATTCATCATGAGTCTCATGCCAATGAAGTCCGCTTGACCAGGTTGAAGATTTAGGAAGTGTAATGCGCACATGACCGACCGTTGACATGTCATAGATGACGCCGTTGGGAAGCGGGCGCTCAATAGCGCTGGGGATCTTTTGATCGCCCATTTCGACGTCCCCGGGTGAGAAGACTATCATGAAAATCCACAAGTTTTAGATGTTTAAAATCGTATTGATGCTGCCCCTCACTTGAGAGAGAAATTGAATGACATAAGCTGCCCGGATTGGGCAGGTCACGAGCGTAAGCAGTCAAAATCCTTCATGTTGGAGAGAGGGTTAATCGACTCAATTGACCTTTCGATCATCCAGTGAGATAGGTAAAATTAGCTCTTCCCACATTTAAACAGGGTCCTCAGTCAATGGGCTGCCAATCTTGAGATGGAACCTTGCCAACGTCTTCAGTGAAAGTAACTGGCTCCCTTCGAGTACGGTTCACCTTGAGATCGAAAACATCCAAGCGCTGATATCCTCCAACAACGTCATGATACTGCTTCCCTTCAATGCAATCCTCGATATCAAGATCAGCATAAAGAATTCCTTCATCATGCTGCAGGAAGTCGGTGGCTACAGCCTCCCCGGTCTGACTGTCGATGGTGAATCCCTTCAATGGAGCCCCAGTTGGATCAAGAAATTGAGTCGCGCCACGCTGGGATTGCTGCAGCACCTCGGTTAAGTACGCTGAACCTCCAGAAACTGCGTTAATGGCGTCTTCTCCCAGGACGCCCGAACACAAGACACCGAAACACTTGGCTTCGAAGCAATGAGCAGCTGCCCTTGTTGTGTTTGCGGTAACGTTATCGTAGTTAGGCTTATCTGAAGTCCCCTCAGAAGATTCTAAAGTTTTGCCTGGAGGAGCAACTCGCGTTGGCCAGATCGGTGGCCAAGTCGAGATATGAATGTTCTCCCCTTGAGCCATGAGGCTATACCGAGCCAAAGGGTTGGTATTCTCTCCGCAAATCAAATTCCCAATCTTTCCGAATGGTGTATCTGCAACGCGCAGGCCGTGTCCATCTCCAGGTGCCCAAGTAAGCTTCTCAAAGAACGTAGGCATTAATTTCCGATGATGAATCAGAACGTCTCCAGAGTCTCCAATAAAGAGGTTCGAGTTGTATAAAGTCGCGCTGCTGAAGCGAGCTTTTTCAGAAAAGCCTAAGCTCACCATGATATTTGCCTGTTTTGCAGCGTTGCGAATTGCGTGGATTTCATCGCCATCGGCAAAGATGGACTCATGCGCCATTTGCCTGAACAGATCGTGGTTCTCGGTAGGAGCCCGTATCGAACTCCATATTGGGAACGCTGAGATATATGTTTCCGGGAATACGACTAGATTTGCTTTGTTCTTTGCCGCCTGCTTTATCAGGCCGATTGCCTTTGAGCTTGTAGCCTTCGCGGAGAGGAAGATGGGAGAAACATGGCATGCGGCAACTCTGATGACAGTCATTGCCCGTATCGGTAGCCTGTGGCAGCGAAGTATATCGATTGACTGTTGAACAACTCTAATAACTCTCCACCATGCGCCTAATGAGTGATGAAAGTTGCGTAGTCACTGTAAATACCCCAGATGCTTAAAAGGTGGAGGAACGGCAATATCGGGTATCGCGGGATGGTAAGATTAATAGGCTCGGGACTTTTTTTTGTGCTCCGCCCATCGTCAGTTGCTTATTTGACAATAGAACCGGGAAATCAATAAATTGATTTATGTAATGTTAGTCTGGTACAGTAAATGGAACGAGGAAGAAAGAAAGGGAGGCCTGCCGGCATGGCCTCTGGAGAGTGCTCACCCGTCTTTATCCGCCTTTATTTTCTTGGTCTTGGTGTACTGAGTTCTCTCTGCAGATTAAGCTCTCGGCCATAGTCCAATTCCGACCTTGCGACCAAGGCACATTCAACTGTGAATGCGTGACAACTAGAACAACGGCGCTTGGCATGGCGGCGGTTTCATGCCTTAAGGTTCAGGCTGGGGGCGGGGCTCTTTGGTCATAACATCAATTCATCGCTCATCTCATTCCATTTTCATACAACACACAAGGTGTCACACAGAAATCCTCGACAAGCCATGATATACTGTTCTCTTTGCGGAATTCATATCACTGTACAGCTTGGCGAAACATGGCTCCAGGAGTTTCGAGCGAGTAAGTCCCTGTCACTATCGACTGCAGTACCCAGATTCTAATTTGACGTAAGTCTGGGTTGAGAGCGATTTAGTGGACCATGTCGATGTTTCTGGTGTCGGCCGACGGAGCAGCAACGACGATGAAATTTTTGGAACCGCTCCGGATGATCCAAAGAAGCGCTACGACGACGATACTGGGCCAGGTACCACTATCGATGTGGCTTTGACACCGAACAGACCGACCATTTTCACACGCTCCCTAGATGAAGATGTCTCGGCTTGGGGCTATGGATTTCACGCATCTTGCTGGAGTATCTTCACAAAGTATTCCATCCCGAACCTGGGCCACTTATTTGCGGCGTGTTTGTCCATGCCAACGGGTCAAGAAGCCTTCCTGAACTGGGGTCATGACTATGGAGGAGCAAGCATACTGGAAAAAGAGTTCAAAGTGCCGACACAAGATACTCGCTTCCCTGACCCACGAACTATACCCAATCCCTTTCGATCAGATCCGTTTCATATCCCCGCCCTAGCCAATGCAATCCAACAAACAGCTCGCCTACAGAACGATATATTCCTAAGTCATGTCATATTCAACACTGAGGCCCTTACTAAAGACCCCTTCTTTCGTTTGTCCCCAGACATCTTACAGTTGATCACTGTATTGCTATCAACCTCAGAAATTCATGTAATTCGGATTGCATCCCCGGTCTTTGCCTCCCTTCAATTATTTGAAAGATTCTGGGCCTCACGGTTCCAACCAGGCCACGAGTTCGAGTATATACCCGAGGTCATAGATCATCCGCCTGAATCATGGAGAGCCTTCTACTTATCACTCCAAATCTGGGCCCTAAATGACCCTCATGTGGCTAATCGCAAGCGAATTTGGAGCCTTGCGAAAACACTGCATGGCCTAGTGTCTCAGATGGAGGACATACCTTGCCAAGGAGGCCTCTACAAACTTGGTTTGAGACTTCTGCGGATTTAGATGATACTTCAGCTTGCTGGCACACGGCGGCATGCGCAAGTACTCAACCGAATGATTCATTCCTCAATGGCAATCGAGTTTTACGAGCTCGCATCCTCAGTTTCTCGCCAACACTCATGATGCATAGGATGTCTGTATCATTTGTGAATCTACCAGAGGGGGTGTTTGTTTCTGGCCTGGTCCTGATCGATCACAGCCATGAGCGCTATGTTATCGGGTACATACATGGGGGTAATATGGTTGACATTCATCTTCCTAATGCACAACATATCCAAGGCTGGGAGCTTGCCTTGCATACATCTGGCGTTAAAGCAATGGCTCTTATCTATGAGGATGGGGTACTATCTAGCTGGGCCGGCGACCCGGCTGGTACTCCACGATGGCGCTTAGCTGGAGCCCCCGGCCTTTTAGCAATCAAAGCTGAGTTTGATGTAAGTTTCTATCTGACTGGACTCTCTTCTCCTTATCAATTACGCCTTCATGAACTGAGATATAATTTCTGATATTTTACAGGCCATAAAGCTCGTCAAACTTAGCCGACAAGGCTCACTTGATGAGCTCAGCTGGCGCAAGAACTGCCTCTGGTATCCTCAAGTTCCACCGATGGGACTTCTTTACGATTGGAACAAGGGCGATAAGCCACCAAGCGAATTTAGACTCCCTTTCACAGGCGTCTTCTTTGGTGAAGCTGATGACATGTATTCATCAACCCTTACTGAGATCGTTGCTTGGATCTTTGATGTCTGCTATATCTCCGGCATGGAATTCCGCTTTGCTAATCCCTCCCATAACCGGCAGCTTGGTCACACTGGTCCATTTGACGAAGAGTTCCCTGGACGACGAAACTTCTCGGACTCACATGATTCAAATGTGTCATTAATAATAGATGGAGGTGCTGGAGAACGACTAAAGAGTCTTGAGGTTCAAGAACGAGGAGCGACTGTCGTGGGCATGAAGGTACCCAAGCCAAACGAAACCTCGCTCGTCAAAAATCGGTTGCTTACTCTTCTAGATAAACACTACTTTCAATCGACATGTACAAACTCCGCGATATCCTTATGGAATACAAAAAGGTTGGGTGACAGTCCAACCTAAGGGATCCCGAATTGTCGGAATGTTTGCTACCTGCGTACGTATGGCCTTAATTATGCTGCATAATCGGTATCATTTCCTATGGAGATGCTAACATTTATTACAACAGGGTCACACGCTAGATAATATTGGTTTAATATCAATAGACTTATTGAATAGCAATAGAGGAAAAAATACCAACTAGATATTATTTCATACATAGTTTTAGTTATACCAGAGGCATGGATTGCTTGGCGATGGCTTCAATGTCGCGAGCGGAGCATCCAGTGTCAGTTGATGCAAAAAGAGGAAAGGCAGTGGATCCAACGTCCTAGAAAAGGAGGTTCTTTTCCTGTTCATGGCAATACCAATGAGTCTTTTGAGCTCAACCAAAGAGCCAATTGCAGCTAGGTCGATCGCTGTTGTCATCTTGCGGCTCTTCCTTACGTCTTTAGCATCGTAGATCTTGACCTGGATCGACCTCGCCGGATTCGCAACGCGCAACAAGGCGAGTCAGAATTCAACTTACCCATCAGCGGTCAAAGACCGTCTCTACCGGCGTGCTTGATAGTCTGACAGGCCTCCCTACACTTGTGATTGACCCCTTGTCAGCCGTCCGCTAGGCATTCTTGAAATACACACACAGCTGATTTATCACGCCATATTTCGACCTTGTTGGTTGGTGCTTCAATGGGAACTAAATCCAGAGACCAATGAGGAAACTTGATTTCTTGTTATGCGACCTCATTTCAACCCATTACGCAATTAAAGAGTTTAGTGCTGTCAGCCTTGTTGCCTGCCAAGGTACCCGCGCCACGGACCTGATATCAAGGCCCAGGAGTATATAGCCCAATCCAATGCAATCATGGAGCACCATTAAACTTTTACTCATTTCTTACATCCTCCCTTATCGTGTTGTTGGCTTGCATCACGCGCCTCACACGGTCGAGTCTCTGCAACGATCAATCTGACTCAATCTTCGGAGTCCTTATAACATGCCTCAGCCTTTTGAGCCAAAGCCTGGCCAGGAGAATTTATTTACATCCGAAAAAACCCCAACTTATCTTTTTCGACTCCATGTCCCACGCTCAAAGGGCGATACGAGTGCCGTGCGTGTCATGGCTCCAGCCTTCCTCGGGCCACCAGCATATCATAAAGATGGGTTACCATGCAGCCAAGATCTTTTGCAGCTGCCAACCCAAAAGGCTACTTCAAGACTCAAAGACCATCTACTTTGGCACTGCAACCGTTTTAACAAGAGCCCCTGCAATCTCATGTCTTGGTCTAGTTCTCTTCTCTTCCTTCTCCAATATGCCTTGTACCGTCACACAAGAGACTTCGAACCAAAACCACAATTCGCAGATACTAAAATCATAATGATTGATACCCGAAAATTTCCCAAAAAAACATTCCTTCGCGACCTTGATGCGTTGGAGTGGCTGCGTGAAGAACTAGACCTTACAGAGCTTCACGAAAAGAGACGTGGCCAGTTTTACTTTGGAGAATACCTTACTCAAGGCTGTTTGGATATCGAAGGCAAGTGTGTGGAAATGACAATGCAGCAGCTCGTTGATGGGGGCCTTTTTACGGTGATATGTCCTGCATTGAACAAACCCAATAAGTGGGCAGACTGGGCAATACCAGTCTGCGAACTTCGAGTCGGTATCAGGGAAAACCATATCGTGGATCAAAAGCAAATTCGATCTGCAATCTTCGTGGCGAAGGATTGTGTCGGAGATCGATTTCTTGTACCCTTTGCACTGATGTTACTGGGATTGCGAAGCCGACAGTCCGACATTTCGGCGATTGCGAACGTCTTCCAGTCCCTCTTCACCGGTATGTAAAGCACGCAGTGGAAGAAATAAACACTAACATGGCATCAAGATGAGGAGCTCAATTTTCGGGACGTCAAGTATGATCAGTCCTCTGGAAGGATGAAAGAACTCAGAAGATTCCGAGAATTAATGGAAACCGTTGAGAAACAACATGATGAAAACCCACTGGCCGAGACGACAAGGTTGATGGAAGGACTAGGACTGTCAACCAACGGATTGCCCATGAAGAAAAGTATCTATGTTGGTCCACTTGGCGACGAGTAAAACCCAGGGCTGAATTGTTATGTACCAGGTTTCGGACCGCCAATAGAAGAAAAACCTGCAAGTGAGAGTTAGAGCATTCCTAAAGAATATAAAGATTGGCATAACTATGGTATAGATAATAAGATCAAATTGACTTTATAACCACCATAAGAGTGATCTTGATCCTTCTACCATCGTTGACAGGTGCTCTAGGCACAGCAGAAACGAGAGCAGCGGTTATGCACCTAACAATAATTGCCGCGGATACCTTTGTTGAAGTCTAAGTTCTCTCTGCTGATTTAAGCTATGTGCCACAAGTCTCAATTGCAAAAAGCACATCTCCCTCACAACTCAGACATGATACCACAATGCCTGACTTGTTGTTGCAGTCAAGTCGCGCTGGTGATGAGAAATGATGAAGGCGATTATGGCACCATAATCTTGAACACCAGAACAAACTGGGAGAGCCCTCGACTAGATTTATATGAAACCACAACCAGCAGACTCCTCAACACAGGGCATTGACGAAAGTTGCTGAGTGCTTGTCACATTGGGTGGATCAGTAGCTATCGCAACAACATATTTGAGCACACTTCTTGGCGTTTCTTAATCCGAATATCCATGCATGAAATGCGAGCCCATAGACCGACGTAGCCAATTAAACTAGTTGGATAATAATACACAGCCTCAACTGCTTACAGGCTATGAGTTAGGTCTGTCGATCCATATTCGATTGGTTGCGACTACTGAGTTAGCGCTTACTCTCGTTTCATCCTTCAGACACTTTTATAATGCTTCCCTTTGTCGCATCTTTCTCGCAACTTTGTCTTCTTCACATTTAATCTTCGCTTTATTTCCGGAGACTTTCCAGGCTGCATAAGCTCCTCTCAAATTGTGAATATCTAAGCTGTGCTATGGGTATCTCCGTGATTCTGGCGCTTATCCTCCTTGTCACAGGATGGTTCGGATGGCGAAGAAATACGGGAAACAATAGTTTTTACGACACAATACCATGCGTTGGTGTTCGAGAAGGTGAATGGTTTGCATGGACCAGAGCAAAACTCCGTAGCTTCTCAAAAACAGAAGAGTGGATGAAGGAGGGATACGAGAAAGTGAGTAACGCATTCAACAAAGACATGGGCTCACTGACCCGTGCCTAAGTACTCACGACACAATCAACCATTCATCATTCCTTCATTTCGAAAAGGCAAAGTCGTCATTCTTCCCCCGGCCCAACTAAAGGCCATCTACAACAAACGTGAGAATGAGCTGCAAGCCCATGATCCAGCCTCGGAAGCTCTATCTTTTGAATGGACCATCCGCGATCAGGAGGTTTATCCGAGCAATTATACAGTCGATGTGATTCGCAAGTGGATCACCAAGAGGTTCGACGAGTTTGCAGCTGAATTGCAGGAGGAACTATGTCTTGCCGTGGATGAACAGTTCGGCATGAGCCAAGAATGGAGAGAGGTAAGGCTCTGGCCAGCCGTGCAGAGAATATTCACCCGAGGCCTGAACAGAGTGCTTGTGGGATTTCCACTATGTGAGTTGTTGTCACGGACAAGAAAGCAGTCAGTATGGCTAATCAAAATTAAACATTACAGGCAGAGACGCAGTGTTCCTTGAGACCATGCGCCGGTTTGCTATCGACATGCCATTTCAGGGTTTATTCATAACCCTAGTTCCGAAAATCCTCAAACCAATCTTGGCTCCCTTGATATCATGGAATTCCAGGCGGGACACAAAGGCAGGCATCAAATACTGTGCTCCAATCATACAAGAGTATCTGGACAAGAATCGGAATCCTCTGCAAGAAAAGCCGGTAATTTCTTCATTTCCCGACTCGGACTGCTTCTAAAGGTCATCTAGGTCAACATCCTCCAATGGATCATAGAAGCGAGCGCCGCGACTGGCGACCCAGCTCAACTCGACCCTTACCGAATAGGCCATCGCATGATGATCCTCAACTTCAATCTCGTGCAAGGCGGATCGATTCCCTTCAGCACTGTTCTCAGCGACATCTGCAACGGTGAACACGCAGCCTCGGCCTTCTCCCAACTCCGCGATGAGGCAACATCAGTCCTGGCATCTACCAAGATCTGGGATCGCACCACCATATCCAAGCTCGTCCTCGCAGACTCAGCAATTCGCGAGTCAATGCGCTGGTCCGATTTTGGCCTCTTTGCCCTCCCACGTCGCGTCAATTCTCCCGGTATAACTCTCGACAATGGCATTCACGTTCCACTTGGTGTTCATATCGAAGTCCCGATGCATAGTATACACATGGACGAGGACTCTTACGCAGATGCAGGCTCCTTCAAGCCGTTTCGTTTTGCGGATGGAACTTCTGCGTCTCGTTCAGCTGTGACTCTTGACGAGAGCTTTCTTGGTTTCGGTTATGGGAAGAATGCCTGCCCGGGACGATTCTTTGGTTCGCACGTCATGAAGGTCGTGTTGGCTTATTTGGTTATGAATTATGATGTTGAGTTTGGGGATGAGGAGCCTCCAATGACGACCATGTGGGAATACAGAATTCCAAGGGAGAGCAGTGCCATCAGGATTCGCAGGAGAGTTGGGCATTAATGTCTGTGATTTGCAAGGAAGCCTCCGAGTCCCAGAACATCCGCTCAAAGCCATGTTGTACTACACGAGTACCCATTTTGACCATCAGCACGAACAGCAGCCAATTCAACTTTCTCATGTAATTTAGCCATACGGTCGTTCTTTGTCTGAATCACATCTCTTTCTTGCTCTATATAAGGTGATTTTCAGTTCGCCGCCAGTTGTTAGGAGCTTCTGTTATAGCAACGTAGTGCTTGCAAGAGTAAAAGACAACTTGATGAGCTACTCCCCACACTGAACCTATATTAGACGCCATCACCAGTAAAGGGATCTGACAAACAGAATCTATTATGGGACTTGGCCTTAGGGTAACCATAATGATTACTAGGGTCAAGATACTGGTCGTTGTTGATAGAGTTGATTGGCGGGTGGAGGAGGATGCCGATGACTTCGAAGTAGAGTGAAGGACCATTATCAGAAGACTTGTTCAATATTTAGATTACACTAAGTGATATCACAGAAGCACTGAACTCATAAATCATTAAATTCATTGAAGCCAATTTAAACAGATCCGTCCATGATAGACTACCACCTTCTTCTCCTAAATCAGAACAAAACATTAGCAATCGCCTCACGCTGACCGAATACATAAGTCATAAAAAGTCACACTACCCTTCCATCTCAGTCCGTCCAGGGTGTTCATCATCCCATTCATCCTCAACATCCACATAAGAATCCTCTAGAGACACTGTCTTCCGTCGGTTTCCACCTCCATACAACGACTCAAGCTTTCTGGAATCCATGAAAATATTCTGCATCTCGGAGATCAAGTGTTCCTCTTCGGCATCATCGTCGGAGGCTCTTAGTCGGAATCTGACAACTCTTCGTCCGACGCCAGATGAAAGGAAGGGCTTGAGGAATGAGAAGATGGACCAAGCAAATCGTGCGAAGAGATATTCCCGGCTTCCCTCGACAAGAGTCTCAACGGGTCTGTTCTGATATAAGGCTGTGAACTCCGCTTCTCTTCCATCCAGTACATGAAGAACGTATTGGCTGTTTGCCTCCACGCCGTTTGCTTGGCCGCTTTGCTTTGGAATCAGGGCAAATACGCTTTGATCAAAGCAAACGTACAGATCTGCCTTGAGCGGTAGGATATTGTGCGGGTCATCGATGGTATGTGATCCACCGCCGTAAAGACCCATGCCATTTTTGCTGAACCAACTCTGTTCTTCCCTGGGGATCAGATGTGCCCATGTGAAAGCATAGCTTGTGTTTGTGACGGCGCATCGCTTTGCATAAAGTGATGTTCTGGAGGTTGGGACACTCCACCATTCAGGTAGTCTGTCATGGGGAAATTGCCAGTCTCTGAAGCTTGGAACAATTGCATATCGATCTGAAAGGGTTTAGTAAGAATCCTCAGGATACGAGTGAGGGTCTAGTAATTACCATCGCCTTCGACGAAGAACCAGTAGTCTCGCTGCAGCAGTATCGTTTCATCGTCAGACACCCTATCCTTTCCTCTTTCATCCCTTGCTAGGTACCCTTTCTCAAAAGCATTGTTCGCGATGATCTGACATGCGGTAAGAGCCGTCAAATAGTGCACGCCAAAAGTCCCCTCTGTCGTGTTGTAGTCCACACGCGGGAGGCAAAAAAGAAGGTTCAACGGCTTGAGATAGCCAGGATGATAAAAGCGGATCTGATCTCTGTTAAGGTCTCGGATCTCGAGCGACGAGACGGCTGATAACGAGCGCGGCATTGGAACGCGATGCTCTAAGTGGCTGAGATGAAGTTGATGATGATTGTTGGAAGCAAGAAGACCCATGACGTTTTTTTTTTAACTTGGATTAGCCCTTGATCAGCGACATCTCAGCCACACGTGAAGATGACGTACATGGATGATGCTCAAGAGTCCACTAATGCAAGCCACTCGGGACGGTTAATATCGGGGTACGAAATCAAGATCTGGTGTTGGCGATGTTGATGAAATAAAATATGTTGAAAATAATATACTCTAAAAAGACTATCATTTATATACATTTATCAATACCCAATATGTTCTTCTATCCTAGAAAGAGTTTTTTTTTTGCCCCGACATACGTGTCAAGCTAGTGGACAGCTGTTTTGCATATGTGCTCCAATAGCTTCCCAGCAAGTGGACACTCAGGATCCATATTGAACATCGGTGTTGTTTGATGTTCTTACAAGCGGTGAGGACCGGGATACGCAGGAGCCTTGACCGACGAAGTAGATCCAATCTCTCCAATTCGGATGTTGCTGAATGTCACTTCAGGGTTGGGCTGCACCTTGACGATGTTCTTGGGATCGCCCTCAGTGGCGTCACAGGGTCCAGCAACGCCCTGATCCAACCAGGCCATGAAATCACCCTCGCTCCACCAGACACTCATAGCGAGGACCATGCCACGGGACATGGCATCGCCCATCTGCTTAGTACCGCCGAG